TCCACCCCATACACACCACGTCCTCCATCCCATACACACCACGACCTCCACCCCATGCACATCACGTCCTCCACCCCATACACATCACGTCCTCCACCCCATACACACCACGTCCTCCACCCCCAGCATATCACGTGCTTCCGGCAGAGAAGGAGATAATTATCCTTTTCGAGAACAGCTGGTGCCATTACTATTTTCAGTAATCCAGTCATACTTTTCAGCATTTTTTGCCGTTTATTCCCTATCATTAAGTCTGATCATTCTCTGGCGTTGAGGATTTGCTTTTCATACATAACGCCGCACCTTTGGTGATCTTTTTTTTTGATTCTCAGCTGCACCTTAATTGTTATCATGGCGATGTTATGACTTAAAATATGTCGCTAAAGCACTTCAGAGTTACAGTTGCACAGCGAACACAAAACACATACCAGGGAACATCCTCAACTTAATATCCTTGGTATGAAGGTCAATAAAGTATAGGTGCGCCAACCATAGGCCAATGTGTATCTTGAGGACCTTGCAATTGTGTTGTAAATCTGTTGATGTTGATTTATTAGACAGCTATACATGGGGCAGGTGGACAGGGTAGACTTTGACAGCCGCGTGTGGTAATACTGACAATGACAATGACAAATGACAAATTGTTTATTTTTGTCTCATACTCATACTAGTGTCAGTACTATCCGCAATGCGACCCGTGAAGATCCAGGTTAGAATAGGTCTTCAGCAGCCCACGCTTGTCATACGAGGCGCCTATACTTTTCGCAAGACGCGACAGTTGGTCAGGCTCGCAGACTAGGTTGATACATGTCATCGTATCCCAATTGCGTCAACTGTCATTGAATAGTTGATCAAACTATAAATCAAAGAGTCTAAACTTCAGGATTCGGTTTGATGTCGATACAGTACCCCATGAAAAACTCACTGAACAGCTTGAACTCCTTTGTTGACAGAGGCGGTATTCAAACTCGATGCTCGTGTGAAATATATGGACGCCAATGACACATATCACACATGGACCTCAATAACACATATCACATATGGACCCCAAGGACTTTATCACACATGGATCCCAATGACATATATCACATATGGACCCCAATGACATATATCACATATGGACGCCAATGACACATACCACATATGGACCTCCATGACACATATCACATATGGATCCCAATGACATATATCACATATGGACCTCAATAACACATGTCACATATGGATCCCAATGACATATATCACATATGGACCCCAATGACATATATCACACACGGACGTCAATGACATATATCACATATGGACCTCAATAACACATGTCACATATGGATCCCAATGACATATATCACATATGGACCCCAATGACATATATCACACACGGACATCAATGACACATATCACATATGGACCTCAATAACACATATCACATATGGACCCCAATGTTATGTATGACATATGGACCTCAATAACACATATCACATATGGATCCCAATGACATATATCACATATGGACCCCAATGACATATATCACACACGGACGTCAATGACACATATCACATATGGACCTCAATAACACATATCACATATGAACCCCTATGTTATATATGACATATGGACCTCAATAACACATATCACATATGGACCCCAATGTTATATATGACATATGGACCACAATGACATATATCACAGATTGGACCTCAATAACACATATCACATATGGACCCCAATGTTATATATGGCATATGGACCACAATGACATATATCACATATGGATCCCAATGACACAGATCACGTGGATCCCAATGACAAGAACCATAAATTATACCTTTGTTTTACAGAAATACATACCAATTCTTCAGCATTGCCTGCATTTCTTGTCTTGTCTTGTGTACAATTCAGTATGTGAGTCCAGCCCACATCCAGTGACATGACTTCATTCAAAAGCCCTGCAATTTATTTTCTTAACCAAGAACACAAATTTTATATTTGTCCCTGGATCATGTTTTTTCCTTCGGAAATATGCCACTTATAAGCAACATAATTATTCTATAACTGGCACATGCCATTACAACTCTGTGTTAATGTTCTGTATTGCAGCAGTCTGTCGTACCGCCCCAGGATCCCAGGACCCGACAGTGGTGCTCCTGGAAACGGTGCGTGCTTGTCGGACTAGTGGTAACGGTGACAATAGTCCTCCTGTCTGGACTCATAACAGTCGCCGCGCTTCTTCTCTCACGTCAAGCAGGTAAAAGCACATACTATAGTCTGAATATAGAGGGGCAGTGGGGTAGCCTTGTGGTTAAAGCGTTCCTTCGTCACGCCGAAGACCCGGGGTCGAATCACCATATAGGTACAATGCGTGAGGCCCATTTCTTGAGTCCCCCGCCGTGGGATGGCCGGAATACTACTACAAGCGGCGTAAAACCACACTCACTCACTTTATAAAGTGTGGGTGAGTGTGTGAGTTTGGTTTTACGCCGCTTTTAGCAATATTCCAGCAATATCACATTGTACCCATGTCGGGAATCGAACCCGGGTTTTTCTGCGCACTTTATAAAGAGGTTACTAGCCGAAAGTGTCTTTAACTGTAAATACCATATTTTAGGAATGACAATATGAATTATGCTCTAATAATGCAAATTTCTTATATGAGCTATTTTTCAAACGGAAACACAAGAAGATAATGTTTTATCATTTTGATGTCGTCCTTAAGATAACCGCTGTGAGTTTGGTTATATAACCGATAGTTGTGCAGGTCTTGGACGTTCACCACTGTTGTGAAACCCACGATCACGGGTAAGGTGCTAAGAAACTAAGATTCATTATCAAGGTGAATCTCATTCGTGACCAACTCGTGTTATTCCGGGACAAGCCGAACAGCGACTCGTGCCCCTCTCGTGGCCATTTTTGCCACCGGGTTCCGTCTTAGCGCAAACGGCCATACCTAAAACAATTGTCAACTCGTTGCGTAATGGTTCACAAATATTTTCCCAAATATTATATATATTTCAGATGCAATTTAAAACACATCGGGACGTGCGAAATTATACAGTATGATTGAACACATTTAACTGTGTCTTCGGTATATTTTTAGATGCAAGACATATGTAAAATCAAAAATTATTTCTGAGGGATTTTTTGACGAAGAACTTGAAATCATACGCGCATTCTGATTGGTTTGTCGAATTTTCGCACATAACATTCATCGATAGGGAGACGAGTCTTCTTGTAGGTTACAGAAAGGAGCGAGTGGTGACGAATGGGTGAATCTAGGATTCGAACCCACGAATATAACATCATGAGACCTGATACGATAGGGCCATCGTTGTCATTGTTTCTGGATGAACGAAATATGAGGAATTATGGTTTGTGTTTTCAAACGGTATGATCACATTTTGTAGTAGAGTTGTTCTACTGTAAATGAGTATAGGGTTAAGAGCTACATCGTATATTGAGTTACAAATGTATATTAAAGAGGGACCAATATAGGTGTCGAAGTAAAATCGTAATGAATAATCTTACAATGTTTTTAGAAACTGACTATATTCAGCATAGACTCAGGTTTCTAATCCGTGCATGAGTTGAGAGCTGGCACGAAGTCTTTAGCTCAACAGGTGTAAATATTTACTGAAGGATCAATTTCAATTTCTAACATGGATTAAATCAGGTCACTGGATGACTAAAATGCGAACTGAACAAGGCCTCGGGTTGTTTTTAGGGAATTTTTATGTGAAACGTTTACACTGTTTTTTGTTTATGTATCAAAAAACAAAACGACACCTGTATATAGGGCGACATGTCATGTTTTTTTAAGCTTGTAGGATTTGTTTTGTTCAATTTTGATTTTTGTGTGCTCAAACAATTCTCTCTTCCCCAAGATTCAAGAAATCAAATGGTCATTTTGTTGTCAACCATTTTGGCTACCATCTTGGATTTCATAATGGCAAACAAACGTGAACACAAAGCATCTTTGGGTCACGCACTTGCTCATGTATAGTTAGATGTTCTCTTTGAATCGGCCTTTTTCACTCATTGTAACATACTTACAACCTACCCATCTACGAAAATTGATAAAAATGATGTCCGATGCAATTCCCTCTTTTAACTTGTGCCATATGTACCCGTGTTTGTTCAAGTGATCAATTGACTTGTCATTGCATGTGTTTGTGTCGTTAACATGGACTAACACTATCTATTATTCATACACGGAAGTTTTGGGGTGTATTTTCTCCGTTGCTGCAGTTTTACGCCTTTTCCATGTGTGTTTTGATTTCACGAAGTCGTATTTGTATTTGATCCTACATTAACTGATTACACCTTGAAATGGAATAATCTTTATTGGTAAACTACTTCTTCTAATTTTGTCTTGGGCCACAGACATTCTTATAATAAAGCATGATTTTTCCACCAAGATTTCAAGGAGCGTCATACGACTCTAGCTCAGAGGTTGTTTAATCAAGGTTATGACATTCAAGGTCTCAGTAAAGCTTTCAAATGGTTTTATTGTGGACATGTGGAGGACATTCCAAATGTGGCGCATCTTGACAAAAATGATGTCCGATGCAATTCCCTCTTTTAACTTGTGCCATATGTACCCGTGTTTGTTCAAGTGATCAATTGACTTGTCATTGCATGTGTTTGTGACGGGTGCCACGGTTGGGCAGGATAACCTAATCTTTTCGCGAACACCTGGAATCATCACTAAATGATAGTGATTCATAAACACATGTTTATGATATAGTGGCAATCCTACAACAAACCCTGCTTTTAGCAGATATTTCTTATGATTTTGGAAATGTTTTCGTTGTTAATACGTACAACATACGATCAAGTCTCGGAATGTGAAAGTGCTGGTTGTCCACCAATAACATATCATATTTCAACGTTTTCCCATAATTATCAAATTTGACATTTCAATGCTCGATACCCCCTTGCTTTGAATTATCAGACAGTTGAAAATTAAAAGCAGCATTATGTAAAAAAGAAATAATTTCTTTTCTCTCTCTTAAGAACAAACAAGGGGAGATGTTACACTACCAACATCACAACCTATCTTAACTGCAAGTGCAACTACGGATGTTTCAACAATTTCTACTTCCACGACTACTGAAATCTCCAACTCAACTTCAACGGCTTCAACAACGACACAGTCTTCTTTCTCTTCAACGACAACCACGCCTGCGACATCGGAAGGTAAGTGTCTTACTCTGAAGGAAGTATTTACTCAATTTTTATGCCACATTATTGGCGAGAAATAGATACATTCTGACTGGTGCGTTTCACAATACAACAGCATTAAGTCAAGTCGTTAACATGGACTAACACTATCTATTATTCATACACGGAAGTTTTGGGGTGTATTTTCCCCGTTGCTGCAGTTTTTCGCCTTTTCCATGTGTGTATTGATTTCACGAAGTCGTATTTGTATTTGATCCTACATTAACTGATTACACCTTGGAATGGAATAGTCTTTATTGGTAAACTACTTCTTCTAATTTTGTCTTCGGCCACAGACATTCTTATAATAAAGCATGATTTTTCCACCAAGATTTCAAGGAGCGTCATACGACTCTTGCTCAGAGGTTGTTTGATCAAGGTTATGACATTCAAGGTCTCAGTAAAGCTTTCAAATGGTTTTATTGTGGACATGTGGAGGACATTCCAAATGTGGCGCATCTTGACAAAAATGATGTCCGATGCAATTCCCTCTTTTGACTTGTACAATATGTACCCGTGTTTGTTCAAGTGATCAATTGACTTGTCATTGCATGTGTTTGTGACGGGTGCCACGGTTGGGCAGGATAACCTAGTAATCTTTTCGCGAACACCTGGAATCATCACTAAATGATAGTGATTCATAAACACATGTTTATGATATAGTGGCAATACTACAACAAACCCTGCTTTTAGCAGATATTTCTTATGATTTTGAAAATGTTTTCGGCGTTAATACTTACAACATACGATCAAGTCTCGGAATGTGAAAGTGCTAGTTGTCCACCAAAAACATATCATATTTCAACGTTTTCCCATAATTATCAAATTTGACATTTCAATGCTCGATACCCCCTTGCTTTGAATTATCAGACAGTTGAAAATTAAAAGCAGCATTATGTAAAAAAGAAATAATTTCCTTTCTCTCTCTTAAGAACAAACACTACCAACATCACAACCTATCTTAACTGCAAGTGCAACTACGGATGGTTCAACAATTTCTACTTCCACGACTACTGAAATCTCCAACTCAACTTCAACGGCTTCAACAACGACACAGTCTTCTTTCTCTTCAACGACAACCACGCCTGCGACATCGGAAGGTAAGTGTCTTACTCTGAAGGAAGTATTTACTCAATTTTTATGCCACATTATTGGCGAGAAATAGATACATTCTGACTGGTGCGTTTCACAATACAACAGCAAGTCAAGTCAAGTCGTTCACATGGACTAACACTATCAATTATTCATACACGGAAGTTTTGGGGTGTATTTTCCCCGTTGCTGCAGTTTTACGCCTTTTCCATGTGTGTATTGATTTCGAAAATGCATTCTTCGTGAAATCGAAGTCGTATTTGTATTTGATTCTGCATTAACTGATTACACCTTAAAAGGAATAGTCCTTATTGGTAAACTACTTCTTCTAATTTTGTCTTCGGCCACATACATTCTTATAATTATTTTGGATTGTGAAGTGGGAAAAAATCCCATAAGTTATAATTCATGTAGCTCATATAATTCCAAAACATCTATATTTAAAAGAAACATTGTCAGTAATAGGATCACGGTGACAAATAATCCGCTTACACGAGACATTGAAATGAAATTGACGCAGCCAAACTCTATGTGGTGGTTGACAAATATGGACATATATTCCTTTAATACCAAATAAAGAAGTTCATTCCAGAGACAGTTACGTTTCCATTTTCTAAGTTACATTTGAAGTATTCAATAAACAACTTTATCCAATGGTTGTTTTGATCTTGTAGGTTGCATCCGCAAGTGCATTTCGTGCACGTCTTACAACACCCGGTGTCCAGCCAACGGCATGATAGTCGAGGGCGACCCTGGAGAAGTGATCGACTGTCCATGTAATACTGCCTGCTACTCTGACATCCGATACGATGACGGTGAGCATTGTAACATTCGTGATCACTCGTATTATTCCAGGACATACCCGTTACGATCCGGGGTAGAATAGGTCTTCAGCAACCCATGCTTGCCGAAAAAGACGACTATGCTTGTCGTAAGAGGCGACTAACGGGATCGGGTGGTCAGGCTCGCTGACTTGGTTGATGCATGCCATCGGATCCCAATTACGTAGATCGATGTTCATGATGTAAATCACTGGATTGTCTGGTCCAGACTCAATTATTTACAGATCGCCGTCATATAGCTGGAATATTGTTGAGTGCGGCGTCAAACAACAAACAAAACAAACAATCATTCCAGGGCGTGACCATTTTATTAACTTTGTTCCGTCTTCGCGCAAACGGACACAGCGAAAAGACTAGTCCACTTGTTGTACCACATCCGCCTTTGTGTTGTAAGGTTGCGTGGAAATTTGCTAAATTCTAACGAGTTTATCATTTAAAAGTACTTGTTATTCAGCATATATGAACAATTATGACTGTCACTTTGGTGTATTTTTAAATGTAAACTGTAAAACCTTTAAACACTACGGAGAGATTCTTTGACAAAAGCACTAGTCTTATAATCATACACATGTTGTTATTGGTTCCCCGTGTTTTCGCGCATACCATTGAGGTTACAGAGCGGCGCGAGCGGTGAAGAGGTGGAGAAGAGCGGAAGATGTACAGTGAAATCCCGTTACTCAGGATATTACCGTTACCATTAAACTCGTTATATGTACATGTCTGTAAAATATACAGATGTGAATTTCGTCTTAATTGAAACATTGATTGAAACAGACTTATTTCAAGTAATAAACTAATAACCTTGACTTTCAATTCGACAAATACGACCGGAAGCACAGGACATAATCACGCGTTTCGTTTTCTTGCACTGTATATCAGTTTGTCGCTTTTTAATTTTTATTATTACATTAAACTTAAAATGTAAATACTATTGCAGACATTTCAGAATCCTAGCGGATTATCTGTCTGGGTGTATAAATGTTTAGGACTTATACCATTCATGCATCAGGGTAAGAAAATCTGTAATTCTGATTTTCGAGTACGTTATCATATACATGTATATTACCCACTGACTTAAAGAATGAAAATGAAAAAAACACACGAAAACAGTAGAACGAAACTTAGGCGAAGTCAGCCTAAAGATTGGATGACGTAATTCTACAAATTATGTCGTCATGATACCGAACAATGGAACAAATCGACGGCATGTCGTTTCAATTTATGAATCAAAACCGGTAATCGCAGGATGGGATATATAAATATTTGTAATTGTAAGTAAGTTTGGTTTAACGCCGCTTTTAACAGTATTCCAGTTACATCCCTCGTGTCAACTTAATGTGGGAGGAAAGCCCGAAGTGATGCAGGTCTCAGATGTCAACCACTGCGGTGAAACCAACGGGTATGGTGCTGACAAACCTAGAAACATAATCGGGGCGAACCGGGGTTGGAACCCACAATCATAGGTTTCTGGCGTGCCCAAGGGACGCAACTCTGGCGGCGCCTTGGACGATTGGCCCACACGTGCTCCCAAATGCTTTTAAACATTCGAGTCCCATATAGTGCATAATTATGTTTCAGGTTCCTCTGTCCACCGAGGATGCACAGGTGACTATCCCGCGTGGGATGCGGCGTCCTCTGTTAACCTGACCTGCAGAGAAATAGATCGACATTTTCTGTGTTTCTGTTTGGGAGATCGCTGTAACAAGGAAGATATGACGTCACATATTTCCTGAAATGAGTGGATGATTAATGCACATAATGCCATGGATTTGTTATGTTCATCTCATTGTGTGTATGTGTATGTTTCAATGTGTGTGTTCGTTGATTTGATAATCTTCATCAGCTGTACCACTATTCTGATGATTGAGATATTTATTGCCATTTTATCGTTTTGTAACTGCTGTGGGACTGTGGATAACAATGTGCTTCGAAACGATCAGGTCACACCACACACGCAATTTGTGTTGTGTTATCTATTTTCTATACTAATAAGACGCGGCTAAAATAACGTTTACTGTTTTCATTTTTAGTCACCATCTTTCCAATTCACCCATATCGGAAACTGCAATTATTAACAACTATCTTGTTCTTTTTGAGACCCGTGGAGATCCGGGTAGAGAATAAGACTTCAGTAACCCATACTTGCCGTAACAGGCGACGATGGTTGTCGTAAGAGGCGACTAAGGGGATCGGGTGGTCAGGTTCGCTGACTTGGTTGTTTCATGTCATCCTATCCCAATTGCGTAAAATGATGCTCATGATGTCAAGCACTGGATTGTCTGGTCCAGACTTGATTATTTCCAGACCACCGTCATATAGCTGGAATATTAAGTGAGGCGTTAAACAGCAAAGAACGAAAAAACCAACAAATAATTTTGACAGCCCCTTCTCATGACCAGCTTTAACTGACAAATTGCAGAGAATACACTTAACACATGCAATTCACATTCAATAAATATTTTCAGAAGTTTTAAATGGAGAGAACAAGAGTAAAGAGTTTGTTCATCACAATAGGCGTCAGTGAAGTACTTAGCGACCCTGAAGCAGGTCAAGGTCACTTTGAGGATTTATCCCCCCAAGGCGATCCGTGGTTTGGCTCATCGTTCACAGACAAAACACTAGCCTTTTAGAGAAGGATAAAAACACCATATCTCTGACAGATTCTTTGAAGTTTGAATATGACACGAATCATATAGTTTCGGATATAGCCGCGTAACATCTCTTGACCGAAAGTCACGTCTGACTGTCAACTAGCTTTTGGTCATAACAAGTCCTGGTCGGTGGAGTAGTCTTGATACTAAAGAATTTGTCTCGTAACCTCAATTCCCAGGTTCGATTTCCCACGTGGGTAAAATGTGTGATTTTCATGATTTATGTCTCCTGCTGTGATGTGTTTGAATATTGCTAAGAGCGGCGAAAACGTTTTTTCACTCATTCTGTAATTATTTTTCTATATATGATATTTTCACTGATGCCATAATTGTAATTATTTTGACAGCATAATATATATTTTATCATTTATCAATAATTATGTTTTGATTCCATCACTACCATCATGTGAATGTGTGACAGAGGCTCGACTATGGCAATCCTGGTGTCATTGGCGTTTTTATGCACATGTAGCTTTTACAACGAGAATCCATAACACTTTGGTATTGTTTATGTTTTAAAAAGGAATATCATATATGACAAGAATATACGGGCAATAAATATCTGATGTCACATTAAGTTTGATGTAATCTTTTTGGGGTCGCTTTCATTTTGTTTGGTTCTTGTCATGTTACACTAAATAGGCAAGGTATTGTAAATATGGCCTTATGGTAATTGAATAGAAAGTACAATGGCATGCATTTCTATATTTTTAAATAATTGCCACTAATAATTGACATAAATAATAACAACGAGAACGAGAACAACAACAACAACAACAATAATAATACAATAATAATGTACATGACAAAATAAAGTCACCACTGTTGTGTTTCATTACACCTGATTGCCGGAAAATCTATCTATAAAGGTAAAAAGATAAATTAGATAAAAAAAAAACTATAGGGGAATTACACTAACATCATGTCTGGGAAAACTATTTGAAAATGTAATTTTACAACGATTGGAAGAATGGTGTAAGGTACATTGTCCATCTTTTCCAGACCCTCAACAATTAGGATTTCGAAAAGAGCATGGTTCCATCGTGTCTGCCTTTACATTACATGAATGTGTTAATTATTATTTATCCAGGAAATCACCCGTCTATGGAGCCTTCCTGGACAATGAAAAGGCCTTTGATCGTATTTGGCATGCTGGTCTATTTGTAAAACTGTATGACTTAGGCATTAAGGGGAAGATGTGGCATCTTCTCTATCAAAGTTACAGCACTAGTAGTTCATATGTCACCTGTTGGGTGAAATATCACATACTTTTCCTGTTGAGCAGGGTGTCGGGCAAGGACGAGTATTTTCTTCGTGGCTCTTTCTTGTTTATTTTAATGATCTGATCTGTGAACTGAGAAGAAAAGATTGTGGTATTATTGTATACGGACTAAAAGTCCCAGTTGTTATGCTTGCTGATGACACTTCATTAGTCACCGCAACACCTGTAGGTCTACACGTTGCTCTTAACACTGTTACACAGTATGCTTATGATTGGAGATTAACTTACAATGTCACTAAAAGCCAAACTGTTATATTCAGTAGATTGGATTCCCAACATAATCCCTTCAAATTTCAACTGTGTAGTGTTCCTATTAATACATCAGATGTAAACGGAAGGCTCACAGTGAACTCACTCAAATCTGTAGGATTAAAAAGCTATGATCTCCACCCGATTGTATGTGTTAAAATATGGCACCAAATGGTTCTCTCTACTAGCTTCTATGCGTGTGAGCTACTAAGCGGCATATGTGGTAAAGATACGATTCAGATAGAGAAGGTTCAAAGGCACTTTGCCAGAGTGATCCAAGGTCTAGACCAAAAAATCATCAACTGACTCAACCATAGGAAATCTTGGAATGTGGACGCTAACTGGATACAAAGACAAATGCAGGCAACTACTCCTCGGAAGACTGTGTACAAACTCTTCTTCTCTCCTATGAAACATATTACATATTATATGTGCATACTTAGCCTTAGTCAATGCTCATAATATCAAAACTAGCACTAGCATATGTCACACAATGATATTAACTGCTGGTAAACATAACCTTTAAAATGTCATTTTGAACTTTATCTGTACTGGAATATCTACTTGTAAAAAGAATGGAAAAGAATTGTAGGTGATGCAATATCCTCATACGAAGAAGGTAGGTGGAAACTCAGACTGTCACTGAGAGAGGATCTGGTCTGATACAGGTCAGTCCCCTCTAAACTTAAACTACATGTATTATGGAAACTAGCACTAACTTATCCTCATCTTAGGTATTGCATCCAATATTCCCTTAAGATAGCTTCCCGATCCATTACATCACGCGAATGTTCTAAATGTGGCAGACATGCCTATGATTATGACAAACATGTACTTCTACACTGTGAATATTTTATAAAGGATCGAAATAAATTCTTGTCCACGCTCATTGACAAACTGGATATCGAAAGTTATGTTCAAAATGAACTTCTGGAAGAGAATGATATGCTCGCACTATTCTGAGGCTCAGTGAACATACAGTCTGGAATAATGAACCAGTGTACATGGGAAAACATATAATTAATATTCTGTGAATATGTCTTAAATTTCAGAAATGTATTAGATTAACCCCAAACTAATAATGTATCGTAATAGAGCTCACTTGTGTACAAAGTTAACGACGAAAATATATATATATATGTGTGTGTGTGTGTGTGTGTGTGTGTGTGTGTGTGTGTGTAAGTGTATATATATATATATATATATATATATATATATATATATATATATATATATATATATATATATGTATTTTATGTGTTAATAATGCACCCATTTATATAAATACTAGCACAATACATTTGCTCTGAGAATATCAGAGATTTGTAAATCTTCGGGTGTAACTTCTGGAGGAAATAAAGGAACCCAGTATTTCATAATGTACATGACAAAATAAAGTCACCATCATTACACGTGATTGACAGAAATAGGTAATTAAAAAGTCCAAATCTAATACGGCGCCTGGGCCTAATGGTATTCGAAACCGGTTTTGGAAACTGTCCAAACACAATTACTTCACTGTATAAATTATCTTGTGGATACAGGGGATGTTCCTCCATGGTTCTGCAAAGGTCAAACAATACTTCTCCCAAAGAAAGGTGATTTGACTGATCCCAAAAACTTCCGCCCTATTACTTGTCTAAATACAGAATACAAAATATTTACAGGGTGTCTCACACATATTGTGTCATCATACAGCGCACCCAATGACATTATTTACTTGGAGCAGAAAGGAGCTAGAAAGGGATGTTGGGGTTGTAAGGGTCAACTTCTAGTTCGGAAAATGATCCTTGAAGAGGCTAAAACTTACCACCGTAACCTCTCAAAGTGTTGGATAGACTACAGAAAAGCTTATGATTCTGTACCACACAAATGGATTTTAAGGTCACTGGAATGTATTGACTTCCCCGAGCGACTACTTGTTTTACTCAAGTCTTTAATGAATTGCTGGTCCACTCAACTTGCGATGTATTCGCAGGGGCAGTTGGTGACTTCGGAACCCATTTCTATCAGAAGAGGAATATTTCAGGGCGTTTCTTTTAGCCCTTTGCTTTTCTGTTTGTCACTAAATCCTTTAAGCTTTTTGCTCAGCAAAGATGAAGGTTATCACCCGGGACCTCCTAAGCACAGATCCCCAACACCCCTCACTCACCTCATTTACATGGATGACCTTGAACGTATTGCCAATGGAGGATCTACACTCATAAAACAGATTCTGCTTGTCGAGTTTTTTTCTAATGATATCAGCATGTCCTTTGGACTTGACAAATGCAACATTCTTCATTTGAAACGTGGCAAGGTAGAAGAGGGAGGATCAGTCAGTTTACTTGGAGGAGGAGTTATTGACCATCTTGTGGAAGGTCAGGCCTATACGTACTAAGAGAGGCAGATTAGGGACAAACTCCAGAATGCCCATATCAAGGGCGAACTTCGGGCAGAGTACAAATGTAGACTTAAGAAAATCTGGAGTTCAGAGCTGAACGCTCGCAATAAAGTCAAAGCCACAAATACGTATGCTGTGCCCGTCCTTTCGTATTCTTTTGGTGTTGTTGATTGGACGAAACAAGAAATTCAAGGTATTGACATCCTCACATGAAGAATCATGTCAGACAATAGATCCCACCACCTCTCTCTTCCCTCAATCATTTATACTTACCAATTATGATGGGAGGGTGTGGTTTGATTAATGTGGAGGCTCTTCGTGATGGAATTGTTTTGTGCACTTTTACACACATCTATTTGTCTGATGATCCTCTTGTGAAGCATGTCAATACTCATGATGAAAACAAGGTTTTCTAAAACGAGCCAAGGATGTGGGACATAATCTCAATGTCGGTGTTGATTTTGTTGATGGTTCTGTACTGCTGGACGGTACGGAAATGAATGGCAACCAAACGAAGTGCCATATCAAATCGGCCCACACTCAGTTTTTAAAGGAGAGGCTATCTGAACGCCCACTGCATCGAGTTTATGTGCAGGGTGTTGAGAAGATCAGCAATCCTGCAGAATCCTTCGCTTGGATGAAGTCGTCTGGCCTGAAAAGTGAAACAGAAGGCTTTCTGTTTGCTGCTCAGGACCAGTCACTTCCAACTCGAAACCGTCAATGTGTGATTTTGCATCAAAATGTGAATATGAAATGTGGATTATGCAATGAATTTAATGAGACTGTCCAACACATTGTGAGTGGATGCCCAGCTTTGGCACAAACGCAGTATCTTAAGCCACATGATGGGGTGGCTCGTTCATTTTATTACCGTCTTCGGAATGATTGTGGTTTTGACACAGAGGTCCATCCATGGTACGACTCTGAACATGTAGAGGGCGTCATGAAAAATTATAAATACAAAATCCTTTGGAATAGGCCCGTATACAACATCAGACATATCCAGGCCAACAAACCTGATCTTGTCCTTTTTTTGATAAATCCAGTGAAATCATTTATATCTTTTAATTTAATTTTCTTTCCCTTTTGACAGTAATGTGATTGACACGATTCAGGAAAAACGTGGCAAATATGCAGACCTCGCTTTCTAAATGTCACTCTTGCATCCCAAGTACCATGTTGTCCGACTCCCCATAGTTCTCGGTGCCTCAGGTTTGGTACCTCCCAATCTGTTGACCGACATTGGGAGAGTATCCGGGTTTCCTACCAGGAATACAGTCCTTCTGACAATCTGGGTAATGCAGAAGGCTGCAGTGTTGGGGAGTCTGCACATTCTCCGAAAAGTTCTGGGTGTGTTTGACTAGGCAGCGCTTTCTGGGAGACGTCCCATTCGCTGTCTGGGCTGCGTGTAGAGGGGGCAAGGAGCCTGAGCTGACGAAGTCGTATTTGTATTTGATCCTACATTAACTGATTACACCTTGGAATGGAATAGTCTTTATTGGTAAACTACTTCTTCTAATTTTGTCTTGGGCCACAGACATTCTTATACTAAAGCATGATTTTTCCACCAAGATTTCAAGGAGCGTCATACGACTCTTGCTCAGAGGTTGTTTAATCAAGGTTATGACATTCAAGGTCTCAGTAAAGCTTTCAAATGGTTTTATTGTGGACATGTGGAGGACATTCCAAATGTGGCGCATCTAGACAAAAATGATGTCCGATGCAATTCCCTCTTTTGACTTGTGCCATATGTACCCGTGTTTGTTCAAGTGATCAATTGACTTGTCATTGCATGTGTTTGTGACAAGTGCCACCGGTGGGGCAGGATAACCTAATCTTTTCGCGAACACCTGGAATCATCACTAAATGATAGTGATTCATAAACACATGTTTATGATATAGTGGCAATCCTACAACAAACCCTGCTTTTAGCAGATATTTCTTATGATTTTGGAAATGTTTTCGTTGTTAATACGTACAACATACGATCAAGTCTCGGAATGTGAAAGTGCTGGTTGTCCACCAATAACATATCATATTTCAACGTTTTCCCATAATTATCAAATTTGACATTTCAATGCTCGATACCCCCTTGCTTTGAATTATCAGACAGTTGAAAATTAAAAGCAGCATTATGTAAAAAAGAAATAATTTCTTTTCTCTCTCTTAAGAACAAACAAGGGGAGATGTTACACTACCAACATCACAACCTACATTCACTGCAAGTGCAACTACGGATGTTTCAACAATTTCTACTTCCACGACTACTGAAATCTCCAACTTAACTTCAACGGCTTCAACAACGACACAGTCTTCTTTCTCTTCAACGACAACCACGCCTGCGACATCGGAAGGTAAGTGTCTTACTCTGAAGGAAGCATTTACTCAATTTTTATGCCACATTATTGGCGAGAAATAGATACATTCTGACTGGTGCGTTTCACAATACAACAGCAAGTCAAGTCAAGTCGTTAACATGGACTAACACTATCAATTATTCATACACGGAAGTTTCGGGGTGTATTTTCCCCGTTGCTGCAGTTTTACGCCTTTTCCATGTGTGTATTGATTTCGAAAATGCATTCTTCGTGAAATCGAAGTCGTATTTGTATTTGATTCTGCATTAACTGATTACACCTTAAAAGGAATAGTCCTTATTGGTAAACTACTTCTTCTAATTTTGTCTTGGGCCACAGACATTCTTATAATTATTTTGGATTTTGAAGTGGGAAAAAATCCCTTAAGTTATAATTCATGTAGCTCATATAATTCCAAAACATCTATATTTAAAAGAAACATTGTCAGTAATAGGATCACGGTGAAAAACATTTGAAATACTCCCTTACCTTTAAGTTTGTAACTTTTACTAGACTGAATGATTTTTGAAGAAATCATACATCGTCCAAACATAACATTGGTAAATGTTCTATTGCCTGTTATTGGACAAATAATCCGCTTACACGAGACATTGAAATGAAATTGACGCAGCCAAACTCTATGTGGTGGTTGACAAATATGGACATATATTCCTTTAATACCAAATAAAGAAGTTCATTCCAGAGACAGTTACGTTTCCATTTTCAAAGTTACATTTGAAGTATTAAATAAACAACTTTATCCAATGGTTGTTTTAATCTTGTAGGTTGCATCCGCAAGTGCATTTCGTGCACGTCTCACAACACCCGGTGTCCAGCCAACGGCATGATAGTCGAGGGCGACCCTGGAGAAGTGATCGACTGTCCATGTAATACTGCCTGCTACTCTGACATCCGATACGATGACGGTGAGCATTGTAACATTCGTGACCACTCGTATTATTCCAGGACATACCCGTGAAGATCCGGGGTAGAATAGGTCTTCAGCAACCCATGCTTGCCGAAAAAGACGACTATGCTTGTCGTAAGAGGCGACTAACGGGATCGGGTGGTCAGGCTAGCTGTCTTGGTTGATGCATGCCATCAGATCCCAATCACGTAGATCGATGTTCATGATGTAAATCACTGGATTGTCTGGTCCAGACTCAATTATTAACAGATCACCGTCATATAGCTGGAATATTGTTGAGTGCGGCGTCAAACAACAAACAAAACAAACAATCATTCCAGGACGTGACCATTTTATTAACTTTGTTCCGTCTTCGCGCAAACGGACACAGCGAAAAGACTAGTCCACTTGTTGTACCACATCCGCCTTTGTGTTGTAAGGTTGCGTGGAAACTTGCTAAATTCTAACGAGTTTATCATTTAAAAGTACTTGTTATTCAGCATATATGAACAATTATGACTGTCACTTTGGTGTATTTTAAAATGTAAACTGTAAAACCTTTAAACACTACGGAGAGATTCTTTGACAAAAGCACTAGTCTTATAATCAAACACGTTGTTATTGGTTGCCCGTGTTTTCGCGCATACCATTGAGGTTACAGAGCGGCGCGAGCGGTGAAGAGGTGGAGAAGAGCGGAAGATGTACAGTGAAATCCCGTTACTCAGGATATTACCGTTACCATTAAACTCGTTATATGTACATGTCTGTAAAATATACAGATGTGAATTTCGTCTTAATTGAAACATTGATTGAAACAGACTTATTTCAAGTAATAAACTAATAACCTTGACTTTCAATTCGACAAATACGACCGGAAGCACAGGACATAATCACGCGTTTCGTTTTCTTGCACTGTATATCAGTTTGTCGCTTTTTAATTTTTATTATTACATTAAACTTAAAATGTAAATACTATTGCAGACATTTCAGAATCCTAGCGGATTATCTGTCTGGGTGTATAAATGTTTAGGACTTATACCAGGGTAAGAAAATCTGTAATTCCGATTTTCGAGTACGTTATCATATACATGTATAGTACCCACTGACTTAAAGAATGAAAATGAAAAAACACACGAAAACAGTAGAACGAAACTTAGGCGAAGTCAGCCTAAAGATTGGATGACGTAATTCTACAAATTATGTCGTCATGATACCGAACAATGGAACAAATCGACGGCATGTCGTTTCAATTTATGAATCAAAACCGGTAATCGCAGAATGGGATATATAAATATTTTTAATTGTAAGTAAGTTTGGTTTAACGCCGCTTTCAACGGTATTCCAGTTACAACCCTCGTGTCAACTTAATGTGGGAGGAAAGCCCGAAGTGATGCAGGTCTCAGATGTCAACCACTGCGGTGAAATCAACTAGTATGGTGCTGACAAACCTAGAAACATAATCGGGGCGAACCGGGGTTGGAACCCTTAATCATAGGTTTCTGGCGTACCCAAGGGACGCAACTCTCGCGGCGCCTTGGACGATTGGCCCACACGTGCTCCCAAATGCTTTTAAACATTCGAGTCCCATATAGTGCATAATTATGTTTCAGGTTCCTCTGTCCACCGAGGATGCACAGGTGACTATCCCGCGTGGGATGCGGCGTCCTCTGTTAACCTGACCTGCAGAGAAATAGATCGACATTTTCTGTGTTTCTGTTTGGGAGATCGCTGTAACAAGGAAGATATGACGTCACATATTTCCTGAAATGAGTGGATGATTAATGCACATAATGCCATGGATTTGTTATGTTCATCTCATTGTGTGTATGTGTATGTTTCAATGTGTGTGTTCGTTGATTTGATAATCTTCATCAGCTGTACCACTATTCTGATGATTGAGATATTTATTGCCATTTTATCGTTTTGTAACTGCTGTGGGACTGTGGATAACAATGTGCTTCGAAACGATCAGGTCACACCACACACGCAATTTGTGTTGTGTTATCTATTTTCTATACTAATAAGATGCTGCTAAAATAACGTTTACTGTTTTCATTTTTAGTCACCCTCTTTCCAATTCATCTATATCGGAATCGACGATTATTAACAACTATCTTGTTCTTTTTGAGACCCGTGGAGATCCGGGTAGAGAATAAGACTTCAGTAACCCATACTTGCCGTAACAAGCGACAATGGTTGTCGTAAGAGGCGACTAAGGGGATCGGGTGGTCAGGTTCGCTGATTTGGTTGTTTCATGTCATCCTATCCCAATTGCGTAAAATGATGCTCATGATGTCAAGCACTGGATTGTCTGGTCCAGACTTGATTATTTCCAGACCACCGTCATATAGCTGGAATATTGAGTGAGGCGTTAAACAACAAAGAACGAAAAAACCAACAAATAATTTTGACAGCCCCTTCTCATGATCAGCTTTAACTGACAAATTGCAGAGAATACACTTAACACATGCAATTTACATTCATTAAGTTTTAAATGGAGAGAACAAGAGTAAAGGGTGTATTCATCACAATAGGCCTCAGTGCAGTATTTGGCGACCCTGGAGCAGGTCAAGGTCACTTTGAGGATTTATCCCCCCAAGGCGATCCGTTGTGGAAACAACTAACATTGTTCGGCTCATCATTCACAGACAAAACATTAGCCTTTCGGAGAAGGATAAAAACATCATATCTCTGATAGGTTCTTTGTAGTATGAATATGACACGAACCATACAGTATCGCATATGGCCGCGTAACATCTGTTGACCGAAAGTCACGTGAGACTGTCAACTTACTAGCCTTTGGTCATAACAAGTCCTGGGGCCACTTGCACAAAACGATCTTAGCTCTAAGACTATTGTAAGCCTATGTTAAAGTATGGGAGTTAAGATCATCTTAGCGCTAAGATCGCTTTGTGCAAGTGGGCCCTGGTCGGTGGAATAGCCTTGATACTAAAGAATTTTTCTCGTAACGTCGATTCCCAGGTTCGATTTCCCACGTGGGTAAAATGTGTGATTCCCATGATTTATGTCTCCTGCTGGAATATTGCTAAGAGCGTTTTTTTTCACTTTCTGCAATTATTTTACTATGTGTGATTTTTTCGCTGATGCCATGATTGTTATAATCTTGACAGCATAATATATATTTTATCATTTATTAATAACTGTATTTTGATTCCATCATTACCATCATTTATCTGTAAATATGTGACCGAGGCTCGACTATGGCAATACTGGTGTCATTGGCGTATGTATTCAATGTAACATTTACAACGAGAATCCATTACACTTTGGTATTGTTTATGTTTTTAAAAGGGATATCAGACATGACAAGAATATACGGGCAATAAATATGTGATGTCACATTGAGTTTGATTTCATCTTTTTTTGGTCGCTTTCATTTTGTTTGGTTCTTGTCATGTTACAGTAAATAGGCAAGGCATTGTAAATATGGCCTTATGGTAATTAAATAGAAAGTACATGCATTTCTATATTTTTAAATAATTGCCACTAATAATTGACATTAATAATAACAACAAGAACGAGAACAAGAACAACAACAATAATAATAATACAATAATAATGTACATGACAAAATAAAGTCACCACTGTTGTGTTTCATTACACCTGATTGCCGGAAAATCTATCTATAAAGGTAAAAAGATAAATTATATAAAAAAAAAACTATAGGGGAATTACACTAACATCATGTCTGGGAAAACTATTTGAAAATGTAATTTTACAACGATTGGAAGAATGGTGTAAGGTACATTGTCCATCTTTTCCAGACCCTCAACAATTCGGATTTCGAAAAGAGCATGGTTCCATCGTGTCTGCCTTTACATTACATGTATGTGTTAATTATTATTTATCCAGGAAATCACCCGTCCATGGAGCCTTCCTGGACAATGAAAAGGCCTTTGATCGTATTTGGCATGCTGGTCTATTTGTAAAACTGTATGACTTAGGCATTAAGGGGAAGATGTGGCATCTTCTCTATCAAAGTTACAGCACTAGTAGTTCATATGTCACCTGCTGTGGTGAAATATCACATACTTTTCCTGTTGAGCAGGGTGTCGGGCAAGGACGAGTATTTTCTTCGTGGCTCTTTCTTGTTTGTGTTAATGATCTGATCTGTGAACTGAGAAGAAAAGATTGTGGTATTATTGTATGCGGACTAAAAGTCCCAGTTGTTATGCTTGCTGATGACACTACATTAGTCACCGCCTCACCTGTAGGTCTATACGTTGCTCTTAACACTGTTACACAGTATGCTTATGATTGGAGATTAACTTACAATGTCACTAAAAGCCAAACTGTTATATTCAGTAGATTGGATTCCCAACATAATCCCTTCAAATTTCAACTGTGTAGTGTTCCTATTAATACATCAGATTGTGTAACAAATGGGGGAGTCATTCTAAACACAAAACTGACATGTACAAATATGATAGTGCGATATTGCGAAAAAACGCAAGGCTCACAGTGAACTCACTCAAATCTGTAGGATTAAATAGCTATGATCTCCACCCGATTGTATGTGTTAAAATATGGCACCAAATGGTTCTCTCTACTAGCTTCTATGCGTGTGAGCTGCTAAGCGGCATATGTGGTAAAGATACGATTCAGATAGAGAAGGTTCAAAGGCACTTTGCCAGAGTGATCCACGGTCTAGACCAAAAAATCATCAACTGACTCAACCATAGGAAATCTTGGAATGTGGACGCTGACTGGATACATAGACAAATGCAGGCAACTTCTCCTCGGAAGACTGTGTACAAACTCTTCTTCTCTCCTATGAAACATATTACATATTATATGTGCATACTTAGCCTTAGTCAATGCTCATAATATCAAAACTAGCACTAGCATATGTCACACAATGATATTAACTGCTGGTAAACATAACCTTAAAAATGTCATTTTGAACTTTATCTGTACTGGAATATTTACTTGTAAAAAGAATGGAGAAGAGTTGTAGGTGATGCAATATCCTCATATGAAGAAGGTAGGTGGAAACTCAGACTGTCATTGGGAGAAGATCTGGTCCGATACAGGTCAGTCCCCTCTAAACTAAAACTACATGTATTATGGAAACTAGCACTAACTTATCCTCATCTTAGGTATTGCATCCAATATTCCCTTAAGATAGCTTCCCGATCCATTACATCACGCGAATGTTCTAAATGTGGCAGACATGCCTATGATTATGACAGACATGTACTTCTACACTGTGAATATTTTATAAAGGATCGAAATAAATTCTTGTCCACGCTCATTGACAAACTGAAATGTATTAGATTAACCCCAAACTAATAATGTATCGTAATAGAGCTCACTTGTGTACAAAGTTAACGACGAAAATATATATATATATATGTGTGTGTGTGTGTGTGTGTGTGTGTGTGTGTGTGTGTGTGTGTGTGTGTGTGTGTGTGTGTGTGTGTGTATATATGTATATGTATTTTATGTGTTAATAATGCACCCATTTATATAAATACTAGCACAATGCATTTGCTCTGAGAATATCAGAGATTTGTAAATCTTCGGATGTAACTTCTTGAGGAAATAAAGGAATCCATTCATTAATAATGTACATGACAAAATAAAGTCACCATTGTTGTGTCTCATTACACGTGATTGACTGAAATAGGTAAAAAGTCCAAATCTAATACGGCGCCTGGGCCTAATGGAATTCGAAACCGGTTTTGGAAACTGCCTAAACACCATTACTTCACTGTATAAATTATCTTGTGGATACAGGGGATGTTCCTCCATGGTTCTGCAAAGGTCAAACAATACTTCTCCCAAAGAAAGGTGATTTGACTGATCCAAAAAACTTCCGCCCTATAACTTGTCTAAATACAAAATACAAAATATTTACAGGGTGTCTCACACATATTGTGCCATCATACAGCGCACCCAATGTCATTATTTACATGGAGCAGAAAGGAGCTAGAAAGGGAAGTTGGGGTTGTAAGGGTCAACTACTAGTTCAGAAAATGATCCTTGAAGAGGTTAAAACTTACCACCGTAACCTCTCAAAGTGTTGGATAGACTACAGAAAAGCTTATGATTCTGTACCTCACGAATGTATTTTGAAGTCTCAGAATGACCTCCCCGAGCGACTACTTGTTTTACTCAAGTCTTTAATGAATCGCTGGTCCACTCAACTTGCGATGTATTCGCAGGGGCAGGTGGTGACTTCGGAACCCATTTCTATCAGAAGAGGGATATTTCAGGGCGATTCTTATAGCCCCTTTGCTTTTCTGTTTGTCACTAAATCCTTTAAGCATTTTGCTCAGCAAAGATGAAGGTTATCACCCGGGACCTCCTAAGCACAGATCCCCAACACCCCTGGCCGCCTTTACATGGATGACCTTGAACGTATTGCCAATGGAGGATCTACACTAAAAAAACAGATTCTGCTTGTCGAGTCCTTTTCTAATGATATCGGCATGTCCTTTGGACTTGACAAATGCAACATTCTTCATTTGAAACGTGGCAAGGTAGAAGAGGGAGGATCAGTCAGTCTACATGGAGGAGGAGTTATTGACCATCTTGTAGAAGCTCAGGCCTATACGTACTTAGGGATGAGGATTAGGGACAAACTCCAGAGTTCAGAGCTGAACGCTCGCAATAAAGTCAAAGCCACAAATACGTATGCTGCGCCCGTCCTTTCGTATTCTTTTGGTGTTGTTGATCGGACCAAACAAGAAATTGAGGGTATTGACACCCTCACACGAAGAATCATGTCAGACAATAGATCCCACCACCCTCGCTCTTCCCTCAATCACTTATATTTACCAATTATGAGGGGTGGACGTGGTTTGATTAATGTGGAGGCTCTTCATAATGGACGGTACAGAAATGAATGTCAACCGAGCGACGTGCCATGTCAAATCGGCCCAGACTCAGTTTTTAAAGGAGAGGCTTTCTACACGAGCACTGCATCGAGTTTATGTGCAGTGTGTTGAGAAGATCAGCAATCCTGCAGAGTCCTTCGCTCGGATGAAGTCGTCTGGCCTGAAAAGTGAATCAGAAGGCTTTCTGTTTGCTGCTCGGGACCAGTCACTTCCCACACGAAACCGTCAATGTGTGATTTTGCATCAAAATGTGAATATGAAATGTACATTATGCAATGAATTTAATGAGACTGTCCAACACATTGTGAGTGGATGCCCAGCTTTGGCACAAACACAGAATCTTAAGCGACATGTTGGAGTTGCTCGATCATTTTATTACCGTCTTCGCAATGCTTGTGGTTTTGACACAGAGGTCCATCCATGGCACGACCCTGAGTATGTAGAGGGCGTCATGGAAAATGATAAATACAAAATCCTTTGGAATAGGCCCGTATACAGCCTCAGACATATCCAGGCCAACAAACCTGATCTTGTCCTTTTTGATAGATCCAATGAAATCATTTATTTCTTTGAATTTTCTGTCCCTTTTGACAGTGATGTGATTGACAATATTGAGGAAAAACATTGCAAATATGCAGACCTCGCTTTCGAAATGTCACGCTTGCATCCCAAGTACCAAGTTGTCCGACTCCCCATTGTTCTCGGTGCCTTAGGTTTGGTACCTCCAAATCTGTTGACTGACATTGGGAGAGTACCCGTTGCTCCTACCAGGAAAACAGCCCTTCTGACAATCTTGGTAATGCAGAAGGCTGCAGTGTTGGGGAGTCTTCACATTCTCCGAAAAGTTCTGGGCGTGTTTGACTAGGCAGCGCTTCCTGGGAGAAGTCCCCATTCGCTGTCTGGGCTGCGTGCAGAGGGGGCAAGGGCCCTGAGCTGATGATGAGCCTAACCAGCCTGACTGTGCCAGGGTCACCCAAACCCTCTTTGCTGCATTTAAAAAAAATTTAATCGGAAAATAATAATAAATATATAATAATAATAATATCTGAAAGAGTTCGTTCTAGATCTTACCATGGCATGTACATGGCATGCGACTACAAGAGCATTCTTAAGCTTGAGCTTAGTCCTACACACACCTTTACCTTAAGTGGATATTGGTTGAATTGTGTCATCCAGCTCAGCCACGACAGACAAGTGACTGGCTAAACTGTAACACCCATGCTAGGACACACCGATGATAAAAAAACACAATACACAGAGGGCGTGCTCTCGTTCATTGCTTTGAATCCGCCGACCTTGTACTCTCGATATAAGTATTTAAGGTTCTTGTCTTGTCATGTTCCGGGTTCGAGTAAGCTATTCTATGTCACGGGGTATTGCGTTTGGTGTAACACAGATATGCTTCATCTTTAATCTTTTCATCATAGATACGCGTCGTTTCGCGCTTCATGTGCAGTGTGAACAGTTGTTTTGGAGAAAGCAGGTTAGAGTTGCCTGTCATTTGTAAAAGATCCGGACAATATAAACAGATCGACGAAGAGGATTAAAAAGGACGCGAGCGGGGATTTGAAACATAATACTTTTTTTAGTTGCCTAATTGCATAGAGACATTGTCAATACAAAGCCAATGCCCAGTGACCATATCATGGGTTTTCCAAATGATGTAAGCTCTATACTGGCGAATCTTTCCCCACCCGTATTCTTGGATATACGCTGTGTCTATTTTTACGTTCAGATCACGGAATGAAGTGCTGATGACATTCGCGATGGCAATGACTGTTCGGTGAAGGTGGGCAGTTCTGTGTGAAACCAGTGATCGTTGTGTGGATGTGGACATCAATATTCCTAGGATAACCTGACATATTTTGTATATGTAACAGCGCTATTTGATGTGATGACGAATGAACTACTCTTGTCCTAAAACTTCGGACATCAAAGCGTTTCAACGGATTCCCTACAAACATGTCTCACCATACAGGGAGGATCAGCAGCTTCTCACTTAGTCCTACTGGTGCGGCCATGCCAGATGTTGTCATCAACGGGTCTGGGTTCGACGCTAGACAGGATGGTGGTATGTCCACTTTTGGAGATGAGTCAGTGACGAGTCAATCCTCACAGAGCAGTGCGCCGTACCTTCATGTAAATAATATGGTAAGCCACGTTGTTGTGTCTTTCCTATTGCTGCTGCTGGGGCTACTGTGGGTGGAACACTTGTTCTACTGATGCTACTACCATCACTGTATTCTGCTGATGCGGTTGCTATTTCTGTTACTACTACTACTACTACTACTACTACTACTACTACTACTACTACTACTACTACTACTACTGACTTGGTCGATGCATGTCATCGATCCCAATTGCGTAGATCGATGCTCATGATGCCAATCACTGGATTGTCTGGATTGACTCGATTATTTACCATCTTCCCGAGGCAAGAGAGTTAACTGACTATACAAGTCCAGTTTCCACCCTTGCCGAACTAGGCTGGTATTATGGTGTTACATTTTGGCTGGACTAAATTAGCTGAATTTATGCATAGTCCAATCAAAATCGCGCACCGAAATCGAAATCCGGTTCGTAAAACTGTCGTGTAGATTTTGGTCGATAGCAGGATTTGCAAAACATGTGCACCGCCAACTCATTGTCAGCAGATATTTTCTAAATCTTTTTATGCTATGAATTTCCTTTTGTGAAACTGTACTGTGATAATCATATAGGCAACACAAAGAGTATTTCAGAAAGGAATTAAATGTGTCATGGTGCAAGGTATATTCTTTGTGTGGTGTCTTAACGTGTCTTATGTTACTTGTCTTAAAAAGCGACAAGACGTAAATGATATCAGTACAGTACAGCGTCATGCCGGTTCGTTCGTGAACACCTGGATTCACCATCTCTGCTTGACACTGCTTCATGGCGGTAACGGGTCGCTAGTCCAGTAGGTTACGTTTCAGTTCGATTTCCCCCAAACCAGGGTTCAATACCCCACAGGGACACAGTGTGTACAGCCTTTCACGTTAACCCGTTAACTCACTCGCTAGTGTAGACTAGGTCTCCAGCAATCAATGCTTGCCGAAAAAGGCGACTATTAAAGTCGTAAGAGGCAACTAACAGGATCGGGTGATCAGGTACTCATGATGTCAATCACTGGATTGTCATTTACTGACCGCCGTCATATAGCTAGAATATTGCTGATCATGGCGATAGTGTAGTTTCCTGTTCAGTTGTAACTTTGATTTTGTTGGGTTTCCTTTGTTTTCATGTGTGAGAAATTTTAAGAAGACCTTGATAATTTCCAGACTTCACCAACTCAAGATGTAGATAGACGATCACCAACACGGTGTCCATGCCAGCGGTGTCTTGTGGTTGGATTGACCATACTGGTGATGATTCTGTTGTCAGGGTTGACGGCCACCACAACTGTACTTATCACCAACAATGAGAGTAAGTCACTGAAAACACACACACACGCACGAACGCACGCACGAACGCACGAACGCACGCACGCACGCACGCACGCACGCACGCACGCACACACACACACACACACTCGATCTATACTTTCTTTTGCCGACCATTCGTTCACTTGTGTTGGCATTATCACGCAGCCTAACATCAGGTTGTATAGGGACCAACGTGATCAAGGGATCGTGGAATTTAGGAAAGCAATATTTAATTGTTGGCATTGAAAGTTTAGTTTTCACAAGGTCCAGCTCAAGCAAACCTTATGACAATTGTTGCACCCATTGACAAGTAGCCTTGCTTATATATGAGATCTGCCTTCTCTAGAATCTATTGGAGGAACAGCTGCACTTGCAGCAACAACGATCGGAGCGACTACGGATGTGACGGCATTCCCTAATCCTACAGCAACTACAACCACTACACCCACTACAGAAAATACAACTACAACCTATACATCAGGTACAGCGACTCCGAACATCACAAAAAAGTATCCAGCGACCACTACAACATCACCTCCGGCTACGTCATCTTCATCGACGACTACGACACCGCTGCCTACCACTACTTCTACTAACCGTCCTTCTACAGTGACTACTAGTACCTCGACGGTAACAACCACAACAACGACATCTAAAACAACCACAACTACACCCGGTAAGTTTATAATTAATAACATGCCTTGTGACAGATTCATAGATAGTATCTGTTCGAGGGTCTTGTCAACAGTTTGCATACATGTGTACGTTAGTTTGCCTTTTGTATAACGTTTTTAATTCTAAGTTTAATTGATTTTTCAATAAACTGAGGTAAAATTAATAATTTTCATTGTCAACATTTCCATTGTCTTAGAATCCAGTACATCCTAGTTTTATTAGCGTTTCCATTGTGAATAAAACAGTCAAATACACTGGATGAAACAAGGCTTGAGGCTGGTGTGCAGGTTATGGACAAGTGAGTGAGTGAGTGAGTTTTTGATTTTACGCCGCTTTTAGCAATATTCCAGCAATATCACGGCGGTGGACACCAGAAATGGCCGTAATGGACAATGTACATGACAAGTACTAGTATGCATATGAGTTATACGAACCTCTAGTTTCAGTCAATTGTATGTACATAGAAACAAATACATAATTGTTTTTATATTTGCATGATAATCATGAACTTAATGTAAATCTAAACTAAGCGGCAAAAGAAAGTATAGGTCGGCAATTTGTAATTTTCCTAAAAACAGCGATAACTAATGGAAAGTGGGTATTGGGAATATGACTGCCCAGGAACAGTAAACAAAAAAACACCTCACCCGAACGCGCCACCTTTGACGGCACTCGTGCGGTGACAAAAACATGGTGAAACAGGTTTCCTGCCTATGGCATAAACTGCACGTGCATGTTAGCTGTATAAATGCGCTCGTCTGCAGGGTATAACCACACGTGATGAAAGCACACAAAGGAAATGCCACGATTGTCACAGGAGCAGAGAGAGAGAGACATCGGTATGGCCGAAATGGGGGCAACACAGGTCCAAATTGCCAGAAGGTTTGGTTGTACACCATTGAGAGTAGCCAGGCTGATTCAACGGTACAGGCAGACAGGGAGGACACAGGACAGGCCTAGAATCGGACGACCCCGAGGGACAACACCACTGGAAGACGGTCAGATACGGCTCATTTACCTGCGAAACAGATTCGTAACGGCGACGGCGACGGCAGCAACAGCGTTGGGACATCCCATTAGCCAACGTACAGTACTACGACGACTTCGTGCTGCTGGAATCCGAGCGTATCGTCCTTTCCGAGGAATGGTACTGACTGCTCAAAATCGACGCCTGAGACTGCTATGGACGGGGCAGGTTCGACTCTGGCAAGTGAGAACTTGGCGTCGAGTGCTGTTTACTAATGAAAGTCGGTTTAACTTGTTTCGAAATGACGGCAGAGAGCGAGTTTATCGACTCAGAGGGGGAACGTTTGGCTCCGGCGTGTATTCGAGAGGTCCTTCCATTCGGCGGCGGAGGTGTCATGGTGTGGGGCGGTATTTGTTGAGATCAGAAGACTGATTTGTTGATTATACAGCCTGGGGTAAACCTGAACGCTGTGCAGTACAGAGACCAAGTGTTGCATCCAGTTGTGCTTCCGTTCTTACAAAACAAACAGCAGGGGACATTGTTTCAACACGACAATGCCAGGCCCCATACTGCAAGACTGACTAGGAACTTTATAAACCAGCAGAACGTTGCCATTTTGCCCTGGCCTGCCCACTCACCCGATATGAATCCTATTTAACACCTGTGGGACCATCTTGACAGACAGATTAGAGCACGCCATCAGCCTCCCGTCAACAGACAAGAATTGCAGCAGGCCCTGAGAGACGAGTGGCAACGGATTCCAGTCCACGTCATCAGAAGACTGACGTCATCGATGAGGCGGCGTATCACAGCATGCATTGAGGCAGCTGGAGGTCATACGCGCTATTGAAGGCAACTGTGTCGACAATGAACTTGTAGTGTGTCTGACAACTTTTTGCTGACATTTCAGACAACTTTAGAAATGAAATTTCTTACCCCACCATTGTTTACCTTGAGCTTACATTACCTGTGATTGCACAATTTCATTCAAACTGTGGTTGATCAATCATTTGTTACCCCACTCTAGATTATATTATAATTCACACCAAAACCTCTTCTTGTTATGGTGATCATGGAACTCGACCTATACTTTCTTTTGCCGCCCATTCGTTCACTTGTGTTGGCATTATCACGCAGCCTAACATCAGGTTGTATAGGGACCAACGTGATCAAGGGATCGTGGAATTTAGGAAAGCAATATTTTATTGTTGGCATTGAAAGTTTAGTTTTCACAAGGTCCAGCTCAAGCAAACCTTGTGACAATTTTGGCACCCACTGACAAGTAGCCTTGCTTATATATGAAATCTCCCTTCCCTAGAATCTATTGGAGGAACAGCTACACTTGCATCAACAACAATCGGAGCGACTACGGATGTGACGGCATTCCCTAATCCTACAGCAACTACAACCACTACACCCACTACAGAAAATACAACTACAACCTATACATCAGGTACAGCGACACCGAACATCACAAAAAAGTATCCAGCGACCACTACAACATCACCTCCGGCTACGTCATCTTCATCGACGACTACGACACCGCTGCCTACCACTACTTCTACTAACCGTCCTTCTACAGTGTCTACTAGTACCTCGACGGTAACAACCACAACAACGACATCTAAAATAACCACAACTACACCCGGTAAGTTTATAATTAATTACATGCCTTGTGATGGATTCATAGATAGTATCTGTTCGAGGGTCTTGTCAACAGTTTGCATACATGTGTACGTTAGTTTGCCTTTTGTACAACGTTTTTGATTCTAAGTTTAATTAATTTTTCAATAAACTGAGGTAAAATTAATAATTTTCATTGTCAACATTTCCATAGTCTTAGAATCCAGTACATCCTAGTTTTATTAGCGTTTCCATTGTGAATAAAACAGTAAAATACACTGGATGAAACAAGGCTTGAGGCTGGTGTGCAGGTTATGAACAATTGAGTGAGTGAGTGAGTTTTTGATTTTACGCCGCTTTTAGCAATATTCCAGCAATATCACGGCGGTGGACACCAGGAATGGTGGTAATGGACGATGTGCATGACAAGTATGCATATGAGTTATACGAACCTCTAGTTTCAGTCAATTGTATGCACATAGAAACAAATGCATTATTGTTTTTATATTTGCATGATAATCATGAACTTAATGTGAATCTAACTTATTTTCAATGTCTTATCAGGTAGGCTAGTGGTTAAAGCGTTCGCTCGTCACGCCGAAGACCCGGGTCCGATGCCCGACATGGGTACAATGTGTGAAGCCCATTTCTGGTGTCCCCGCCTTGATATTGCTGGAATATTGCTAAAGGCGGCGTAAAACCATTCTCACTCACTCACTCAGTGTATTATATGCTATATATTGTAGGGTGTTCTGCATCCAGGAAGTGCCATTCCTGTACGTCCAGAAATGCCCGGTGTCCAGTGTACGGCACCATGGCTGGAAATGACCCCAATGAAGTCATATCCTGTCCATGTGGTACCGCCTGCTACTCCGATGTCAGATACGACGACGGTAGGTATACGTTTTACTTTAACACCTTGGATGCCGAATCGAATTATTTTTCTGACGCACATTTTTATAAGTTCTGAAAATGGAACGTTGTGCGAGAATTGCGGTTGCGCGGCACTGGGTCTACCTCTGACTATCAAATTACGCAGAGATGTAGACTATGTAAATTAATCTAAACAAATTAATTTGTTTGAAAAACAGACACTGTTAAGTGTTATCCGAGATTTTGTTATGGAAATGTGTTAAGGAAATTTCGTCGCTTTTTACCGAACACTACGATGACCAATAAAGGACATGGAGTCTGTTTTTCAATATTTTGATATTTCACTTACTGTTAACGTAACCTTTTGCAAATTAACACGATTTGTCATACATATATGTGATAAATCATGTATAAAGTAGATACTGAATCGCTGAAAAGGGAAACGAAAATGTCAAAAACTAAAATGAAAATACAGAAAAGTATTTCCACCGCGGTGGAAATACTTTTCTGTATTTTCATTTTAGTTTTTGACATTTCCGCTTTTGTTTTTGACATTTTCTTTTTTGTTTGAGCTGAGGCTGAGGCTATCGTAAGCCTATGTTAAAGTATGGCAGTTAATATCATCTTAGCGCTAAGATCGCTTTGTGCAAGTGGGCCCTCATCTTCGCGAAATGTCGAGTGTCTCCTTTTGAAATCAAAACTAATAAGATGTTATGTTGTTCAAATATCCGATTCACAAACCACACCCGACTACAATAGCCACCATATATGGTCATCTACCTTTCAGCTAACACAGTTTATAGAGGCTGCTGGAGGGACTTTCCGACGTGGCTCCCAGAATCCCCCTCTGACCTGTCATGTCGAAAAATTGGTCGACACTTCCTGTGTTTCTGTCATGGGGATCGGTGCAACACACACGACATGACGTCATATATTCCCTGATGCTGAACCAGTTCATATATGTACATGTAGAGGGAATGCCAAACTCCTTTTCTTGGTTAAAAATACCTTCTTGAATATAAAGAAGATGTGAATATATTACTGTGGCAAAGTTTGCTGTTACATACTATGGGCTACTACTAAAGACTTTTATACACTAATGTCAGGAATATCCAGTAATCAACACCATCTTATGTAAATGTTGATGCAAGTTGATTTCGCCTCAAAAGAGGACATCCATGTCCAACGTGTAAACAGAATGTTCGGAGCTGGAATATTGCAACAACAAACAAACATATTTGGGGAGTTTGGTTCCTGGGAGTTTTGTCCACGGTCCTGCCCAACACTGAAGGACATGTAACACATGTGGTGTTTCTTAGGGCAAGTGACTTCGTTCGAACTGTGTCTCTGTTTACCCAGCAGTGAATGGGTACCCGGTAAGATGAGATGGCAACGTGGCTGTTAACAATCAAACCCCTCTTTACAGGCAGCTTGGGTCGTATACCCCCAGGGAGCTGAGAATGATTGTTATGTGCACACTGTTCATTGACCGGGAGTTTTACTTCTTCTTATAAAACAATTGGAGCGCCACGATGATTGTACGACCAGGTTGAGGTATGGGACTATAAGAGTACTATATTCATACATGCAATTGAAGCTTCCCTACCTCCTCATTTGTGCTTTAGGTTATACGGTGAAGCCACAGAACATGACAAAAAAACTACACTTTGTTGATCAGTGACACGTTTGTTGTTACAGTGATGTGTATTTGCAGTTTGGGAAGGAATAATACACGCGGTAATCACCAAAGCATTGCTGAACATCAGAAAATTATGCATTACAATTGAAGGACTTTTACTGATATTTTTATCCGTCACTGCATGATGTGCTTGTATGAAATGATGGCTGGTAGATGTTCTTCTATTCGCAGTTGAAAAATAATGTACGGACAAGATTTGCCTCTCATTTATTGTAATGTGAAAGGAGTGAGTGAGTTGGGTTTAACAGAGCCGCTTTAACAGTATTCCAGTTATATCACGACGTGTCGTTTATTTGGGAGGAAAGCCCGAAGTGATGCAGGTCTCAGACGTTTACCACTTCGGTGAAACCCACGAGCACGGGTATGGTGCTGACAAACCTAGAAACATAATCCGGGCGAACCTGGATTCGAACCAACAGTCATAGGTTTCTGTCGTGCCCAAGGGACGCAATTCTGCTGATGTGAAAGGAAACGATAACATGTACCAATCGAATTATGAGAATTATTGATATTTTACCATGTTAGCATTAACATTGTATTTTCCCGACCGCTTTTCGTGATTTATGTCTATGAATACATATATCTGTGTTCACATTCAAACAAACTGTCAAACAGTCATAACACTGGTATTACTTCGCACCACTATGCTGGTAATAAAACATCAGATTGCGAACTGGGTGTTATATTGACCTACCAGCATTGCCATTCTATTATACCAGAATTACCAATTTTGCTTTAGATAATGGCATTCAATTCATACTACACTCACAACGAGAATACTTATTTTACATCAACCTATCCAGTATTGTAAAATAAAATATTAAAAAGACACATGTAGTCACACATTTGCATTATTTTTCTGGTTACATAGTTCGTTTAATATTCTGATCTAAGTTCATACACTCATGTACTATGTGTCTACCAATGGAAAGCTTGTGTGTTCTATGTTTTTTCTTCATGTGTTTGAAGTTTTTCATATTAACTATGATTTATTTTCTTTCAATTACTTACACATAACATGCGATTGTGTCAGTGTTTATGTTTAGTCAACCTTGTGTTTTATGAGGAATGGTATGTTTTGTGCAGTAAAGTATTAATAAAATAGGTGGTGTCTGTAATAAAAATTGTTTTTAATATTTTAATTCAAACATTATTTTTTTCATTCTTTGTTGTATATACAAATATGTGTGTGTCTTTGAATCACTTCATTGAAGGTTGTTCCTTGGGATGGTATTGTGATTCCAATATGTCCACTTTATCATGTGCTATTACGACTGTATCTATTGAAGAACCTTATGAAGAACTTATGTAAAAACTAATGCAATAAACGTCTCGAATAGTCCATTTCTCTTTTATACTGAGATCCAGGGTAAGATCAGTGTTGTGTGAATGTCAACGGTACACCACCTACGATTGTCAGTTCAGTCATCTAGGGTCGCGACAAAGTGTCTTTATAAACAGTTTAGGTGTAACCCTTTCTTATTTAGGTAATTGTGCATAGTATATAGGTACTATCTGCACTATAGGGTTTGTCAACTAGAACTTGTGAAGTGATTTAAGCCATTAAAGATCGAGGCTATATATCTGAAGCCTACTCATTTCTTCACGAGACTACCCACGTTTTCACTGTGTAATAAACACCAACAAGGCGTGATGACACAAAGGTCTTCTACCAGTGAACATGAAGATAAAGTAAATGGCACTGATGTAAATTCTGAAATCAGAAAGATTTAGACCCGTCGACGTCCGCATCACAGAACACCACAGATCAGCCACAAAAAAAGACTCCAAAATCCGCAAAATTCTGATCACATTTAGCAAAACCACAGTCACCAGATCCAGCGGATCAACCCCAGCATCCTTGCTCCTGAAGTGGAAAAATAACACCGTCTGTTGAATGTAACAAATGTTATATTGTGGGATAATAGTACTCAGTAAAGTACAATTCTCGTACCTTTGTTTGTTAGAACCCCATTCGGGATTTGTGCCCTCACTCAGAGTGTGTGTTGATGATTAGGTGCCTCAAAGTCATAATTCTAACCAACTCTCCACCGAGGCTTGCACAAAGATCACATACCTTGCGTAACCCTATGATAAGTGTAAACTGGCACGGTCTCCACTGCCGAAAGCTATGAATAAACAATGCCTTTTAGAAAGTGGTCAAAAGTAACGATGTCATATTTAGGACAACTTTGTCAAGCTTCATCTCCCATCATCACTTTATCACACTTCACCTCCCATCATAAATTTGTCACACTTCATCACTTTATCACGCTTCATCTCCTATAATCACTTTGTCATATTTCACCTTCCATCATCACTTTATCACACTCCACCTCCCATCATTACTTAATCACACTACATCTCCCATCATCACTTTATCACAGTCCATCTCCCATCATCACTTTGTCACACTTCATCTCCTATCATCACTTTAACACACTCCACCTCCCATCCCCACTTTGTCACGCTTTATGTCCTATCATCACTTTATCACACTTCATCTCCCATGATCACTTTGTCACACTTCATCTCCCATCATCTATTTATCACGCTTCATCTCCTATCCCCATGTTGTCATGCTTTATCTCCCATCATCAATTTATCACGCTTTATCTCCTATCCCCATGTTGTCATGCTTTATCTCCTATCATCACTTTATCACACTTCATCTTCTATCATAATCTTGTCACTCTTCATCTCCTATCATAATCTTGTCACACTTTATCTGTACCAAAAATTTGCATTGAAAGAAGAAAATAATTTCTGAAATGCCACTTGAATAAATCATTGCACTGGTTCGTGAGTGAAGGTTACTTCGGTTACTCATCTAAACATTTCAAAGTCCATACACCAGTTTTGTATTTTCCTGTGACGAAGCAAAGCGTGTATTCTGTTGGAAATGTTTACCTTTAGATCCCGGACCAAGCGAGTCGAAGAGTCTATGGATGACAAAGCTTGGCTTGACGTCATCCACCCACCCCTCCACTGGTCTCTAAGGGTCAGACACTCTCGTCATCTTGCTGCAGAGAGACTTGGCACTGGAGGCTTCCGGTCTGGTTTTGATGTAGTTGGTGACTCATTTCCGACAGAAAGTGTGATTGCAGTCAAGTGTACAAGGATTGTCAAACACCTCGGTGCATATGACACTGGAGAGCTTCTGTGAGGTCGCCATCTGAAACTCTGAAAAGGAGATACGTTCAAAAAATCATTTAAAAAACATACACGAACGCACACACTCTTACATATGTTGTATCCTTGTATTATCTCAAAGTTAGGAAAGTAGGATTTTACCCAATAAAGTGACGGCTGTGCAAATATTATTGACTTATGAAATGAAATAGATAAAACTTCACATACTCTGCGATAGATCCTAAACGCCAGAGAATCGATACAGATTCCATGGGGAATAAAAGGCAAAACAGCGGTTGACGTTATATGACTGAGTCACTGAAAATCAGTGTTGCCAAGGGTAAGCATGCCTTACTGGTAGCACTCGCCACTCACACAATTTGCATGAAAAGGTGAGCGTTTGTTTGTTGCCTAACGCCACACAGCAGTCCTCCATTACGGCAATCAACTCAGTTGGTTCATTGTTACAGAGACTCCAGCCTTTTTGAAATAATCAGCTGGGAGTCTTGCACAGCGCACAGGTCACAAATCAGGCGAAGTTAGGCAACATTGGTCAAGGAAAATCCTTGGATGAGTGATCGTGTTCCAACAGCTCAGCTCCTGAGAGTTTCAAGGGATTCGGTCCTACCCCACACTGAAGCACATGTAACGCATGTGGTGTCTCTTTAAGCAAGTTACTACGTTCGAAATATCATAACTTAAATGTTGTTATTATTCATTCGTAGTAAACAGTAAACATATGTTCTGAATTTGAACAACACCTACAACATATAGCCAACAGCAACACACACTATAACCTCCAAGGGGGGAGGGTGTGTGTGTGGTAAGGGGGTGGTGGTGTGCGGTGGTGTGCGGTGGTGTGCGGTGGTGTGCGGTGCGGTGCGGTTGTGGTGGTGGTCGTGTGGTTATGTGTGGGTGTGGTCAGTTTCAGTGACAAAGGCGTAGCCTGGTTGCCTGTCGTGGTTGCAATCCTATACGTATGCTCCAGTAACGCTCATTTCCATAACAAAAGTAGACTGACTCAGCATATCCAACTTCCTGGTTTAGCTACACAGTTCAAAGTATAACCTCGGACATCAGGATTCGTTGTAATCACAATGACCACCATCAACTACACAAATGACATACGTTTCGTGCATGTATCTACCAATATATGTTAATACTTAACGTATCCATCATGTATATTATTTCACAATTCCGTTGAACCAGTTAATGCAGGTTTGTATGGCAGTTGTATCCAGAGTGGTGGCAGCAGTATCCGGACAGCATAAATATTAACAAGAAGGAGTACAACACAACGCTAATGAATTGTAGATGAATTCTGTGTCAGATTGTATTTTGTCTATTAAGGAGAGAATGGATATGACACCTACCTGTGGAATCTTGTCAATGTTGAGCAAAGGGACGTAATGTCGCAACATATCGCTACTAATATTATCTCCCTTGAAATAACGAAAAATCTGTTTCCCATACCCAGTTGTTCGTCTCAGAAGTGCTTGTTCCTTACCTTATATTTGCTGATATCCATAATTTCATTTAGTACTTCTCATTAAATGGGTTTATTGAAACCATAATGCACCTCTTTGTTTACCTCCGTTACATCATTTCCTCTTTCAATCGCCCGCCACTTACATGTACGTCATAATTCTACTTCCTATGACGTAATCAAACTTTCTTTCGCGTCAACACCATCGTCCGTTAGTTCTGTCAAAATGTTCTGTACCCAGTTTTTGTACAGCAATTCTCAACTTTTGGCTCTTCGACTCTACTTTTCGGCTTGTGATTGCTACTTTCGACTCCTCTTCACCGATTATCAGTACTCTTGGCATCGATTTTCTGAAAGTTTCTCTTTCACTTTTACAACGCTCATAATGCCACCTAAGCGTAAGGCATCTAGGAATCACAAGCTGGCTGTTAGACCGGCGGTAAAAACCGGAGGACTACTACTTCAAGTGCGACGCAACAACAGCCACAGCACCGGGTGAGTTACCAAACTATGTTTGCACCATAGGCCCCCGTCTGCAATGCCAAATGTCAACGTTAATTCTTCACTTTTATTGCCAGCTCTTTCCACTGTTGTAGCTGCTCCCGCCCCGGTTCCTCCAACTCTGGCAACCATAGCTGATCAGCTATCTCAACACTTAGGTGCCATCATGGAACTTATTAGAAATAATGATTCCTCCATCAGTTCTTCTAGGCCACTTCTTAACAACACCTCAACAGTTAGCAGGGTGAGCAACGTAACTGATAATTCTGCCAGTTTTATTCAGGCCGCGGCCGGTCCTGGTCTTCTCTAGATCTCTGACGTCATGGCCTCGCCGATGGTCACATGGGGGATCCCCTCTCCTACATGGCCGACAATATTGGCGCACATGTGAAGCAAGCCATGAGGGAAAAGATTTGGAAAGAGGAAAATGTGGATCTGGCTGTGCTGTCCCCTAAAGCCAACGAAGCTGAAGAAGGTGAAGGTACTCTTAGACCAATGACCGACAGCACAGGTAAGGTGGTGTTGACACAAGTATAGACGGAAAAGTTGCCAGGCAAGTCGCTTGGCATCAGTGCATGGACACCCATATGCCTCTATTAACACAGTGCAGGCTACGCGTAACGCAGCATTCAGATTCGATGGCGACGTGTGGTCAACGTATGACAAACAGTTTCGTCACCGGGTGGCAATGGGGTAGAATTGACGGTGAACTGTGGCTGCACTGCATGATTCCGCATGAAATACAGGTCGAGGAATCCATCTGGCACGGTAGTTCAGGAATTCCACAAAACGTTTGTTGGGATTTCGTGCCTCAGGTTTGCATGTACTTTCTACATAAATGTGGAAAATGGGGGGGTATCTCTCATGGAGTCTCAACTTGCTTTCGAGCCACAGGGGCCATTAGGCTTCAAACTAGCAGCACCCAGCAGAGCGGACAATAAGGAGTTAGGCTTGGGTAGTATGGCCGGGCCTTTCATTCGCCTGCTGTTCCAGAACATACAGGTGTCACCAATAGGCCTAATCCCTAAAAAGCAGAAGTTGGTAACTCGATCTGCTGACATTAAGTCACATGATAGCTTCAGACTAATACATCATCTTTTAATGACAACATTTCTCCACAGGATTGCTCAGTCAAATACGCCCGTTTTCATGAAGCAGTGAGGATGGCACAGGAGTTTGGCCCGGGGGCTTTGCTCTCCAAATTTGATGTTAAATCAGCATTTCGCATTAATCCAGTGCACCCAGCAGATTTTGAACTCCTGGTAATCGCCTTCCAAGGTAGTTTTTATGTCAATAAATGTTTGCCATTTGGTTGTTCAATTTCATGTTCAATATTCGAAACTTTCAGTACCTTTCTACAGTGGTGTATACAGCAGCACCTTCCAAACCAGCAGATTATGCACTACTTAGATGAATTCTTAACTGGCGGCCAAGCAGGTACGCAGGATTGCAGCAATAACCTACATATAGCTTGCAAATTCTTGAATTCTTGAGTGCCCATTGCTGCGGAGAAGACAGTTCATCCTACTACTGACATCACGTTTTGGGGGTTGCAAATTAACACAGTGGCAATGCAGGTTAGGATACCATTCAACAAGATAGAGGAGGTGAGCAGCCAGATCAAAGGTATGTTGACTGGAGGTTCTAAGGTAACTAAACTGGATCTACAGTCACTGGTGGGAAAACTTTACTTAATTTGCAGGGCAATCCCAATGGGTCGGACTTTCTGTGGCAGGTTGATCTGCATTCCATCGCATACGTCTCACAAAGGAGTTGAAAGAAGATCTGTCTATCTTGCTAGAATTTATCACCTATTATAATGGCGTCTCAATCTTTCAGCAAGCTCAGTGGATGACAATAGTACATTGCAGTTTTTCACTGACGCAGCAGGCACTGCAGGTTTTAAGACTTTTTTCCAGTGTCACTGGGCGAGTGGTCATCGGCCACAACAATGGATTGACACACTTATGACCAAGGACTTGACTTTGTTAGAGTTATTTCCAATTGTACTGTTTGTCAGACTCTGGGGTAAGTCACTCGCCAACAAGAGGGTACTTTTCTATTGTGATAAGCACTCCTGTCAGGTTCCAAGAACTTTGGCCATGGTTTTGCTATGCCTCAGGCACAACATTCTTTTTAAGGCGAAGTATATCAACACAAATGCAAATGTCATTGCTGATGCTCTCTCAAGATTACAGTGGGCACGTTTTCGGGAAGCAGCACCAACAGCAGACCTGGCTCAAACGCCGCTGTCACACAACATATTGACATTCTAAATGAAGAAGTGTGAAGATTACTTAAACAGTCATTGGCCAGTAACACATGGTCAACATACCAGACGCTGGTCGAGGTGCTGCAAGGGCTGTCCCAGGTAAAGCCTGTCCGAATTAACCACATCGTCAACTTCATTGCATATATGCATGTCAGTGAAGGGATTCTCCATTAATACGGTAAGAACCTATGAATCTCCTATTTCTACCTACCATAAGCTAAGGGGCATGTTGGATTGCACCGATCATTTCTTGGTGCGTAAGCTCATATCTGGAATGACTTAGGGCAAGCACAACACTGACACTCGCAAACCTATTACAGTCGATTTGCTCCAAGCCTTTATTTCAAGTTTACCATTTAAAACTAAACTCTACACAGCTGTGTTTTCCGTAGCTTTCTTTTGATTGTTCAGAGCATGTGAGCTGGTACAGAGTAAACCGGGCCAATTGGGCATTGCAATGAAAGACATTGTATTACAAGCAGAGCGGGGACAGGTAACATTCATCCTTAGGCACTTCAAAGGTGACAGGGATCAAAACGGGGTTTCCATCACCCTTACAACCTTACGACATTCACCTTGCTATGTTGAGGCTCCATCTGCTCCTCAGCCCACCATCCTTTGGTCCGACATGCTGCCAAGGAGGCACTGGCATGGAGCCAATTGCTATGATGCGGTGGAGATGGCCAGGAAGAAAGTCAACAGATGGTTTGGCAACCGTGTCAGGGAGCTTGGTGGGGTACACATTCAACATTCCAAGATTTGTGCTGGCGACAGTTCCCTGTATGTCTGGGACGGAGTGCACCTCTCAGTCAAAGGACTGCAAATTTTCACAAGCTCATTGTGGGCTACAAATGTAAATACTTACTTAATCACCAAGTAATCGTCAAAATTATCTGGTCCCTGCTCTTAAGATGGAATTTGTTCAGTCCCTCTGCTTCTCAACGGATGGGAGCCTTTGGGCTCAACTTAATTCATGTCTGCTTTTAGGCAGAAACTAAGTATTTTGCTGCTGGCAACATAGTTGCCCATTGCTGCTTCTGCCTGCTTGCTGGTAACTCAAGTTACCAAATATAACTCATTATGATAAAAGCTTAGGGCAGCCCACAAGTCCTGCCACTCCTATGACCTTGAACCCAACATATGCCTTTCTTATTTCTCCTGTCTTGTCAACTTTGACAAGGCAGGTTACTTTGCATGGGATGTTTCAATAATATTTCATGCAAATATCCGGATTTTGAGGAAAACCGTGGCCGTCAGAACGACTGTCACATTGCGGTACACAACAGTGCGAAGGTATTTTGTATGTAAACAGTAGCATACGTATACGGAGCTAGCAACAAGGACGGAAATTCAGCAGCGCCCCCTGGGCCGCTGTTTCGTACCGGTGTTTGCCATTATCTAACAGTTCCTGAAATCATGTATGTGCAATGTACATATATGGTTTGGTATGTTTTGTGAATAAATAGAGAATTCAATATTCAAATCTGTAACTAATTTTCTGTGTCATTATTTTGAATATCAGCTACAAGCAATGAAGTATTTCAACCAGCGGTCGTCTCAGAAGTGGTTGCTCCTTCCCTAATATTTGCTGATATTGATGGTGATGCCTTTAGACTACTTTAATTAGCATGCTATCAGCTTGTCCATCTGTTTAATCCTTTTAATACTTATCCTTACTGTATATCTAGATTCTTTACCCGTGTGTTATTTGTTATCTATTAACTGTTGCTGCCAATGTTAATCTGCTGCTTATCACAACATAACAGCCATATATACCTCTCATCTCTCTCCAGCTTGATAACGGTGTAAGAATCGACATTGAAGGAGCGCTATATGCAACATGCCAGAAGTTGATGTCCATAAAGTTGTACGTTTTCTTACCAACTCACCAGCTTCTAGAATGCCAATCGCCAGTTAAAACAGTTTTGTTCCAGTTTATTTGGCTTTAGGAACAACTTATATCAATAAGTATTTCAACACTGTTCACATTTCCATAACGAAATACTAATTTTGAAGATGGACCTTCAACATTTTGCAATTCTTGACTGTACGATGTCTTACAAATATAGATATTAACCAGCTTTGTGCCCACCTTATCCAAACAGTTTATAAGATGAAAGGTGCTATTTTCAAGATGTGGAGGGGCATGCTTCAGTTGTAACTACGTTGAATTTTTATAGTTGAACATCAGCTCTGTATAACGAGGTGATACTAAGTGTGCATAGATGTAGCCATCAATAAAACCACCAACGACTCCTACAGTCTCAACGACTCCTTCAACGACAGTTAGAATCAACGTTACACCGACGCCAGCTAGCTCATCTCCTTCATCGGCGATAATCCGAAAACCCTCCACGACTTCTTCCAAGACCCTCTTCTCTTAAAGTTGCCTCTGGTACCTTGACGGCAAGCTCCAGCTTCAATTCAACCTCAACACACACTCCCTACGTTTATAGACGTGAAGACATGATTTTAGTCTTGTAGTCATATTCTTCCAATTTCTAAATGCCTATTAAGGACTTCGTACTGTATTGACGTTCTCATTATTGTCTGCTAGTGCACTTCTAGTACATTATGCAGGCGCTTTAATCATGACATAAAAAGAATAAATATGATTTTTTTCTTACATAATTCTTAATTATGTTATATATTATTTTCAATGCAGGTTAAGGAAGTGTCCCTGCGTTTTCTTGGCCCAAGATCTTATACAGAAAACGTCTCGAATGGTCTAGTTATCTTTTATCCTGTGATCCGGGACTGGATCAGCATTTAAAATTATAACCCTTTTAGTATTACCCGGGCAGTGCCTAGTAACGACACATGCGCGGGGACATTATAGTTAGACAAAGATATAATGTAATTTTTAAAGTACTTATGTTTGTCCTAAATTCAAACAGTAATCAATCTTAGAATTCCAATGTACATATACAGTAGATCAAATAACATCTGTTTGTTGTTTAACACCGCACTCCGCAATATTTCAGCTATATGACGGCAATCTGTAAATAATCTGGACCAGACAATCCAGTGATTGACATCGTGAGCATCGATCTGCGCAAACGATATACGATGACATGCATCAACCAAGTCAGCGAGCCCGATCTCCCAATCCCATTAGTCGCCTCTCACGACAAGCATAGAAAAGCCAAGTTTAATTATTGCCTTTGATGTGTCCAAAGCCATATCGACGTCACACCGCGGGCGAGCTTTGTTTAGTGTAAAAATATTTTGTATTTAAATGCTGCCGCAAGCGGGTCCCAAACGTATGATCAGATGCCTGTGTTCACAGCAAGTTTAGGGCACCATAAGTGCTTTGACACTTTTGGCTTAGGTATACAGTTCTTGATGAGATGTGATGTTTGGAAAAAATGGATCAACAAGTGCATAGTGGATAGGGCAATGAGGAATATGGTAGTAAGGGAGAGATAATGTGCAATGCGACAAAACCCAGTTGCAGTTTTGTATCTCCTCAGTACATTTCCCCACTATCCATGTACCATAAACTCATGATTCAACTTCAATGGATTTTTCTAGATTCTTATTGATGAATTTCCTTTCGTTGGGAAGTTGCTGTCTAATGCAATGGGTTTGTAAGACCCTAGCCGAGACTCAATAAATGTCATAAGTTCTACGTGGCGTACGCATTCGTACAATTTCTCTCTCACAACTAGAACGTAGACCGTTCTTACATCGCAAGAGTCACGTTGCCATTTGCTAACTGATCCAGACACGATGTGAAACTCTCTGAAAGAAAAAAATTCTTCACAAGAGAATAAGAGCAATAAGAAAGGCTTATGTTGTTATGGCTCAGTGCAGTCTCTAAGCTAGAAGAGAACAATGTTGTTTCTCGCAGTGTATGTATCATATACTGATGTGAAGTGAGTGCTGAAACATACACCCCAAATATATATGACGTGGCCAAAAAACAAGGTTTTTCTGACCTTTTGTGACTTACTGTTCTCTGTAATCTTGTTGGGAAAAGTCGCTTTGTTGAATTTTATAGATATCATATGTGTATATATTTTCAATATGTAAGAGTAAGTTCTCCCTTCTTGAGCTGCTCATGCCAGCGATCACGCGTTCAAGAAAGTTGCATATCACAAGATAGCTGATATATCTGCTGTTGTGCTGTTACAGAAATGAAACTATGAATGGTATCAGCTGTGATAATAATGCGTCTGTTCCATTTTCAATATTGTGCGTCCGGCTAGTGTGGAAATTGAGCCCTGTTTCGGAGAAGTACACCACCATCCTATATCACTCAGGGGTCAGTTTAGGATTAGAATAGTAGTTATTGTGGATATGCAAGAACGTCCCCATGAACGCACGCACACAAACTTGCTCCTTGATCAGTACAATAATTTCCTGTCTAGGTTTCAATGTTTCAGTGTGTGCTCAACTGCCCACATTCAACAGTGAGTGGGGGAAAGATGGCCACCCACTTCCCCAGACCCAAGCCGGACTGAACCACCCCTTCGTCTCCTGTCATCAACATTGCAGCACATGGCAAGGTTGGGTCAGCAATTTCGTGGGGAAGTGTTGAAGAGGTCCAAGGAGTACATCTAGCACAAGTAATCCAAAACCCACGATGTTATGACGTATAAGGATCTAGTAGTGAATGATTACCCTAGTGTGTATACACAAGAACAATGTTTGAAACGAGGCCCTAATACCCACCGCTAGAATACTGAAAATAGACCTGTGACACTGTGGTGTAGCAAAGATCCCCCTTAAAATATCTTCATAGGAGATGCCATGGTGCGGTTCTGAGTAATGACTTGTAGCATATGATTTAGTCCGTTTTATTTCAAAATATTAAAATTAAAAATGAAACGAATCCAGCATATTAGTATAAAGTTATTTTGAGATGTAAAGAAATAGACATGTTACCCATGTGTTTCTAAAATATCGGTACTGTTGCCTAATATAGGCTTCGATGGATATGATGTTTAGCAAAAGTATATTAATCATTCATTATTGATGGTACCGCAGATGGAAGAATCATCCACGTGGATTAAAGTATCATCTTCGTCGATGAAAATATGATCTACGTAGATGATTAAATACCTTTTAGACTGTGGCACTAATACGCTTCCATACTAATGTAATATATGATGCTAATTTGAATATATTTGAATGTAAACTCTATAACATTGTCCTGTCGTTTATATATTTCTCATGCCCACATTTACAGGCATTGTCTTTTTCGTTGTCTGAAGTAGAGGTATAATAGGATTGTCTCCGAAATTGGTAAGCCCATCTGTATATTGTCTTGTGTTATTGCGATTTTGTTGATGAAAATAAATAAATATAATAAATACATAATTATAAAGATGATGTATTGTCTGAATGTGGTCAGAAATGTAGACTTCAATCCATTATGCAAATACATGAACCTGTAAAAGCGTTAAAGTTTAACAATGCAGTCACCAATATATGAGCTATGCTACGGCAACCTGTAAATTATTATGTCTTGGCCAGGTAAGCCACGACTGTTTGAATGTCACCTGTCAATGAAATCCACTGATATGTTCTGCTCACAATAGTTTGTAATTAATGGCCGCTTAGAACAACGTGAAAACATCACCACCAGCATTTCTTCGGAAATGATATATCATGTATATGTGTTCAGTATTTCTAATAACCCAGTTGTGATCCCTTCAATGTGGAATATTCTTCTAAAGTAGTTTCTACACAGTCACAAAGGTGAAGACCTTAATACCCTCGGATAAGACATATACTTTACCACGCCCATCATCACTAATCCCGCGGGGACACTTTAAATCAGTCTTAATGTTTCCAACAAACTGTCCTGACTCCGTCAGATGGACCACTCTGTCAAGAGAGATGTCTGTAACCAGAATGTCACCTGTGGTGGTACTTGTGATGCCCTGTGGACACTTCAGTGCTGTGTCTCCAGTAGGTCTGAAGGTGAACACCACATCTCCCTCGGGGGTCAGACACACGACACACTGGGAACCCTGGTCAGACACAAGGATGTTTCCTGTCCTCGTGGTACAAAGGTAGTTGGGATGCCGTAAGACATTGTTACCACTGAGGAGTGGACTGATTGACCTCAACACGTTTCCTGTCATATCCAGGATATCAACACAGGGAGGAGAGTTGGCACCTGCTGCTAGTGTCGATGGTGTCAGAGATGTGATACCCATGTACTGTTTCCTGGTTGTGATGGTTGACAGCGGTACCAGGCCCGGGTTGACCCCTATTGTTATAATATGGTTTATATGTGGCACTGTGACAGCCACTTGATTGTGTGTCAACCTCGACAGACCCCACGGCTGATTGTTCAGATTCAGTCTACTGTGACAAGGTTGATTTTTCCTAGTGTAGAAGGACTTCACACAGTTATTGTAATTGTCAGTAGTAACAATTGTATATGTGTCACTCACAACCATTACTGTTACGTCAAAAGGATCATTTATAATCCCGTCCCCTACTACTTTGGTGTTGATGGTGTCACGTAACACAGGCGTAGGCACCAGATCCACGACGTCTTCATATAAGACGTCAATCTCCCCCAGTTGTAGATTGTCTATTACCCTTCTTAGTTCCCTGTTGTCCTGTCTAAATGAGATCAGAGCTATTCTTGCACTCCCCATCAAGCCTGCGTCTCCGACAGCCTCCAATACACCAGCCTCACACCCCGGATACATCTCATACACATCCATGTCACAATCAGATTGCAGAGCATGGTTTATCAGTTCAGTCTGTTGTTGGTTCATCTGTACTGACATTTCACCTGACGTTATATCTGCTTTTAGTTGCCCAATGTGTTTCTCTGACATCTCTTTCAACTCAGCCAGGAGTTTCCTTTCCTTGAGTTTAATCTTGTCGATTACTTTTCTGCCTGCTGATTGAACGTCGGATTCCATTTGTTTATGTCGAGTTGTTTCTTCGTCTACTTTGGATTGCTGTTTTTCAACATGCTTTTTCACTTCATCTTGTTTCAGTGATAACTCTCCCCTGGCCTTCGCTATGACACTTTTCATCGTCTGTATCTCCGACTCTATGGTGACAACCTGGTCACACTTCCTGTGGTAGATAGTGCAGCATGTGTGGCAAACTGCTTTCTTGCAATCTTTACATAGAAATTTTATATGTTCGTCCTTGTGTTCTTTACACATGACCTTTCGCTTTCTCTTCACCTTCACCTCGCTTGACAGATCTGTGACGCAATGATGACGAGTTGCTGGGATGCGATTGTGCACTCTTGCACATTTCTTGCAGAAGGCGTCATCACAGACAGAGCACCAAACATCAGCTGGAGTTGACTCCCCGTCGTCTTTACAGTAAATGCAGGACATTGTATCTGAAAACCATATATCTCCTATTATAACTTTTGTTTGTAAAATGTTTACTTGAGTTACAGTGACACGGCTCATGATCGATCAGTGCTCCTGGTTTCAGAATGAACTGGCTTTCATGTAAATTACAAATACATTGGAACAGAGAAATTGGAGTAGCTCTCATTTTAAATGGCAAAGCTCCGCAACCCATAACTCTTGAGAAAAAGTATGTAAGAAAGAAAACCATATAACATAAAAGGCTAATCATAATTAGCATGAATTGAAATGCCAAGAAATCAGAAAATGCATTATGTTTTAACCGCAAAGTAATTATATCAGAGATGACTACTTCATGTATAATGCATTATGTCGTGCATTATAAGTGCTGCAAGTGAAGAGATATATATTTCTCAAAGTTTGCAAAGGGAATTCGTCAAATTGCGTGAAGACATGTTTATTGAACAAAAGTCCGTTGTCATGTGTCACCTAATGTCAGCAAATAACATGTGACCAATAATCAGTAAGATCTCCGTCAAAATGATCAAAACTGAAACGTAAAAAAATCACGAAAATAAATTCATCGTCCAAAAAACAACTATCAGTAGTCGCGTATTTGATCTACGTTATGCGATCACAGCCTGGCACCGTCGTCTTTTTCTCCCAATAAATATAAGTGTCTGGTTGGTTGCCAAGGGAAGATTGTTCCACTTTTCTGTAAAAGTATTGCCGAGTTCCTCTAGAGGTGCCTGAAGGACAGGGCGTTGTGAGAGGGCAGCTCGTTCCACACGTGTTCGATGGGGTTGAGGTCTGGTGATTGGGCTGGTCACTCAATGCGGACAATGGTCGCCTGCACTCAGTAGGTATCCACGATGATAGCACGATGATGTCGTACATTATCGTCTTTGAGGATGAAGTTCGGTCAGATTGCATCAGCATACCGTCTCAAGTACACATCCAAAATGTCATCCCTGTAGCGCACACACCTGTTATCGTGCTCCCTGAAAGACATTGAGATCGGTTCTTCTAGCACTACTGATGCAACCCCAAATCATGATTGAGCCCCCTCCATAGCGGTGATGTTCAGCCACAATTTCGCCTGAAATCTTTCTCCTTGTCTACGCCACAGTAGGGAACGATGATTTGTAAAGTCTAGACAGTATCTCGATTCATCAGTAATAAGTACTGGAGTCCAGTCCTGGTCTGTCCAGTTGACGTGATCTTCAGCCAAATCCAAAAGTCCCTGCCTGTGATGTCGGGTCAGTGGGATGCGAATGCATGATCTCCGCGAGCGGAAAGTAGAAACGTTAACGCCACTGGCGTTCCGAAGGTAATTTCTGAGTGTGGCGGCAGTCACGAAAAATTGCCGTCTTGCTGCGATCAGGAGAAACCTGTCTTTCCACTGTGTGGTTGGACGCTGTCGGACGCATGTCGCTGGATAACATACCTAAATGCATGGTATCGATTCCATCCCCTGCTGATCACACTTTGGCTTGATGTTGACCCAATTGCATTCAGTTTTTGCAATCCTTAGTAGCAAATGTTGTTGTGTTCTCTGACAATGATGTGCAATGATTCTGTCGCGATACATCAAGATTCGGGTTTTCAAGCACCCTATGACATCGTGCAGATGACTGCGTTCCTTTGTCCGTTCATCATGAAACTGAGGTCCTATAGCGGTTATCCAATCATTGTGTACTGGGATATTTCAATCTTTATTTGTTGGATGAGTTTTTGATATAATCAAACTTTATCCTCAGCAAACTTTGAGAAGCTTTAAGTATACCATCCAAATCACATAACAGCACAAATCAACCGACAAGCAAGACTCTAAATCCGCCGTCGCAGTTCACATTCAGCAAAATACCTGTCACCAGATCCAGTGAATCAGCCCTATCGTCCTTTCCCAAAACACCATCGTAAGCCATCGACATAAAAAAAATCAAACCAACCATCAACAGAGACAGTGGTTACTTTATCCCATAAGCCTACTATTGTCATCTCACACTGTAACAACACACTGCATCAACCATATTATTGTTACAAACCTCCACACAAGGCCTCATACCGATTATCACTTCGCCAACCTTGTTGTTTTTGTTGATCTCCGTATACGTAATTCTTAGCGTGATTATCACGTCCCATTCAGTTTTTGATCACTTGCTTGAAAAAGGTGTACTTGGAACTGTACCAAAGCAGTCGCAATGAAAATATAAAAGAAGTCGAAATCGATAAGTGAACGCTGTCTTCATTAATACTACAGCTTCTAAAATGACACTTGAATATATCATTGCACTGGTTCGTGAGTAAAGATATCTAGATTTGTCACATTTGGCATTCAAGATTTCTACGTACCACTGTTCACTTGCTGTGACAAAGCGCAGTATGTATTCTGTTTGAAAGGTTTACCTTTAGATCCAGGACCAAACAAGTCTAAGAGTTCTTGGATGACAAAGCTTGGTTTGACGTCATCCGCCCACTTCTCTACTGGTCTCTTTGGGTCAGACACGTTTGTCATCTTGCTGCAGAATGGACACTGGAGAGACTTGGCACTGATGGCTTCTGGTCTGGTTTTGGTGTAGTTGGTGACACATTTCCGACAGAAGGTGTGGTAACACACAAGTGTGCAGGGATTGTCAAAGACATCTGTACAGATTGTACATGTCAGGAAGTGCTCTGTCAGCTTCTGGGACGTCGCCATCTTAAGTAATCAAAATAAAATATATTGAATAAAATATTTGCACATACCATATGAAGATGATTGTTTTACCACGCCACTTTATGAGACAAAAAGTAATTTAATGAGAGCATCAAAGTTACTCCATCGAAGTTTGAGACGTTGAGCAGTTCTGTCAGTGATCGCAAAGTGGCCAGATCGAGGAATAGAAAACGTTCTTAAATGGATTAAAACTTGAGCCTGAGTGATTTAGGCGTGCCCTAGTTACACCCGCGTGCATGTGGTAAGCGAGCAAGGTCACCTTTCCTCATGTCGATATCGACTGTAGACTGTAGATTGACTAAGCATATTTAACTTCCTGGTTGAGCGACACAGTTCAAAGTATAACCTCGGTCATCAGGTCTCATGCTAATGTCAATGAAACCATACACTGCTATCACATGTTTGGATCTACTAGTAAATGTAAATATTTAACAATACTGTCATTTATATATATCTGACATTGATGTTGAACAAGTTAATGCAATTTTCTATGATGTTTGTATTTACATACATATGAAGGGGTAACACCATGTCGAACGTAAACGTCACAGACACAAGTTTTCTTTCGAGAAACGAAATTCAACCGGTATTATGAGTCAGACACATGCCCACATACATGCGATTTAAAACGTTGCTAATGAATTGTAGATGAGCACTGTGTCAGACTTGTCCTTTGTTTGTGGCGGCAAGAGTGATCATACTACCTACCTGTGTGGTCGGGTAACTGTTGAGCAAAGGGACGTAATGTCGCGACAAACCGCGTCAAATATTATCTCGGTTTTCGATCACCAGTTGTTCGTCTTGGGAGAGCTTGCTCAACCCCCCCCCCCCCTACCCCTTATATTTGCTAATATGAAGGAGCATGTTTATGACAGTTTTATTGGCCATAGGAATAACGATCGATGGACCCAAAGATCTTGCAACTCCTGATTGTACTTTATTTGTCAAACATACACATTACACAGCTCTATCCCCGCCCGAAAGGTGCTATTTTCAAGATTGGAACGAAGTGATACTTAATACGACTCCTAAAACTTGAACGACTCCCTCAACGACAAATATAATGACCATTACGCCGACTCCGGGTACTTCATTTCCTTCATAGAAGATTATCAAATCCGGGGTAGGATCAGCATTGAATATACCTTTTAGTATTTGCCGCAATTAGAAGAAGCTATAATGACATTTTACAAAGATGGCAGAGAATTGATGCTTGTTTCAATTTTAAACAGTAATCATTCTTTGGAATTCCAATATTTACATAATGTAAATCAATAGGCCACCCCTCGGTTGATTTATTGCATTTGGTGTCCAAAGTCATACCGACGTCCCAATGTAGGCGAGCTGTGTTGAGCGCACGGAAATTGTAGAGTAGTGAATAGGGCCCGCACTACAGCCCCGATGCTGTCATGTTTGATTGTACAATGAGGGGGCACGGGTGGCCCATTCGTTGGCCAGTTGCGTCTCTTGGGCACGCCAGAAACCTATGATTGTGGGTTCGAATCCCTGCTCGCCACGATTATGTTTCTAGGTTTGTCAGCACCATACTCGTGCTCGTGGGTTTCATCGAAGTGGTAAACGTCTGAGACCTGCATCACTTCGGGCTTTCCTCCCACATTAAGCTGACACGCCGTGATTTAACTGGAATACTGTTTAAAGCGGCGTTAAACCCAACTCACTCACTCATTGTACTCATTGTATGATTTTTGTCTGTTTATATGCTTCAGCATGCGGCCCGAAGCGCTCCACAGTGCAGTTCTGTTCTTATCATATGCGTGTGTTCGCAGCTACTCTAGTGCACCATAACACTGATGTGCCTTCATTAATATACAAACATGGTCGCATTGACACTCTTGGCTACGGTATACAGTTCTAAATAATATTGGATGTTTGGATATAGCGTTTCGACCAGTAGATTATTGAAGGGACAAAGCGAAATTACTTTCGAAGGCAGAGATCATGTGCAATGCAACAAACCCTAATTAAGAAAACGGTATTCTTTGAGTTCATTTCACAATTGTTAATTAGTTTCTTAGCCCCCCTGTTTCACCTGTGCATCCACAGTTACGAAATGTCCTTTTGGCTCTTTTGAGACCTTAGGGGTGGTCGGGTAGCCTAGTGGTTAGAGCGCTTGCTCGTCACGCCGAAGACCCGGGTTCGATTCCCTACATGGGTACAACGTGTGCAGCCCATTTCTGGTGTACCCCGCCGTGATATTGCTAAAAACGGCGTAAAGCCATACTCAATCAGTGTTCATTGCTTCCCACAGTGTAGGTAGCATATATGAGTATGTAGTAAGGATACGCCTAAAATAAAAATGGCGTGGGAAAGACAAGGCTATACCTTACCCGGGATCAGTTACACTTCTCCGAGATCTTATTGTGAAACGTCCGTGGTTGAGTCACATCCGGGATTCGAACCCGTGTTTTTGTCAATCCAGCAGATTTCTTTGGTTTGTCTTTTTCTTCTACTTGCAGGAATGGTGTTTATTGGGCTCATATTGATGCGGGTCTCCTCATTTGATGCCCTATATATATGTGGGAGTTTGGCCGAGTGGAATAGTCGTCGATGATGGTGCCCCTCGCTATTATTCCTCTCATGCCATTGGTCTGGTAGGCTGGACGCTTGGCAGCTATCGGTCCGCTAACCACCAGGAGGTTATTTGTAGGCTTGAGGTTGCCATTGGGTGCCTCCCCTCCTGAGGTGAGGTGAGGTGAGGTGAAATGGGGTTTAACGTCGCGTCCAAGATTATTGCACTTATATAGCGACGTGCATGCACGTGTGTGTGTGTGTGTTTGTGTGTGTGTGGCTGCTTGTAATAGTCCGGACTGATGCCGATTTATAGTGCTAGCCCACTGAGATACCATGCCGCAGTTTAACATGAATACCCCACTCAGACACAGTATAGTGACTCCGAGCCGACCAGTCCTTATTTAAGCCCCTTAATTCCGAGCGCCAGACAGGGTAACAACAAGTACTATCTTTTAACGTCTTTTGGTATGACGCGGCCGGGGATCGAACCCCGGACCTTCCGTTCTCCGGGCGGACGCTCTACCACTAGACCACGGAGGCGGTCCTCCCCTCCTGAGCGGGGTACTTCATTTGCCGTGGGGGTTCGGGTCCAAATAATTATATTTTGTATTCACAATCAGCAATAAACTGTGCCCAGATGTCTTCCACCAATTCAATAATTTGTATTTATTTCATCCATGTAGGCTTTCTTGGGTTGGTTAAACTTGTTATATGTTGGTAACAATAAATACAAATGATGCTAATATGTTGACCACATACTCTACAGATGTTCGTTCAAAACATCATCACAGATGAAATCAATTTAACATTGGCGAAGCATCAAGACAAATAAATATATTGTTGACCAGGCCTCAGGTTGATTTGTACTGTTACAAATACATACCCAGCAAAGACTCCATATCAGAAAGCATTGCTTTCATTTCAGGATAATAAATGTACAAGCATTTTCACACATCCCGTAAAGATGTTTTTTAGATGAAGGTTGTTTTAGTTATTTACATGACAACTGCTCCTTATGTGTGACCAGTGTGAATGAGATTTGACTGATGGAAGCCCGAACACAAGATGCATAAAGGAATTGAAAATAAATTGAAACAAAATACAGAACACATTAACTCAATTTTACTTGTCGTTTCTAATTATTCTGTGAATTATCATTGAATTCGGTTGTGCATCATAGGTGAAACATGTGAGGAAATATATAAAAATGCCCCCCCGAAGAAAAATAAATATACTAATGTAATATATGATGGTGGTTTGAATACCTTTGAATTATTAAATCTGTACAATGCGTTGAAGTATATATATGCCCACATTTACATCGGACATTGTTTTTCACCAGTTGTCTTGAGCAGGTGTATAAGAGGATCGTCTCAGAAATTGGAAAACCTGTCTTTGCAGCAATAGGCTTGTGCGCTTCTGTCTTGCCCACCTCTTTCCCATACGCAATTTGTCTGGGATATGATGCATGTATGCTTTTTAACAAATGTACGCGAATCACAAAATAACGTATGAAGAATTTAATTGCACAAATTATATCTTCATAACTTCTAAGACAACATCATGTTTTCAGTTTACAATTCTATGGGATGAACATTGCATGTATTTTCGCGAAATCACGTATTACCTGGCATGCTGTCAGATCGTGGTCACTCATCATGGGTGGGTAAGTAGGCTGAGGTGCTGCAATTTGGATTGCAAAGTAGTGCAGAGATCTGCTGTTCGTGGGTTCTAATCCGTGTTTGATCTCGATAATTGACAATTCCATGGGATATATAATTGCGTGTATTTTCGTGAATTTAAGTATTTACTGGTATAGTGTGTTATATGGCTGTGTAATTTATTGTTAAATAATGTTTAATTTTATTACATTGTTTCTTTTGAGATTCAGTAGAAGCTCATAGCGATGTGCTTTGACAATGGTTCGTTGTCAGGAATGTAGTACCATATTATATGTAAGCAGTGGTGTGGAAGTTACTATATTTAGAAACGTTTTAAGTCAAGTGTAATCTGGAATGCCCTAGTTCAACCAGACTGGCCCAGTACTATGTAGAAAGTTCTGGAAGGTGGTAAGACTATATAATGGGACGACAGCGTGCCTCTCTCTTCTACCATCACATCTCACAAGACACCAAGTTTAGCAATATTCCAGCAATATAACGGCTTCACACATTGTACCCATGTCGGGAATAGAACCTGGGTCTTCGGCGTGACAAGCGAAGGCTTTAACCACTAGGCTACCCGATCACCCGCATGGCACTAAGACCAGCGGATGTGTGCAGATAATTGGATTTGGATACCCAGCCTAGGCCTATTTAGGAAGCTTGATCACTGTTGCTGCATGGTGAATATTATTAATTTTGTCATTATTGTTATAATCACTGCTAATGCATTTGATATTGCCATTGAATTTGGTACTGTCCTTCTATTGTGTACTGCCATTGTAATTGTTCTGCAGTAATTTGTAATGATTTGTAAACCTAGTTAATTCTATAATACAATTGTTAATAGTATACCATTTCTTTGTTGTTTGTTGGTTTCACGCCGAATTATTTTGCTCACAGATTTCCGGGTTACTTTATTGTTTCAATATGGAAATCTATTCATAACAACTGTCAACTGTTGGCTGAGGTCCTGCAATTTGGATTGCATACTAGTGCAGAGATCTGCTATTCGTGGGTTCGAATCCGTATATAATCCAGATAATGATGCTTGATTCATCAGCTCTGTGGACATTGTCAGGTGTTTTACCAAAACGGTAAACGTTTAGATTCCGCGTCTCTTGGGGTTTTCAACCCACATTAAGCCGTAATATAACTGAAACAATATTCCACAATACGCTAAACCAAACTCACTCCAATCTCATTAAAATCAGATCTTGTTTCTCGCTACGGCTTAACAAGATCTGAGGACATCTCATTACGCGTCACGACAGAACGACTTTTCGCGAATTTTGACCGACCAATGAAATGACTAACAAGAAGTCGACATTAGCCAATCAGAAAGCAGCTCGAGGTTTACGACACTAGTTTCAAACAGACGACTTTCATTTCAGACTACGTTTGAAAAATATGTTGACAAAGTTATTGATTAAAAATGTGAAAACTGAACAAAATAACATTCACTATGTCTAGAGTATGGTCGAGGTTGTATGGCAGCACTTCCCAAGTGCTATGACACGCCTCTTCCGTTCAAATGTTTATCCCATTGAAGCGAGAGATAGACGGTGATTTTGTCACTCGTGCAGGCCGTAGCTGTTTTTCGGAATACCTCGTGTTAACCTTTTCGAGGTTGCATGATTAGAAAACACATTTCGATTGTCTCTGATTGGTTTGATGAAAGGTCGCGCTGTCGTGATGGGATGTCCTCAGGTCTTTGCATAGTGGTTGCGAGAACTAAGATCTGATTTCGATCACATGTTGAATACAGAAAATTTTCTGGTATTTCCAATTCCACTATGACCTCAACATCCTTAATGAAAGTGCGCCCGCAAACCACTTTTCGTAACGACTCCTGTACTTTGATCAGCTTCCCTTAGAAAAAGTGATAGTGTGACGTATCGTTTGTTCCTGAACAGTTGCCACGCAGTACGCAACCTCGAATATGTTCAAAATCTCAAAACAAACATTGACAGGAGTTACATAACATTCTGTTTTATTGTCCCTTTGTTATAGCAGTTTTTCGGGTGAAAAAGTTTACATAACTTGCGTATATAAAGAATATATCAGAACTGAATGTGGTCAGAAGTGTAGTCCAGAACCCATTATGTAAATATATGTACCTGTAAAAGCGCCAATGTGTAACAATGCATCAATATACAGCTATAGCAGATTACCATGTCTGGACCAAGTGAACCACACCTGTATAAATGTCACTTTTCAATGAAATCAGTGGGTTCTTTTGCGCGCATCAAGAGAAATTATATGGCCGCTTAATACAACTTCAGGAAGGTAAGCCACGCCTTTTGGAATGTTACTTGTCAATATTTTATGGCCGCTTAGCACAACTTAAGCAAGGTATACCACAACCGTGTGACCCTCAGCGTGGATTATCCTTCTACTGTAATTCTACCGTATCTTAGTCATTTCCACACAAGGGTGAAGACCTTTATACCACCTGACAAAACATATACACGACCATCCCCATCTTCACAAATCCCGATTGGATACATTAAATCAGTCAGAATGTCTCCAACAAACTCTCCTGACTCAGTCAGATGGAACACTCTGTTTAGAGAGAAGTCTGTAACCAGGATGTCACCTGTGCTGATACTTGTGGTACGAAGTTGAGCATCGAAGTCAGGAGTACTGAGTACTTTTTCAGTTCTGTCTGGATCTATGTAGGTGAACAACTTTTCTCCATTTGGCTTTAGACACACGAGACGCTTTGAGTCCCCGTCAGACACCAGGATGTTTCCTGTCTTCGTGGTACAGAGGACATTTGGAGAATCCATGATGAATGTATTGCAGAATGGACCCAAACCGATTGTCCGCTTCACAGTTCCGTTCATATCTAGGATATCAACACAGGGAGGTTCCTGGGAACTTGCTGCTAGAGACGATGGTGGCAGAAATGTAATGCCCACATAGGACTTGCTTGTTTCGATGGCTCGCAGCGTTTCCAGCTCCGGTTTGACATTTACAATTAAAATCTGTTTCAATATCGGCAAAGTGACAGCCACCTGATTGTTTTGCAACTTAGTCAAACAACAGGGATAGCTGTCCAGACTAAGCCTACTTTGGTGTGGGGTACGGTCCTTGTTTTTGTAGAAGGACTTCACGCTCTGGTTTTGCCGGTCTATGACTATAACTGTGTCTGTATCGTCCACCGCCATCACTGTCACGCCAGCGGGCAGTACTATCGTTGTATCTCCATGTACCATGCTAGGTGTTATGTCTAACTCAGGAGTAGCATTCAGTGATAGGTTCGCCATCTGAAGAATTGAATAAGATGTTGGCATCTTCAAGTTCGATGTTTAAAGTGATATGTGAATATAAATTTTAGTAGAGGAAAATCTATGAGATGGTGAAAGAGCAATAGTTCCTCTCCGTTATAAAAAATGAGCAAGAACAGTGCCAAATACCTGGAGGAGCAATCGTCATATTTTCGAACAATGTAGAGCATTCCATTCTAATGTCAGAGCATTCCCTTTTCAAAACACTAGCCTGGTTTAGTTTACCCTATTTGATATAAATTCACACACAAGCTCTTACTGCCTAAGTGACTTGTTTGTCGAATGTTTTGAAAGTTTGCTTTTAATAACTTCCGTGTCAACACAGGCTATTATCCATTGGAATGCGAAACCAGCTTTTTTTATAGCTCGGGCTTCCATGGCATTGTTCCACCGCTTGAACGTGTTGATCAACAGTAATTGTTTACGCATATTTGGCTAAACCGTTAACCCCATTTTACCTCACACAATATTTATACGCAAACTCTATCACGGAGCGAAAGTCCTGATGACGTCATATCGACAATCATTATAATCCTCACAGGTTGAGGCGATGCAGAGGACCCACAGTAATAAGCCGAGAATATTCATCGTACAACAGAGACTGTCATCGTATACACTTAATATAGTCTAACAACAAGCTCTATGTGAGCGTTTCTTATCAAACACCACGTTTTGAAATGAGAAGACACTGAATTTTCATGTTCAATGAGTTAATAATAAATTTCAATTTTAAAATCTGTTCTGTATATAGAGTTCTCACGAAAGAAAGAGAAAGATAATCACAATCACAATCTGAGATTTGAACCTCTCAAATGTGGTTGTATCAAATAAGTATTGGCGGGACGTGGTCCTGTGCACAGCCCAAAGGTCACAAATCAGGCGAAGTAATCGTATTCCTACAGCTCAGTTCCTGAGAGTTTCTAGGGATTCGGTCCGGCTCTAAGCTGAAGCACGTTTAACATGTGGCGTCTCCTTGGGCAAGTGACTTTGTTCGAAATTTGCCTCACCCAGCAGTGAATGGGTACCCGGTAGGATGGTTTCGGAATTTTAACTGGAATTTTAACCACTCACCTCAAAGTTACCTCGCCGAAGTTTGCAATGTCGAGCAGTTCTCTGGTGATCTCAAAGTAGTCAGATCTAGTTGAGAAGGAAACAGCTTTATTAATATCATAACTTGAATTTTGTGGTTGAGTATTTGTAGTTTTAATATTCCACAATAAACACTTGTTCTCAGTCTACGTTTGAATGACGATCACCTGCTAGATAATGGCAACAGTAACGCACACCATAACCTCAAAAATAGGCGCATCACATATCGTTATTTAACAGTTTGCCTGCTTTTTCATAACCAATCTTACGCTTGTGAGGACGGCACACCAATCATACACATAGGGGGTTGCGAGAGTCGAGGGGTGAAGGGGGTGGGTGGTTGTGGTGGTGGGGGTACGTGTGGGTCTGGTCAGTTTCAGTGATATAGGCGTAGACTGGTTCCCTGCCCTGGTTACAACCCCATGCGTGTAAGCGAGTAGGCTGACATTGCTCATTTCCATAACAAAAGTAGACTGACTCAGCATATCCAACTTCCTGGTTTAGCTACACAGTTCAATGTATAACCTCGGCCATCGGGACTCGTGACAGCCCCAATAATACCATAAACAACACATATCACATGTTGCTACAAGTGCATGGATCTACGAATACATGTCAATATTTAACACGTCCATCAAATATATATAGATCTATTTCACATTTCCGTTGAACCAGTAAGTGCGGGTTTGTATGGTGTTATGTATGAACATAAACATTGAAGGGGAACAACATAACGAAAGTACACGTCACAGTTACAGGTTTTCTACCCCTAGATGCGAATTTCAACCGGTATTATGAGTCAAACACATGCCCACACACATACAGCTTGAAACACCGCTAATGAATTGTAGATGAATTCTGTGTCAGATTGTGTTTTGTCTATTAAGGAGAGAATGGATATGACACCTACCTGTGGAATCTTGTCAATGTTGAGCAAAGGGACGTAATTTCGCAACATATCGCTACTAATATTATCTCCCTTGAAATAACGAAACATTTTCAAACATACACATTACACAGCTCTATCCCCGCCCGAAAGGTTCTATTTTCAAGATTGGAACGAAGTGATACTTAATATTGGTTACAAGCACTGACGTAGTAACCAATAAAAAAACGACTCCTAAAACTTGAACGACTCCCTCGACGACAAATATAATGACCATTACGCCGACTCCGGGTACTTCTTTCCTTCATAGAAGATGATCAAATCCGGGGTAGGATCAGCATTGAATATACCTTTTAGTATTTGCCGCAATTAGAAGGAGGTATAATGACATTTTACAAAGATGGCAGAGAATTGATGCTTGTTTCAATTTTAAACGGTAATCATTCTTTGGAATTCCAATATTTACATAATGTAAATCAATAGGCCATCCCACAGTTGATTTATTGCATTTGGTGTCCAAAGTCATACCGACGTCCCAATGTAGGCGAGCTGTGTTGAGCGCACGGAAATTGTAGAGTGGTGATTTAGGGGCCGCACTACAGCCCCGATGCTGTCATGTTTGATTGTACAATGAGGGGGCACGGGTGGCCCAGTCGTTCGAGGCGCCGCGATTCGCTGTGCAGAGTTGCGTCCCTTGGGCACGCCAGAAACCTAATATTGTGGGTTCGAATCCCGGTTCGCCCGGATTATGTTTCTAGGTTTGTCAGCACCATACCCGTGCTCGTGGGTTTCACCGAAGTGGTAAACGTCTGAGACCTGCATCACTTCGGGCTTTCCTCCAACTTTAAACTGACACGCCGTGATATAACTGGAATACTGTTAAAAGCGGCGTTAAACCCAACTCACTCACTCATTGTACAATGAGTTGTCTGTTTATATGCTACAGCATGCGGCCCGAAGCGCCACACAATGCAGTTCTGTTCTGATCATATGCGTGTGTTCGCAGCTACTCTAGTGCACCATAACACTGATGTGCCTTCATTAATATACAAACATGGTCGCATTGACACTCTTGGCTTCGGTATACAGTTCTTAATAATGTTGGATGTTTGGACATAGCGTATCGACCAGTAGAATATTGAAGGGGCAAAGTGAAATTACTTTCGAAGGGAGAAATCATGTGCAATGCAACAAACCCAAATTAAGAAACCTGTTCATTTCAAAGAGCGTTCATTTCACAATTGTTAATTAGTTTCTTAGTGCTCCTGTTTCACCTGTGCATCCACAGTCACGAAATGTCCTGCTGACGGAAATCTCCCAGTTTGGTCATATAGCTGCCCAGAGGCCCTTTTCAGACCTTAGGGGCGGTCGGGTAGCCTAGTGGTTAGAGGGTTCGCTCGTCACGCCGAAGACCCGGGTCCGAAGCCGTTTTCTGGTGTCCCCCGCCGTGATATTGCTGGAATATTGCTAAAAAGCCACACCCACTCTTTTCAGACCTTGAGGGAGATGGTGTCGAGAAAGGTCAGGATGTCAATACTCAAACCTATGTCAAAATATGTGTTTGATTAATTCTGTTTACTATATCACTTATTATATCATTATCATTCTCAAGAGAGGTGATATCATGTAAAACCACTGGTCAAAGTTCAAGGCCACTATCGTTATTAAACTTTCTGGTTTGGCAACACAGTCACTGTGGGTCTGTGTACATAAAACCTGGTTATGCAAATTGAGGTAATACATTCAGGGAATTGTTGTTGGCTTGGGTTCGTATGAAGGTTCGACAGAAATGAATATCAAAGGCTGTCATTTGCGTCACAGTACAGTCGCCGGGGGGCGGTCGGGTAGCCTAGTGGTTAAAGCGTTCGCTCGTCACGCCGAAGACCCGGGTTCGATTCCCTACATGGGTACAACGTGTGCAGCCCATTTCTGGTGTACCCCGCCGTGATATTGCTAAAAACGGCGTAAAGCCATACTCACTCAGTGTTCATTGCTTCCCACAGTGTAGGTAGCATATATGAGTATGTAGTAAGGATACGCCCAAAATAAAAATGGCGTGGGAAAGACAAGGCTATACCTTACCCGGGATCAGTTACACTTCTCCGAGATCTTATTGTGAAACGTCCGTGGTTGAGTCACATCCGGGATTCGAACCCACACTGCCAGAGTGAGGCACCTAATCGCCAGCACACAAACGCTTCCAGTTCTCCTGTTCGTCCACAGTTATGAAATGTCCCGAGGACGTAAATCTCTCAGTTCTTGTGGATACCTAGCCATGTAGATGCCCAAAGGCTTGCTCCTTCAAAATTTGAGGAGGTCTGTGTTAAGTATTGTCAGAATGTAAATTGCGACCTAAAGAAAACCCAAATAATAATGCATTATATCAAAGTGCACCTATAGATAAATAATTTAACAACATTAACATAGTAATTCGTGATCAAAGGGAGACTACTCTTGTATTGCAAGAGCGCATCATGTCAATAATTGCTTGGACGGCACTCTTTTCCGTTGAAACAGCCACCCAAGACGCAGTAGCTTATAAGTTCCCGCCCTCCCTTCCACGATTTTTAACCATTACTTAAATTGCTATGTCAGCATACCTTGGGGTGTTTTTGTCAATCCAGCAGATTTCTTTGGTTTGTCTTTTTCTTCTACTTGCAGGGATGGTGTATATTGATGCGGGTCTCCTCATTTGATGCCCTATATATATGTGGGAGTTTGGCCGAGTGGAATAGTCGGCGATGATGGTGCCCCTCGCTATTATTCCTCTCATGCCATTGGTCTGGTAGGCTGGACGCTTGGCAGCTATCGGTCTGCTAACCACCAGGAGGTTATTTGTAGGCTTGAGGTGGCCATTGGGTGCCTCCCCGGCTGAGCGGTGTACTTCATTTGCCGTGAGGGTTCGGGTCCAAATAATCATATTTTGTATTCACAACCAGCAATAAACTGTGCCCAGATGTCTTCCACCAATTCAATTGTTTGTATTTATTTCATCCATGTAGGCTTTCTTGGGTTGGTTAAACTTTTTTTATATGTTGGTAACAATAAATACAAATAATGCTAACATGCTGACGTCACACACTACAGATAGCCTTAACAAAAGATGTTCGTTCAAGACATCATCACAGATGAAATTAATTGAACATTGGCGAAGCATCAAGAAAAATAAATATATTGTTGACCAGGCCTCAGGTTAATTTGTACTGTTACAAATACATACACAGTTAAGACTCGATATCAGAAAGCATTGCTTAACTATATTTCAGGATAAGAAATGTACAAGTATTTTCACACATCCCGTAAAGATGTTGATTCGATAAATGTTGTTTAAGTTATTTAAATGACACTTGCTCCTTATGTGTAACCAATGTGAATGAGATTTAATACATGGAATGCAAGCCTGAAATGTCACACAAGATGCATAAAGGAACTGAAAATAAATTGAAACAAAATTCGGAACACATTCTCTCAATTTTACTTGTTGTTTCTTATTATTCTGTGTTAAGAGAAGTTGGTGTACTTTGTCACTGAATTCGGATGTGCATCATAGGTAAAACATGTGAGCAAATATATAAACATGACCCCAAAGAAAAATAAATATACTAATGTAATATATGATGGTAATTTAAATATATTTGAATAAAGAATCTGTACCATGTTTAGACGTTAATATATATGCCCACATTTACATGCAAATTGTTGTTTTCTAGTTGTCTTACGCGGGTGTATAATAGGATCGTCTCCGAAATTGGAAACTGTCTGTGCAGCAATAGCTATAAAGGCGTTTGCGCTCCTGTCATGGTCACCTCTTTTACATACGCGACGTGTCTGGGCCATGATGCATGTACGCTATATAACAAAATAACGTATGAAAAATTTATTTGCATAAATTATATCTTCATAACTAAGGCAGTGTAATTTGTTGTTAATCAATGCATAATTGCATTACATTGTTTCTGTTAAGATTCAGTAGAAGCTCAAAGCATTCTCGGTGTTTTGACAATGGTTGCTTGTCAGAAATGTAGTACTATCTAATGTAAGCAGTGGTGTGAGAGTAGTGTAATCTAGGATGTTCCATTTCAGCCGGACTGGTCCAGCACTGTGTAAAAGTTCTGGAAGCTAGTTAGACCATATAATGAGTCAGCAGGTGCCTCTCTGTCTTCACATTACATCTCACATGACATCAAGACCCGCGGATGTGTGAAGATCGTTGTTTTCACTCTGTAAACCCAGCCTAGGCCTACTTAAGAAGTTTGACCACCGTTGCTGCTAGGTGAATATTATTGTCTCTGTCATTATTGCTATAACCACTACTACTTTAGTTGTTATTGCCATTGTACTTGTACTGCAATTGAATTTTGTACTGCCCTTCTAACGTATACTGCTATGGTAATTGCTGGGATGAAAGTTGTATTGATTTGTAAACCTAGTTTATTTTTTAATTTACAGCCTTTAATTGTATACCATTTGTCGTTTGTTGGTTTCACAATTCATTAGCGTACAGAGTTCAGGGTTAACTAACTGTTTCAATTTAGAAATCGACACGTAACAACTGTATGGTTGTGGTCACTTATGGGTGTGTCAGTGGAATAAGGTGCTGCAATTCGGATGCACTAGTAGTGGAGAGATCTGTTGTACATGGGTTTGAATCTAGATAATATAATGATTATCTAGATAATAATGCTTGACGTATCAGCACTGATAAAATATGTTGACAAAGTTCTTGATTAAAGATTTAAAAACTGAACTAAAGAACATTCTAAATGTCTAGTGTATGGCCCGAGGTTGTATGGTAGTACTTCCCAAGTGCTATGCAACGTCTCTTCCGTTCAAATGTTTATTCCATTGATGTGAGAGATAGACAATGATTTTGATGGAATCAACTGCCTAACTGTCGTTCGTAATATCCCGTGTTAACCTTTTCGAGGTTTCGTGATTAGAAAACTCATTCCGACTGTCACTTTCCTGATCTGGAAAGCTACGCTCTGATTGGTCGGATGAAAGGTCGTTCTGACGTGACCTCTAATGGGATGCCCTCAGATCTTTGTTTAGCTTTAGCGAGAACTAAGATCTGATTTTAATGAGTTTGACCTCACTCACTCCTCACGTGTTGAATACAGACAATTTTCTGGTATTTCACATTACACGGTGACATCAATATCCTTAATGGAAATGGCATCGGAGGTACATTAACTGTTGCATATCAGTGCGCATTCCTGAACAAATTCAAAATCTCAAACAAACACGGACAGGATTTACATAAATTCTGTTTTATTGTTTTGTGTTATTGCAGTTTGTCTGGGTAACAAGTTTATATGATATGTGCATATAAAGATTATATCAGAAGTAAATGTAATCAGAAGTGTGGACCTAAAATCTATCATGTAAAAGTATTTACATGTAAAAGCGTTAATGTGTAACAATGCAGTGACCGACATCTCAGCTATATCAGGGCAGCCTGTAAATTATCATGTCTGGGCCAGGTAAACCACACCTGTTTGAATGTCACTTGTCAATGAAGTCCAGTGACATCTTCTTCTCTCAATAAGTGATATTTTATGGCCGCATAGCACAACTTAAGCAAGGTAAATCACGCCTGTTTGAATGTCACTTGCCAATATTATTTGGCCGCAAAGCACAGTTTCAGCCAAATAAACCCCGGATATACTTTTTTCTTGTTTGATCTTCAACGTGGAATATCCTTCTACTGTAATTCTACCGTTTCCCACAGTTATTGGGTCACAAAGGTTAAAACCTTAATACCATCTAACAAAACATACACACGACCATTCCCATCTTCACAAATCCCGCGTGGATACTTTAAATCAGTCGGAATGGTTCCAACAACCTCTCCTGACTCCGTCAGATGGATGACGCTGTGCAGATGGTAATCTGTAACCAGGATGTCACCTGTGCTGAGACTTGTCATACGAAGTGTAAACGTCGCTGGAATCTCAAGGTCTGTGGGTCGGTAGTTGAAGACCACATCTCCCTTGGGGGTCAGACACACGAAACACCTGGTTTTCTCGTCAGACACCAGGATGTTTCCTGACGTCGTGGTAGAGAGGAAACTGGGATACTCTACGATGGTTATCTGTTCAATTAACCGCTGTTTTTCTACTGTCATACCATGGTTATCACGTGGACGACAGTTCAGGATATCAAGACAGGTGACTTGGATTTCATCATAGAGATCAGACTTATAACTTTGCGGTTAACTCAATAGTTTCTGATCTGGAGGTTTTAAGTAGGCTTTTGTGGTGAAACTTACTGCAAGTGTCGATGGTGTCAGGGATGTAATGCCAATGTATTCATTGCTGGTGTTGATGGTTGTCAGCAGCTGCAATTCCAGGTCCGGATTGACGCCTACTATTGAAATCTTTTTCCTATTAAGCAAAGTGACAGCCACCTGATTGTTTTGCAACTTAGTCAGATCAAGCGGATTGCTTTCCAGACTGAGCCTACTGTGGCGTGAGGCACCGTGCTTTTTGTAGAAGGACTTCACGCACATGTTAGTCAGGTCTATGACTATAATTATATCTGTACCGTCCACCGCCATCACTGTCATGCCAACGGGCTGTGCTATCTCTCCATCTCCCGCTACTCTGGTGGATGTGATGTCTAACGTAGGAGTAGCCTTCAGGGATAGTTTCATTGAGGTCGCCATCTGAAAGATTGAAGTAAGTTGATTTTCGTAGTTTCTCATTTGTAGTTTAAATATTCCACAAAAAACAACAACATTTGTTCTGAATTTACGTTTGAATAACACCCAAGGCAACAGTAACGTACATCTTAACCCCCAAAATAGGCACGTCTTATTTTATTATTTAACAGTTCGACTGCTTTTTCATTACCAATGTTACGCTTGCGAGTACCGCTTGACAATCACAAAGATGCAGGGTTGCGAGAATCGGAGGTGTGTGTGTGGTCTGTTTCTGTGACAAAAACGTAGACTGATGTCCTGCATTGGTTACAACCGCATGTGCACAAGCGAGTAAGCTGATTTTCCTCATTTCCATGAGGAAAGTTGACTTGCGAAGCATGTTCACCTTCCTGGTTTAGCTACACAGTTCACGATTCATCCACCTGTCACCGAGTCTCATGATAACCCAAATGAGACCATCAACTACACAAATCACATGTTACAAGTCCATGGATCTACTAATATATGTTAATATTGGGGAGCGCCACCTAGCGGTGTGTAGTGCAGCAGCAGAGAAATTTCGCTCTGAGAAAAAAATGAAATAACGTCAAAACCAATCTACCACCGAAGGTAACATTTTGAGAAGTTCCTCATATCAACAACGTCTAGAAGATGAGCTGTGAACATGCAGATTATACAGCCAGAATCGGCTGTTTTCACTCAATCTTTATCAACTTCATGTTCAAAAGAGCTAGACGAGCAGCCATGAGGCCGCACGTGCTGCGCGTGCCGAAGAACACCAGGTTACTTCTGCGTCTCTGTTTGTTTGTGTCTGTGTTGACGTTGACACTTAGCAACGATGCCAAAACCCGCCAACTGACGATTGAGGCTTCTGCTTCTGAAGTCCTAAAAGAACTGAAAGAAATGCGCAAGGAAATAAATGGGAACTTTGATAAACTTAATCGAAAAATTGAATCTGTTGAAAGGGATATGCAATTGATGATGGAGGAAAACAAAGAACTGAAAGACACTGTGAATAATCTATCAAATAAAGTGGAATATCTGGAGGGACTTAGCAAGAGAGATAATCTGATATTATATAATATTGAAGAATCTACTGGCGAAACCACAAGCGAAATCGAAAATAAACTTAAAGAAGTTATCACCAAAATGGAACTGAGACCCACAGACTTTGTATATGATGACATCAGACGACTTCCTACCAAATCACTGGGACCCAGACCTGTACTCGTGACTATTAGAAATTCGCTTGACAGAAAATCGATATTGAAAGGATCAAGCAAACTGAAAGGATCGAAGTTTGGTGTCTCTCAGGATTTTCCAGAAAAAGTACGACAAACCCGACGTAAGTTGAAAACGTTTCTAGATAAGGCAAGAGATGAAATGAAGTATGCAGTACTGAGATATGATAAGATTCAAATTGATAACAAACTGTACAGATTTGATCACATAAATGAAAATCTAATACACATAAAGACATTCTCACCAGTCACTAGGAGTGGTATAAACAACGCAGCAGCAGTGACGGAATCAGCGGAAGCAACAGATACAAATGATGATGATTAGGGGTGTGGCCAACGTCCATTATGCACAGATATCAGCCTAAAACTGTCAGTGTGGAACTGTGAAGGTTTCAAGAGATTACTACAAAAGAGTCTTTCTTTAGATTTTATCAATAAACATCACATAGCATGTTTCGTGGAATCCTGGTTGAATAAAGAAGATAAAGTAGACATTAATGGATATAATACATACAGCAAAACCAGAACTAAAGCAAGTGGTGCTATCAGAAACTCAGGCGGGATACTCACATGCGTGAATCAAGACATTTCAACTTACGTCTGTGAATTACTAAAACAGATAATGTCCAGTGGATAAAACTTCAGTTAAACATTACTGTGGTGATAGGCACTGTGTATTACTCTCCAGAAGGATCAACCAGCTCACACTCAAAGGAACAATTGTTTGATATTCTAGAAGAGGATATTGATACGTTTCGAAGTTCTTTTCCTAATTGTGAATTCATTCTACATGGTGACTTTAACGCCAGAACTGGGAATTTAGCAGACTATTTAGAAAATGATGATACCACCTATTTGCCAATTGACGAAAATATAAACTATATAATGGATGAACCCGCCCCAAGAATATCTCAAGAAAACAATGTAAACAAAAGGGGAAAGTCATTGTTAGACTTTTGCAAGAAAAATGAACTCCGTATCTGCAATGGTCGTTTGTTTCAAGATAAAGACATTGGGAAAATAACTTGTGTTGTGAATGAGGGCCAAAGCGTTGTAGATTATGTTTTGTGCTCAAATAACATATTTCACCAGTTTACCAGTTTCGATATTTGTAACGAAGTTGAATCCACACACTTTCCTATCACATACTTGTCTTGTTCAAGGGATATAGATCACCTAAGTTGACCAATGATACATTATCTAAAAAGTCAAGATATGTCTGGAACGAGAACAAAATGGTAAAATACACTGAAAATTGGAATTTAATATCGGAACATTCTATCCTAGAAATAACAACAAAAGCAGCATGTGGGCGTGTCGAGGAAGTGGCTGAAAAATTCCACGACTTGCTACTGTCATGTTCAAAGGACTTCAAGAAATCGTCAGTATCCACAGTCAACAAGGGACATAACTGGTGGGATGCGGAATGCTACCAAGCCAGGTGTGACGCACGCCGTAAACTTCGTGCATTTCATGCAACTAACTGTAGACGCGACCGCCTCAACTATATCGAAGCATGGAAATCATACAAACATTTGTGTCACCTGAAATGTTCACGTGCTCTCAATATGAAAAAGGAAAAACTTCAGGAGAGCCTTCTTAATAGGGACAACAAACTATTCTGGTCAATTCTAAAGGGAAAACGACAATTCACAAATCCAGTTATCACACCTGCTGAGTGGATAAGACATTTTGAAAGCCACTTTAATAGTATAAGCACTTCACCCGATGAACAATCCTTTATTGAAAGCATAATGGACTTTATTGACTCAATCACCGATGATTTGATAGATACAACTGTAAATACGAATGATTTAGATAGAGATATTAGTTATGATGAAATTACTGCTGCTATTTCAGGTATGAAAAAGGGCAAAGCTCCAGGATATAGTGGTATACCAATTGACTTTTTCAAAAATGCTCCATTTGCTTGCGTTAACCTATTACTGACTTTATACAATGCAGTATTGAGAACTGGCATCTATCCAAAACAGTGGTCACTTGGTGCAATACTTCCAATTCATAAAAAAGGAAATGTAAACAATCCTAAAAATTATCGCCCCATAACTTTACTGGAAGTTTCCGGTTTGCAGATGACATGGCACTCTTCGATAGAACAGTAAAGGGTCTACAAAAAAGACTTGACAAATTATCTGTTTATTGTTAATAATGGAGCCTCTGTGTTAATGTTGAGAAAACAAAAGTAGTTGTTTTTAGAAAAGGTGGTAGACTTAGGAACTATGAAAAGTTTTATCTTGACAATAGACCGTTAGAAATAGTTCCTTCCTATAAATATTTAGGTGTTCAGTTCTCTAGCAGTGGTTCCTGGTATAAAACACAGAAAACTCTGTCTTTTCAAATGTCCAAGGTTTTGAATACAATGCGCTCCCAATGTAATAATTTTAGAAATTTATCATTGCCGGTATTGCTGTATATTTTTGATGTTAAATTGTTTCCAGTGTTGACTTATGGATCTGAAATTTGGGGTTTTCATCCATCGCCAGACGCAACCCGTGTTTACGATACTTACTTTAAGCAATTACTCTGTCTTGGTAGAAGCACACCAAATGTTGTTGCTAGAGGTGAAGTTGGATATTGTTCATTAAAAGCTAAGATGTACATCAAAATAATTAAGTATTGGCTGAGATTAATTTATCAACAAGATAATGTGATTCTACAGCAGGCATATTCTTTTCAATATAGGTTAGCTGAATTAGACAAGAGTTGTTGGGCATATAATGTTAAAATGCTTTTATTTAAGTACGGTTTTGGATTTGTTTGGAAAAACCAAAATGTTAATTGTATCACTTCCTTTTTGTCAGAGTTTGAAGAGCGTTGTAAAGAGATTGATTACCAAATGTGGTTTGAGGATTTGTCAAAATATTCTAAATTGAAAATGTACCAGTCTGTTAAGACTGTCTTTAAATTTGAAGAATACCTATCACTTGTCATTGTACATCCTTATAGAAATGCTCTGATTAAATTTAGATGTTCAAACCATAAACTTATGATTGAATACGGACGTACACTTGGTATAAGTGCGAATGAAAGATTCTGTCCATTGTGTATCGTACCTTGTGTCGAAACTGAATACCATTTTTTGTATGATATGCCCATTCTATAATGATATAAGAAGTCTATTACCAAAATACTATGTACAAAACCCAACTCTTTTTAAATTCCAACAACTACTGTCATCACAAAATGCCTACACTGTAAATGTCTTAGCGAAATATATTTTCCTGTCAATGAAAAAAAGATGTAAACAACTCAATATTAATTAATTGTCACTTTGATTGACCAATGTATAATATTGTATGGCGCTCAATTGAATTGAAAAAATCAATGAAATATGTATTGTATAATGGGCCGGTGGCCCCTTTACTGCAATAAACTCTCTCTCATATGTTAATATTTAACATGCATAACATATATATTTGTTTCACAATTCCGTTGTACCAGTTAATGTAGGTTTGTATGGTGGTTGTATCTACATAAATATGAAGGGGTACAACGTAACGAAAGTACATGACACAGATACAGGTTTTCTACCCCTAGTTGCGAAGTTCAACCGCTTATTATGAGTCAAATACATGCCTACATGCCCACATGCATACAACTTAAAACTCTGCTAATGAACTGTAGATGAATACTGTGTCAGACTGTGTTTTGTTAATAGAGGCGAGAGCGGTCATAACACCTACCTGTACAATCGTGTTCGGTTGAGCAAAGGGACGTTATCTCGCGACAAACCGCTACTAATATTAGCTCCCTTGCCATAGCGGTTTTATTTCACCTGCTGTTCGTCCTAGAAGTGCTTGTCCCTTCCCTGATATTGGCTGATATGGATGATGATGTTATTTTTATTCAGTTTAATTGGCTATATTCACAAAAAACAACTTTATCAATAACGGTTGAATTAACATTTCGGAGTATTACTTTTTTACATTGAAAGTTGAGAGGATTGCACATCTCCACAACGAAATACTAATTTAAACAGTTAAGCAGACGAAAGGTGAGGAAGGGCATGCTTCAGTTGTAACTACATTTATATCTGTAACTATGCATTTTTACAGTTCAACATCAGCTCTGTATAAAACAGCTTTATGAATATCATAACTTGAATTTTGTTGTTGTTTATTTGTAGCTTTATTATTCCACAATATACACTTGTTCTCAGTCTACGTTTGAAGATCACCTGCGACATAATGGCAACAGTAACGCACACCATAACCTCAAAATAGGCGCATCGTATATCATTATTTAACAGTTTGTCTGCTTTTTCATAACCAATGTTACGCTTGCGAGGACGGCCCAACAATCATACACATAGGGGGTTGCGAGAGTCGAGTGGTGAAGGGGGTGGGTTGTTGTGGTGGTGGGGGTACGTGTGGGAGTGGTCAGTTTCAGTGATATAGGCGTAGACTGGTTCCCTGCCCTGGTTACAACCCCATGCGTGTAAGCGAGTAGGCTGACATTGCTCATTTCCATAACAAAAGTAGACTGACTCATCATATCCAACTTCCTGGTTTAGCTACACAGTTCAATGTATAACTTCGGCCATCGGGACTCGTGACAGCCCCAATAATACCATAAACAACACATATCACATGGACAAGTGCATGAATATACGAATACATGTCAATATTTAACACGTCCATCAAATATATATAGATCTATTTCACATTTCCGTTGAACCAGTAAGTGCGGGTTTGTATGGTGTTATGTATGAACATAAACATTGAAGGGGAACAACATAACGAAAGTACACGTCACAGTTACAGGTTTTCTACCCCTAGATGCGAATCTCAACTGGTATTATGAGTCAAACACATGCTCACACACATACAGCTTGAAACACCGCTAATGAATTGTAGATGAATTCTGTGTCAGACTGTGGTTTGTCTATTAAGGAGAGAATGGATATGACACCTACCTGTGGAATCTTGTCAATGTTGAGCAAAGGGACGTAATGTCGAAACAAATCGCTACTAATATTATCTCCCTTGAAATAACGAAACATTTTCAAACATACACATTACACAGCTCTATCCCCGCCCGAAAGGTACTATTTTCAAGATTGGAACGAAGTGATACTTAATATTGGTTACAAGCACTGACGTAGTAACCAATAAAAAAACGACTCCTCAAACTTGAACGACTCCCTCGACGACAATTATAATGACCATTTCGCCGACTCCGGGTACTTCATTTCCTTCATAGAAGATGATCAAATCCGGGGTAGGATCAGCATTGAATATACCTTTTAGTATTTGCCGCAATCAGAAGAAGGTATAATGACATTTTACAAAGATGGCAGAGAATTGATCTTGTTTCAATTTTAAACAGTAATCATTCTTTGGAATTCCAATATTTACATAATGTAAATCAATAGGCCACCCCTCAGTTGATTTATTGCATTTGGTGTCCAAAGTCATACCGACGTCCCAATGTAGGCGAGCTGTGTTGAGCGCACGGAAATTGTAGAGTAGTGAATAGGGCCCGCACTACAGCCCCGATGCTGTCATGTTTGATTGTACAATGAGGGGGCACGGGTGGCCCATTCGTCCAAGGCGCCGCTATTCGCTGTGCAGAGTTGCGTCTCTTGGGCACGCCAGAAACCTATGATTGTGGGTTCGAATCCCTGCTCGCCACGATCATGTTTCTAGGTTTGTCAGCACCATACTCGTGCTCGTGGGTTTCATCGAAGTGGTAAACGTGGTGACCTGCATCACTTCGGGCTTTCCTCCCACATTAAGCTGACACGCCGTGATTTAACTGGAATACTGTTTAAAGCGGCGTTAAACCCGACTCACTCACTCATTGTAAAATGAGTTGTCTGTTTATATGCTGGTATCTTCGGTTTAAGGTGTTTAATATTGAAACTAGTATTTATTTACAGAAACCAAACATGAGTTTTATTGAGATAATCGTTTTTTTAAATTAAATTAAATTAAAAATAAATCTACATAGCTGGTATTTCTTTTAGATGTCCATCCCCACTTTTTGGAAGTAATTTATATATCATTACGATAACTGGCGTTGTTTTTTAGACAAAGGTAATGACGAGGGACGATAAAACATGCTAAGAGCATTTATTCAAACCATTTTCAGCGGAAGAAGCTGTGAGGGGAAGACGCCCTAAGATAGAAGTGGGTAAAAAGTTCACATTTCTGTCTAGGGATATTTTGGCAACTACAGTTCATCCAAAACTAAAAAGACAAACAAAATTAAAAGTGTATACAGAACAGAAGTACTACAAAAAGACCATACAAATTGAAATTGTCAACCCAAAGACAATCTACATTTAAGGTACGGTTTGTGATACGATATATTGTAAAGAGGACCAAGCGTGAGACAGAAAGACATAATCATGATCAGATGGGACGAAAGCACGTGTAAGGCATCATGGAGAAGGTGACTTTTGTACATCTTTTTGATGTTTTTAATAATGTTTTATTTTTAATGTAGAAAAGGGTGAGACATTAATAATTCTCTTTCTCCCCTGCAGAAAATAAGAAGACAATTAATCAGCCCCTCAAAGTTATGTCGCCGAAGTTTGTCATGTGGAGCAGTTTCAATGTGACAGGAGAAAACAGTATTTATTCACATCATAACTTGAATTTGGTTGTTTTTCATTTGTAGTTTAAATATTCCACAATACACATTTATTCTGAATTAACCTTTGAATAACAACCACAACATTAAGGCAAAAGTAATCGAGTAAGCTGATTTTTCCTAGACTGACGAAGCATGTTCACCTTCCTGGTTTAGCTACACAGTTCACGGATCTACTAATATATGCTAATTTTTAACATGCATAACATGTATATTTGTTTCACAATTCCGTTGAACCAGTTAATGTAGGTTTGTGTGGTGATTGTATCTACATAAATATGAAGGGGTACAACGTAACGAAAGTACACGACACAGATACAGGTTTTCTACCCCTAGTTGCGAAGTTCTTCCGCTTGTTATGAGTCAAATACATGCCCACATGCATACAACTTAAAACTCTGCTGATATGGATGATGATGTTATTTTTATTCAGTTTAATTGGCTATATTCACAACTTAAAAACAACTTTATCAATAACGGTTGAATTAACATTTCGAAGTATTACTTTTTTACATTGAAGGTTGAAAGGATTGCACATCTCCACAACGAAATACTAATTTAAACAGTTAAGTAGGTGATATTTTCAAGATGAGGAAGGGCATGCTTCAGTTGTTACTACATTTATATCTGTAACTATGCATTTTTACAGTTCAACATCAGCTCTGTATAAAACAGCTTTATGAATATCATAACTTGAATTTTGTTGTTGTTTATTTGTAGCTTTAATATTCCACAATATACACTTGTTCTCAGTCTACGTTTGAAGATCACCTGCGATATAATGGCAACAGTAACGCACACCATAACCTCAAAATAGGCGCATCGTATATCATTATTTAACAGTTTGTCTGCTTTTTTCATCACCAATGTTACGCTTGTGAGGACGGCACAACAACCATACAGATAGGGGGTTGCGAGAGCCGAGGGGTGAAGGGGGTGGGTGGTTGTGGTGGTGGGGGTACGTGTGGGTGTGGTCAGTTTAGTGATATAGGCGTAGACTGGTTCCCTGCCCTGGTTACAACCCCATGCGTGTAAGCGAGTAGGCTGACATTGCTCATTTCCATAACAAAAGTAGACTGACTCATCATATCCAACTTCCTGGTTTAGCTACACAGTTCAATGTATAACCTCGGCCATCGGGACTCGTGACAGCCCCAATAATACCATAAACAACACATATCACATGTTGCTACAAGTGCATGGATCTACGAATACATGTCAATATTTTTAACACGTCTGTCAAATATATATATTTCACATTTCCGTTGAACCAGTAAATTCAGGTTTGTATGGTGTTATGTAAGTACACAAATATGAAGGGGTAACAACATGACGAAAGTACACGTCACAGTTACAGGTTCTCTACCCCTAGATGCGAATTTCAACTGGTATTCTGAGTCAAATACATGTCCACATGCATACAACGTAAAACTCGAAATGTACAGGAATAGTGTGTGAGACTGTGTTTTGTTAATTGAGGGGAGAGTGGTCATAACACCTACCTGTGCAATCGTGTTCGGTTGAGTAAAGGGACGTAATGTCGCGACAAACCGCTACTAATATTATCTCCCTTGAAATAACGAAAACTCGGTTTCCAATCCCCAGTTGTTCACCTCAGAAGTGTTTGTCCCTTCCCTTACATTTGTTGATATTCCAGTTTAATTGCGTTTAGGAACAGCTTATATCAACGGCTATATCAATGCATGTTGTATTGGTATTTCAAAATATTACGGAGGTTTTACATTGACGGTTGATATGATTTCATATCTCCATAACGAAATACTAATTCTGATGAAGGACCCCCAAGATGGGGACGGACATGCTGATGTTGTAATTACTTTTTTTTATCAATTTGATTGACACTCATGATGTCAATCACTGGTTTGTCTGGTCCAGACTAGTTCATTTACCGACCGCAGTCATATAGCTAGAATATTGCTGAGTGCGGCGTTAACCAATATACAACAGACAACGATAGTGTAGGGCCGCCGTAGTACAGCTAGAATATTGCTGAGGATGTCGATAGTGTAGTTTTCTGTTCAGTTGTAGCTTTGATTTTGTTGGGTTTCCGTTGTTTTCATGTGTGAGGAACATAAAGAAGACCTTGATATCTTCCAGACTTCACCATCTCAAGATGTAGATAGACGATCAACACAGTCATGCCAGCGGTGTCTTGTGGTTGGATTGTCCATACTGATGATGATTCTGTTGTCAGGGTTGACGGCCACCACAACTGTACTTATCACCAACAATGAGCGTAAGTCACTGAAAACACACACACACACACACACACACACACACACACACACACACACACACACACACACACACACACACACACACACACACACACACACACACACACACACACACACACACAAACACACACACACACACACACACACACACACACACACACACACACACACACACACACACACACTCATTCGTTCACTTGTGTTGGCATTATCAGGCAGCCTAACATCAGGTTGTATAGGGACCAACGTGATCAAGGGATCGTGGAATTTAGGAAAGAAAATATTTAATTGTTGGCAATGAAAGATCAGTTTTCACTAGGTCTAGGTCAAGCAAACCTTGTGACAATTTTTGCACCCATTGACAAGTAGTCTTGCTTATATATGAGATCTGCCTTCTCTAGAGGTTTGCGTGCAGACAGTGGACAATGTACATGACAAGTATGCATATCAATTATATGAATCTCCAGTCAACTGAACATATGTATAAAGAAATGAATACAATTTTGTTTGCATATTTGCATTAATAACCATTAACGTAATGTGAATGTATTTACGTTCTAAGTGCCTTTTTTGCTATATATTGTAGGTTGTTCCACATCCAGCAAGTGCCATTCCTGTAGGTCCAGAAATGCCAGGTGTCCAGTGAACGGCACCATGGCTGAAAATGACCCCCCATTGAGTCATGTCCTATCCATTAGGTACCGCCTGCTACTCCGGTGTCAGATACGACGACGGTTGGTAAACGTTAACACCTTGGAAGCCGAGTCGAGTTATTTTTCTGACGCATATTTCATAAGTTCTGAAAATTGAACGTTGTGCAAGAATTGCGGCACTGGGTCTACCTCTGACTACAAAGATACACAGAGACGTAGAATATGTAAATTAATCTTAAAATTTAAAGTGGTTTGAAAAACAGACACTGCTAAGTGTTGTCCGAGATTTTGTTATGCGAGAAAAAAAGCAAAGACGATTTGTCATTTGATTCTAAAATGTATGAGGAATGCAGGGATGTATGTATCGTAGTGTGTGTGTTCTCGTAGGTGTAAAATATATGTGGTTTAATAGGCGTCTCATAACCGGTATGCGTGACACGTGATTTTGTTCTAAAACATTCAAAAGGATTCAAGTGCTATTGGCGATGTTTCAGAGTGATCATTGGTAGTGATCTGAAAAAAACGAGATACCATTGATAACTAATATGCTTATTTTTGTACATTCTCCGAGAAAATATCCAATATTTAGATGTCTAAACATTCCCGAATTAACGCTGTGAATAGTGGTTTAGTAATATGTCAAAAATGGCGAGATTTACGATGAACCTAATTTTCGTTTTCAGTAATTTTTCTTTGCCTAAAATGACAGCGGATGATACCACTGAACAGAATGTTTGCCTCGTAATGCAAAACTGTGATGTGATTATGGGTGTGCGTGATGCATTTCCAATATTATTTGACTTTAAAGTGAGGGTTGAAGAGGAGGGAGATATCTGTCCCGGTGGCATCATGCGGGTTAAGACAGATAGTGAGTGTGAGTGAGGGAGTTGAGTTTAATGCCGCTGTGAACAGTATTTCAGTTTTATCACAGCGAGTCAGCTAAGTGTGGAGTATGACTCACTGCACGTGATGCAGGACTCAGATATTTACCTATGCTGGATGGCAAACCAAGGATCATAATCAGGATATGTATTCGAAAGGTAGGTTGTTGTTAGGTATCAGCAGATCCTGGTACTTCAACCTAACTCTGCGCATCTGATTATAGCATATTTTCTTTTATATAAGAATATATTATTGTGGCAAAGTTTGCTGTTACATACTGTGGGCTACTACTAAAGACTTATTATACACTAACGTCAGGAATATCCAGTAATCAACACCATCTTATGTAAATATTGATGCAAGTTGACTTCGCCTCAAAAGAGGACATCCAGGTCTCAAGTGTAAACCACATGTTCGGAGCTGGAATATTGCTGAGTGCGGCATCAAACAACAAACAAACATATTTGGGGAGTTTGGTTCCTGGGAGTTTTGTCCTCGGTCCTGCCCAACACTGAAGGACATGTAACACATGTGGTGTTTTTTAGGTCAAGTGACTTCGTTCGAACTGTGTCTCTGTTTACCAAGCAGTGAATGGGTACCCGGTAAGATGAGATGGCAACGTGGCTGTTAACCGTCCAACCCCCCTATTTACAGGCAACTTGGGTCTTATACCCCCCAGGGAGCTGAGAATGATTGTTGTGTGCACACTGATCCATTGACCGGGAGTAGTCTTCTTCTTCTTATAAAACAATTTGAGCGCCACGATGATTGTACGTCGAGGTATGGGACTATAGGAGTACTATATTCGTACATGTAATTGAAGCTTCCCTACCTCCTCATTTGTGCTTTAGGTTGTCCGGAGAAGCCACAGAACATGACAAAAAAATACACTTTGTTGATCAGTGACACGTATGTTGTTACAGCAATGTGTATTTGCTGTTTGGGGAGGAATAATACACGTAGAAGGTATTAGTGTTTCCGTAATCACCAAAGCATTGCTGAACATCAGAAAATTATGCATTACAATTGAAGGACGTTTACTCATATTTTTATCTGTCACTGCATGATGTGCTTGTATGAAATGATGTCTGGTAGATGTTCTTCTATTCGAAGTTGAAAAATAATTTACGGACAAGATTTGCCCCTCATTTATTGTGATGTGAAAGGAGTGAGTGAGTGAGTTGGGTTTAACAGAGCCGCTTTTAACAGCATTCCAGTTATATCACGGCGTGTCAGATGAATGTGGGAGGAAAGCCTTAACTGATGCAGGTCTCAGACGTTTACCACTACGGTGAAACCCACGAGCAGGGGTATGGTGCTGACAAACCTAGAAACATAATCGGGGCGAACCGGGTTTCGAACCCACAATCATAGGTTTCTGTCGTGCCCAAGGGACGCAATGCTGCTGATGTGAAAGGAAACGATAACATGTACCAATCGAATTATGAGAATTATTGATATTTTACCATGTTAGCATTAACATTGTATTTTCCCCGACCACTTTTCATGATTTATGTCTATGAATAACATATATCTGTGTTCACATTCAAACAAACTGTCAAACAGTCAGAACACTGGTATTACATCGCGCCGCTATGCTGGTAATAAAACATCAGATAGCGAACTTGGTGTTATATTGACCTACCAGCATTGCCATTGTATTATACCAGAATGACCAATTTATCTTTAGATAATGACATTCAATTCATACTACACTCACAACGAGAATAATTATTTTACATCAACCTATCCAGTATTATAAAGTAAAATATTAAAGACACATGTAGTCACACATTTGCATTATTTTTCTGGTTACATAGTTCGTTTAATATTCTGATCTAAGTTCATACACTCATGTCCTATGTGTCTACCAATGGAAAGCTGGTATGTTTTCTTCGTGTGTTTGAAGTTTTTCATATTAACTATGATTTATTTTCTTTCAATTACTTACACATAACATGCGATTGTGTCAGTGTTTATGTTTAGTCACCCTGGTGTTTTATGAGGAATGGTATGTTTTGTGCAGTAAAGTATTAATAAAATAGGTGGTGTCTGTAATAAAATTTGTTTTTAATATTTTAATTCAAACATTATTTTTTTCATTCTTTGTTGTATATGCAAGTATATGGGTGTCTTTGAATCACTTCATTGAAGGTTGTTCCTTGGGATGGTATTGTGATTCCAATATGTCCACTTTATCATGTGCTATTACGACTGTATCGTCACTATATGGCTGATGTTGCCGATGTGACGTAAAGCATTAACTCACTCACTCACTATTACGACTGTATCTAATTGAAGAACCCCTTATGTAAAAAGTAGTGCAATAAACGTCTCGAATAGTCTATTTCTCTTTTATACTGGGGTATGATCAGGGTAAGATCAGTGTTGTTGTGTGAATGTCACGTTACACCACCTATGGTTGTCAGTTCAGTCATTTAGGGTCGCGACAAAGTGTCTTTATAAACAGTTTAGGTGTAACCCTTTCTTATTTAGGTAATTGTGCATAGTATATAGGTACTATCTGCACTATAGGGTTTGTCAACAAGAACTTGTAAAGTAATTTATGCCATTAAAGATCGAGGCTATATATCTCAAGCCTACTCATTTCTACACGAGACTACCCACGTTTTCACTGTGTAATTAACACCAACAAGGCGTGATTACACAAAGGTGTTCTACCAGTGAACATGAAGATAACGTAAATGGCACTGATGTTATTTCTGAAATCAGTCATTGTTCACGGACCTGTGTTAGTAAAATAGTTAAATACCTGATTATACAATTTAGTCTTTAGTCACTGGACATGAATTGAATGTTTTTTGCTTCTGAATAATATAACTGTTTTACAGTGCCAGACAAACATGGTACACTAATAAAAAAATAAATAACGTTTCTTGGTACTCATTTCTAACATTCCCCATGTATATTTTAATAATGACAAGGAGTATTGTGGATATCAACTTCTTTATCATAAATACGCAAAGTTTCAGGGCGACTTCTTGCGCTTCACAATCAAATGACAGGGTAGGGGAAAACGACACAAATACATACAATTAAAGCTATTTGTGATAAGATTAAAGTTGCGATACAGACAGACAATTTTTCAATAAAAGGCCACTGGCCCAAAATACATACATATGCAGGAATACATAAAGCCTGCGAAAAATGACATATTTACAAACTGGGAAAATTTACATTATTTACATTTTTTATTTATTTTTTTATATTTTTTAAATACTTATTCGTAGTGGATTATTTGCTATTTACCCTAAGTTGATAGCTTTGGTAAGAAAAATACATATTTTATATAAGGTATCATATGCATCTGAGGAAATAATAGAGATAAAGTTATGCTGAAGGTTAGAGGTAATATATTATCTAAAAGTGCATTACGAAGGGAGCTGTAGGATTCACAAATAAATAATACATGATATTCATTTTCAATAAAGTACTTATATTTAGATAGAAAGAGAGAGCAGAGTCTTTCTTCATATGGTGTGGCATGGTATCTTCTAGTGTTTACTGCTATTGGAAAGTTACTGCATCTGAAGCGTGATAAAATCCTTTTTAAGTGAGATGGAAGTGGTGAATGTAGAGATATTCAACATTTAGTAGCGCTTTAAAATGTTGATAGGAATAAGAGTCAGATAAACTGTTCACATTTACGCCCCAGGTTTGCTGCAAGTTGTCAAATAGTCTCTGTTTAAACATGGAAATAAAAACATTTTTATCCCCAACTTCTTGTGCTATCCATGCATATCCAAATCCAAATCTGAATAAAATATTTTTAATGTGTGTGGCCCAGGTGGTGCGACCTGAATCATCCAGAACAGCTACCTTCTGGATATGGTAGTCTCTCAGGGCTCAGTTGTATCAGCCTGCACCAGTACTTCACAGCTATTGTCATATATGTAAGCTGTAAAGGAGCTCTACCACACTCACCAAGCACCATCACATTACATGTATTTTTTGACACTTTAAGAACAGATTTGCACACCTTAACTTGAATATCCTCAATGATTTTGCTGTAATTAACACCCCAGATTTCAGAGCCATAGCACAGGATAGGAGTTACAATACTATAAATAATTTTGAATAAATCTTTGCATGGAATATCACCAAGTTTCTTCTGATATCTATTTATGGCAAACACAGATTTGGAACTCTGGGCAGCTAAACATGTTTGAGCCTGGGTCAAGACAATTTTTGGGTGAACAAAATTCCTAAATATCTGTAAAAAACATCAATGCTTTCACCATTATATGACCACTTTTCATAACTTCTTAGGGGACCACCATTTCTAAATACCATTACTTTTATCTTCTTCAGATTGACTTTCATACCAGTTTGTAAACGGAATAAGTGTAGAGCATCAATTTTCTTTTGTAGTTGAACTGCTGAATATGATACAGATGAAACATCATCTGCAAACATTATGGCAGAAACATTTTTAAAATCATGTGATATAAAACCTTCTCCGCAGTCTTCAAGTTGAATAAAAAGCTGATTTATGAATATTATATATGTTGTGGACTCAAAATACAGCCCTGCCGGGTGCCAATATTAAATTCAAAATTATCAGTTAGTCCAGTTGAAGCCCTTACACAAGCACACAGACTTGAATACATTGATGAAATTATGTTGAACAGTTTACCCTTGATCCCAACATCATGTAGGCTTTTCAGTAGATTATCATGTCTTATAGTGTCAAATACCTTTGAAAAGTCAACAAAGAGGCAGTAAAATCTCCCCTTTCTTCTCCCTGCATATTTTGTAGTCATTGCCTGCAGACTAAAAATGTTGTCAATAGTTGAATAATTGGACCTGCACGAGAGTTGCCTCCCTTTCAGTATACGTTTCCCTTCTTCCGGGTCCAAACAAATCCACCCATGTGCGATTGTTTCTTGGCAATCTTGTGTCATATTGTTGATCATGGGTAATGTTCTTTATTGATTTCGTGTTTCTGTCATAGATGAACACCTCACCTTGGACTATCAACTTGTTGAGTCGCATTTTAGGTTGTTTTCCAGCTTCTTGAGCTTGGGCGAACCAGGGTGAGAGGGCTCGTCGATCCTCGCGCACTGACTGTGGAAAATCCTCCTTCACTCGTGTCCTAGATCCCCGCTCCAGTGATTCCCGAGCTTGTTTGAATATCAAGCCCTTATCCTTGGTTAGGGGAAACCTGGCAATAATGAATGAGCTTTGTCTAGTCGTTCGTGTGCCCATATTTTACATGCAAACATTTGGATTTTTCAGTTGTCCGAAGGGTGTGTTCGTGTAACAGTATATCACCTCTGTGATATACACGACATGTCTGGGTCATGGTGCATGGAAACTACACGAGAAATATACGTATGAAACATTTAACTTACATATCTATAAAATTCAAGGGAAAATGATTATTTAAGTCGACAATTTTATCTGATATACATTGCGAACATTTTTGCAACTTAAAGTATCACCTAGAAAACTATCTTGGCCACTGATCATTGTTGGGTCAGTGGGCTTAGGTGTTATAATAAGAGTTGCATAGTAGTGCAGAGATCTGATGTTCCTGGTTTTAAATCCGTGTTTCGTCTACATAATGACCCTTGGTCTATCAGCACTATACCTATTCTCAAGGGTTTAACAAAATGGTAAACATCTAGCTATAGATCCTGCGTCCCTAGCCGTAATATAACCGAAAACATGTTCCAAAAGAAAAGAACACAACTCACTTACTCATCAAATGTTGAAAACAGAAAAGTCTCCTCATACACCCATTAGGAATTTTCTTAAATACTGGTACATTAAGATTCCAATAAGGCGTCAACATCTTCAAAGGAACAAATTCCATACGCCACTTCTTGTTGGGACCCCTGCTCTTCACAGCTTGACAGTTCTTTCTGAGAACACATGACGGAGTGACATATCGGATAGCACCCTCAGTCTTTCTTCGGAAATGATTATTCATTTCCTAAACATTTGTATACAGCTGTGACCTCTTCAACGAGGAATATACTGTACTTCTACCGTTTTCTACACAGTTATTTGGTCACAAAGGTGAAGACCTTAATACCCCTGGATAATACATATACTTTACCACGCCCATCTTTACAAATCCCCTGTGGATGCTTTAAATCAGTCAGTATGTTTCCAACAAACTGTCCTGACTCTGTCAGATGGATGACTCTGTGTAGATGGTGATCTGAAACCAGGATGTCACCTGTGCTGGTACTTGTGATACCACGTGGAGACTTCAGTGCTGTGTCTCCTGTAGGTCTGTAGGTGAACACCACATCTCCCTCGGGGGTCAGACACACGACACACTTGGTTGCACAGTCAGACACTAGGATGTTTCCTGTCCTCGTGGTACAAAGGTAGTTGGGATGCTGTAGTATGTTTTTACCATTATGAAGTGGACCGATTGACCTCAGGGCGTTTCCTGTCATATCCAGGATGTCAACACAGGGAGGAGACTGGGAACTTGCTGCTAGTGTCGATGATGTCAGAGATGTGATACCCACGTACGTTTTGCTGGTTGTGATGGTTGACAGCAGTTCCAGGTCCGGGTTGACTCCTACTATTATAATACGGTTTATATGTGGCATTGCGACAGCCACCTGATTGTGTGTCAACCTTGTCAGACCCCACGGATGATTGTTTAGTTTAAGTCTACTGTGACAAGGTTGATTGTTCCTGGTGTAGAAGGACTTCACACATTTATTCTCCCTGTCTGTTATTACAACTGTATCTGTTCCATTCACAACCATCACTTTCACATCATAAGAGTCTTTTGTTTTCACGTCACCCGCTACTCTGGTGCTGATGGTGTCACGTAACGCAGGCGTAGCCTCCAAGTCCAGCACATCCTCATATAAAACGTCAATCTCCCCCAACTGTAGATTGTCTATTGCTCGACTTAGTACGCTGCTGTTCTGTCTAAATGAGATCATTTCTATCCTTATCTTCTCCTTCAGGTCTGCGTCTCCGACAGCCTCCACATCACCTGCTTCACACCCCTGATACATCTCATATACATCCATGTCATACTCAGATTGGAGAGCCCGGTCCATCAGCTCAGTCTGTTGTTGGTACATCTGTACTGACATCTCACCTAACTTTATATCTGCTTTTAGTTGCCCAATGTGTTTGTCTGACATCTCTTTCAGCTCAGCCAGGAGTTTCCTTTCCTGGAGTTTAATCTTGGCGATTAATGTTTTGCCTGCTGACTGAACGTCGGATTCCAATTGTTTATGTCGAGCTGTTTCTTCATTTACTTTTGATTGCTGTTTTTCAACATGTGTTTTCGCTTCATCTTGTTTCAGTGATAACTCTCCCCTGGCCTTCGCTATGACACTTTTCATCGTCTGTATCTCCGACTCTATGGTGACGACCTGGTCACACTTCCTGTGGTAGATAGTGCAGCATGTGTGGCAAACTGCTTTCTTGCAATCTTTACATAGAAACTTTGTATGTTCGTTCTTGTGTTCTTTACACATGACCTTTCCCTTTCTCTCAACCTTCACCTCTCTAAAAAGATCAGTGACGTCGTGATGACGTGTTGCTGGGATACGGTTGTGCACTCTTGCACATTTCTGGCAGAAGGCGTCATCACAGACTGAGCACCAAACATCAGCTGGAGTTGTCTCCCCGTCGTCTTTACAGTAACTGCAGGACACTCTATCTGAAAACCATATATCTCGTATTATAACTTTTGTTTGAAAAAGCTTTACTTGAGTGCTCCTGGCTGAATGAACTGGCGTTTACATAAACTGTAAACACATGTGAAATAGGAAACCGTTGATATCATCAAGGATTGAACAACAAACTCCTTTATATGCGTATTTATAATTAGAAAGAACGAAAAAACAGTATATGCAGCATTGACTCAAACAGGAGAAGCTCCTGGGTCCAAATGCGCGCTCTTTTTTCACATCACGAACACTCGAGACAAAAAAGCCATTTGATAAAGTGGATTCATTATCATTAGCATCAACTGAGAATACTATATTGTAAAACCAAGTATAAACTGCAACGCATTGATAAGGGACATTTCACATCAGAAAGCCTAATTGTGTAGGTTTGATACTTTTAGTTTTGCTAAATATATAAACTATTCGGCATTCGACAGGCAGACTGATGTTCGTAATTTTGTCAGAAACATTCTGATGGGCTGTCTTTGAATGACATGATGCCACCTTCTGTCTATTTTCATTGCTGTAGTTCAAGGTAACGTTCTTTCTTGTCACAGACATAAAAGCGGCAAAACCTTTCCATAGTACAATTTCCGAATCCGACTGAATCATAAGCCTGTATTTATGAATCAGTATCAGATAGGGATGATACCAGGTAACAATAACAATTTGCATACTATTGACAATAAACGCTGTTGGTTATTTGCGAGAGAGGAAATACTCTTAAACGCCCAGAAGTATGAAAACTCATTATGTTTTACCTCAATGTAATTATATGACTGATTACTACTTCATGTATTATGTATAAAAAAAGTAACATGTGAAGAAACATGCATCGGCGAAGGATTTAGACCCGTCGACCCGCTTTATCTCCCATCATCACTTTATCACACTTCATCACCTATCATCACTTTATCACACTTCATCACTTTATCACACTTCATCTACATCATCACTTTGTCACGCTTTATCTCCCATCATCATTTTATCACAATCCACCTCCTTTCTATCACTCTATCACGCTCCATCTTCTATCATGACTTTATCACACTTCATCATCCATCATCACTTTGTCACATTTCACATCCCATCATCACTTTATCACACTCCACTTCTTCTCATCACCTTGTCACGTTTTATCTTCAATCATCACCTTGTCACACTTCACAATCCATCATCACTTTATCACGCTTCATCTCCTATCACCATATTGTCATGCTTTATCTTCTATCATCATTTTGTGACACTTCACCTTCTATCATCATGTTATCACACTCCACCTCCTATCACCACTTTGTATACCTTTAGATCCTGGACCAAACGAGTCCAAGAGTCCCTGGATGACAAAGCTAGGCTTGACGTCATCCGCCCACTCCTCCACTGGTCTCTCAGGGTCAGTCACTTTCGTCATCTTGCTGCAGAATGGACACAGGAGAGACTTGGCACTGATGACTTCTGGTCTGGTTTTGGTATAGTTGACGACACATTTCCGACAGAAGGTGTGATTGCAGTCAAGTGTACAAGGATTGTCAAACACCTCGGTACATATGACACAGGAGAGAAAATGCTTTCTCAGCGTCTGGGAAGTAGCCATCTGAAACACTGAAAAGGAGATACGTTCAAAACATCATTTCAAAAACATACACGAACGCACACACTCCTGTATTTGTTATCTCAAAGTGAGGTAAGTAAGATTTTACCCAATAAAGTGACAGCTGTGCAATTCAACAAATGATATTGAATTATTAAATGAAATAGATAAAACTTCACATACTCTGCGATAGATCCTAAATGCCAGAGAATAAACAGTCTCGATTATCTGCCGATACAGATTCCATGGGGCATAAAAGGCAAAATAGCGGTTGCCGTTATATGACTGAGTCACTGAAAATCAGTGTTGCCAAGGGTAAGCATGCCTTACTGGTAGCACTCGCCACTCACACAATTTGCATGAAAAGGTGAGCATTTGTTTGTTGCCTGACGCCACACAGAAGTCCTCCATTACGGAAATCAACTCTGTTGGTTCATAGTTACAGAGACTCCAGCCTTGTTGAAATAATCAGCTGAGTATCATATGAGCCACGTGCGTTTCCAGGGCGAATATGGGATTTGCAAGTACAATCGTGTTACAGTTAAGCAAAGGGACGTAATGTCGCGACAAAGCACTACTAATATTACCTCCTTTGAAATAACGAAAAATCGGTTTCCAATCCCATGTTGTTCGTCTCAGAAGTGTTTGTCCCTTCCCTTACATTTGCTAATATTCCAGTTTAATTGCGTTTAGGAACAGCTTATATCAACGGCTATATCCATGTATGATGTATTGGTATTTTAAAAATATTACGAGGTTTTACATTGACCACTTCCAAGATCCAACTCTCTTGCAGGTGCCTCTACTCCAAGTTAGCTCCAGCTAATACAACTTCCACAACTTCCGCAACTTCAATATAAGACCAAGTCGCAGAATAACTTTTGCACTTTTATTTTTCAATATAATCTCCATTCACCTCAATGCACTTATTCCATTTGTCCTTCAAGCTTTTAATACCACTTTTATAGAAATCCGCAGATTGGCCCTCTAACCACGCCTCTGTGGCAGCCTTTATGTCCTCTTCATCTTCGAAGCGTTTTCCACGTAGGGCAGATTTCATTTACCTGAACAGGAAATAGTCCCTGGGGGCAAAGTCTGGACTGTACAGTTAAATCACCCACACTACAGCCCAGATTTAGCCCCCAGTGACTATTTCCTGTTCCGGTAAATGAAATCTGCCCTACGTGGAAGACGCTTCCAGGATGTTCCTGCCTTTTCTTTGTCCGAGCCTTTGTTACAGTTATTATGTTATACAGGAAACGTATCGAATATTATATCTTGTGATCTGGAGTAGGATCAGCATTTGGTATTATAACACTTTTAGTATTACCCGGGCAGTGCCTAGTAGCGATGCATGCGCGGGGACATTGTGGACATTAGACAAAGGTATAATTTAATTTTAGAAATATTGCAGAGAACTGATGCTTGTAATCAATCTTTTGAATTCCAGTGTACATATAAAGTACATCAAATAACAGGCCATAGGCTATCTGCTCCGTTGAATTATTGCCTTTGGTGTCCAAATCCATATCGACTTCACACTGCGGGTGAGCATTGTTGAGTGTTGAGTGTCATGTTGATTGGAAATATAGTTTGTATTTAACTGCTGCTGAAAGCGGTCTGAAGCGCAGGATCATAGGCCTGTGTGTACAGCAAATTTAGGGCACCATATCACTGATATGGCTTCGTTATAAAAACACTTTCGCTTTGACACCTTTCGCTTAGGTATACAGTTCTTAATGAGATTTGATGTTTGGATTAAGTTGATTAATCAGTACATTATTGATGGGGTTAGGTGAACAGAAGCAGACAGAAATAATGTGCAAAGAGACAGAACCCATTGAGGGAACTGTTATATTTCTATGTTGGTTAAACAGTTATAAGCGCACGTGTTTCACCTGAAATGTCTTGTGGAGGGAAATCTCTCAGTCAATACTAGGCCATGCAGCTGCCCAGAGGACTGTTATTCAAACCTACTCGGTGTGGAGTAGGGGCAGAATGGCAAAAGCCGAACCTATGGGTTTAGTTGAATCCGTTTTCTATACAATTAGCATTCTCGCGAGGGACGAATTCATGTATTACCACTGGTCATAGTTCAAGGCTACTGGTAGTGGCACAAGGTCAGAAACCTCTCCCGCCCAAGTGACATTGTCATACGGCCTCAGACCACAGTTATCCCCCGTTTTACCATGAACCGGAAGCAACATAGGAAAACTACCCTGTTTTAATGGGCTGTTCATCCTGATTACATCTTCCCATGGTTTGACCCTAAGGTGAAGGCCGCTCTGTGTGTGTTTCGTCTCGAAACATCCGGTGAGCATTGTATACAGTGGTTACTACGAAATCCAGCTGGTGGATCCAGGCCGATACTTTGCGGACAAATGGGAATGCAACAGGAGAACAGCCTACGGCCGATATAAATTATGGTGGGCTGTAGATAGCAAAGAGGAAGAAAATATTGTGGTCTGAGGCCAGAAGAGATCTTGACACCATTGACAACACAAACTGAAACAGTTAATCAACGTTTTGAAACTGGCTGTTCTCTAGAACAAAAGACACAGTATTCCTAAATCCTAAGAACAGGTGTACGTTGTAATTTGTTCGATTTTTATTGCAATAAATATCATTCCATCACATGAGGAATCTGTCTCTTGTTTTGTTCTATCAAATACGTTATATATGTTCTCCTATTAACATTATTTCTCTTTCGCGTATGAAAATATTGTCAACGAAATAGATTGGTTAAATGTTTCAAAGCAGTCATTTTTCAAAAGGCGACGAGTGACTAGAGAAATTATACACGTCTCCAGTGAAGCTTCATCTCATGCAGTAGGCTAACACTATTTAACTTCCTGGTTTGGCAACACTCAGTGCTAGGCTGTATTCACATAAACTGATTACACAAAATGAGGTAATACATTCAGGTAATTATCGTTGGTATGGGTTCGTTGGGGGTTTAATACAAATGATTATAAAAGGCCATCATAGTGTCGCACGTACACCAACAGGTCGCCGGTCACATGGGCTTCTACCCTGAGGTCTTCAGCGACCTATGCTTGTCGTAAGAGGAGACTAACGGGATCGGGGTGTCATACTCGCTGAGATCTTGTTTAAAAAATGAAGTGAGTTATGTATAATATAAAATTAAAATACATATAAATTCATCATTGATAATAGGTATTTCTAGTGAACCGGTAACATACATGGATGTTCATGGTGATGCTAGCACTAAGGGAGGGTAAACTACCTACTCTGTATAACGAAAGTACACGTTACAGACATGATGTTTCTCTCTTCTCTGGTATTCCAAGCATCACATGTTCGCATTCATACCTGTTACCCCACTTTAATTTATAGATGACTACTATGTCAGATACGTTTTTTAGTTTTTTAGTGTTAGAATCGCCATAAACCTACCTGTGCACTTGTTCTGTCCGTCACAGGCAGTGTCTGACTGAACTGCAAATCATTTCAAATATTAGATAAGATAGGGGCAATCTCGAGAGCTTTATGACGTCATACAGAGTTATTCCGAAAGCGGTCTGAAGCGCAGGATCATTAACCTACCTGTGCACTGGTTCTGTCCGTCACAGGCAGTGCCTGACTCAACTGCAAACCACTTCAAATATTAGATAAGATCGGAGCAATCTCGATAGTTTCATGACGCCATGCAGAGTTATTCTGAATCCAGTCTAGGCAACGGTTTTATGTGTATCAAAATGACAAAGACGGAGACGACACAAACATTGGCTAAGTTTTGATGCCTAAAATTGGAAATTTAAACCATATATTTTCAAAATGATACCCTGTTTGTTTACAACAAAACCCCGTTGTTTGGGACGATACCGATTTACAAATCCTAGTTGTGTATTTATGCCTTTAGCTACATATAAACGTTCAAAATAGTTATCTGGAAAGGACTTTGCCGAGATCCGGACTAGTTTCACAACATGTATACTGAAAAAGTACTGCGCGAGCCGAACATTGACAAGTTTAAATATGAGTATTATTCCCTTTTGGCAAAATCTTTCTTGAGTAATCTGTGTTTGCCTAGTTAAGAAAAACATTGATTATACAAATCGAATTATTTTTTGACAGGTATTCATGAATCTGAATAAAACATTTAAATTGACGATTGCCAAAACATCCTTTAAACCGAGTTCGTTTACTTGTTCTTTTTATTGATGCCTACAAGGTACATGCACATAATGTGAATGACAAAATTCAGGAAAAACATGGCAAATATGCGGACCTCGCTTTCGGGATGTCACGCTTGCATCCCAAGTACCAAGTTGTCCGTCTACCCATTGTTCTCGGTGTCTTGGTAGCTCCCAATCTGTTGACTGACATTGGGAGAGTACGCTGGTTTGCTACAAGGAATACAGCCCTTCTGACAATCTGGGTAATGCAGAAGGCTTCAGTGTTGGGGAGATTTCACATTCTCGGAAAGGTTCTGGGTGTGTTTGACTAGGCAGCGCTTCCTGGGAGAAGTCCCATTCGCTGTCTGGGCTGCGTGTAGAGGGGGCAATGGCCCTGAGCTGATGATGAGCCTAAGCAGCCTGACTGTGCCAGGATCACCCAACACCCTCTTTGCTTCATTTTTTTACTTAAATATGTACATGATAATAATAATAATAATAATAATAATTATTATAATAATAAGGGTAACCGGATATTTCTAGGTGTATTAAGAATTAACAAATGAAAATAATTTAAAAAACTTAAAAACTTCGAAGTTTAAGCCTGGAGTGAACGTATATCACCACAAGGGAAGTAAACGACGTATAACTTCGTGCCACGTGGATGTGATACTGTATAGAACAGAGTACGATATGGTTATGACATACACTTGGTCACAGGCTATCACATTTTATGTCAGTAACACTAAGATAACACAGTTCATCTGATACAAACCGACACATGATCTCAGATATCAGACTGTCCTACAACTGGACGAGCATATGCAAACATATCACACACACACACACACACACACACACACACACACACACACACACACACACACACACACACACACACACACACACACACACACACACACACACACACACACACATGAAACGCCCTAGTTCGTTCAATATTTTTCCACAATTATTATCAACCCTTAGACCAGTTCCGTACATGTCTATAACGTCATCGCTGAGATTTGAGTTTCTATTGGTTAAGCCAACAAGCTTAACTCGTTCCTCCTAATGTCCTTAAAACTATCATTTCGTTAAGATTGTCTGATAAAGCAACTCAAAAATGGAATGCAGGGGTTACACATTCTTCTAAAGGTGTCACATATCGCATATTTAAAACTGAACTCGTCCTTGAAAAGTATTTATTAGTTATCCCTTTCTCGTTGGCTGTAAAATCCCGTCTGTTTAGAACCTCATGCCACCATTTACCTATTGAACTAGGTGGGTGGCACAAAATCCCTGCCAATGAACGAACGTGTAACCCCAAATATGTTTGAATTTAAAGAACTTTTTAATTGTAAAAAAATGAATGTTATTAAAAAACTGTACATTCTGTAATGTAATTATGAAAATTGTAAAATCTTCCATGTAAACCATCCCACCACCTTATGTATTTACTGTTGGTAAATTTGTACCTCATATGCCGAGGATTCCGGCCTGAGCGTAAATAAAGTTCTGTTCTGTTCTCATTACCTGCCGAAAGATGAAAATAATGTAATAGATCACAAAAAAATCAGTGATGACGAAAAGGGTTAGCATGCCCTGTCCTGTAATACCCACCACTCACACAATTTGCATAAGAGAGTGTTTGTGTGTTTCCTGGTGCAAGGAAATGTCTTAATTATACATGCAGATTTTTTTTAACATTTTTCTTTTTGCATACAGCTTTGTATTGTTCGTACGGTATTCCAATGCTCAGAACTTACATAATTAACTGACTTCGGACAGCTATACCGCAACTCCTCGTACCTCGTAGGTTATTCTCTTACTGTTGATAACATTCCACCAACACGCTACTGCTTAAACTTGCTTGGTGAATAGAGGACAAGTACAATGCATGGTGATAACGCGTTAAGGTAGCGGTGACCATTGACGGGGTGTAGACGTATATCGGCCGATACATATCTAGGTTACCATCCTGTCAGTGGGTACTGCATCTCTCTATTTTGAAAATGAGTATTATGCTCATCCAATATGCTGACCAGATGGGAATAATTCTATTTGAATGTTAGTTCAGTTATGTATACTTAAGGGAAGTTATTGGGAGATGCTCAAAGGCTGCAAGACCTACAGTAACACCTGACCTAAAAAGTCATATGATGGATTAATTTTGCACACAACGCCAGCGATAAACGCCGCTTTTAGATTGAATTGCGGCGCCTTAGACGACTGGGCCATCTGTGACCCCGTCATTGTAATAACTACCACTACGACATGTTAACTGTATACGTCCTTCAAAACAAGAACTTAAAGGAAGACAACCACTGTGTTGTTAAATACAATAATGCCACCCTCGGTTTGGGTATTTAACACTCCTTGGAATGAGCGCTAGACTGCTTTCTTAAATAGGAGAAGCCACCATAAATACCCTCAGACGTTTACGACTTTGGTAAAGCTCACAGACACGGATATAGATGTCACAGGCCCAAGGGTTATTTTCGGGTCGAATCTCGTATGCGAACCAATGATCAATAGTTAAATGCAATTAAATATTGTTGAGAAATCAGTGTGCATAACATACTCAATACCATCGATAAATGCAAATTATAAATCATGAAACTTGGTGAGTATAGTCTTTATTTCGGTACCAGCCGCCAGGTGAGAAGGATCTAATCTACCGTACGTTAAAGATAACTTTGTACGTCTAAATGGCAGTATAAATTCAACATTGAAGGTTTTTGATTTAAGTTATTGTGAACGCTGGCTTTTGTGGGGCAACATTCGTCACCAAAAAACCCAACAACATTAAAAAGCTTGAATAAAGTTAATTTGTCCTCAGGTTTGAACCCCAAAATTCTTTATTAAAAAAAATGTTTAAAAGAGAAAAAAACAACTCTTCAGCTCCTTTCACTGAAAAAAAATCAAGCAGTGACAAAACAATCTAAACATCGACACCCTACTGCAATGATCGGTCCCTATCCAGTATTCGTGCATTATATGTAAATTGCCGATTTCAGCATGGTCATGCTCTCCATAGGATATACATGTAAATGAAATTCTATATCCCGCTATTGTTATTACAATCATTTACCTGAGCTTTGAACGCCTGTCACATGTATTGGTGTATTGTTACATTTCACCTGACAGTGCACGTCAAGTGATAAGGCGTGTCAGTCCCTGTCTTATCATTAACTACGAAACGCTGTAGTGAGGCAAGGAGGTATGCTGCGTCTTATTCTTTTAGTGTGTTGTGTCGGCACTTTGTATGCTGAAAAAGTACGTTATGACGGGTAAGAAATATTACATTATTCTCATTCTAACATTGAATAATACATGTTCAATGAATGGCTAGGAAAATATTTCATTTCATGTTGTACTTTTCAATGTACGCAGATAATATCATATTCGTGAAACAAAATAAAGTTTTATATGTTTCCGTTATTACTGCCCTCATCTGGAAGGTATGATAACAGCTGTTGCTCATGCCAATAACTGTTGGTTGTGGGTGGGTGGGGGTGGTGGGGCGGGACGGGGGGTGGGGTGGGGATGTGGGGGATGACACGGGTGGAGTTGGTGATCGGGGTGGGTGTGGAGAATCGTCAAAGCATTTTACTGGTAATTAAGGCGTGCCAGAAACCAAGGATCGTCGGTTTACTCTGATTATGTTTCTAGATGTGTCAGCACTGAAGGGTTTCATTCAAGAGGTGCACTACTATAAGACCTGCCTCACCTCACTTCGGACTTTCCTTTCACATCAAGCTGAGGCGCCATGTTAAAACTGAAACACTTTTGAGAGCGACGTTTAACCAAACTCCTTTACTCACTCACTCGCTAGTGACTGTAATGATCTGTTGTTTATTTATCAATACAGGCACAAAATTATTCGTGTGACACCCAGCTCTGAAGCGGAGTTTTATCAACTCGATGAATTTCAACAATACTTGGCCAAGGAAAGGGTGAGTTGAAATTTAATATGATCTGTTTATTTGTAAGAAAGAGAAACTAACAAGGGAAGCCAACAGATGATTGGCGCTGATAGGTGATTAGCAATAGACAATGGAAACCAACACTTTACAGTACTTAGCGCTGATGGTATGGAAGCCAGTACTTAAGTTATCATAGATAAGTAATAGGTAATGGACACTGGGCAAACGGGAGGCCGGGGGTAATTGGCACCGACAGGGGAGAGAATGGACATAGCAATGGGCAAATGGAAGCCAGCTACGTAATTAGCATATATTCTCTTCCTTATGTGTATCATTTCTAAATGCCTTTCAAAGACCTGTTTATTTGTGTTACATTGCATTGTGTCAAACACAATTGTTGTGTACAATGTCGATTGTATGCAATATACCATTGCTACAGTTGCAACATATCTGATGTGACGTAAAGAACCTTGACTTATTACATGTATGTACTGCCTCCTTAGCGTAGAAAATACATAAGTGTCTGAAAACTTCAAAGTAATTCAAAACATTACGTTAGTTATTAGTGTAATGTTCATCAAATAAAACATGGTTTTAGTTTCAACAAAAACAGTAAACGCACTATCTTGTATGGATTGAATGGTCCCAACACGCTATCACTGTATATAGGACGACAACGTAGGGCACCAGTATTGCTGGGTGCGTTGGGAAACGAACATATTTCCTTTTCCTAGAACACCTGGTGTTATCAATGATTTTCAGTGATCCTTTATGTACAATGGAATCGACGAAAAGTGTTTTATATGTCTGTTGTCAGTGACATTAAAGAAATAACTGGACAAATTGTTATTATTTTACTAATTGGTATGAGTTCAAGACAACAATTATACCAACCATATTCGGGTTTTATATCTCAATATAAGAAGAAAATAAAAAAAGTATGAAATCAATATTACTTAAAAAATAATAAGCGCTTTCAATAAAAGCGCTTTCATACTGCTCCAGATTTAATTATCACAATATTTGGGTTTTGCATTTGATATTAAATTCAGCCATAATTAAGTATGAGGTACCAAAATTATATCAGTCTTCTTGCATACCAACAACTTTCTTTATAATTATTAAGGTTGACATATGGCACAAGAGCTCCGGACCCAATTCACACCTCGACTTCCGGCTTGGACCGGATATGGGTTACATATTGGGCCACCTGCGACTGACGTCACGTGTTCTCATTCCGAATGTACAGGCCTACATTGACTACGAACTGAAAACCAACATCATGTCCAAACAGCATGTTGGAGCTGGGTTTGACTACGGCATGTATCATGATCTCGACGAGGTATGTTGTCAAAATAAAGAAAACAGGATCATCTGTTCTTTGGGCATGCCAGAAACCTATGATTGTGGGTTCGAATCCCGGTTCGCCCCGATTATGTTTCTAGGTTTGTCAGCACCATACCCGTGCTCGTGAGTTTTACTAAAGTGGTAAACGTCTTAGACCTGCATCACTTCGGGCTTTCCTCCCACATTATGCTGACACGCCGTGATACTGGAATACTGTAGCGGAATTAAACCAAACTCACTTACTTACTCATCTGTCCATTACCTCGGTTAACTTGCTCCTTTGTTCAGAACCCAATGGACTGCCTCCGTGGCCTAGTGGTAGAGCGGTTGGTCCGGGGTTCGATCCCCGGCCGCGTCATACCAAAAGACGTTAAAATATGGTATTTGTTGTTACCCTGTCTGGCGCTCGGCATTAAAGTGCGAAAAGGACTGGTCGACTCGGCGTGAGTCAACTGTGTCTGAGTGGTGTATTCATGTTAAACTTCGGCATGGTATCTCAGTGAGCTATAAATCGGCATCAGTCCGGATTAGTCCAAACAGCCACACACACACACACAAACACAAACACACACAAACACACACGCGCGCGCGCGCACACACACACACACACACACACACACACACACACACACACACACACACACACACACACACACACACACACACACACACACACACACACACACACACACACACACACGTCGCTATATAAGTGCAATAATCTTGGACGCTACGTTAAACCCAATTTCACCTCAACCCAGAACCCAATGGAATTCTACAAGGGATATTTTCATTTCATTTCGATTTCGCTGTTTCGAACTTAAGGTAAATGTAGTTTGGCATCTTCATGTGTGCGTATGCCTGTGTGCGTGTGCGTGTGCGTGTGCGTGTGCGTTTGCGGGTGTATATACGCTCGCATCCTACTGGATCCGATAGTGTTGTTAACCTAAGTTCGGGAGCGTAACTTTCATCCATATGAATAATTATATAATGCATAATAATGTTAACGAGGGGTTCAATGAGCCCAAGTGTTTGCCTTGCATAAACTTCTATTCTGTTCAGTTCTGTTCTGTTCTGTTCTATAAAGTATTTTATGTAATTTCATTTATTTGAGTTCATTTATTAAAAAACAATTTTGTGTTATTATTAAGGGAGTATTAAGTATTACGTCCATCAACATTTTCTTGTCTTAATACAAGACACATCTACGTGCTGTGGACTAAATGAGTGAATTATTGCTGATTTGTTATACAACTACATAAACATGACATTGTACTAAGAACCTTAAGCCGTACAACAAATTGAACGCATGAGAGAAAATGAAAGTGAGAAAGAATAGAACCACAGCAGAAGTAAGAAGAATTTCATATGTTATATGTCACTTATCTTTTTTCAGATTATGGACTGGATGAAGGACATCGTTTCTCAGTATTCTGAAATAGCTCAGCTGTTCCCTATCACTGAGTCATTTGAAGGCCGCCAGCTGAATGGAATCAAGGTGATACCTGACGGGACACACACAGCGCTGACGTATTTCTCATTATACTGGGACCGCCTCCGTGGTCTAATGGTAGAGCGTCCGCCCGGAGAGCGGAAGGTCCGGGGTTCGATCCCCAGCCGCGTCATACCAAAAGACGTTAAAAGATGGTACTTGTAGTTACCCTGTCTGGCGCTCGGCATTAAGGGGCTAAAACAAGGACTGGTCGGCTCGGAGTCAGTATACTTTGTCTGAGTGGGGTATTCATGTTAAACTGCGGCATGGTATCTCAGTGTGCTAGCACTATAAATCGGCATCAGTCCGGACTAGTACAAGCAGCCACACACCCATACACGTGCATGCACGTCGCTATATAAGTGCAATAATCTTGGACGCGACGTTAAACCCCATATCACCTCACCTCACCTCTCATTATACTGCTTGATAGGGATAGCGGCAAAAGAAAATACTTTTGAAAGAACACGTTCCATTAAACATGCGTTCTTAACCTACACCCCTACATCACATCTAAATATAGTACGGGATAACACAATACATTTTAGTGAGTGGGTATGATTTTATGTCGCAATCAGCAATATTCCAGCAATTTAACGGCAAGGTACCCCAGAATTGAGCTCCGCACATTGGACCTATATGGGGAACCGAACCCGGGCCTTGGGCGTGACGAGAGAATGTTTTAACCACTAGACTATCCCACTGCCCCTTTGGGGGATTAATTGTTTGAATGGTTCATATGCATACTCTTTACAATGTGATTTATTGTGAAATGACAATTTGCGATGTTCTGCTGAACTAGGGTTATATAATCTATTATTACGAAACTCAATTATAGGAGCCACTGTGTTTTCGCACAATAATTGAGTTCTAAAAATATAATAAGTTGTCGTCTAAAGAAGGGAATTCCAATGCTCTGAAATTAGGTCACGTGTCACATAAAGTCTTCATTCCTTTGGGTATCGCTCGATTGCGTCCTTAGTTTGACATACTGTTTGATACTGTTTGATCAACAAATGTTTAGATTTCAGTGGACCCTCGTCCAGGAAAACCAGGAATATGGCTGGAGGGCGGTATCCATGCCAGAGAGTGGATCTCACCTGCCACAGTAATTTACATGACAGGACAGGTACGTATACGCACAATCTGATGTATTTTACACACATGTAATACCAGAATATCTGGGAATGTCAGATGTTTATAAACAGGTAACATTGGAAGCTACTGTTTGACCATACCTAGGCATGTAATTTAAGCATTGAGGTACATATTCGTTGTGCCCCGTATTAAGGTTGAAACGCATCCGGCTACTCGTCTACGTGTTATTAATCTACTAGTAACACGGTAAAACGTTAACATCGTCGAGGTAAACCGTTACTCTTGTTAAGGTATAACGTTACACTCGTACAAGTAAAACGTTATTCTCGTCCAGGTAAACGTTACTCTTGTTAAGGTATAACGTTACACTCGTACAAGTAAAACGTTACTCTCGTCCAGGTAAACGTTACTCTCGTCCAGGTAAACGTTACTCTCGTCCAGGTAAAACGTTACTTTCGTCCAGGTCAAACGTTACTCTCGTCCAGGTAAACGTTACTCTCGTCCAGGTAAAAAAAGTTACTTTCGTCCAGGTCAAACGTTACTTTCGTCCAGGTAAAAAGTTACTCTTGTTGAGGTATACTCTATCTACTCGGTGTAGATTCTAATACCGTCATCAACTGCTAATTGCAATATACATCTACATCCTCACTACACCTGATGTAAGGTAATGTAATGTAATGTTATGTAATGTAATGTAATCTAATATGGTGTAATGCAATGACAAGAAATGTACAGTAATGGAGAGCTCACGTCTGTGTCAATCTTGCAACAGTTTCTGGAGCAAAATGGGAAAGACCCGAATGTGACGGCAGCTCTCAAAGCCTTTGACGTTTACATCGTCCCCGTTTTCAACATCGACGGCTATGAATACACCCGGAAAACAGTAAGTTACGTATACACGTTCCACCGAGGCGATACTGCTACTAAAGCATTTGTGATAACGAGAAGAATATCCTAACAATTTTGACCCATTGTCAAAACTTACACAACTATTAAGTTCTAAACATGATAAAATTTACATGTTTGTTAACAATATTTATTTGAAGAGACAACATGATTTAAACGCACTGTTAAGAAACACCAACAGAATGACCATTCAAGACGGGCTCGCCTTGTAGGACATGTCACCTGTTTCACGAACATCCGTTGTCGTCACCAAATCATTAAATTATAAATTAGATATTTTCTTTGGATTTTGTTTATTATTCTATGGCTACCTATAACACGCTGGCATTATTTGATGAAACAAAAAACACAACTTTTTAGGACCGTATGTGGAGGAAGACGAGGAGCAAGCGTGACGGTCAGAGATGTGTGGGTGTGGACCCCAACAGAAACTGGGACTTTCACTGGTGCGGTAGGTTCTGTGTTATACACTGACGCTGGTTCGTGTGTGTCGATAGATGACTACAAGCAGCCAAGGGAAGACTGTACAGAAGAGAATACATGAATTCCGTATTGATTATTTAAGACCGATATTCTTACTTGGTTAAATGTAGGCAGCAATAATGGCCTTATATTGATTGTCTTTTTATTCTATTGATATGGAACAAATTGGAAATTTACTATGGTAATTATGTCAATACATGTATAAGTGACCCACCAGAAGAAAGGGGACATTATTGGTGAAAAATCACATTACCACTTATCATTGTATTTTAAAAGGAAAGTATCTTAGGAACACAAAAATACAATTCACAAGTTTCAGAGATATATGGCATCAACTTTTGGACTCATTTTCTGCAAAGTCCCATTTTCAGACTTATTACTGTTTAGGTAATAATTGCAGTTTTTAGATATAATGTCTGATTAATTGAACGTAGACATGAATGCTGCAATGTTTTGAAATAATGTTTTTATTACATTACGAACAAACGAGAGAAAAATAACTATTTTTGTACATTTTTTACGGAAGTAAGTTGACGTCAAACGTCTTTCTTTATAACGTCACAGCAGAATTGTTTCGAAGCAGTCATAAGGTCCCTTTTCTCTTTGTGGTCACATATTTTTATAACGGATAATCCAGTCATCTAAGGCGCCGTAAAGCAGAAACGTGTCCCTCAAGCGTTCCAGAAACCCATGATCGTGGTTTCTTACCCTACAGGGAGCCTGATTAAATGTATGGGTTTGTTAACAACATACCCGTGCTCTTTGGTGTTAACAGGTTGTACACATCGAAGCATCACTTCGAGCTTTCCTCCCTTTAATCTGACACGCCGTGGTAAAACTGAAATGCTGTTCCAAGCGGCTTCACACCAAACTCATCCACTTACTCATTTATCTCATCATCTTTCAGCCCTGCCAGGTGCGAGCACGGACCCCTGCTCCGAGTCCTACTGTGGACCATCAGCGTTCTCTGAGAAGGTGGTCAGCGGTGTCGCCGACTACATACAGAACAAAACCATCAACGTCGTTGGTTTCATTGACTTCCACAGCTACTCTCAGTTATGGATGACTCCATGGGGATATACCAAGGCATTGCCTAAAGATGCTGATGCTCAGGTGCGCCACTGTCTATATTGCTATGCTTTGTACGTTTTATATAGGTTATAAGGTGAATGCGGCATCAAGTATCCCACCGTGCCCATCCAAAAGGCAAATAAGATTGGCTAATATGACAATTATCTGGTGTAGGATGCATATCACTACATGATACAATATATCCGTCAGTTCTAAGCGTGTTCGTTATAAACGTAGGGGGAAAGGGTGGCCCAGTCGTCTAAGGCGCCGCGATTCGCTGTGCAGAGTTGCGTCCCCTGGGCATGCCAGAAACCTATGATTGTGGGTTCGAATCCCGGTTCGGCCTGATTATGTTTCTAGGTTTGTCAGCAAACGTCTGTGACCTGCATCACTTCGGGCTTTCCTCCAACATTCAGCTGACACGCCGTGATATAACTGGAATACTGTTAAAAGCGGCGCTAAACCCAACTCACACTCTGCCAACTTAATTTTCCTGAGTTTTCTTGACTTACAGTATAGACATCTAGAATATGTTAAACTCGTTCCTCACTCACACACACTCTCACTCACACTAATGCGAATTTTACTTAGGCTTCAAAATGGGTTTTCGGATATCAGAACTCGAACAAGTGGACGTTTTGCGAAATGTGACAATTGTATGGAGGCTCAAGAGTACACATCACAGATACAGACCCAATCCTGTTAATCTAATTACTGTCCATAAATAGTTTGTTTGACTATATTAATGAGAATGCACAAAAGGCATATACTTTAGTACAAATACAGAAACTGATGGAATACCACTCATATTCTCGCTGTTTCGAACCATTAAAGGAAATGCAATGACATTTGTCAAAAAGTAATGAATGAATGCTGTTCAATAATAGTAAGAATAACCAGGCTGTTCGCCTATTGCTGATGCTGTATACATGTAGTGGGTGTAATTTCGTTTGTCTGCCATTCCGTTGCCGGTTCGACAGTTGGATGCAACTGATTCATATTTTTTATGTAACCATGTGCTGTCCGTGTGCGTGTATTGACAAACTGCCATGCCTTGCCTATGATGATGAACTAACTGACATTAAATTATCTTGAATGACCACGGAAGATTCGTCGTCTTCTTTTCAACATTCAAGTTTTGCAGCACACATGCAAACAGTATTCATACCACAGCGAACACTTTATAACAGTAACTGCAACTTTATCAAAGAGGAATTACCATTTAGTTGTTATTATATTAATGTATTAATAATTGTAGATTTTTTTATTTCTCCTTAGGTGCTATGATTTAAGTCATTGTTATGGTAGATATGTATTCTACCATAAGTCATCCGTAACCTTAGTAACCACCATTGAATGATATGAGATCATAGTAAATCTGACTTTGGCATCTTTTCACTCCAGGACGTGACGTCGGCTGCTGCAGTGGGTGCCATTGAGTCGGTCCATGGTACCAAATACAAATACGGTTCTATTGCCAACATAATATGTACGTACATTAACATCTATTAACGTACGAGTGGATATACCGTATTCGACGTAACAAGCGCCCACGGCGATATTTGCTGATATATTGGCTTGTGAACAATCCCAATTAGCACCCCTTCCGATTGATCAATGTACACAAGACCTATATATTCGCGTATAATACGCACTCGTGTGTTATATGCACCCTTAATTATGGGCAATTATATTCTGGAAAAATATATCAGTCGTATATAAACATTTCAGGCTGTCAGCGTAAACCAGGAAATTTTATCTTTCAACATCTTTCTAATAAGAGACCCCTTTTTCTAATTTTGATGGGGCGGTCGGGTAGCCTAATGGTTAAAGCGTTCGCTCTTCACGCCGAAGACCCGGGTTCGATTCCCGACATGGGTACAATGTGTGAAGCCCCGCCGTGATATTGCTGGAATATTGCTAAAAGCGGCGTAAAACCATACTCACTCACTCATTCTAATTTTGATCGCGCCCTGGGCGCTTATATCGTCGAATACGGTATATGCGTTATTTTAACTATTTTATAAAGGATTCTTAATATGTTAAGGTGAATTTGAGTTATATGATTATCATTATTCATTATATCTGACCTGTGTATTATTGATACGTCCCATGACAAGGTAATTACTTTCGGTGGGATTCATGGACTCAATATAGGTCTCTACCATTCATGGCCGCCATAAGAGGCGACGAGATTCAAGATCGAGTTATTACAATACGTGATATTTATCAATATATAGTTTGTTGAAATGATCACACGATTTCTCCCTTTTGCCAGATGTGGCTACCGGAAGTAGTGCTGACTGGACATACGGCGGGGCCAACATTGAGTACTCTGTCGGAGTTGAACTGCGTGACACAGGAAAATATGGATTTCTGCTTCCGCCAGACCAAATAGTTCCCTCAGGACAGGAGACACTGGCGGGCGTGCTGGCGTTTATGAGTAGCATTAATATGTCAAAATAAATTGAGTTCCTTGTTATGTTGAGACGATCGCTTGTTGTCTTTGATTTGTAGCAGGATACCACACAATAAATCATAGTCGGAAGTGTATTATGCAAACACAACATTTAGGTGAGGTGCAATAGGTATATGAGTGGCGATTTGTACTAGTCCGGACGTTTGCCCACTTACAGAGCTAGTTAGAGACAGTATACTGAATCCCGGCCGCCCAAGACCATATTAAGCATATTTTGGTATGACGCGACCAGGGGATCGAACTACTGACCGTCCGCTCTCCTGGCAGACGCTCTTTCACTTGACCACGGGGCGGTCTTTAGATTGAGAAATATATTAGATAATTGTGATATATAATTTTGCTATCACGTCGGGATATTAATTTAGCAGACAGTGATTCAGAATGATACATGAATTACACGATAACATTACTAACATTATATCTGTCTATTGTTGAAGACTATATATCTCAGTGGCTCGTATACGATGATATAATAATTGTACTCCGACTGTCTTGAACAATCATGCCCAGGATTTATTTATCGGAACAATATATACATATTTGAACAGGACGCGACTGAATGGATTCTTTTGCATATACCAGTTCTAAATCTACCATGTCAAATTGAACACACGGCTTTGTTTTAATCTTTCATTTCAACTCAAACACTTCTACCATTATTGTATCACTATATCCATTTAAAGTTCCCATCGTCGTTGTCTCGCAGCTCCTAGGTTAAATTTGCAATGTAAAGCAGTATTTGAGAACTCGCATACTTAACTGTTCTGGCAACGGTGAAACAGGTCTTCTCATTGCTAAAGGTGATCTGGGCCAATGCTAGTAGGAATCCATATTTGAAATAGTTTCATGCACGTGCCTGTCACATGACACTAAATAACGCAACCAGGCGCCAGTTTGAACAGCATTCCAGTTATATCACGGCGAGTCAGCTTGATGTGGGAGGAACGCCCAAAGTGATGCAGGTCTCATCTTTGGTTAAAGCCACGAGGGTACGGGTATGCTGTTGAGAAACCTAGAAGCATCTTCGGGGTGAACCGGGATTCGATTTTTGTTTCTGGCGTGCCCAAGGGACGCAACTCTGCACAGCAAACTCAGACGACTGGGTCCCCCTGACACCCATTGTTAATGAGGTGAGGTTAAAGGGGTTTAACGTCGCGTCCAAGATTATTGCACTTATATAGCGAAGTTCATGCACAAGTGTATGGCGTGTGTGTGGCTTCTTGGACTAGTCCGGACTGATGCCGAAAGTATAATGCTAGCCCACTGAGATTTCAGCCGCAGTTTAACATGAAAAACCAACTCAGACACAGTTTTCTGACTCCGAGCCGACCAGTCCTTGTTTTTGCCCTTTATGCTGAGCGCACCAGACAGGGTAACAACAAGTACTATCCTTTCAACGTCTTTTGACATAACGCGGCCGGGGATCAACCCCGGACCTTCCGCTCTCCGGGCGGACACTCTACCATTAGACCACGGAGGAGGTCATTTGCTGATGAACCGTATTGTTAACCTGTTTCTGCCTGGTTTTGCTTGAATTCAAAGTGTATACTTATTTTCGGTTAAACATTCAATAACACATAACTGTAATATCAACTTAATGGGGTCCTGATATGTTGCTGCCTGGGGTATTTATGTAGATAAAGTAATATACCGTGTGATCAGATCTTTGAAGGACAAGAGCAATTGCAATTGGTGAGGCAACAATTAATCTCAAATATTCATTGCCCTTATACCAACAGTGAACAGCGATGGTCATGTGGCTACTGAAGATATAATGTGCTACTTTATACCAGTGGAGGATTCTAATTTTATGCGTTGGATTTCGCAAATAATTAATGCTACACATTTCGTAGTTTTACTATTGGGTCATTTGTTTTTCACATCAGTTGTCAAGCACATATTTAGCATAGGCGAGGAACCCTTCCAGCGTCTCCTCCCCACACGGGATGATCTGGTCAGCTGGCAGGAGGAAACCAAACTGGCCCTTGTCCCTCAGCTCGGGGGTGGCAGCGTACTTGATGCCCATGCTGCCATACGCCCAGTCCACGGCGTTGCCGTTGGCGATATCTGGAACCCGTTATATTAGTAAATAGGATGTTACAACACTAAAATATGTTTATCAGTCTGTGTCCATTACAGATGTTTGTTTGTATACCGTGTGCATTACAAAGCAGTTTACAAATACAGTTTGGTCTTTGACTATCTACATGTTTATAAAGAGCGACTGTTGTACAGCTACATTGTCGGGCAGATGCTTGTTATGGATAAAACGACTTTTATTTGGAAATGTTGTAACATATTCAAGGGTGGAATGACTTTATTCCATAATACCATATGTGAGCCACAAAGAGAAAGGGGGTCTTATGGGCGCAAGGATACAATTGTGCTGTGACGTCATAAATAGGGACGTTTGACGTCAACTTACTTCTGTAAAAAGTGGCCATTTGTGCGGACTGTACAAAAATATCTTATTTTGCTCTCGTTTTTTCGTAATGTAATAAAAACACTCTTTCAAAACATTTCAGCATACGTCTCTTTTCTTTAAAACTGCAATCATTACATAAACAGCTATAAGTCTGAAAATGTTGCTTTGCAGAAAATAAGTCTAAATGTTTGATGTATATCTGTAATAAATATGAATTGAAATTAATGATTTTTTTATGGTCCTAAGATACTGTAATTTTATTATATAATTAGAAGTCAAAATGTGATGGTTCACCCATAAGGTCCCTTATCCTATGGTTGGTCACATGTATTATTACAAACAATGTACAGAATATTCCACATTCGAATCCAAAGGAATCCAAAATAACCTTAACTTAGTTCCAAACAATCCAACGCAGCCTGTTGTTGTTCAACTTGATCCACAGACTAAATCGATTTTGCATAATCTTTTGAAGAAGTCACTCAACGCTTTGAGATTTAGGAAATGGCATTCATTCCAGGACCTGAAGATCCGGAGTAGAATAGGTCTTCGCAACCCATGCTTGCAATACAAGGCGGCTATGCTTGTCGTAAGAGGCGACTAACGGGATCGGGTGGTCAGGCTCGCTGACTTGGTTGATGCATGTCATCGTATTCCGATTGCGTAGATCGATGATCCTGATGTCAATCACTGGAATGTCTCGTACAGACTCGATTATTTACAGACCGCGGTCATATAGCCGGAATATTGCTGAGTGCAGCGTTAAACAACAAACAAACAAACAAAACTATTCATTCCAGGCGTGGAAATAGAGCCTTTTCGTCAAGTGAAAGTTAAGTCTCCCACACTATTTCAATGATACATTTGGAGAATTTTGAAATTTTACCTTTTCTAAACATATTGCACGGCGCTTCAGCAGGACGTTTTCATGATACACTTATAAGAATAACACAAGAGCAGAAGGCTTGATAATACGTTCCCCAGTGAAGAGACCGGGACTGAACAGGTCCAAAGCAACCTTGGCTTGTGCAAGACGACCTACTGGATCGTGTGGTCAGCCACGGTGACTTGGTTGATTGCATGTCATCGTACCCGACTGTACTGGGTGGATGTGTCTCAGTTCGGCGTTAAACAATACACACAAATAGCATGTCATTTCTACTTACACAAAACGCTGGCAATGGCTCCATGTTCATAGGTGGTTCCATGCACAGCCTTGATGGCAGCCGTGGCAGCAGCGGAAGACGCGTCCTGAAAATTGCCAGGACACAGAACATGCATTTTCCTAAGTTGATATTCTGTATGTATTGTATCTATGTCCATCTTGCTTATATATTGCCCTTGGATGTTTGTCCACGATGTTAGCAAATTAGATATGAATTATGTTATGCAATGCCGTTCCGAAAAGATGGTTATGTAGGTACTGCAAGATATTCGTGATTTCGTTTATAGTTTTAAAGGTTTTAATTCGTTTTTCGGAGACTCCAATAAACAGAGGGAACACAGTAGCGCAATACTAGATCCAATAGTTTTCAAGAATATCAATATTACTGATACCCTTTCCTACACGATACTGGATCCATAATGGATCGGGAAAATCAGGATTACTGGTATCCTTCCCAATACAATACTGGATCCGGAAATGATAGGGAAACAAAGTTTACAATTAGCCTTCCCTGCACAATACTGGTCAATAAATGATCGGGAAAATCACGTTTACTAGTAGCCTTCACGACTTAATACAGGACCATAAAGAATGGGGAAAATCACGTTTACTAGTAGCCTACACTACACAATACAGGATCATAAAGGATCGGGAAAATCAAGTTTACCAGTAGCCTACACTACACAATACAGGACCATAAAGGATCGGGAAAATCAAGTTTACTAGTAGCCTACACTGCACAATACATGACCATAAAGGATCGGGAAAATAAAGTTTCCCTAGTAGCCTACACTACACAATACAGGACCATAAAGGATGGAAAAATCACGTTTACTAGTAGCCTACACTACACAATACATGACCATAAAGGATCGGGAAAATAAAGTTTCCCTAGTAGCCTACACTACACAATACAGGACCATAAAGGATGGAAAAATCACGTTTACTAGTAGCCTACACTACACAATACATGACCATAAAGGATCGGGAAAATCACGTTTACTAGTAGCCTACACTACACAATACAGGACCATAAAGGATAGGGAAAATCAAGTTTACCTAGTAGCCTACACTACACAATACAGGACCATAAAGGATAGGGAAAATCAAGTTTACCAGTAGCCTACACTGCACAATGCAGGACCATAAAGGATCGGGAAAATCACGTTTACTAGTAGCCTACACTACACAATACATGACCATAAAGGATGGGGAAAATCAAGTTTACTAATAGCCTACACTGCACAATACAGGACCATAAAGGATGGGGAAATTCAAGTTTACTAGTAGCCTACACTACACAATACAGGACCATAAAGGATAGGGAAAATCAAGTTTACCAGTAGCCTACACTGCACAATACAGGACCATAAAGGATCGGGAAAATCACGTTTACTAGTAGCCTACACTACACAATACATGACCATAAAGGATGGGGAAAATCACGTTTACTAATAGCCTACACTGCACAATACATGACCATAAAGGATGGGGAAAATCAAGTTTACTAGTAGCCTACACTGCACAATACAGGACCATAAAGAATGGGGAAAATCAAGTTTACTAGTAGCCTACACTACACAATACATGACCATAAAGGATGGGGAAAATCAAGTTTACCTAGTAGCCTACACTACACAATACAGGATCATAAAGGATGGGGGAAATCACGTTTACTAGTAGCCTACACTACACAATACATGACCATAAAGGATGGGGAAAATCACGTTTACTAATAGCCTACACTACACAATACATGACCATAAAGAATGGGGAAAATCAAGTTTACTAGTAGCCTACACTGCACAATACAGGACCACAAAGGATCGGGAAAATCAAGTTTACCAGTAGCCTACACTGCACAATACAGGACCATAAAGGATCGGGAAAATCAAGTTTACTAGTAGCCTACACTGCACAATACAGGACCATAAAGGATGGGGAAAATCAAGTTTACTAGTAGCCTACACTGCACAATACAGGACCATAAAGGATGGGGAAAATCAAGTTTACTAGTAGCCTACACTGCACAATACAGGACCATAAAGGATGGGGAAAATCAAATTTACAAGTTACCTTTCCTGTACAATACTGGTCCATAAAGTATTGGAAAAATCAGGTTTACTAGTAGCCTCTGCATGACAATACTGGCTTAAAAATGGATTGGGACATTATGGCTTATCTTAGTACGCTTCCCGTGTGAGTCAGTGAACTTAAACAGAGTAACGACGTGTATCTACGTATACCTGGGCGTCGAAGTCATTGGGGGTATCAGTTGTGTATCCCCATGCTGTCATCCAAACTTCAGAATAACTGTGGAAGTCGATGAATCCCTTGAAGGTCACTCCGCTGTCCTTGATGAAGTCGGTGACGCCCTTAATGACGGGTTCAGAGAACGCACTTGGGCCACGGTACGTCTCGGAGCAAGGATCTCCGCTTGATCCACTAGACTCTGTAATGAGAGTGAGTGATTTGGTTTTCACTCCCCTTTGAATAGTATTCAGGTTATATTACAGAGTGTCAGCTTAATGTGGGAGAAAGTGCTAGAGTGACTCGTATTTCATGCTTAAGGATCAAAGATCATATTTAGGACGAAATTAGGATTGGGGCGACGATCTGAAGTGAGAGATGACGTGAGACGTTGTTAAGGCGTCTTTAAAAAGAAGATATTGATGATCATCGACGATCCACACATCCACTTGTAGAAGAAATGTCCATATTAATGCCAAAAATGCATTGACGTTGTTTTTATAATTGCACGTATCTCATGCAGCTGATGTGAAAAGGTTCAAAACTATTTTCATAGTCAAACGAGTCCATTCCACCACTTCAACTATGATATGCAAATGTGTTTATGTATCATTATCATTTAGTGATTATACCAGGTGTTCGCGAAAACGTGAGGGTAACCTGTCCCAAATGGTCGTCACAAATAAACACAGTTAAATGCAGTAACAAAGTGTTATAGGGGCCACGGGTGGCCCAGTCGTCTAAGGGGCCGCGATTCGCTGTGCACAGTTGCGTCCCCTGGGCACGCCAGAGACCTATGATTGTGGGTTCGAATCCCGGTTCGCCCCGATTATGTTTCTAGATTTGTCAGCACCATACCCGTGCTCGTGGGTTTCACCGAAGTGGTAAACATCTGAGACCTCAATCACTTCAAGCTTTCCTCCCACATTAAGCTGACACGCCGCGATATAACTTGAATAATGTTAAAAGCGGCGTTAAACCCAACTCACTCACTCACTTACAAAATGTTATAACCACAGGTTCAAAATATAAAAAAGACATGACAGTGCCGCATTAAAACTACTGGCTGGGTTTCTGAGCTGCGCAAATATACAAAGTAGTAATCATGTGATCAAGTAGTACCAGCATGTTACCAGATGATAACTCTGTGATATGGTGCTTATATGTGATGGCGATGTCACATTTATGCATTATGAGTAGTACCTACCTCCCCACTGAAACCCATAGTTCCTGTTTGGGTCGACTCCTTTACAAAGACCATGCTGTGTTCGCGTCTTCCTCCAGAGACGATCCTGCAAATTATCGTAACATGTTTATATGTGAGACACACGTCCATAAGTTTCTTTTTCTTGCAAATATACTGGAAAGTAAACAATTTGCCACATGAATTTCCGTTTCGTTCATAAATATGAAAAAAAAGAACTATCTTTGTCATAAGGTGCTTCGAAGTTTGAAAGTAAACATTTTTTCATGCCTCCGTTCTCATCGAACTTTAATTTGGACCAATTCATATATTGACGCCTCGTCGTCATTTAAGTATTTCACCTCTATGTCTCAACCTATAGCCTTATATAATTTGAACGTCTAAATCCAGTGTTTAACAGTACTCAATGCATTCCCGTGTTATGAGATATTGATAACGAAGGTATGCCTTTAAGAACATATTCTGTCACATGGATATGAAAGTTTGGTCGTTTAATCACAAATGTGGAATAAGGTTAACATGTTGCAACAAGTAAGGGTTATTATTTGAAGGATATTGTCAATACAATGCTTATTAAAGAAATCTCACGCCTGTCCAAGTGTAGGCATATCCATCGGCGTTGAGGACGGGGACAACGTAGATGTCAAATCCTTCCAGAATCTCTTTCACCTCTGGCCGTGTCGGGTACTGCTGCAGTAGCTGGTGAATCAATGCTGCACCATATATATACCAATATATATCGTATTCTGTTTTATAATTTGTTCATTTTTTTCTGAATAATTACATGGTATTGCATTAATATTGCATCAATATATTCAAAGAAATAATTGAGTGAGTGAGTATGGTTTAACGCCTCTTGTAGCAATATTCCAGCAATATCACGACGGGGGACACCAGAAATTGGCTTCACACATTGTATCCATGTCGGGAATCGAACCCGGGTCTTAGGCGTGACGAGCGAACGCTTTAACCACAAGCCTACCCGACCGCCCCTCAAAGAAATAAAGCTTGATCTCTATTCTCTATTACAATTAATGGCTTAAGAATACTTTGTTATTATAAAATTATAAATACTTATACAATTTAGTGAGCTCCTTCCGTGTAAACTGGAGTGTTAATGGATAGCAGCCTCCGCATTACAATACTGGCTCCAAAATGGCTCTATTATGGCTTATCTTATACGCTTCCCGTGTGAGGTGAAAATGATTCGTTTTGACACAATAATAATAAAGTTTAAAGTATTGTTATGTTTCGATAAACAGTCAAGAGGAACATTTTCTTTGGATCTTGTTACCAGGCTTTGCATTTTCTGCGATATCGAAGTTTCCATGTCTCACCTGATGGAGCTCACTTTATTGCATTCCCTAAATGTATGCTTCATTAGAACAGTAGCTACATCTTGTAGTGTAGCATCCAATTTTATTAAGAAGTTTTTTGGGCAAAATATGATGTAAATGTTGATACTAGAACCATTGTAGATTAGTTACGTTCGAGAAACTATACGGAATAGAATTGACACTCTTCCTGTCTTGTTCTCCAATATCGTATTCGTTACTGTTGAACAAAGTGTTTATTCAAATATTTTATCAACGGCACTGATAAATGTGTATCGGCAGCCGTGAGTACATCTCATACAGTAATGTATTTTTTATACACGTGTTAAGGTTTACCATTATTTTCAATGGTGCACTGTTTTACAGTTATTAGGGGTGGTAGGGTAGCCTGGTGGTCACGCCGATGGCCGGAGTCCGATTCCCCGCATGAGTACAATGTGTGAAGCCCATATTGGTGGCAAATTGTAAAAGGCGGCGTAAAACCATACTCACTCACTCACTCATTTACAGTTATAAACTGACGGACAAAAGAAACCTTACAAGTGTTTAAATGTGGCTAAAATGAAACAAACAAGAAATGTTTATTCGATGGTGACATATTTCATACGAATATCATAAATGCGATATCACATGCATCATATCAATGGTGACGTACACATAACGTCTCAAGGAACACGAGGAACAAAATCACAGCAATGAGCAGAGTGAAGTGTGAAGTTTTGCCTGACACACACACACAAGCACGCACGCACGCACACACGCACGCACGCACGCACGCACGCACGATTGTATGAGTGCAATAATCTATGACGCGACGTTAGACCCCATTTCACCTCACCCCCACTCACATTAAGCTAATGCGCCGTGACAAACATGTAGGTGAAAAACTGTAAGAATATCTTGCGACGATTAGATCCTCCGTGTGCTCTACCTACCTGTGCTGTGATGTAGATAACAGTGGCAGGAGAGATCCACTCCCGGGCGTGTATACCTCCCTGATACCACAGACTTGGCTTGGTTGCATTGCTCACCGATATCTGAAGACATCAAGCATAATGTCCCTATGTGCCTTTCTGAATATTATCGCACATTTTCGTAACAATTACATAATGGATCACATAAAATGTCATATTACCCAACTAATATGTGACACGACATTTTAACTTGCAATGGATATTTCTGATTCTATCATTCAAATGTATGTACATTCCATTCTTTGTTTAAAAGTTTTAATTCACAAATGACGACAAAACTACTGTAACAACAAACGTGTCCATGTACTTGTATAATACACAACTGTATAGACATGTATGTAACACTAGTCTATACCTCAACAGTGCATGTATGCTACACGCAATCTGTGCAACTGTCCATTGTGCATAGGTCAGGCCGTTTGCCCAATGTACGCAATGTGCAAACAATTATCTGTTCATTTTATGCAATGGGCAGGAAATTGTGAAAGAAAAAGAATTCTCCATATATTTGACAATATGGGAAACCAGCTTGCTCATTTTACGCAATGTGCAGGAAATTGTTCTGCCCAAAGCACGCAATTGAAATAAGTATTGTTATACATGATTTGTTTTTAATAAAGTAAACGCTATTATTAAGTGAATAAACTGTAATAAATAACAAACAAACAAACAAACAAATTTGTGATCTTTAGAAACTTTATTTTTACATAATAACACTTTGTCCGTTTGACTTCTGTGAATAAGATTTTAAAACTCATACACGTCACTGTCCATTGCACAGATTGGGTGTAAAATATACATTGTACTGTAGGCCCACGGGCTCCTAAGTATGGAAATGAAACAACTGAATTGAAGAAGATAAATGATATCATATCATGTCTACCAGAAGTCTACTATCATGATGAACAATTACCTTTAGACCGCGGACGTTTCTGCCCTCGTATGTTTGGGACGCCGTAATCACACTGACCAAGTCGGGATATTCAGCTGCTATGTCGGTAATCCACTGGTTGACCTGGTGGCGGAGGGACATAAAACTGTAATAATGGTTGACTCATATCAATAAAATACATTACTAAGTAAACAAATTGCAAGTGATTTCGTAGCACTTGAGTAGGTAACCAAGCAATTTTTTGCCTTAATGTTTCCATAAACCGAAATAAAATAGTCCACACCAACTACCGGTCTGTTGTTTCCTGATTGGCTAAAAAGAATGGGTGGGAGGTGAGGTTGCATTATTGCGCTGAAGGATGTCACTGATTTCGTACTGTTGTCTACATTTGTTGCGTTTGCATGATAAAATAAGCAGTCTGTGAAGTTATTTTGGTTGGCGAATTTATTCATAACAATTGACTTTAACATGTTTTGTGCTTATGTATATATTGAAATCAATTCTTTACATAAAACTGTTCACTTCCATCTCAGACCCGTGAAGATTCCGGGGTAGAATAGGTCTTCAGCAACCCATACTTACCGTAAAAGGCGTCTATGCTTGTCGTAAAAGGCGACTAACGGGATCGGGTGGTCAGGCTTACTGACTTGGTTGATACAGGTCATCGATCCCAAATTGCGTGGATCGATGCTCATGATGTCAAGCAGTGGATTGTCTGGTTCAGACTCGATTATTTTACAGACCGCCGTCATATAGCTGGAATATTGCTGTGTGCGGCGTTAAGCAACCAGCAAACAAAACAAAACAAAAAACTTCCATCTTAATTTCGTGTTCAATGAATGTATGACATACTAACCCCAACAATCACCAATCATGGTTCGTGAAATACCGCACTATAGTTAGAGGCATATACATGTACGTCCACAGAAAAAGGACAAAATGTCAAGAGGTTTCTAAACATATTTTGAGGCCAACACCTTTGCATGAATGAGTGAGTAATATGGTAAGTGGTAATATTCCAGCACAATGACGGTGGGGATTCACACATTGACTCGTTACAGGAGTCTTTATCTTCGGCCATAGAAAGGAACCATTACCTCGTCAAAGTCATGGTATTTTCCATAATCGAAATCAATTGCGCTGGTAGACTTGTTGTTTGATTGTCGTTGTTTCTGCGCGGCGACCTCGACATCTTTCACCATCACTTCGTATTGCAGACCGTAAAAGTGCAACCACATGGTCATGGTGTTAAAGTCTTCTGGGGTGACCCGGAAGTCAAAGGGACTACCTACACCATTGCTGCTCCGCCAGATGTCTGCCTGTGGGTGTGCAGTAGAAGTTCATGTGTTGGGGATGTTGACATCAATATTCCGAACATCGTCACTTTTCTTTTATATACCATATAAGAATACAATTCATTTTATATTTGGGAGTGCGACTGGTTGCTTTCATATATATATCATAGTAATGTTCTAACTCTCAGGCGCAATATAGCAAAAAATAAATAAGTGGAGTAAAATTGAACACATATTTAATTGGCTAGCGCTTTTAACACGTACCATGTACGAGTATCACCAGGCCATAACTGATTAACTGATGTGGTAAATCAGTTATTGCCTGTTGATATATACCAATGATATGTTTTATCGAATCATCAGGGAGAATGAAGTTGCACTGATTATGACGTTATGCGACAGTTACACAGGTTATGACGTCAGAGGAGGTATTCATATATATATATATATATATATATATATATATATATATATATATATATATATATATATATATATATATGTGTGTGTGTGTGTGTATCCCTTTTCAGCAAAACACAACGCTGAATACCTCCTCCGACGTCATAACCTGTGTTTGGGATAACACTCTCTTGGTAAAGTAAAGATTCTAGGCGAGCCTACTTCTAGGCGTGTAGGTGCCTCACTCGGGGAGTGTGGGTCTGAATCCCGGATGGGACGAACATCACAAAGGGTTTTAAATATAATGCAAATAAACTTACATACATTTATAGGATTTATAGGATTATCGATGAATACTTTAGCTCTGATTGATTTTAACTATTTTAACTATTAATGATTCACTTGTTAGAATCACCTGATAGTATAATGTGCTTTCTTTAATGGGATGTAATTCTTAAATGTATTGAAAGTTAAATTATTGTGTATATACATGATCCTTTTCTCCAAAAGCCTCCAACTTCTGAACTCTTCTATATTCAGCCAATGTTTTGGGAACAACTCTCAGCACCCGGTGTCTAAAAGGAAATATTGTCACTTATGATTATAGTGCTTTTAAACAGAATATGTGGCCAACCATGAGATAAGGGACCCTGTGGGTGAAAAATCACATTTTGACCTTTCATAATATTTTGAAACTACAGCATCTTCGGAACACAAAAATACAATTTACAATTGAATCAGAACACTCATAAGGTCCCCTTTCTCTTGGAGCACACATACCAGGTCACATATATTGAGGTCATAACAAATCATGGTTATCTTGAAGAAAGTTACCATGTTAATCTGCTAGTACTTCCAGCAAAGAGGCGCGGTGGCCCAGTCGTCAATGGAACCGCATTTCGCTTTGTAGACTTGTAGACCCTTAGGCGTGCCAGGAACCAATGGTCGTGGGTTCCAATCCAAGATTCGCCCTGACTATGTGTCTAGGTTTCTGATTATGTTCCTAGATTTGTCAGCACCACGCCCGAGCTCATGGGTTTCACCAAAGCGGTAAACATCTGTGACCAGTATCACTTTCTTTCTTACCTCCAACACCAAGCTGACACGCCGTGATATAATTGAAACGCTGTGAAAAGCGGCGTTAAACCAAACTTACTCACGCCCAGGCAGAACGTAATTCACATCCTAACATAAACTAATATACAAATATATTAACATGAAATACCGTGCACAAGTAAGCAATAATAAATTGTGTCTGCGTCAGCTGTACATGACGCCAACATTTGATGTCAGTATGGGTGAGTGCGCTGAAAGGATCACCATTGTCACTGCAATTCTACTATTTAAAACCTTGAATCAGCTCCTTTTTGATCAGATCCTACTCGTAGAAACAGTGCGAGCAGACTGGGAGCAGCGTATGAGGACCTTCATTCACAGAGCATTATGAGGCCACTTTTCCAAAAACTTGGTTTCCTTATTTTTAAATAATATTGAAATAAATATGAAAATACAATTTAATTGTTTCTTTTGAGTGATCGCATGATCTCCATCGTGTGAAGCTCACGAGAAAGTATTTTTGAATCAGGCAAAGCCAAGTGGTTACTTTCCTTGCCATGATAATCATGACATCTTGCATTTCTGAAGTTAGTTAACAAACCCCTTGGTAAATACATAAGGTAAATATAGTAAATTAAGAAAAAGTTAAGGTAATAAATTAAGAAAAACGACTGTTCTGAAATTGTTTTCTATTCCCCATTTGTGGAGCAATTAAAAAGAACGTTTTGTGATACAATGATGGATCAAGGTATTCGGAAACATGACACGTCTTGCTCTTCCAGTAGCACCCATCTTGCATGAGGGTTGATGTAAAACAAGAAAGGAACCTATGAATAAATTTATCTGTTCAGTGAAACGAAATTGGATTGAACAATCACGTAACAACTGTTTTTCATTAACAGAGTAGAACGAAGTCGGATTGAATTTCCCATCTGTGCTCTAAGTTCTCATATATAATTCGCGCAATGATTGTTAATTAGAAACCACATGCTGCTGAAATAGCACCGGTAATTGGAAAAGTGTGGTATGTTGCTAGTTCGCTTAGTCTGCGCAGAAAGGTAACACGCCGATCCAAACACAAACTTCGCATTCTGAACAACCGTACACATCTCATACACAATCTAATGGATACGAAACATATAACGTCAACACGGGAGAACAATCAGTCTCGATTATCTGCCAAAAGAAATATCTTTCTCCCTAAAAGAACAGACACAAGTGAAAAAGATTTCGAAGTTACGTTTCGAATCATGCCAACCAAGAATGGTTCACTCGAGTCTAATCGGCTTATGCCGTTGCCTACATACTTCTTCGGACAGCATTAAATAATAACAAATACCACATATTGCCACTGCAGTCTGTGAATCGCTATGTTCTGCCACTTGTACATGTAGTTCCTGTATGACCAACTTATTGTATACTTGGAAAAGTAAGCATGAAAAAAGCAACACAATCATTTACATCGGGGAAACAGGTTTGGTTGTCATGTGACTTTTCGCGATCATCCTGTCCTCACTATGTGATAGGGATCTATAAACACATGCTCATGATGTAGCCAGAATCCTACAATCGTTTCTTATGTTGGTGGAAAAGGGTTTGTTGCATTCATAGTATTGAACCATTACCAATGTAGATTTCCCCTAATGCAGATCGAGGTAATGTGTTGGACGCGGGGAGTGAGACTGGTTGTCAGTGAGTACGACAATTCGAAATCCTGGGCCCCGTTCCACAAAACTATCTTAGCGCTAAGGTGATCGTAACTCCCATACTTTAACACCGGCTTACGATGGTCGTAGCGCTAAGGTGATCGTAACTCCCATACTTTAACACCGGCTTACGATGGTCGTAGCGCTAAGGTGATCGTAACTCCCATACTTTAACACCGGCTTACGATGGTCGTAGCGCTAAGGTGATCGTAACTCCCATACTTTAACACCGGCTTACGATGGTCGTAGCGCTAAGATCGCTTTGTGGAACGGGGCCCTGCCCTGTAGAAACTGCTCCACAAAACGTGGTTAAAATAGTAAATAAATGATGATATAGTAAATAAATAGATGATGTTTTGTGCAGTCTGAGCTGTGATGCAGAACAGTCATGAAGGGAAAAAAATGCGTATTCACCAATCAGCAGGTCAGGACAAAAAGACACTAGATCAGGAACAAGGACGATAAGTTATTTATCTTCTGAAAGGGATCTTATCTGGACAATGTACGATAAACTCTTCTACTTCATGATAAATACTTCCTTAACGACCCCTTATGCCGAGCACCAGACAGGGTAACAAGTACATGTCAATCTTTTAACGTCTTTTGGTAAGTCGCGGCCGGTGATCGAACCCTGGACCTTCCCCTCTTCGAACGCTCTACCACTGGACCACGGAGGCGGTTCTTAATGTCGGGACTACTGTCATTGATCGCGAAGATCAGTAAGAAAATATGTTAAAAATGAAATAGTTGTTTGTATTTCCATGTCAAATGCATGTATATCTCGTCGTGTGACCAGCTAAGGTGATACTTTCATGCCGCAGATAAAGAGACAAAAACATGGTATTTGAAGTATGGACAAAAGAAAAAGTGCCCAATGCAACAATGAAAAACAGACTGAACATTTGTTTACTGAAAATAAATGCAACGAATATGATTGGACTGGTGTGCAGGGAGGACTCACCCATCGTATCTGACCACTGCGTGGACACATGTCCAGCCAGCAAGAAGCAGCAAGACGCCTGACCTGAACATCGTGAATGGCGGTGTGGGGACGTCGTTAGCCTGACAATGCCAACCAGATGTCTCTTCACAAGCTGGGGAGATAGATAGCGCTATCTATGACTTTGCATTTCGTTCAAAACATAGGATCACAAACACACCATATTGTTCCTTCCATTTGCCAATGATGATTTGCAAGACTGCTTCGGTAAAAACATATTGATCCGACGTATTATGAAATAAACTTTTTCGTCACATTAATGTAATTTACGTTACGTTTTTTGAAACGGACTTTTTGGTGGTTCAAACATATTGGTACAATTGAATTCATAAGATTCGTGATTTTAAGATGTACAATTTCAATGTTGGAATGAAACATGTTCAATGCTGTGCTCGTTCCGGGTATCAAAATATTTCAGCAGCTATTCAAAATACCTTTACAAAAAAACATTAGGAACTTATGATCTCATCATAATGAACGAATGGTAAAGAATCGTTAAACACTATGAATACAATAAGGTCATTGAATGATGAAGAATCATTACACATTATGAATACAGTAAGGTCATTGAATGATGAAGAATCGTTACACATTATGAATACAGTAAGGTCGTTGAATGATGAAGAATCATTACACATTATGAATACAGTAAGGTCATTGAATGATGAAGAATCGTTAAACATTATGAATACAGTAAGGTCATTGAATGATGAAGAATCGTTAAACATTATGAATACAGTAAGGTCATTGAATGATGAAGAATCGTTACACATTATGAATACAGTAAGGTCATTGAATGATGAAGAATCGTTAAACATTGTGAGTACAGTAAGGTCATTGAATGATGAAGAATCGTTAAACATTATGAATACAGTAAGGTTATTGAATGATGAAGAATCGTTGGTGAGTCCATTGTACGATTCTGACTACATCATTGGCATGTGGATCATGATCAAATACTGATAAGACCAGGTGTTCGCGAAAAAGTCCATGCATCCTGCCTCACCGGTAAAACCCGTCATAAACACATGCAAAGACAAGGCAATTTCTCACCTAAAACAAACACTGGAAACTATGGCACAAGTCAAAATAGGGAATTGCATCATTCCTGTCACAAAAGGGTCACATTTCGGAAAAACGCGCTTAACCTTTTTCCAGTTGGTACATTCCAGAGTTTGGAGAGACGATGAGTAAAAAGGAAACTTGCTGATAACATTTGTCTGTCACAATGTCTATAAAACATCATGTGTTCTTAGATTTGTGGGATGTTTTCGATGCGCAGAAATGTTAACATTGAAACCCCCGACTATAGCAGTCGGTTCCGAATGAAGTTTCCCGGTATTAAATATGCAAAAACACACGCAAATCTGAAAACACATAATGTTTATCTCTTACCTCGTTTACCAGTGAATAGAACATAGCATAAACAAAGAATATAAACAACATATTCTGCCGGGAAACCACAAAATGGATTAAACCAAAACATTTCAAACGTTATGTAACGTTACTTGTCTGAAAACATTCGCCGAAACACTGCAAACTTAAGGTTCAAAACACAACTATGATACCGCTATCAAACACATCACCCTCGAATAACCATTTCTACTGTTTAATTTTTTGGCCACCATTAAACATAGATGTATGCTTTCTTTTACAATTTTCGAGACCACCTGGTATCATCACTATTTTATCATGATTTATAAACACATGCCCATGATGTGTCGGAATCGTACAGTCGACGATTATAAATATGGAAAGGGTTTTGTCGGTTTTTTTCATGTATGCAGAGGGTGTACCAGGGCGTCCGGGGATTTCGGGGAGTCCGGGGAAGGAACTATGCCCTTGAAGATCCGGACTAGAATTGGTCTTTAGCAACCCATGCTTGTCGTAAGAGGCAATTAACGGGATCGGGTGGTCAGGCCCGCTGACTTGGTTGATGCATGTCATAAAATCCCAATTGAGTGGATCAATTCGCATGATGTCAATCACTGGATTGTCTGGTCCAGACGCGATAAGTTACAGAGCGCCGTCATAATGCTGGAATATTGCTGAGTGCGGCGTTAAAAGACAAACAAAATAAAAGCCCAAATACCCAGTATTCCATGCTTAGGAACTGACGGAAATCATGCCGTATGACACGGCTGTGTGTGCCATCGTTCACTGACGGCGGGGAACGTTGCTCCTACAACCAGTTTGCCTAGTCCAGATTCGTTTATTTGTGAATTTGGCACGTCGGGTGAGGGTGGCGATGCTGTCTTGTTTTATCTGGGGATGGTGGCAGGAGCTATAGTGCATGCACTGGTCTGTGTGTGTAGGCTTCCTAGACCCCAAACCAGCCCCATCGCCCATCAGATTCACCCTACCCTACCAAGGCCCTGTCACTCATCAGATTTCCCGCCTCATCAAAAACAAACCCAATATAGATGTCACCTTCTCTAGCGGCAAGTCCATCAAGACCCATCTACAAGCCAATAGCAGAGGCACAAGCAGCGTAAGTCCCAATCCCCGAGGATGTATATACCAGATCCCCTGCAACTGTGGCCACCAGTACATTGGAGAAACCCTCAGACCCCTCAAAGAACATCAGGCCTCTGTTAACAAACTCGACCTGAAATCCGCTATTTCCGAACACATCCTGAAGAACCAAAACCATAACATCATGTGGGAAGCCACCAAAGTCCTGTCTACCACCACCAACAACTGGCGACAAAGAAACCTACAAGAAGTCATTGACATCAGGAGACACCAGCCAGCCATGAACCGTGACCAGGGAATCTATCTGCCTTGTGCTTGGGACTTATTGCTTTGTCGGTGCTAAGTATCTAGCTGGCTTACATTTGCCCATTGCCCGTTTGCCCGTTTGCCCGTTTGCCCGTTGTCCATTACCTATAACCTATCAATGATAACTTAAGTGCTGGCCTCTCTACTGTCAGCGCTATTTACTGTAAAGTGTTAGCTTCCATTGTTTACATTGTGTGCTTCCCTTGTTAGTTTCCACCTTTTGTCCTCTTATTAATTTTGTTGTCCTAACATGTACATATATATGCTGTCTGACACATGGCACTCGTTCACCTGATGAAGGAGTAAGCATGTACTCAGAAACGTTGTGTTCCTCATATCAAAGAAGTTGACATCCATAAATTCTCTTCCTTGTCATTAAAATATACCCTGAGAGCAGAGTCCACTGTACGATTCCGACTATACCATAAGCATGACTGTGTTTATGAATCATCAAAAAGATAATAAACCCGACATTATCTCTCTATATAAAGGATAGGACATGCGCAGATATTCAATAATATTGCATTCCACTGTGCAATAATACTAAAATTAACATAGTCAGAAATAGTAATATCCGCTTGTCATTTCTCTCTATCGACACAATATCAATGACAAACAATGGACAACCATACTGTTAAATACTATTAATGTCGGAGCTGATGCATTCTATCGTCAACAGATAAACATCTGTTTCAGACTTCGGAAAAATAGACACTCATTTGCTCTGATGCGTTCATCGAACGTGTGACCACCAGTTGCTATATTACTGTAAATGGAAGGCTGTAACAACCATTGTAGTGACCATGTTAGCAGGTGTAGTAACACTGCTCGGTTTTATAGCCGTATATGGAAAGATTACTTATGAAGGGTATGTACACTATCGTTTCTTCTTCCAAAAGCTCATAATGCATAAATGTGCATGGTCCTGTTGGCTCCAAACTTGGATGTCAGTTACCAATTTTGTTTTCTTGGTTTTTTTAGCGGCGAGTCAAATTATTTATAATAGTAAACACAACGAATGACATTTTAGAAATAGTTGACATGGTGTGCAACTACACCCCAATGTTTAGATATGTTAATGTTGTTTGTTGCTGATGATGGTGGGAGTCTCGCACCTTGGTTGTAAAGCTAATCAACTATCTTACAGAAGAATGTCCATTAAGTGGAGGCTAAAGATTAAATCCAACAAAACAATATATTTGAAAGGAGTGGGCCAATATCACAGCATGAAGACTGGCCGTTTTATTGCCATGACGTTAATGGTGAAACTAAATACAGTCTGTCATTTTATGCATTAAACCTAGGTAACAGTGGTTATCTATTAGTAATAGTACAAAAATAGCTTAAACATATCTCCACGATAACTAAAAATCACCGATAACTCGCTGCTCAAATCCATCATTGTGTATTGGGGGAAATAAAGATATTCAACATTTTAAAAATTAGCAAGGTTGCATCTCTGGGCTTGTAATAAAGTTCCTAAATGTTGGTATTCCAACTCCAGTATGGTCAAATGTGAGTGTGGAGAATGTCGTTTGTGCATGCAACTTAACTTTTGATCGGGATCATTAGATATGTCACCCTATATAAATATACACTTGACATAAGTTTTATAATGAGAATAATTTTTGTGTTTCACTGCAATATAAAAATATCCTCATCAAAATTGGATTAGTGTATATCTCATATTAAATGCATCGTATACTGGCTTAAGAGAATAAACATATTCTTTCACTTAAATAACTTGCGTATCGAAGATGTGCTTTCGTATGGTTTGGATTTGGCAAGTCGAAGTATTGTCAATTTAGAGCGACAGCAATCGTTAAATAAGTTTTTAAGGATATGTCTACTTTGTTAAAAATGGGCGGGCAATAATGATTTTGTTTTACGTACAGGTACTTAACATGCAAATATTTACTATAATACAGCCGATGCCAACAAACTATCTGTGCTTTGTAAACCTTCTCTTTTCAAGCAATGAATTTGAAAATATCCAAGTCAATCTTGCTAGTACTTTTAGACACCAATCAGTGTTGCTACGAAGCAAACACATTTCAACGAACAATGTTCTATAACATGTCTCACATAGCATAGATTTGAATGTTTTTTGTATGTACACGAATGCAGTTAGGAGCAAAATGTTAATATAAACACTGCGGAAGCAATATGTCTTTTTGATCTTGACAAGTATTTTATATGAAGGCTAGAATTATATTTCTTACACTACATGTGCGGTCTTCATGGTTATATAGAATGGCCAAATTATTCACTGATATTATTTTGTGATTTGTTATAAACAATATCCAAAGAGTGCGATAACGTAGAACTAACTGTGGTGATTGTGGTGTGCCTCTTTTTCTGTTAAACTTTGGAAAAGGTGACACAAGCTGAAAAAACATGTCCATAATCAAACGAAATCTTTACTGAAAGCAGAGTCCATTTTATGATTCAGACTGTATCATAAGTATGTATTTATGAATCACTATAAAAAAATGATGACACCATGAATTCGTGAATGGGCGAGCGTATCCTGCCCCACCGGTGGCACCCGTCACAAACACAAACAAAGTCAAGTCAATTTTTCACATGAACCCTCACTGATTCGAAAACGAATACAATTAAGTATAGAGTGAGTGAGTATGGTTTTACGCCGCTTTTAGCAATATCACGGCGGGGGACACCAGAAATGGGCTTCACACATTGTACCCATGTCGGTAATCGAACCCGGGTCTTCGGCGTGACGAGCGAACGCTTTAGCCACTAGCCTACCCGACCGCCCCATTAAATATGGAAGTAACCTTGTTATAAAATAGTGATTTGGGCCCAAAAATTAAATAACAACGATTGCCCCCTGATTCCCGGACATCCGTCACCCCATGCTCGTTGTAAGGGCCGATTAAAATGAGGTACTGTTGGTTACCATGTACCCCCGTGGCATGGAGCATAACACTTGTTTGTTTGATTGTACACATGCTTCCCTGATATAGCTGGACTATTGCTGACTGCGGCTTACAACAACATACACTCTCTCACTTAGATGGGATTATATTCCATCTCTGCCGTGTATGGCATCCTAGAAGCGACATTGTCGCTTTGACCCCCTGACAAAACCAAACGAAAAATGACAACATTATCCCAAGTGCGACTTTGCGATATTTTTCCAGGTTAGATTGCCGGGTTGATGATCTTTTGTAAACAAAATCTTTTTTCAAAGTTCGACAATGCGAACATATGAGGGCGAGAACGCGACAAAGTCCCGTATAGAATTTCATAATCATATCACTATTACAGTGTCATGGAGAGCTGAGTATTGGATTGAATTCCCAGTATGTTGCTAACTTCATTGTCGTGTAGAATATATGCGTATCGATTGACCATATTCGATGCTGCATTATCATCATGTCTCGACAACCAGACAGTTACAACAAAAATCAGAGTTGCGTCCGTTATGCGTACCAGGATCCGCTGTGTTATGTCTGTTCTCGTGGGTTTCCCAAATATAGGAAACGCCTACGACCAGTGTCGCCTTACTCCCCCACAATAAGCTGACAGGCTCTGAAATACACCAATATCCTTTCAACGCGCCGAGTTTTCGACAATAGATGGAAAGTCATGCAATGTTGATGCAGCAGAAGTAAGTACACTTTTAAACTCTTGTGAACTTATAAATATATGTGTGTCAATAATTAATAATAATAATTATTGCAGGCATTTAGTGCTGCGGATAATACCACAATCAGAGAATGAAGTTGAATCTGTCTTGCAAGCACAGAGAATAGCTGAGGAGAAAGGCGTAAGTATATACAGTGGAGCCGTTTCGTGACACATATTGGATCAATTGTGCACTTGGTGAAAAAAAGCATGAAACTTGGCACAATTGTAGGTAATGACATTCGAGATATTTTCAGATATGGGTCCGCCCAAATAACTTCAATATGGCCGCCAAATCAATATGGCCGCCATGGATGAACGAAATTCTAGTATGTCTCATGTGAACCAACAAGATGAACAAATAATACGCATTTACAGCAAACGGGTTCTGTGCAAGAAAGGGTCTGACTTTGTCAATGGCCTGCATCCATGTTCAGATTAAGAACACAAGACTCTTTTGCACATGTCTAATGCTGCCACACAGGGTCATGGTAGTATGTTGATTAGAACCGTTGATACTGATGTCATTGTCCTGGCCATTGCATTGTTTGACAGAATAGACGTGTCTCGCCAGTGGATAGGTTTTGGAATTGGCAAACAATTAAGATATTTGGCTGTTCATGTCCTTGTCGGACTCCAAGGACCAGAGAAAGCCTCTTCACTTCAAGTTGTACTGCCTGTGAATAGAGTCCTTTCTTTGTTGGAAAAGGAATGTGTATGATGAAGCAACAGAGGCTTTCAATCTCATTGGTGAGGTACCAATTGAACAGGGTATGAAGAACACGATGCCAGTCATGATCATTCAGTGTTTTGTAGTCTTAATGTATGAATGAACCAGTATCTGTATAAGAGTTGAGGCACGAGGCATGCAACGATTATTTCACCAAGACAGGTAGATCAGCTGATTCCATTCCTCTTGATAATCCGGAGGAACATACTTTGTTCTCGAACCAGCCATCGTCCCGAGGCAAGGGAGATCACTGACTATAAAAGCCCAGTTTCCACCCTTGTAGAACAAGGCTGGAATTATGGAGTTAGATTTTGGCTGGTCAAACGAGTCTTTGCATTATCCAGTCAAAACCGCGTAAGCATATGTACCGTCAACTTAGCGTCAACAAATATTTTCCAAACCTTTTTATGTTTTTAATGACGGTGCTTACGTGAGTTGGTGCAATTCGCGAAGTAAGACCCGTTTTATTACAAGATCTTGATGATCGATCTTGACTGGGTGCCGCCATTTTGTTTGAAGCAATATGATATGGGAGGTGGAATATGATTGATTAACTCCCTTGCATTGGAAGAACAAGCAGGTATAGGTGTGTTCATTGACATATCAAAATGATATCAATGTCATATGTACACATTTTTAAAAGATACAAGGAAGATCAGAATATCAAAAATAGAGAAGGGGAGGTGATTAGCTTTTTCCTTGTATCAAGGATTACAAGATGGCTTTCGAACTATTCTATTTCCATTTTCTCGAAACATAGTGGTTCTTTTATTTATCAAATTGGCCGATAAAAATTCACTCTTATCATCCATAATCTGCTTAGCTACCTTCGTGTCAATACATCATAGTCATGGTGATTGTTGTATGTTTGTTGTTTAACGCCGCACTCAGCAATATTCCAGCTATATGACGGCGGTCTGTAAAATAATCGAGTCTGGACCAGACAATCCAGTGATTGGCATCATGAGCATCGATCCACGCAATTGGGATACGATGATATGCTTCAACCAAGTCAGTGAGCCTGACCATCCGATCCCGTTAGTCGCCTCTTACGACAAGCATAGCCGCCTTTTACGGCAAGCATGGGTTCCTGAAGACCTATACTACCCCGGATCTTCACGGATATCATGGTGATTGAGTCTGTACGGGTTTACGTTGCTTTTATCACTATGCGAGTAACATCAATATTGTACCCACGTGGGAACACGAACCCGGGTCTTTGGCGTGAACGAGAACCACAAGACTAGCGCGACGTCCTATAATTCGGTTTTAACAACCGGACACTTTGATTCACTGAACGCTTAATAACTGTTTCATGAGAAAATAAGAGTTCTTTTCCCCAAAATCATATTTCTTGTCACTCTAAAAGATTATCTTAAAAGTCGATAATTGGTTTCGCAATGTACAAATGTTGGGAATCAAACTCAATTTCCAAATAACGAACGAACGAGCGGATGCTTTAACCACAGGCTATCCTGGGGTAAAACGCAAGATGCTGTTACACGTCAGCAGCGGCAATTGATAGGTAAGAGTCCCCTAAAATATGAGCAAACCTGCTGGTAAAATTGCATTCTATTTCTCCTTCCAGTATGACATATGGCATCACTCAATCGGAGTAGGAACGCCACTGGATATCCGTTTGTCTCCAGAGGAGTACCAGGAAGCACATCAAGGATTTTCTGACCTTGACCTTAACCATGAGATCATCATCAATGACGTTGAGGCGGCGGGGTCTTCGTCGTCGTGCGGGGAATGGTTTGATTATGGTTGCTATCACCGTCTGGAAGAAGTGAATATACTCTTATCTATTCATGACAGTTTAAAGGGACACTTAGCTGCAAAACCGCAGCTATGTACTGTTTCGCTTTTACTATCGGACATGACCGCCTCCGTGGTCTAGTGGTAGAGCGTCCGCCCGGAGAGCGGAAGGTCCGGGGTTCGATTCCCGGCCGCGTCATACCAATACACGTTAAATGGTGCTTGTTGTTACCCTGTCTGGCGCTCGGCATTAAGGGGCTAAAACAAGGACTGGTCGGCTCGGAGTTAGTATGCTGTGTCTGAGTGGGGTATTCATGTTAAACTGCCACATGGTATCTCAATGGGCGAGCGCTATAAATCGGAATCAGTCCGGACTAGTACAAGCAGCCACACACACACGTGCAAACACGTCGCTATATAAGTGCAATTTAACTTGGACGCGACGTTTAACCCCATTTCACCTCACTATCAGACATTCACTGTTCGCTAATATATTAGTAAAGGATAAAACATCGCTTCGAGGTTTTGGTTTGACACAGTAAAACCCAAGGGTAACCTGTGATAGCCCGCAGTTTTACTAGCGAGGTGACCGCTGCCCGAAGGAGTGTTTTATCGGACTTGTGAACCATCGAAAAAATATCTGTTAACATTTGATTAATTATCGTGTATAAAAGTGCGTTACGACAGCCTAAAACCGGTCGTAATATATATATGGCTAGGAAATATTCGCTAAACATGATACCTTCTTGTGAACCACATATCTTCAACCAGTTCCCTGGCCACTGATTAGGGCCACTGTCTAACTATTTAAATGTAAAACCCCACGAAGAATACCCCACTCAGTCACAGTGTACTGACTCCGAGCCGACCAGTCCTTGTTTTAGCCCTTTGATGAAAGACAGGGTAACAACAAGTACCATCTTTTATCGCCTTTTGGTATGACGCGGCCGGGGATCGAACCCCTGACCTTCCGCTCTCCGGGCGGACGCTCTAGACTACGGAGGCGGTCACACAATTATTAGATGTCAACTTCTATATTATGAGGAACACAACGTTTCGGATAAATGCTAAAAAAACAAAAATAATGTCCTAAAGACAGTGGCCAATATCCTTGATAGATTTATCAGATATAGCAACGGTTCACGCCTTAATAGACCGCCTCCGAGGTCTAATGGTAGAGCGTCCGCCCGGAGAGCGGAAGGTCGAGGGTTCGAACTCCGGCTGCGTCATACCAAAATACGTTTAAAGATGGTACGTGTTGTTACCCTGCATTGCGCTCGGCATTAAAAGGCTATGAATAGGACAGGTCGGCTCTGAGTGGGGTATTCATGTTAAACTGCGGCATGGTGTCTCAGTGAGCGAGCACAATGAAATCGGCAATAGTCCGGACTAGTACAAGTAGACACACCACCATGCTTGCACGTCGTTATATAAGTGCAATAATGTTGAACGCGACGTTAAACTCCATTTGACCTTACCTCAAGCCTGAATGACGCTCTTACCAATTTCCGTTAGTGAGTGCCTTTTTTTACATCCCACGACTCGATTAGTTACAGACCGCCGTTTTATAGCTGGGATATTGGTGAATGCGGCTTTAAACAACAAACACCTCCCCCCCCCCCTAGCCCCCCCCCCCCCCACCCACCCACCCCCACCGCCCCATCCCCATCCAACCCCCCTCCCCACCCGCCCAAACCCCCCAAAAATTAATCAAAACAATTTAAAAAAATAGATAAAAAAATATATGTTATAACCGAGTTACTGAACACAGGTTTAAATGTATGTGGTTCCGCACGAACATGTCCAGATGTAAGTGGATCGTATATATTTGACGCTGACGGTTATGAGCCTTTTGTTTCACAGATAAATACATGGATGGCAGAAACAGCACACACCTACTCCAGTATGGCAGAGGTTATCACAGTGTCATCAAGTTACGAGGGCAGAGACATCAAAGGACTTAAGGTACTGTGTCGTTATTGATGCTATGTCTTCTTCCAAAGGCAGTGAAGCTCTGCGCAAGCCCATCAGTCTGGGAGTCCTGCCCGAGCACATTCTATGTGGATTGAGCGTCGGTGGTTCGATCCTTTGGTCGCCTAATACCAAACGACGTGAAAGATGGTATTTGTTGTCACCTTGGCTTGCACTAGACATTTAGTGGATACAACAAGGACTGGTCGGCTCGGAGTCATGGTCTCCTTGTGACCCTGCCTGGCACTCGGGGATAAGACTGGTTGACATGGAGTCAGTGTACAGTGTCTGAGGGGTATCCATGTTAAACTGCGGCCTGGTATCTCATTGGCCTAGCACGTATATATTATAACACCAGTATAAATCCGATACCAGCACACACACGTTAATCCACGTCGCTATGTAAGTGAAATGATCTACCTTAGAATTCAACTCACCCCATCATTCCAATGATTCATTTAGTCTGATCCGTCAGATTGCTAATCTCCACAATTTCAATGCAAACGGTCCGGATTGTTGAGATGTCACTGTATATTCGAATAATTGATTCATTTTATGAATTTTAGCAAAAAGGAAAGTAAGTGACAAACCAAGCCAATAGAGAAGCAATATATTGATCGAATTTCACCACGCCGGTATTAATTGATTACTTATTCACCTGTCCCATACTGGCATTGTGATACATTTATAGTTTAATGCTCAGTGGTTATTCCAGATCAGCGGACCAGGGAGTGGCTCCTCCAATCCAGCAATATGGCTCCAGGGAGGGATCCACGCCAGAGAGTGGATCTCACCCGCCACGCTCATCTACATGGCTAACGCAGTAGGTCCCAGGTTAAACAACAAACGGGGTATGCGTGCATATACCATCTTCCAGAGGCAAGAGAGTTAACTGACCATAAAAGTCCAGTTTCCACCCTTGCCGAACTAGGCTGGTATTATGGAGTTACATTTTGGCTGGACTAACGAGTCTATGCATAATCCAATCAAAATCGCGCACCGAAATGGAAATCCGGTTCATAAACTGTCGTGCAGATTTCGGTCGATTGAAAGATTTGCAAAGCATGTGTACCGCCAACTTGTTGTCAGCAGATATTTTCCAAATCTTTTCATGTTTCTAATCAAGGTGCTCACGTAATTTGATGCATTTCGCGATGTAAGACCCGTTTTATCACAATATAGATCTTGATTATCGATAAGATCGTCATGACTGGGCGCCACCATTTTGTGTGAAGCAAACGCAAGTGATACGAGAGGTGGAATTTGATTGGTCCATAGGAGAGGCTTAGAAGGGACATAACTGGTAATAGCCACTGGTGGCGCTACGATCGAGCCATGTAATTCCAGCCAAGTTCGGCAAGGGTGGAAACTGGACTTTTAAAGTCAGTTATCTCTCTTGCCTCGGGAAGATGGTATATACCGAATATAAAAGCGACAAAACTCTTTCTCTAGCTACAAGAAATTCCTGCTGCAAGTTGAATCCGATGTGAGATTACGACCATATCATGAGCATGTGTTTGTGAATCATGCCAGGTGTTCGCGAAAAGATGAGCGTATCTTGCTTCACTGGCGGCAGTGATATCCTATACATAGGTACATAGTGTGTTTCCGGTCCTTTCAAATTGCAAACTCTGATGAAATTCCTTTAAAGTTACGTTTTGATTGGTGGGAGAACCGGATTCGAAGTACATCTATATTATGCTTACGATACCGCTGATATATTATGGACTACTAATTTATTATAGGGTTGAGGTGGGGGTGGAGGGGTAAAATGTATCATGACTATATGGGAGTGGAGGGCATAGAAATGACTCAGTTCTATTTGTCAAATATATAAGATATTCATTCGAATATTGTTTAGGAACTGCTTATTTAGTTGGGGTAGACTGAAAAAATGGTGGGAGGGGGTGTCGGCAAAACATGATACACCTCTCCCAGTCCCTCAGTAAAAGTGTAGGCCGTGTTGTTACCTTTATCCACGTACGCGTTAAGGGGTTATGAAGAAATACACATTCAGATCTTTGATAGAGTGTTACCACCAAAACATTTCAGATTCCATACATTGTATTGTAAATCACATTTTGCATAACTGATATAGGATTCATCTTTTGAAATCAAAACCTATGGAATCTGTTTCGGCAGCTTCTCGAGACTGATTATTTTCGTTTTGAATTCACTTGGATGTTTTGAGGCGTACAGAGCTTGTTTGTTTGTTTGTTTGTTTAACGCTACACTCAGCAATACCCCTGCTATATGACGGCGATATGTAAATAAACCAATCCGGACCAAACGATTGCCGTCTTGGGCATCGAGCTAGACAATTGGTATAGGATGACATTCAACACCCGCGTCTGGCCATCCGATCCCGTTAATCACCTCGTTCGGGTTAGGGTTGCTGAAGACAAATTCTAAACCGGATCTTTCCGGGGCAAAGAGAGAAATATGAGTAACGCACGGGGTGAAGGCATGAGTTTCATCAAGATGACTGATGACTTTACTGATGCCAGAAATAATTTCTATTCAGCTGCTGAGAGACTACACCGACGGAAGGAGAAATGTTGTGAGGATCGTCGACGGGTTTGATTGGTACATAGTACCCGTCCTTAATGCAGACGGTTACGAGTACACGTGGTCCGATGTAAGTCCAACCATATCTCAGTATTCTGTAGAACTGATTGAAGGTGAAGATCAGATTACCGCGCGCGCGCGCAGAGAGAGAGAGAGAGAGAGAGAGAGAGAGAGAGAGAGAGAGAGAGAGAGAGAGAGAGAGAGAGAGAGAGAACCACCCATATTCAATTATTTGATAAAAACTGCAAACTAAAACAAGCTGACAATTTTGACCCGTTGCGGAGGGAAAATGCCTAAAGCCCTTTTTCAGTCAAAAATTTGCTATTGCTGCCAATCAACCCATTGTCAAATTTTATTCCGCTTGAACAACATATGCAGCAAAGTCTACACGAGTCATGGCATGACTCCACTGAGGAATACAAGGATTTGTCTCTTTGAGTGTGTCTTGTTCACTCAGAAAAAAATCAGCTGTATGACAATGGCCTGTAAATAATTCCGTCTGGACTAGAAAATCCAGTGATGGATATTGTAAGCAGCGAACCATTCTAACCCGGAATCTCTACGAGGGATGGGGTGAGTGTAGGTGATAAGATGTCAGAGGAATGCACAAAATGACGGGTTCCATCAGGCAATGTATCACATATACCATGTTGTAGGATCGGATGTGGAGGAAGACTCGGAGCATCCATCCAACAAGTGACTGTGTCGGAGTGGACCCCAACCGGAACTGGGACCACCAGTGGGGAGAATCAGAAGGTGAGACTACAGGTCACATACCACTTAGTTATCAGGATATAATGTCCCACAACCCATTACTGTAGTCAATAAGTCACTTACCCACTCATAATAGAAAGCACACATTGTTACATAAATAGAACATTGGTTGTTGTATGCATATGGCTGTTCATGTAAACATGAAGTCACACGTACTAGCCTAAATATAATTGTGTATAGATCAAGGTCTACGTCAAGGTCTAGTTTTAAGGTGAAACTAGTGATATAAGAAATTTCACTTTGTGTGAGGACACAAGCTCCGAAGTTCATATAGTTTGGTCACTCTATGAAGGTTCATGCTCCAATGAACTCACTCAAAGTGAAAGTCAATTCTTAATCTCAAATGATATCAGGTGTTCTCGAAAAGGTGAGCGTATCCTGCCCCCTCCCCCGCCTCTCCATCAATGGCACCCGTCACAACTCACGAAAGGATCCCGAAATCATGTTCACGTTGTGTACTGCTTGCGTGACATATAAGGGTGATATCTAAGTCTATTTGTTTGCGTCATCCAGGCTCCAGCGGGGCGGCCTGTTCAGAGACGTACCGGGGACCCAAGGCTTGTTCCGAACCATGTATCCACGGAGCTACCGAGTATCTGTTGAATCTCAGTAAGAACGTGACAGTCAGGGGCTTCATTGACATGCACAGCTATTCCCAGATGTGGATGACTCCGTGGGGATACACCAAAGATGTTCCTGAAACTGACTTCGATATTCAGGTATGCACCTGTGACAGACATTGAAGAGGATGACCATTCTAATCAGGCAAGCGACTGTGTCAGTCATGAGGGAGGGTGATCATTTTGGTAGGCACCTGTGACAGACATTGAGGAGGGTGGCCATTATAAGCAGGTATACAACTGTGACGGACAGTGCGAGGTATGACAATTATAAGCAGGTAGGCACCTGTGCCAGACATTGAGGAGGGGAGCCATTATAAGCAGGTATACAACTGTGACGGACAGTGCGAAGTATGACCATTATAAGCAGGTAGGCACCTGTGACAGACATTGAGGAGGGGAGCCTTTATAAGCAGGTATAAAACTGTGATAGGATGATGACCATTATAATCAGGAATGCAACCGTGACAGGCATTGAGGTACCCGTAAAGATCCTGCTTGGAATTGATCTTCAGCAACCCACCTTTGTCGTAAGAAGTGACCATGTTTGTCGTACGAGGAGACTAACGGGATCGGATGATCAGGCTCACTGACTTGGTTGATGCATGTCATCGACTCGCATTGGGTAGATCTATGCTCAGTGTGTCAGTTACTGGATTGTCTGGTCCAGACGCGATATTTACAGGCGCTATCATATAGCTGGAATATTGCTGAGTACGGCGTTCAACGACAAAGGAGGAGAGACATCGACTAACAAACACAGACATTAAAGAGGATGATCATTATAATAAGGTATGGAGCTGTGACAGAACGTCAGTTCTTATCTTTGGTAGGTGACGGAGATTGTAGAAAGTGGTGTCTTTAATCAGCTATGCTACAGAAGGTGAATTCTATTATGGAGTTTGCTACTGTTGGGAAAGATTTAAGACACTAGTCTTCAAACTATAGTCTAAAAGAACAAGCGTCTACACATGTATGCTGACATAAATTCCAGAGTGACTTCTGTGACAGACATTCCTGTGATGACTGATCGGGTATGCTACTGTGGCAGCGATGACGTAATCAGTGATGATCAGTGGCTACATCAACACACCTTAACACAGTAATCAGGTTGTGGACGCCAAACGTTGGTGGAAAGCCCACTCGCTGGTAAATGTTCACATCTTTGGTCGGACATTATGGTCATTGACCTGTGATCATCTGTGATTCAAACCAATGACCAATCAGAACTTCAAAACATCCCTTGGTCAGAATCCCAAATTCGCTCTGATTATGATTTAAGGCATGAGAACCCGATACCCATGCTCATGGGTTTCACGAAGTTTGTAAACGCCTGGATTACTTCAGGCTCCACTGTGTTCCACGTCAAGCAGACAGTCGTGTAACTGAACTACTGTTTAAGGCTACGTTTTAACAGAACTCACATTGTTTTGTGTTGCATTCTTGGGGAAATACTACCAGCCATCTCTCCGTCACTGTGAACATCCTATATGTCTGTGGAGTTATTTGTGTCTTTCATTTAGGATGCCTCATCTGTTGCTGCTGTAGATGCCATTAGCAACGCTGGCGGTCCTATATACGATCACGGCACAATAGCAAACACCATATGTAAGTACATGCTTAGAAAGGATCCAATGACAGACACCTACATCTACGAGTACATATGAATGACTCTAGAAACATAATGTATGCGATGGATGATGTGCGAGTGGTTGAACTTAGCAAAAAAGGCAACACTTTTTTTCAAGATATAATCTGTCGGGCAAAAGAAAGTATTCACTTGGAAATTTGGTTTGACCAAAACATAAAAGACGCTACTAGGCTGAAACAGTCGCACTGTAAACTTTAGGTCTAAACCACAGCTATGATATTAAACGTATCACCATCGAATAACCATTTCTTGTTTGTTTCATTTTAGCCATCATCAAGTGTGAGTGTCTACTTTCTGTTGCTTGGCAGTTTGTTGTATTTGTGTACGGGTGTCTATGTATTGAGGACTTAGGCTCTTTACTTACGTCAGACCATCTTCCCGAGACAAGGGCTTTAACTGACTTTTTACGATTCCGACTACGGTATTCGACGTAATAAGCGCCCCGCTCTAATAAGCGCACACGGCGATATTTACTAATGTATTGGCACCTGAACAATCCAATTTAGCACCCCTTCCTATTGATCAATATAAACAAGACTTATTCATTCGCGTATAATACGCACTTCTGTGTTATATGCACCATTAATCATGGGCAATTAAATTCTGGCAAAATATATCTGCCGTACATAAACATTTCAGGCTGTCAGCATAAACCACGAAATTTATCTTTTAACTCTGTTTTTTTCCACCAAAATAATATTTTAATAAGAGACCCCTATTTCTAATTTTGAGAGCGCCCTAGGCGCTTATTACGTCGAATACGATATATCATGAGCATGTTTTTTTTATGAATCACTATCAAATAGTAATGATATGAATACAAACTCATTTTTTGTGATGTTGTTAATTGGCTTTTATTTCCTTCATTTGTCCAGATATCTCCAATGGGAACAGCGTGGACTGGGCCTATGGAAAGCTTGGGGTTTTATACTCGGCTGCTGTTGAGCTTCCAGATAAGGGACAATATGGGTTCTTATTGCCACAAGACCAGATAATACGAGTTGGAACCGAAACATTCCAGGGTCTTGTGGCCTGGGCAACCTATGTTCTCGAACACTGATGGCAATAAATACTGTATACAGTAATATTGAGGTATTTGCTACACGTGTTCCTTATTGCTGCGACCGCTCCCATTGTCTCGTTGTTACCCTGCCTGGCACTCGGGGATAAGGCCGCCAAAGACTGGTTGACTCAGAGTCAGTATACTGTGTCTGAGCGGGGTATCAATGTTAAACTGTGGCATGGTATCTCAGTGAGCCGGCATTAATCCGGGATAGTATAAGCAGACGAGAGCACGTCACCTCGTTAATATAAGTTCAATAATCTTGATGGTAGTTCAGGAACTGATCGTCAGTTTAGTCCTGTTTCTTCACAGTGTTTCATGTTGTCTTGCATTTCTCGCTTCCACTTTGTGTGGACGTCGTCACTTTTGTTGTGACAGCTTATCGTGAATACATGGACCTCTTTTACATAAGTTAGCCTCAGTATGTCTAGTCTGTTATGATTCGTAAATGGGTAAAAAATAACAAGTTCTAATGTATATTCAGTGTAGTAGATGAGTGAGTGAGTGAGTGAGTGAGTTGGGTTTAACGCCGCTTTTAACAGTTTTCCAGTAATATCACGGCGTGTCAGCTTAATGTGGGTGGAAAGCCCGAAGTGATACAGGTCTCATGCGTTTACCACTTCGGTGAAACCCACGAGCACGGGTATGGTGCTGACAAACCTGGAAACATAATCGGGGCGAATCGGGATCAGAACCCACAATCATAGGTTTCTGGCATGCCCAAGGGACGCAATTCTGCACTGCGAATCGAGACGCCCTAGACAACTGGGCCACCCGTGCCACCAGTAGATGATGATTAACTGAATAATAACATCATCGGCATGTGTTTATTAATCAAATTGTGATGGTACCAGGTGTTCGCGAATAGGAGAACGTCCACCGAGGACACCCGTCACAAACACATGCAAAGACAAGTCAAGTGTTCATCGGAAAAAAAATATAGAAGTGAAAATTGTACAAGTCAAAATAGCGAATTGCATCGGACATAATTTTGTCACTGATGTGTCATATTTGGCTCTTTATGTGGCATTATTGTAAATATCGCTTCATCAAACAATTAATGTAGTGCTGCTTACGTATAATGGTTGTGTTATCTGAGGTCGCGTCAGTGAAAACAACTACAAACTTTCCATGTGGGGCAGTTAGACTTTGGATAACAGCTGGCTGAGACAGAATGGGTTGCCATTCTGTTTCCTCTTTATCAGTATGTGCATTTTACCAATGACAACACCACACACAGACTAACCCACTCTGAAAGACCTTCAACAGGTTCCTCTTCCCTTTTGGCTCATTTTGGGCATATGCTACGACAGCATCCATACTGATTTTAAAGATCGGAGGCTGCTCACGATATTTTGGTACATACATGTATTGGAAAAACTGACGAAGGTTATTATTGTCAACAATCAAAGAAGTCACCTGTATTTATATACTACTCAAAAGAAGATAAGGATCACCTGATTCTTTCATATTGGTAATGTTAATCTGTCATGGCATGAGAGATTAACTATTTTAATATGGAAGAATCAGGTGATCCTTAACTTCTTTTGAGTAGTATATGACCAACATGTTGGTAGCAGTATGGTGAGTCTTGACAGTCACACGAAGTAAAATTTACATCATGAGCGGCAAAGTCCTCATTCCTAAACTTCAACAACTCGACCGAAATGGTGTTCGTATATGAAAATAAAACTGTTTGTGGTTCTTGAAATTTTAAATATTGTGGGACATTTTGGGAAACTGATTTTTATCTCATAATGTTACTTAAATTTACGGCATCAATTTCAAATTCAAAGACATGCAGTCTTTGTATGATTTACTGGAGTCTGTTTCTGGTTTGGACAGACGTCTCAAACCAATATCAAGAAAACAATACTCTCAGGTCGATACTTTGGGGTCTTACTGTTTGTAAACCCATCCATTAACAAAGGTTGCTTTCAACGACACAAAGTATAGTATTGTTCTTAATCCTGTACAGTCCATGTGGTTCCTGAAGGACAGGCATTACATCTCCCAAAGGAAAAGTAACATTTGACCTTCGTCCTTTCTTGATACCATGACAGCTAGGACAACTTTGGGATGCCGGATACACGCTCAATACATTGACGTTGGCAGTTCGACTTGGCATACACAATAGGAAACATTTCTCTTGATGCCTGATCTATACATGTCATGTACGTAGGTGGAATTGTTGTCTGCTGCACATCGTTGTACAGAGTTCAATGTTTAACATACCAGGATGCAGAGTAAGGAGTTGATAAAATGGTCTTCACGCGTGGGCTGTGGGTTAGGAGTGTGGAGTGCGGAGTTTGGAGCATGGGGTTGGAGTGTGGAGTGTGGAGCGTGGAGCATGGGGTGTGGAGTGTGGAGCATGGGGTGTGGAGTGTGGAGCATGGGGTGTGGAGCATGGGGTGTGGAGCATGGAGTGTGGAGCATGGGGTGTGGAGCATGGGGTGTGGAGCATGGAGTGTGGAGCATGGGGTGTGGAGTGTGGAGCATGGAGTGTGGAGCATGGAGTGTGGAGCATGGGGTGTGGAGCATGGTGTGTGGAGCATGGAGTGTGGAGCATGGAGAGTGGAGCATGGGGTGTGGAGCATGGGGTGTGGAGTGTGGAGCATGGAGCGTGGAGCATGGGGTGTGGAGCATGGGGTGTGGAGCATGGAGCGTGGAGCATGGAGTGTGGAGCATGGGGTGTGGAGCATGGAGCGTGGAGCATGGAGTGTGGAGCATGGAGTGTGGAGCATGGGGTGTGGAGCATGGGGTGTGGAGCATGGGGTGTGGAGTGTGGAGCATGGGGTGTGGAGCATGGGGTGTGGAGTGTGGAGCATGGGGTGTGGAGCATGGGGTGTGGAGCATGGGGTGTGGAGCATGGGGTGTGGAGTGTGGAGCATGGCGTGTGGTGCATGGAGCATGGAGTGTGGAGCATGGGGTGTGGAGCATGGGGTGTGGAGTGTGGAGCATGGGGTGTGAAGCATGGGGTGTGGAGCATGGAGCGTGGAGCATGGGGTGTGGAGTGTGGTGCATGGAGCGTGGAGCATGGAGTGTGGAGCATGGGGTGTGGAGTGTGGAGCATGGGGTGTGGAGCATGGGGTGTGGAGCATGGGGTGTGGAGCGTGGAGCATGGCGTGTGGAGCATGGAGCATGGAGTGTGGAGCATGGCATGTGGAGCATGGGGTGTGGAGTGTGGAGCATGGGGTGTGAAGCATGGGGTGTGGAGCATGGAGTGTGGAGCATGGGGTGTGGAGTGTGGAGCATGGGGTGTGGAGTGTGGAGCATGGCATGTGGAGCATGGGGTGTGGAGCATGGGGTGTGGAGCATGGCGTGTGGAGCATGGGGTGTGGAGCATGGAGTGTGGAGCATGGGGTGTGGAGCATGGCGTGTGGAGCATGGGGTGTGGAGTGTTGAGCATGGCATGTGGAGCATGGCATGTGGAGCATGGAGTGTGGAGCATGGGGTGTGGAGCATGGGGTGTGGAGCATGGAGTGTGGAGCATGGCGTGTGGAGCATGGAGTGTGGAGCATGGCATGTGGAGCATGGAGTGTGGAGCATGGGGTGTGGAGCATGGGGTGTGGAGTGTGGAGCATGGCATGTGGAGCATGGGGTGTGGAGCATGGGGTGTGGAGCATGGGGTGTGGAGCATGGGGTGCGGAGTGTGGAGCATGGGGTGTGGAGTGTGGAGCATGGGGTGTGGAGCATGGGGTGTGGAGTGTGGAGCATGGGGTGTGGAGCATGGAGTGTGGAGCATGGCGTGTGGAGCATGGGGTGTGGAGCATGGGGTGTGGAGCATGGGGTGTGGAGTGTGGAGCATGGCATGTGGAGCATGGGGTGTGGAGCATGGGGTGTGGAGCATGGGGTGTGGAGCATGGCGTGTGGAGCATGGCGTGTGGAGCATGGGGTGTGGAGTGTGGAGCATGGGGTGTGGAGCATGGAGTGTTGAGCATGGCGTGTGAAGCATGGGGTGTGGAGCATGGGGTGTGGAGCATGGGGTGTGGAGTGTGGAGCATGGCGTGTGGAGCATGGGGTGTGGAGCATGGCGTGTGGAGCATGGGGTGTGGAGTGTGGAGCATGGCGTGTGGAGCATGGGGTGTGGAGTGTGGAGCATGGCGTGTGGAGCATGGGGTGTGGAGCATGGGGTGTGGAGCATGGGGTGTGGAGTGTGGAGCATGGCATGTGGAGCATGGGGTGTGGAGCATGGGGTGTGGAGCATGGGGTGTGGAGCATGGCGTGTGGAGCATGGGGTGTGGAGTGTGGAGCATGGAGTGTGGAGCATGGGGTGTGGAGCATGGGGTGTGGAGTGTGGAGCATGGGGTGTGGAGCATGGGGTGTGGAGCATGGGGTGTGGAGTGTGGAGCATGGAGTGTGGAGCATGGGGTGTGGAGCATGGGGTGTGGAGCATGGGGTGTGGAGTGTGGAGCATGGCGTGTGGTGCATGGAGCATGGAGTGTGGAGCATGGGGTGTGGAGCATGGGGTGTGGAGTGTGGAGCATGGGGTGTGAAGCATGGGGTGTGGAGCATGGAGTGTGGAGCATGGGGTGTGGAGTGTGGTGCATGGAGCGTGGAGCATGGAGTGTGGAGCATGGGGTGTGGAGTGTGGAGCATGGGGTGTGGAGCATTGGGTGTGGAGCATGGGGTGTGGAGCGTGGAGCATGGCGTGTGGAGCATGGAGCATGGAGTGTGGAGCATGGCATGTGGAGCATGGGGTGTGGAGTGTGGAGCATGGGGTGTGAAGCATGGGGTGTGGAGCATGGAGTGTGGAGCATGGGGTGTGGAGTGTGGAGCATGGGGTGTGGAGTGTGGAGCATGGCATGTGGAGCATGGGGTGTGGAGCATTGGGTGTGGAGCATGGTTTGTGGAGCATGGGGTGTGGAGCATGGAGTGTGGAGCATGGGGTGTGGAGTGTGGAGCATGGGGTGTGGAGTGTTGAGCATGGCATGTGGAGCATGGAGTGTGGAGCATGGGGTGTGGAGCATGGGGTGTGGAGCATGGGGTGTGGAGCATGGAGTGTGGAACATGGCGTGTGGAGCATGGAGTGTGGAGCATGGCATGTGGAGCATGGAGTGTGGAGCATGGGGTGTGGAGCATGGGGTGTGGAGCATGGGGTGTGGAGTGTGGAGCATGGCATGTGGAGCATGGGGTGTGGAGCATGGGGTGTGGAGCATGGGGTATGGAGCATGGGGTGCGGAGTGTGGAGCATGGGGTGTGGAGCGTGGAGCATGGGGTGTGGAGCATGGGGTGTGGAGTGTGGAGCATGGGGTGTGGAGCATGGAGTGTGGAGCATGGGGTGTGGAGTGTGGAGCATGGGGTGTGGAGCATGGGGTGTGGAGCATGGGGTGTGGAGCGTGGAGCATGGCGTGTGGAGCATGGAGCATGGAGTGTGGAGCATGGCATGTGGAGCATGGGGTGTGGAGTGTGGAGCATGGGGTGTGAAGCATGGGGTGTGGAGCATGGAGTGTGGAGCATGGGGTGTGGAGGGTGGAGCATGGGGTGTGGAGTGTGGAGCATGGCATGTGGAGCATGGGGTGTGGAGCATGGGGTGTGGAGCATGGCGTGTGGAGCATGGGGTGTGGAGCATGGAGTGTGGAGCATGGGGTGTGGAGTGTGGAGCATGGGGTGTGGAGTGTTGAGCATGGCATGTGGAGCATGGAGTGTGGAGCATGGGGTGTGGAGCATGGGGTGTGGAGCATGGGGTGTGGAGCATGGAGTGTGGAGCATGGAGTGTGGAGCATGGCATGTGGAGCATGGAGTGTGGAGCATGGGGTGTCGAGCATGGGGTGTGGAGCATGGGGTGTGGAGTGTGGAGCATGGCATGTGGAGCATGGGGTGTGGAGCATGGGGTGTGGAGCATGGGGTGCGGAGTGTGGAGCATGGGGTGTGGAGTGTGGAGCATGGGGTGTGGAGCATGGCGTGTGGAGCATGGGGTGTGGAGTGTGGAGCATGGGGTGTGGAGCATGGAGTGTGGAGCATGGCGTGTGGAGCATGGGGTGTGGAGCATGGGGTGTGGAGCATGGCGTGTGGAGCATGGGGTGTGGAGCATGGAGTGTGGAGCATGGGGTGTGGAGTGTGGAGCATGGGGTGTGGAGTGTTGAGCATGGCATGTGGAGCATGGAGTGTGGAGCATGGGGTGTGGAGCATGGGGTGTGGAGCATGGAGTGTGGAGCATGGCGTGTGGAGCATGGAGTGTGGAGCATGGCATGTGGAGCATGGAGTGTGGAGCATGGGGTGTGGAGCATGGGGTGTGGAGCATGGGGTGTGGAGTGTGGAGCATGGCATGTGGAGCATGGGGTGTGGAGCATGGGGTGTGGAGCATGGGGTGTGGAGCATGGGGTGCGGAGTGTGGAGCATGGGGTGTGGAGTGTGGAGCATGGGGTGTGGAGCATGGCGTGTGGAGCATGGGGTGTGGAGTGTGGAGCATGGGGTGTGGAGCATGGAGTGTGGAGCATGGCGTGTGGAGCATGGGGTGTGGAGCATGGGGTGTGGAGCATGGGGTGTGGAGCGTGGAGCATGGGGTGTGGAGCATGGGGTGTGGAGCATGGGGTGTGGAGCATGGCGTGTGGAGCATGGGGTGTGGAGTGTGGAGCATGGGGTGTGGAGCATGGAGTGTGGAGCATGGCGTGTGGAGCATGGGGTGTGGAGCATGGGGTGTGGAGCATGGGGTGTGGAGTGTGGAGCATGGCGTGTGGAGCATGGGGTGTGGAGCATGGCGTGTGGAGCATGGGGTGGTGAGTGTGGAGCATGGCGTGTGGAGCATGGGGTGTGGAGCATGGCGTGTGGAGCATGGGGTGTGGAGTGTGGAGCATGGGGTGTGGAGCATGGAGTGTGGAGCATGGCGTGTGGAGCATGGGGTGTGGAGCATGGGGTGTGGAGCATGGGGTGTGGAGTGTGGAGCATGGCGTGTGGAGCATGGGGTGTGGAGCATGGGGTGTGGAGCATGGGGTGTGGAGAGTGGAGCATGGCATGTGGAGCATGGGGTGTGGAGCATGGGGTGTGGAGCATGGGGTGTGGAGCATGGCGTGTGGAGCATGGGGTGTGGAGTGTGGAGCATGGGGTGTGGAGCATGGAGTGTTGAGCATGGCGTGTGGAGCATGGGGTGTGGAGCATGGGGTGTGGAGCATGGGGTGTGGAGTGTGGAGCATGGCGTGTGGAGCATGGGGTGTGGAGTGTGGAGCATGGCGTGTGGAGCATGGGGTTGGAGTGTGGAGTGTGGAGCATGGCATGTGGAGTGCAGTGTTCATGTCCTGAAAGTACCCCTACCATAAGTAAAAGTATAAACATATAAAATCCATCCACAAATGACAAAGGATTAATCCTTTTATTTGCTATTTTCCAGAAGTACAGCAAAGACATTCAATACAATGTGAAGCATAATTCATTATGTCAACATAGCATGATAATAATATTAGTTAGATATATCTCTGCGGTCAGGTCATCTGGTTTGCAAGTATGCACATATTTCAGTATGTAGCAGTATTAGCATTGTAATAATAAATGTCAAAGAAGTTTGATCTCAATGGGTAACACTATCAACATCTACAAAAGGTAAATGCCAGTGGACGAGGCCTCGGATGAACCTAAAACAACATAGTCATTGTCACACATGCAAAGTTTTAACTTTCTTTCATGTTGATTTTCAACCATAGCACTCTGAATAAACCTGCCGCCTCCTATGGTAATACTGATTTACACATAGCCTTAAGGTTAAATCTTAAATATACAAATTAAGAATGACATAAACTAATATTGCCCTTGGCAAATAAACTCATTTTTCTTTGCACATATCAAAAGATTTGTAAGTGGAGCCATGATATTCACACTCTTGAATCCATGTTTTTTAAGCAATTAACAAGCAAAAACAGACAATGTAGCATCAACATCAATGCATCAATCATTCAACTTAGATAAAAAATGACTCAAGACAAAGCTCACATAGAATCAGTTTTGCATGTTTATCAGTAATGCTATTTGTTAAACAAAGCAAATTAAACCTATTTCTGTTTCTAATTCTTAAACTTGGTTCTAAAACTAGTATTGAACATCAAGTCTTCATTAATCACAAAAGGGAAGTCCCAAATACTAGTACAAAGAAGAAGAAAGCTGGTGCTTGATGGAGAAGATGGAGACATTGGACTCTAATTGTAATTTGTAAAGTAATTTGTAGTGAGAACAATGTCTGCATGGCTGTATGGTGTGTGAACCATGCAGATGATTGGTGACATTCAACAACAGCGCTATTGGCCTAAGACCTGGGAACGATGCCCACATGACAACATGTGCAGGTCCTTAGTGTCCCGCATTGTGATATGCCTGGATATTGTTTGTTTGTTTATTGATTAACGCCACACTCGGCAATATAGTGCAGCTACATGACGGCAGTCTGTAAATAATCGAGTCTGGACCAGACAATCCAGTGATTGACATCATGAGCATCAATCCCCACAATTGGGATCGATGACATGCATCAACCAAGACAGCTAGCCTGACCACCCGATCCGGTTAGTCGCCTCTTACGACAAGCATAGTCGCCTTTTACTGCAAGCATGGGTTGCTGAAGACCTATTCTACCCCATGCATTGATCTATGTATTGTTTATTGTTTAATGCCACACTCAGCAATATTCCAGCTATATGATGGCAGTCTGTAAACAATCTAGCATATGGGATACAATGAAATGCATCAACCAAGTCTGTGGGTCTGACCATCCAATCCCGGACTGGATATTGAGAGCTGCATTGGACCATGACGTGTTGCAAATTGAATGTGGTGTTTAATAATATAAGTGGAGTCGAAGGTTGTAGGTACAACAATAGTTATAGGTCATAGTACAGAATACACACATTATCATATTTTGAAGTGATGGATAATCATATAATCATAAAAATAAAACATCAACATAAGATAAGAACCAGTCTCGATTATCTTCCTAAACAGATTCCACTAGGTGGGGCACATCACACAAACGCACAACTGGAAATCAGCTGACACCCAGGAAAGTTAATCAAATTTAACATATAATAACAGACATTCTGATCAGAACAAAAGAAAGACAACACTACCAACAATTTGTCACATTTTCAGTGACATTATGTAAAAATGTAAAGACTGTGTCAGTGCATCCAGAAAAAAGCAAGAGAAATAAAAAACTAATTATATTACAAAAAATCAGTCCATTGTTTTTAAAAACAATTATTTTCTCTCAAGCATATATATTTTAATTAAATATTTATATTTAAAAAATGATCAAAGAGGAATCTCACATACCTGTAGGTAGATTTATATTTGGTGAAAGAAGCAAAGCTATCTTACATTTGCTATACTTTGTTTTTGAGTCATCAAATAGGGGGTCACGTCACTCATCTGCAGCTCCGATTCATCTGGATCTTACAATCTTCGACAAAATAACTCACATTATCAAGGAACAAATTCAATCAACTTGATAGCAGTTTTCTGACAGTCTATTTCCTTCAGTGATAAAATCAAATCTCTCAAAGTAAAGAAAGGCTTTCTCTGCAGTAGATCATTGATGACTCGCATGCAGTAATCATAGTCGTCTTGTCCCTTGTTCATCTTGTATTCCAATTTCAAATCTCTAAGTTTTTCGCCTTTCATTTCCACCTCTACAGCCAAATCCATCCACTTCGGACCAATGTCATCAGCGATCAAGTTAACATGGTCAAAATCTATCTCTTCCCCTCTCCCTACTGAAACATAAGAATTATAAGGAGAACATTAGAACATCATATTACATGTATTACATATTGAATATATTACACATGTATTACATATTGAATATATTACACATGTATTACATATTGAATATATTACACATGTATTACATATTGAATATATTACACATGTATTACATATTGTTTGTTTGTTTGTTGTTTAACGCCACACTCAGCAATATTCCAGCTATATGACGGTGGTCTGTAAAATAATCGAGTCTGGACCAGACAATCAAGTGATTGACATCATGAGCATCGATCCACGCAATTGGGATCGATGACATGTATCAACCAAGTCAGCGAGCCTGACCACCCGATCCCGTTAGTCGCCTTTTACGACAAGCAAAGTCGCCTTTTACGGAAAGTATTGGTTGCTGTAGACCTATTCTAACCCGGAAACTTCACGGGTCGTATTACATATTGAATATATTACACATGTATTACATATTGAATATATTACACATGTATTACATATTGAATATATTACACATGTATTCCATATTGAATATATTACACATGTATTACATACTGAATATATTACACATGTATTACATACTGAATATATTACACATGTATTACATATTGAATATATTACACATGTATTACATACTGAATATATTACACATGTATTACATACTGAATATATTACACATGTATTACATACTGAAAATATTACACATGTATTACATATTGAATAACAAATCTATTTTTGTACATGCCATTTAATCATCAAACTAAAAGCATAATACTTTCAACAAGGGCACAGAGGCTTGTATGTTGGATAGGTCTCATGGAGATTACTGGTATTTATATTTGTTTCAAGATGATTTGCTAAAAGCTGTATGTTCGGTGCATTTCATCCTGTGAGACACTCCCCTCACCAATGAATCATATCCGAGCAGTATAACTATAACTGAAAAGTATGTCATCTGTTGTTGATGACGTCTCAGATAACTGGACGTTGTTATAATAAATATTGTTTTTAATATAAGACTCTTTATTTATGGGTGAACCTTCATTTTTTCATATTTTATAACAAAGAGATACAATGGTTACAAAAAAGAATAAACATCTTGGAATACAGGATTAAAGATTATCTCAACCTCAAGAATTAATGTTGAAAGTACCAAAAATACACCAAAATACCTAAATTGATGAACTAGGCTAAAGCTATTAAACAATATTTGAACGTACTAGTTTAGCTTTTCCATGGAGATTCATTTTCGATCTTGTGGACCTACAAGATAAATTTTTCTTTTGAGTTACATTCAATCATATAGAAACCAAATTGAGGGTATATGAGTCCAGAGCATGCGAGTCAGCCATGACTACTTATTAATGGACTTATGATCAGTTGAGAGTACATCTAATTCATGTTCATAGCAATGACTTGGAGTTTCACTGTTCTTTGATTATGTACACAGAAATGAAACTAAATGTGTAAAACGAAATAATGGAGTCACAGGCCCTGTAGCTCACCTGGTTCAAACTACATATATGACAGAAAGTCAGCTCAGGAGGCATTTTCAGAAGAGATAACATTTACAGAGTCAAAAATGCATTTTGGGAGTGTTTAGGAGACCACTACTAACTACATACATACTGAAGCTGATTTCCGTTTGAATTTTTGTTGTCTGAATAAAATGGATAATGGCCAAAAACATTTTGCTAAATGTGGCTGCCAGGGTGGCCATTTTAAAAATCAGCCCATAAAGTCCAAAAAGGAGAATAAAGAGTGAGTGAGTAAGAGTGAGTGATGGAGTGAGTGAGTGAGTTTTCAACACTGCTTTGAACAGTATTCCAGTTCTGTTACGGCATGTCAGCTTAATGTGGGAAGGAAAGCCTGAAGTGATGTAGGTCTTAGACGTTTAACACTTTTGTGAGACCCACGAGCACGGGTATGGTGCTGACAAACCTAGAAACATACCGTAATCGGGGAACTGTGATTTAAACCCATGATCATAGGTTTCAGGGCGTACCCAAGACGACTGGGCCCCATTTCAGTTGAGTCTAACGATTCAGTCGAGTCCAACAAATCAGTCGATTCGAACAATTCAGTCAAGTCTAACAATTCAGTCGAGTCTAACAATTCAGACGAGTCTAACAATTCAGACTATTTGAACAATTCAGTTGATTCGAACAAATCAGTCGAGTCTCACAATTCAGTCGAGTCTAACAATTCAGTCGATTCTAACAATTCAGTGGATTCGAACAATTCAGTGGATTCGAACAATTCAGTCGAGTCGAACAATTCAGTCAAGTCTAACAATTCAGTCAATTCGAACAATTATTAAAATACATGACAACAACCAAACTTACAAACACTTCTATGTTTCTTTGACATTTTCTTGAACTTTGACCTGTAATCCGTGGACCTCTTGCGGGTACTCCCAGCACCACTGATGTCATTGCGACTCACATTGCCGTCGTCATCACAGTTCAATACCATCACATTGTTCTCTCCGAACTGAACCCCCGCCGGGAGAGACAGGGGGTTGAAGTCGCCCGACATCGAACCATCAGCATCTACAGGTTACAATAACATCTGTACCTCTAGGAGAATACTCAAAGTTCAAGTTTACTTGAAACATTTTCTTAAAGTAAACAAAAAGTAAACAAAATGATTATTTATGTTGAAAGTAATGTAAATGTGTTTGTTGAACAACAAAGTACCAGGGTTGCATGGTTTTAAGCCCTGGGATTAATTACAGATTTTTTAATTTTAATTGAGTAACATTTTATCCAAATTTAAGCCCCGTGCTTAAAAATGAAAAAAGGACAAATACATGATACGATGAATGAATATCCCAAGTTTAATGAAACAAAACTCACAAATGGAATGAGAGAGCAACATTCTTAACATTCGAAATGATTTTCTTTTTCAAACTGAAATTATAAGTCAAGAACACCTTTAAATTGAAATGACAGCTGTCCAAAAAGTGACAACGAACTAATATCGAAGTTATGCAGGTCTGTCATATGTGTTTAAATTGTCACACTGAGTATCAATAATATCACCTATGTTAGGGGTCCAGTGTGTCTTGTAAATGAGCACCATTGGTGCTAATTGGCCATGTAGAAGCATGATACAAGATGTGATAAAGAACTTCCGATGAAGGAGATCACTAAGTCTATCAGTGCCATGACAGTGTTTAGGGGAGGGTAAGCTGTACTTTGGTGGATATGACAAGTGGAAACTAATTTATTTTCCTATGAATTAAAATTGGGGGGAGTGGAGTGGAGGTTCAGCTACATCTGCAGAACCAAATATTTTTTCAAATAAAACTACGAGCCTAGTGATAAGCATCTTGCAACAATGTATTTTTTTGTGGCTGACAATTTCTTTCTTTTTTCAACAGTCTCAAGCATACTGATTTTTTCATTCCTCAATATTTTCCAATGGGATTACACACATATAATGCTCAACCAGCAAAGGACTATATTCCAGCAAAATATATAAACATACAATATTTGGCTTATATTCAAATATCATATTCAAGTAGCAGATAGCGTTTATATACGTAACATATATATATGTAACAAGAATATATTTATATGTATATACAAAAGAATTATAGTTAACACTTGTTACAATGAATGCTATATACTTACTGAGTTCTACATGGATGGAGGTTGGATCATTAAAATTCTGAAAAAAGAAATTGTGAGAAGTTAATTCTGGAAGTCATACCAATATTTCTGACTGGTAGATAGTCATATCTGTTCAGGTAAAAGTTGAACATTAATTTCCATAGGCAACAGCTAGTTTATTATGAACCATTATCACTCTATATTGTCTAATATGCTGAACAAAAAATAAGGGGGTACTGAATATTATTTGGGGATACTTTTATGAAATTGTGTGCTCAGTCTTCAAGACTCGCTAAAGCTCGGAACTTAAAACATTAATTTAACTCGTAATCACTCGTACCTCGTGGGTTATTCTATAATTAGTCATGATCCCTAACGTTTTTGTTCCGTATATGTATCAATATGTGAAATGAGATCATACACAAGTAACTAATATGCTTGTTTTAAGATTGTCAAATGAAGTACTTGGAATATTGAATATAGCTTATATATAAAGCTAGTAAAAGTTATTTCAGTACCTGAAACTGGGGCTGTGCTCTAAATGTTGTACCACTGCCAGGTTGTGCTCCTGATGTTGTATTTGAGCCTGGTCGCTGACCTTGACCTGAACTGCTCTGACCTTGACCTGAACTGCTCTGACCTTGACCTGAACTACTCTGACTTTGACCTGCAGACGAATTCTGGGTACCGCCTGATGCTTGACCTTGTGTTGTAGATGTTTGACCTTGACCTGAGGTCGAGCTGGCAGCGCTTGTAGTTGAACTTGCAGTCTGACTATTGCTTGCATTTGTAGTGGGCGTTTTTGGAACGCTTTTAGAATCTTTTGGTAAGACAAATGTGTTTCATAAAAATACAGAAAACATCATTATTCCATTCTACTGCCGACTAGCACTTACAACATTCATGCTTTCAATAACATTTGTTCATTTCAAAATTTCGAAATCAGTGCCAACCTGTATGTGATTTAATCAAATCTGTACTTGGTTTGTCCTTAAAAGACTAAGTGCTTTATAATTAACTAATGTCATTAAGGTATTCTAAGCCATTGTGACAGAGACAGCTCATAGAGTGACGAATTGCTTACTTGTTTGATTGAGGAAACCTTTTGCAAAGCCATATGCTGTCTGTAATCTGCAATCAGATATAGGATATCACATAAAAAAACATATTATTTAAAAATCTATATTACTTAACATTAACTCATTTCATGTAAAATGGATTAATTCAAATTTGCATTTTAAAAGTGAATGAGTTAGTTGGACACCACTTAGAAAAGCTTATATCATGGCATGTTAGCTTGATGTGGGAGGAAAGCCAAGGTGATGTAGGTCTTAGATGTTTACCACTTTGGTGAAACCAAGAGACCGAAATATTTTTTTATGGTCTCTGGTGAAACCAGTGCTATAGTGCTGAAAAACTTAGAAACATAAGTGTGTGTTCAGTGTCTGTGTGTCTGTATATACATACGGTTCAGTGTCTGTGTGTCTGTACATACATACGGTTCAGTGTCTGTGTGTCTGTATATACATACGGTTCAGTGTCTGTGTGTCTGTATATACATACGGTTCAGTGTCTGTGTGTCTGTATATACATACGGTTCAGTGTCTGTGTGTCTGTATATACATACGGTTCAGTGTCTGTGTGTCTCTGCACCGGCATCTTGATGTTCTCCTGTCGTTTCACCAGGTGGTCATCAGGTAAGCCCTTTATCTCACGCTGTTTATAAATGAATTTAAAAAACAACTTGAATCATTTCACATCATAAATATCTTATTAAACATCATATTGTCTTGTAATGATTTAATTTCCAGTAACCCCTCCTGATCAACTATTATTGACATGAATTGAGAAAGAAGTATAAAAGGTAAGGCATTAACAGTATTTTGGGTGAAAGTAAACTTTGTGAACTCCAAACAAATTGACTTGAAGTTGTGTTTTTATGTCTGTCTGTTCATGCCGTCAAAGTCTGTGAACATTGGTAGCTTGAATTAACATATCTATATACAAGGGGCGGTCGGGTAGCCTAGAGGTTAAAGCGTTGGCTCGTCACGCTGAAGACCCAGGTTCGATTCCCGACATGTGTACAATGTGTGAAGCCCATTTCTGGTGTCCCCCGCCGTGATATTGCTGGAATATTGCTAAAATCGGCGTAAAACCATACTCACTCACTCACTCTATATACAATCTCATTCAAATCAGATATTAGTTCTCGCTTCCGCCAAACAAAGATATGATGACATCCCATGATAGGTCAAATCAGAACGACCTTTTCCGAACTTTGACCGACCAATGAAATGACTGAATAGAAGCCAACATAAGCCAATCAGGCCAGCTTTCTTGAGCTACGGCACTAGTTTTGGACTGGTGACTTCCATTCAAGACTACGCTTGAAAAATATTTTGTCAAGCTTCTTGATTTAAAATTTGAAAATGGAACAAAGGAACATTCTGGAACCTCTGCTAGATACCTGAGATATTATGGCAGATTTCCCACAGGCTATGCAATATTGATTCTATTCAAATGTTTATCCCAAAGAAGCAAGAGATAGATGTTGATTTTGACCCAATCAGTCGTACAGCTGGTAACTGTTGTTATGGATACCCTGTACTAACCTTTTCGAGGTTGCATGATATCGAAAACACACTCTTGATCTCGTATATGGCACTCTGATTGGTCGAATGAAAATCGTTCTGACGTAACGGATAATAGGGTTGAAATGGGGTTTACCATCGTGTCCAAGATTATTGCACTTTTATTGCACTTATATATATCGTGTGTGTGTGGCTGCATGTACTAGTCCGGACTGATGCCGATTTATAGTGCTAGCTCACAGAGATACCATGCCACAGTTTAACATGAATAGCCCATTCAGACACAGTATACTGACTACGAGCCTACCAGTCCTTGCTTAAGCCCCTTAATGCTGAGCGCTAGACAGGGTAACAACAAGTGCCATCTTCTAACGTCATACCATATTGGTAAGATGTGGTCGGGGATCAAACCCTGGACCTTCCGCTCCCCAGGAGAACGCTCTACCACTAGACCACCGAGGTGGTCTACCAGTAATAGGATGTCCTCAGATCTTTGTTGAGTTGTAGCGAGAACTAAGATCTGATTTTAATGAGATTGATCTACATACAGAATAAAAATGAAACTTTGAGTGAATAATAAAGTTATTAGACCACAAAAATACAATTAACCCTCAGGAAGAGGGGTAACAGGAAACTAGGTTTTTGTTTTTTCTGTGTATTGTTTTACTGCACACACAACAGTATTCTAGCCATATGATGTCAACCTGTGAATAACTGACCCTGGACCAGACTAAATGACGATTGATATTAAGAGCAAAAGTCAACACCATCGGGGTACAATGTCATTCAATGAACCACCATATACATTAAGTCATGTTGCATGACAAAGATTAGCTGCTCAGCACCAAATTTAACCCAGAATCCCCATAGGGAGACAAGAATAGAATGCTGGGGACCAATTCCAACCTGGAATTCCACAAGACAAAGGAGGTGGCATCCCTTGATAGAGTCAAATCTACATGACGTCATCACATCAGTCAAGACATTGCAGGATGCAGAGTAAGCAGTAGTCAAAGTTCAACATTGGTCAATCACACAATCAAAAACTGATTAATATGCTGCAAGCAGTCTGGTACTGTTACAGTAATTTTTTCATTTTTTTTTATGGATTTAGGTTCATCTAAAGTTCATTGACTGAAATTGTTGTCATGGAAACCTGAAAAAATATATATTTCCAAATTTCCTAAATAGCAAAGGGCACCAGTTCATGGTTAGGCTGATTTCTGTGAAAGTATTATTGAGAAACATTGAATGCTTTTTGAATATGCTCTGGAAATAGAATGCTGGGTCTCAATTCTTATCTGGAATTCCCACATGGGTATGAACTACACAATGAACCACAAGACAAAGGGGTGGCATCCCTTTATGAAGGCAATTCTACATGACGTTATCACATCAGGCAAGGCAAGTGTTGAGAAATCAGTTGGGAATCATTGGTTATGATTGGTTTGTCCCAACCAATCAATCATCAATAATAATCTTGATTTATACATATACACATGATTAGATATAGAACGTCAACTCCAGAGAACAATCGGTCCTGATTATCTGCCGAAAATGATTCCACTGGCCGTAAAAAGCAAAATAACGGCAAAGATTATATGAATGGATCACTGAAAATCAGTGATGACACCAGGTGTTCGCAAAAGAGGGTAAGCATGTCCTGCCCTACCTGTAGGGTGTTTGTTGCCTGACGCTGTACAGCAGTACTCCTACCATATGACACGAACGACTATTTTGAAAAAATATACAGATCAAACATTGTTTTTCTCCAAAACTGACACTGGACAATTAAAATTTCCATCAATGACTTACCCTTTCTGGTTCCTGGGGTTTCTGATTGTCTGCTCCAGCAACACCTGCACCAACAACACCTACGACAGCAGCACCTATGGCTGATCCTCCAGTTTGGGAGATGTTGGTCGTGGCAGACTTAGAAGCATCCTTGCTCTCTGTTGCTGAGGATTTCAAAGGTATTGTTGCAGCTTTGGTTGGACTTGGACCTTTGGATCCAGGTCCAGGGGTGGTGTTAGAATTGGCGGCAGTGTTGACTTTACTGGGGCCAGTGTTGCTGGCAGCAGTGTTGGTGGCACTAGCGGCTGCTGAGGTTGAAGCTGGGGGGGTATTTGGGGGTCTGGACACAGTGCTGGGCCTTGAGGATGAACTTGATGATGAAGGGTCCATTAACGAACTCGGCAACCCTGGATTCTTTAACATGTCCACTGAAGAATGAAGATATAATTAAGATGAAGAAGTTTCATTGAAATGAAACACAGCATAACTGGTAGTGAGTGAGTGGCTGGTCAGTATGTATGCTTACACCGATTTAACACTATAACGGCTACCGGATAACAGTTGGAGACAGCAATAACTAATTTAATGTAACAAAAAAGAAATGTCACAAAACATGTGGTGAGGGGAGGAGAAATGGGGTTTAAGTCGTGTTCAAGATCGTTGAACTTATATAGCGATGTGTGTGTGTGTGTGCGCAAGCATGTGTGTGTGAGCGTGTGTATCTGTGCTGAATTACCATGCTGCAGTTTAACATGAATACCCCACTCAGACACAGAATACTGACTCCGAGCCGACCAGTCCTTGTTTTTAGCCCCTTAATGCCGAGCGCCAGACAGGGTAACAACAAGTACCATCTTCGGACCTTCCGGTCTCCAGGAGGACGCTCTACCGCTAGACCACAGAGGTGGTCTACCAGTAATAGGATGTCCTCAGATCCTTGTTGAGTTGTAGCGAGAACTAAGATCTGATTTTAATGAGATTGATCTACATACAGTATAAAAATGAAAATTTGAGTGAATAATAAAGAGGTTAGACAACAAAAATGCCATCTTTTGGTATCGCATGGTCAGGGATCGAATGCTCGACCTTCCACTCTCCGGTTGGATGCACTACCACTAGACCATGGAGGCTATCCACAAAAACATGTGTCTTCTAACTGATTTGTTTGCAATTTGATTCTGCTCACTCAGCAGTGAATTTGTACCTGGTAATGTGACTGCCCAAACTTCCAGCATCTTAACAGAAAGCTTGGGTTGCATACTCCCTAGGGAGGCGAGATTGCACTTACAATGTTGACCTGGGTAATAATAACATGCAGTTTATGCATGCTGCTACACAAATTGACCCTGGTGAAGACCTGGATTATAATTGGTTGCCAGCAACCCATGCTTGTCATAAGCGGCGACTAACAGGATCGGGTTGTCAGACTCCCTGACTTGGTTGATGCATGTCATCATATTCCAGTTGTGTAGATTTGTGCTCACGATGACAATCACTGGATTGTCTGGTCTAGACTCGATTAATTACAGACTGCCGTCATACAGCTGGAATAAGAAAAGCATTAAACAAAAAAAACCACAAACAATATACAATACTGGAAATCAGAGACAATGACGTACTGAGTTCCCTTGTCTGCTTGTGGCGTTCATATCTGCCTGGGTTCATCATCATCTCGTCCTCCAGGTCCATGTCCATCATGTCCATCTCAAGGCCTCGGTACATCCCCGGCATCCTGCGCAAACAGAGACAGCAGCTGTCAACATTCACGACCATCTTATGTTAATGTGGGACAAGCCGAACAGCGACTCGTGCCCCTCTAATGGCCATATTTGCAACTCGTAATGGTTCACATATATTTCCCCATATATTATATATATTTCAGATGCAATGTAAAGCACATCGGGACGTGCGGAATTATACAGTATGATTGAGCACATTTAACTGTGTCTTGGGTATATTTTTAGATGCCAGAGATATGTGAAATCAAAAATTATTTCTGAGGGATTCTTTGACGAAGAACTTGAAATCATACGCGCATTCTGATTGGTATGTCGTATTTTCGCACATAACATTCATCGAGTCTTCTTGCAGGTTACGGAAAGGGGCGAGTGGCGACGAATGTAGCTTTCAACAGTATTTCACTTAAGAGTTTCAAATTCCTAGTATTTAGTGCTGATGGCATGGTTAAAGCCGTAATGGCACAATAAAAATATCTTCCTAGTGCCTAATGGGTACGATTCTTTCAAACAACAATATTGTTAGGCTTAAAAAAATAAAAGAATTTGGTAATGGCAATGGTTTTTGAAAATATAGTGCGGGCGGGCGGTGTCTTTTTTGGGGGGGGGGGTTGTTCAAACTAGTATGTAACCAAGAAACAGTTGTGCAATCAATAAGCAATTGTGTTAAATTAACCTGGGAAAGGGCATCCCTATATAAAGGTATTCCTTTATGAGTGAGATACTGGAATACAGTATTTGACTACCGTTGGACTTGGAATATTTAAGGATTATTTCCTTTTTTTTAAAAATGGAAATAAAAACGAAACATGCAGCGAACTTTATGATGATGTGGGCGGTGCCTGAGAACCAAGACTATTTTTTTTTAAGCCTTATATGAAACCTGGGAGAAATGTACATTGCACAAATGTACAATGACAAACACATCAAAACTGATGATCATATGAATGAGTTCAATGCACGGTAAGATACACAAACTATATTTGGGTATTATCAATCTTAATGAGATGGAAGGGGGCATATCACAGCCTAATAATTAGACTTAGTGAGTGAGTTGGGTTCAACAGTATTCCAGTCATATCACAGCGTGTCACCTTAATGTGGGAGGAAAAGTTTGAAGTGATGCAGGTCTTAGACGTTTACCACTTCGATGGAACCCACGAGCTCGAGTACGGTGCTGACAAACCTAGAACCATAATCGGAGTGAACTGGGATTCGAACCCACAATCGTAGGTTTCTGGCATGCCCAAAGGATTTAACTCTGCACAGGGAATTGCGGTGCCTCAGACGACTGGGCCACCCGTGCCCCCAAACTTAGTGAAATGACATGACGGATCCAGGTGGTATACTACCCTCCTTTCAACCTAAATCCAACTTGTTGTCATGGAAACAGGAAAAAACAAAAATTTCCCAAATCCCAAAATAGCAAAAGAGGCAAGTTCATGCCAATAATGACATCTTTGAAAAGTTTGATGAAGAAATACTGAACGGTCAAGAATTTAAGCTCCAGAAACAAAATGTGATGTGCGGAAGGACCGGCAAACAACAGCCCATTCCATTATCCCCTCCGGGTACATCTTCCCAAGACAAGGGAGTTAACTGACTATAAAAGTCCAGTTTCCACCCTTGCCCAACTAGGCTTAAATTATTGAGCTACATTTTGGCTGGACTAACGAGTCTATGCATAGTCCAATCAAAATCGCTTACCGGTAATGTACAAGACATCTGTTTCCTAAACAAAATTGATTTCAAAGTGCAGATTTCAGTCGACTGCAGGATTTGCAAAGCATGTGTACCGCCAACTAGGCATCGATAGATATTTTGCGAATTCTTTCACGCTTTTAATTAAGGTTCTCTCGTGATTTGATGTACTTTGTAGGGTAAGACCCGTTTTATTACAATTATAGATCTTGATTATTGAGCAAATTGTCTTGACTGGGTCTATGATTGGTCTATAGGAGGAACATAGAAGGGACATACCTCATAATAGCCACTAGTGGCGCTACGATCAGGCCTGGAAATTCCAGCCTAGTTCGGCAAGGGTGGGAACTGGACTTTCATATTCAGTTAACTCCCTTCCCTCGGGAAGATGCTCCGGATATGAGAGGTTAACACATACAGGACATAACTGTCAAAGAAAGGGGGTTTGCATATCCCCTACCCCTATTAACCTCATCCCACCCCCCACCCGTGAAGATCTGGGTTAGAATGAAGTATTGATCTTCAGCAACCAATGCTTATGATGTCATAAGACTAACAGGATTGGGAGGTCAGGCTCGCTGACTTGGTTGATGCATGTCATTGGATCTCAATGGCATCAGTGGGTTTCTTAGCTGAAATATTGTTGAGCGCAATGATAAACAACAAACAAACAAACAAAATTAACCTCATCCCCGCCCTGATCTGTCAGCGAGCGATTCTTACCTCCGAGGACCTCTCATGTTTCGCATGTGACGAGATTGAGGTCCTCTTGACCGAGCCACAAGCTTCATCAAAGCCTCTTTGTCTGTGGCTACAAGAATGTCCAGAAGTTTTGGGTCCTGCCTCATGTATTCGAGCAGCTTATCAGGGTCTCGGATCACATCCATCACTTCTCGATCCACCGGACTGATCCTTGGGGGTGTCTCCTCACGTAGGATGTATCTGCAACACACACAGTTCTTATTATTTTCTAAATATTGAAATGAATAAAAAAGAATTGTCAAATCCACAAAAGCAAGTCTTGCTCCGAAACAATGTGGAAGGTGGGGTGCCATCTATTCCCAAGGATGGGCAGTCGGGTAGCCTAGTGGTTAAAGTGTTCGCTTGTCACGCCGAAGACCCAGGTTCGACATGGGTACAATGTGTGAAGCCCATTTCTGGTGTCCCCCAGTCCCTGGAATATTTCTAAAAGTGGCGTAAAACCATACTCACTCACTCACTCACTTTTCCCAAGGGGACTGCATACATGTCATTAAAGGTTGCTTTGGGTGCAATCCTTTCTGAATATATTGTGTTAATATTCTTTATCACAAAGAGATTGGGATCAAAATAATATTATGTACTACCCAAAAGCGAAAGTGTATAAAGAAGGTCAGACCAAAATAATTATTTGCTTTATAGATATTTCTGTCAACAAAATACCTGAAGGCAGGAGAAATAACAGGAAATCTTCATAAAATACAGACATCAATATTACTGCATTGTGCCTATTATTACATTTTCTTGTGATTAACAGTGATTAATACAAATTCTGATTTTGGGGATTCAGTTTTTTTTAAAACAGGCCATCCTACTCCTCCAGGCAGTGTCTCTGCTGGAGAAAGCAGGAGACAAACCCTTCAAAATGTCAATGGAATGGAATGGACAAAAATTAAGTCCGTAAAACAAGTAATATACTTGGTCTGGCCTAATTCAATTAAAACAGAAACTATGCAAACCTGATCATTTGAGGATCTCGAAGAGCTCTCTTGAGTTTGTAACTCATGTCGGGAGCCAAGCTTCCCATCCCCATGCTCCGCCGCATGTCCATCATGTCACTGTAAGGATCGTGGTAAGGATCCATGTATTTGGACATAGGATCCTTCTCCATCTTCTTATACTTATCCTTCTTGAACAGTCCCATTAATCCAGATGCTATACCAGAGCTTTTCTTTTCTTTGTGGTCAAAATCCATCTTAGGAGTGTTCTTGCTCTCTCTCTTCTGTCGTTCCTCTCTCAGGGTCTTCATTCTGTTCACCGCCTCAGGTTTTGGCGTCCTATTGGGCCTCTTCCTCCTGATTTCATCCTTCATCCTGTGGGGAAAGAACAGCCAGCCTACATGTTCTGCTCCCTTCCTCTTAAGTTCCATCCTCAGGAGTGGATCCTTCTCCAGGAGCTTCAACAGTTCCTTGGGGTCTTTAATCTTCTTCTGTAGCTCCAGGTCAACTCCAAACACTTTCTTACATAGCTGAGCATCCTTGTGCATGAGAAGCATTCCCACCGGATCCCGTAGTACACGTCGAAGGGCCTTCTTCTGTTCTTCAGTCATCACAAAAGGTCCTGGTGCAGCTGCTGGTGCAGCTGCTGGTGCAGTGGTAGCTCCTGATGTTGAAGACCCAGATGTTGCTGTTGTTGTTGCTGATGTTGCTGTTGCTGTAGCTGTAGTTGAGGCTGCCTGGGGCTTAGGCTTGGCTTGTGATGCAGATCCAGCCCCTGTTGCTGCAGGGGCTTTAGATGTTGAGGATGAGGCAGCAGTTGTGGATGCACCTCGACTAGGTCCAGAAGGTGCTTCATCCTGCAGTCCTACAATGGGCAGACTCTGGCCATTAGGAACAGGGGGTCCTGTTGTTTTGGGGACATCCTCTTCTTCACCTATGTCCTCCATCTGAACACTCTGAGGACTTGTGGTGGAGAGGTTCGTCAGTGGCTTAGTGAGTTTGGTTGCAGCATCAAAAATACTTTCAGAATCAGCTGTAGCTGCAGTGTCACCCCCAAGATCTTCAGCATCCTGGACAAAATGGAATACAGTTTTGATATTGAAATAATCATCTTAAGTTTTAGATTGTATGTGAACAAATTCGTTTCTGTTGTATGTAAACATTGTGTTTTCAAATTTGTTTTTTTTTATCTTAATTTGTTCATAATATATTTCCTGGCAAAACTGAAAATGAAAGATTGGACAACTTCTTACAATCACTAGCTGAACTTGATCCAGGATTCTGGGGCCTTAAACAAGTGAGATGATTCACACACAGAAGATGTCCATGTTTGGACACATGAAACTAAAGAAATGCATCAGTGTATAATTAATGTGTTTTACTCACATATAGGCCTGCAATCTCCTTCTCCAGTTTTCCTAAGGCCTCTGGCACTGCAGGGGCAAGTTTCTCAAACAAAGCATCAATTTCCACCTTCATTTCTAGAAGGATAAGAAAAAATTTGAATCAACCTTTCATGTATTATTTAAAGCAGATAAAACAATAATTGAGCTGACATAAAATCTAAACATATTGAGAAGGATAAAACTATTTATCATCATAAACAATCATCCCCATAACTATCAGTGTATCAATGAACAGTACTCAAATTTAGGCCACAGTTTCTGTTGTAAATGTTACTTATTTATTTTCAACCTGTAAAACAAAATCTTCCGGAGGCAAGGGAGTTAACTGACTCTTAAAGTCCAGTTTCCACCCTTGCCAAACTAGGCTGGAATTATGGAATTATATTTTGCATAGTCCAATCAAAATCGCGTAACGAAATCAACATCTAGTTCCTTAGCTGGCGTGCAGATTTTGTCCGATTGCAGGATTTGTAAAGCATGTGTACCACCATCTCTGGGTCAACAGATATTTTCCAAATCCTTCATGTTTCTAATCAATGTGCTAACATGATTTGATGCACTTCGTGAAACAAGACACATTTTATTACAATATAGATCTTGATTATCGATCTGATCATCTTGAGTGGGCGCTGCCATTTTGTTTGAAGCAAATGCAAGTGATATGAGAGTTGGAATCTGATTGTCTATAGGGGGGACATAGAAGGACAGAACTTGTAATTACCACTGGTGGCGCTACGATCGAGCCCACAAATTCCAGCCTAGTTCGGCAAGGGTAGAAACTGGACTTTTACAGTCACTTATCTCCCTTGCCTCTGAAAGATGGTTAAACAAAATAAAGCATATAAATGCAAAAGAATTTATCCTTGTCCTACCAATACTTTTCTTGAATCTAATATTAAAGAAAACAAACAAATGCAAAAGAGTGATGCCATATTTTCAGCACTGGTTAACCTGAGGAGCTATTTGCCCAGGGGCCTGTTCCACAAAGCAATCGCAGCACTTAGGAGATTGTAACGCCCATACTTTAACATAGACTTACAGCTATCGTTGCGCTACGATTGTTTTTTGGAATGAGGCTGAGGGTTCTTGGATGGGTGTACTACCTGCAAATGTTGGCCTCTTGTCTGACTGCTGTGTCCAGCATCTGGTCATCATCTCCATCACTTCCCGAGGACACTGAGATGGGATCATGGTCATGTCGGGTCTCTGGCCACTCAACACAGCCTTGGGGATGATGTCATCACTCACTCCTGAAATGACAGTGTGGCTTGTCTGACAGAGCATGAGTGTGTGTGTATATTCCAGCACCTGTCTCATGAGTATTATAAGGGTAACGCTATTTTTCAGGGCATTATCATTTGCAGAAGCCCGAGGTCTTCCATTAACTGCCCGACAAAGGAGGGCAGTTGAAAAGACTGAGGGCTTCTGCAAATGATAATGCCCTGAAAAATAGCGTTACCGTTACTATAGCTAAAATGGATGGAATTTGTTATCAAATAAAAAGAAACAACAATGTCGATTTTGAAACATTTACTGCAATCAACACGAATGTCACTGACCCACTTTTACAAATATGGAAACGTCATTGAACAAACCAGATGACGTCACTATTGAACGTTACATCACCTATCCCTATCCTATGACGTCACCTAACAACGGGCGTGATAATGGCCCGTCGTCAAGTAATATGAGGGCATTATCAAGTTACAGTGGCCCGCTCATTTCTGATAACATGCGGGCGTTTTTATGATAATTCTATCCATTTTAGCTATAATAACTATTAGTGACAGCTGTACCAAAAAATTGCCCTTGAATTTCAGGGTCCTTACAGGAGTATGAGGGCCCTGTGTACTGTACTGTCAAATTTGATAATTACTTTAATCACAGGACTTTCATATTTCTTGTCAAGAATTTGGTACAATGAATATAACCCTGCATCCCCGGGATGCTCTATATTTTTTGCCTGCGTCCATTCTAGACATTTAGGTGTACTGGGTACACATTTCAGCAGGGGTCCGGAAACGGTCATATGCGCCGGACATGTCCGATTGAGAATCTCAAATGTCCAGTTGAAAATATTGCTTACCGGACATTTAAATTTTTCTGTCCGGACATTTTAAAAAACAAACAATGCTACCTTCATGGTCCAAATAATTGATGAGCGTTATCGTATCCCTTCAGCGAATTCAGGTGAATAAACAGGTATAACAAACTTTGTCAATAAAAGTATGAAGTTTGATATGAAACATCCCTAGACATGATGGTTTACCATTTAAAATGTATTTCCTGCTCTCCAAGTCATTGTTTTATATGCAGAGATTATCGTGTGTATTTTCTCGCAAACTAAGCCGGAAATAGCAATCAGCTGTGCACACGTTTCCTCCCAATCTACCGGTGATTCAGTTAAAACGTACCCAATGATACAACTTCAAAGAATTTTGATGCATTGGTCGGAAGAAATTGTATCTCAAATTATTATTTTATCAGGAATAATATATTCCAATATCGTGTTATTTTAGTTGCAGCTTCCACCATATATACTTATGCTAAATGATTTCAGCGTTGTGTAAAACCCTGCCTCAGTTGTCTGTTGTGAAAGTTAGGACTTTAGTGCTTGTTGTAAGCTGCAACAATTGGTTTGGGTGTCAGACTTGGTGACTTGCTTGATTGCATGTCATTGTGCCCTGATGGTGTAAGCAAGGATTATATCTTACCTAAATATTAACCCGGGGGAAGTTTTACTCTAGAGTAGAGTATAGGATAGGATTAAACACACAGGTATGGGTTCAAATTCACTAGGGTATATCATGACACTAGAGAATTTCATTCCGGGATAAAAGATAGGGTAGGATAATATTCACTCTTACAATGGCGTGGGATGTGGCACCACAGTCAGTGATATTCCATCTATATCACGGCTGTCTTTCCGGCAGTTTGGGGTAGACAGCAGCAATCTCATTAAAATCAGATCTTAGTTCTCGCTACCGCTAAACAAAGATCTGAGGACATCCAATTATGGGTCACGTCAGACCGACCTTGTGCGAACTTTGACTGACCAATCAAAAGGCAGCTCTCTCGTGCTTTAAGGCACTAATTTCAAATTGGAGACTATGTTTCGGAACATATTTTGACAAATTCTCGATTTCAAATTTGAAACCTGAACAAAAGAACATTCTGGAATGGCTAATAGATGGTCTAGATTGTATGCATTCAGTCGTTAAACCCGTAACTATCGGTCGGAATACCCCGTGTTAAAATTTTTTGAGGTTGCATGATTAGAAATCACATTCCGACTGTCACTTTCATAACCTGGTAAGCGACGCTCTGATTGGTCGTTTTGACGTGACCCCTAATGGGATGTCTTCAGATCTTTGTTTAGCGATAGCAAGAACTAAGGTCTGATTTTAATGAGGTTGAGACAGCAGTGGCCACATGCTCCAAGCACATGATGCTAATCATTCAGCTTTTTTAAAAATACATCATGGGGGCCTATAGTGCATGGAATCCACATGGGGAATCACATCAGGGTAGATGGCATATGAACTCACTGGCAAAAGGCCTATCTCCAACCACTGTCTCCCACAGTACGATGCCAAAGCTGTAGACATCATATCCCTTGTTGGGGGCAGTGTTGATGTTGTTCCACACTTCTGGGGGTACATGGGTGACTGTACCCTTCCTCCCCTTCTCCTCCCCGCCCTGGCTCCGAGTCATGGTACGCGTCATCGTCTTCCACTGAGACAGGCCAAAGTCGGTGATCTGTTCAAGGAATGTACAAATGTTTAAAGGTCATTAACATAATCTGGCTTATCCGAGCTCTCACATAGATGAGAAACATCAGAAAAGAAAGAGCTTCTTCAAGTGTATATAGGTTATTGACATACCCTGGTCTACCGCCCCAGACACATGACATTGTTTCAAAGTTGAAATTGGGTTGATCTAGGTTCTTATGTTGAAAAACATATTTTCAACATGGTTTCAATGTTGGCCGTTCGATATTTGAAGATATGTTGAAATCTGACATTATTTTCAACGTTGTTTCAACATTGATTTCTGATTTCGACATTTCTTCATCATTTAAACTCCACATAAAATCAATGTCATTTCAACATTTAAATCCTACCTTAGCTCGGATCCTTCTGTTGATGAGGATGTTGTCCGACTTCAAGTCAAGATGGAGGATCGGTGGATCGGGTCCATGAAGATACTCCATGCCATGGATGACATCACGGATTACACTGACCAACAGTGACCAGTCAATGTCCACAAAGTCGGAGCGGAAAGCGGTCAGACTGCCGAAATGCATGTACTCCAGAATGAGTGAGTAGTTGTTCTCCTCCATGATAAGGCCGAGCAGACGCACAATGGAGGTATGCTTCAGCTCCCACAGCTTCTTGCCCTCGGCCTTGAAGATCCTTTGATGCCTGGTCACAAATGTGAGTGTCAGCAGCGAACATGGTAAAAACAGAATAATATCTTCTGAAAGTTAGTAGGGGTGAAACGATTCAGCAAGGTTACAATACGATACGTATCACGATACAAAGGTAATGATACATATTGCCTTTTGACTATGAATATTTCAAAGCAGGTTCCAAAGGAAAAGTTAGCTGTAGACGTATGTTTGTAGTGACTATTTTTAGCTGTGAACTTGAACATCTAATTACTACACATTTTGGAATATTTGACAGACAAAAACACTGGCATTGGGGTCATAAAACAAGTAGTAAGTAAGTAATTTAGTCAGTGTATTGTCTTGTATTGATACAGAAAAAATTGTATTTTGCATTGTATTGTCCCATGAAAACACACGATGCACTGGTGCCTTGATGTATTGTTTCCCCCTAAACATTTGAATATAAACTATTTCAAAATCATCATATAAATATGTGTGATGACTTTCATATTTAACATTCTAAAATTGTCTGAAACTTAACAGTCTGTCCCAAAGACATGTGAGTCAACTAGCTTGAACTAAGCTCTTGGATCATTTTCAGGGGATTTCAGTGTTATAATATAGATTATTTTTGGCTGAACTGAATTTTACTTGACTTAGTCTTTCGATTATTGGCTAAAGTCACAGACTGACTTCATAACTTGCACTTTTCCAGTGGGGTAGGATCCTTTAAATTAATACTGTTACTTTTGCCTTAATGCATATTCATGGTTATGTAACCTTTCCACTTCCTACCTGGATGGCAGTAGTCCATCAGCAATCATTGTTTTGATGGCGACAGTCCCAAGGTCCTTGTGGACGCCGCGGTACACATAGCCATAGCCGCCACGGCCTATCGGTGTTTCATCATATTTGATGTCCTTGGCTGATACCTTTGGAATCTCACCAACATCACTGCTTGATGCCATATTGGAAAGTCTTTGTCACCAAGCCAAACTGGAAATACAACAATGCTCGTGATGATCATGATAATCGACACATTCATTTATTGAACTTTTTCATAAACAGTTCAACAAAAGCAAGCTCTAGAAACAGGGATGACGAGGTAGCCTTGTGGTTAAAGCAGTCGCTTGTCACACCAAAGGCCTGGGTTCAATTCCATTCAATTTTTGGTGTCCCCTGCCTTGATATTGCTTGCATATTGCAGAAAGTGGTGTAAGACCACACTCACTCTAGACAGTGACTGAGGGAGTGAACTGGGTTAAAAGCTGCTTTGAACAGTATCTTAGTTCTATCATGGCATAATGGAGAAAAGTCTAAAGTGATGCAGGTCTTAGACATATACCACTTTGGTAAAACCCACAAGCAAGGGTACGGAAGCCTAGCTGTGTAATGCCATCACTGTTTCTTTTAAGTACAACTTGAGAATGGATGCATATAATTTACATTTATCATAGAGAAGAATTTGTTTTCCTGTTAAATAATCAAAACTATAAACAAAGTATAGATGACATGTTAAATGTAACCAACATTTCTATTCTGGTGAGAAATAGACTTGAAATCTAGATCTCTCCTTCCTATCGCAGGGCCCAATTTACCATCTGTATTCTTGAAAAATCTTTATCATATTAACATGATTAATACCAAGGGTTTGTCTTAGTTATATAGTCAGAGGAAAAGATTATAATCGTGGAGCACTAGATGTGCACTGGCTGAGGGCCTATTTAGAATATGTGTGTGCCTTGCAACGCGCAACATCATCCTGCAATGCCCATATATCCAAAAATATCAATCCATAAGTCGGACTTACTTTCACTACTGAAATCTGTTGACCAGGAAATAGTGAAAATATATCAGACTTAGACAAATCACTTGAAATATTAAATCTATCATGTTTGGGGGATGAAAAAAACCAAAAGCTTTCGTGAATTTCTCTTGTTGAAGAGTGACAATGGGCAAATGTAAAACAGCCACTGTCTCTGTTGGGCAGGAATTCCTCAATGCTGGATTCGGGCTGAATCTCACAAAATTATCAAAGACATTCACTGCAGAAACTTGTAAACAAGAAACTTACCAACGCTGTAGCGACTAATTAACACTGGATATGTAGAAAACGCTTGATTCGATGCCTGTTACAACGCATTCTGCAAACTGCCCATTTTGTGGTGGGACTTTCCAAAGGTACTTCCCCTTCTAAAAATAAATCCCGACTTGAGCTGTTACAAAAACTACAATCCCCTGATGCGAACACACGGATGCTAATCATGGCGAATTAATATTTCTTGGTGTTAAAGTGCCTTAATGTACATATGAACAGAACCGAATGAGTATCTTGAATGTATGTTATAGGATGTTGATAATTATATTTGAAACTAAAGCCCTGCAAAATGTGTATTTTATTTCTTTGCTCGTTGTAAAACAATTTCCTACTTTATGTTAATCAGTAACAACATGGCGGTGCAGGGAGATTTGCGTATCCAAAGAGAATTGGTAAATCCACATTTTGACGGATATAAGCTTTCCCTGGATCATTTGCCAGTTTACACAAAGACATTAGATAAAGGTAAAGCGTTTTTAACTTGAAAATATATTTGCTAAGTGTTGTTGAGTTTGAGAATGACGCCATCTTTTTTCAATACAAAAAGTGACATGTAAACTCGGACACGTGTTCGAAATGACGAACGTGTATCTGTCGTAAGCTGTAGGTGGCATGGGTATTTACGGATTGCTCGCAATAGCTCAGCATATGTTGGTGTCGCTTGCGAATCGTTAGCATCATGGCAGATATGCAGTCATCTCATATGTTGCCATATATAAAAAATATCTTGATGAATCCATATTTTGATGGATACAAGTTGTCATTTGATAAACTGCCTGTAATTGCAAAGCAGCTCGGCTATGGTAAGTTTTTCAATTAGGTAAACCTTATGATGATTAAAGGAGAGATAATTTTGTCTGATTGTAAGTGTGCGTGTTAAATAACTAATCATTAATGCTTTCAACATGTCTGGTATGCATTGTATAAGCATGGTAAGGCTAACTTATCATGCTTAATATTTTAACTATTTATTTTGTAAGCTGTTAATCATGTTATAAGTGTTATCATGACCACTCCTTGGTGATTTGTTATCATGGTTTCCGTTCTTAACCATAATTTTATGTTCCTTTATGATGCATTGAATGATTATCCCTACTTGAAGTAAGATAGTATAGTCAACCTTTCTCTTTTCAGGCATTGATGTAAGTAAGTTGACAGATGAGCAGTTCTCGTACCACCACGCAAAGCTGCTTTCTGTACACAACCACTTGATCTGTGATCCGTGGCAACCAGTGTCAGTGTATTTTGTTGATAATGATTGGGCCATTCACAGAGCATTCGGTACTGATGTAAGTATGTCATTTATGGTTGTGTTACTTTCTTAGGTTCTCACAGATATATTTGATCGCAAATACAGTATGATCTATTAAGACCAGTCTTTGTCTAATGGGGGCACTTGTTGTTTAGGGTGCTGCAATTTGCTGTGCAGAGTTGTGCCCCTTGGGCTTATGACCATTTGGGTTCAAATCCAATTATGTTTCCAGGTTTGTCAGCACTATAACCAAGCTGGTTAATGTCTAAGCCTTCGATTTCACCAAATTGTTAGAGCAGGTGCAACACCAGTGACTCATGATAATTAATGTTAAACATGAGAGACGTATGAAACAAAATCAGTGTAAAAATGAGGTACCCATATTATTATGAGCATGATAAGGACCTTAAGAATGTGTTAAAAAATCATAATATGATAATAATTTTCCGCTTTTTAAAAAAAAAGTTTTATGAAGTATTTGTTTGGCCAAATGTCAGATGCTCCAAGTTTGGTATTTGATGTGTACTTTCAAAAAACTGCTATTCTCAAAATGAACATGATATCATCAATGTACTACAAGTTATCACATTACTGAAGAAAGGTAAAATCAATTTCAGGGAAACCGTGTTGACATCAGTGACTCGTTATTTGGGATCCCCGAGTCAGCCAATTTGAGACTGCAACATGGTCGTTTTAATGTGACCCTGACCTTCCCTTCAGAACAGCTTGCTGTACTGTCTGACGGGGCAGGGAACCTGTATCTGTTTGACACGGAGGACAGGAAGGGAGCACCAAAACAATGGAAGGTAGGTCCTGAGGGATGTTCTGATGATTGATTGGATACTTTATACAGATGCAATGACCCTTTGCAATGAACTTTCTTACATCTATACATCGTCACTAAAATTACATCTAACACATGCATCAGTAATTTTTAACCAATAAGACATATTTTCTGCATGGTTTGCTGGTGTAGAAATATGATATTTGAAAAATTAAAATCAAGATAGATAGACATGATAAATGAATTAAAAAATGTGGTACTTTGATATGTTGTGTCTGACAATACATCCCAGTTTTGTTATTGATTACATGCTCATGCTATCAACCACTAGTTTGATCCAGATGCAGTTGTTCACCAAGTCTTAGGTCATTTTGTAGGTATTGATAACTGTGGCTTTAAACAATAGCCCCATCATCGCTGGAATACTGCTGAGTGTGACGGTAAACGACAAACAAGTGTAAGCAACATTCACTCACTCCCCCACATCAGTGACAGTTTTTCTGAACTAGTTAATATTAAATATTAATATTAATAGTAAAAGTCATATTCATTACAGTAGAGAAAGGAAATTATGAAAATGATAACCTTATCTAAAACTGATGCCTCTCTTATACACTTTCAATCCATTGGATTTCTGGGTTAGAATTGGCCCCCAGCAACCTGAGCTGGGCATAAGAGGTGACAAAATGGTGATGGCACTGTCAACATACCTTTATGATGTGGATCATTGCTGGCAATATCAATCACTGGATTGTCTTGTCCGGACAGATTATTTTCAGGCTGCTGAAATGTTGCTGAGTGCAGAATAAAACAACAGACACAAACACATACATGTTACACTTTCATTGTTGTGTTTGGGCAACACCAAGACATCCTCCTGACATATACTTGAATGAACTTCCTGTAGAGATTTAGGGAAACAATCCACTCTGAATGCATTGGCAGAATAGGTGATTACAGTGTGACATGAAACTTGCCCTGATGACAATGATGGTTGCTCCTAGGGCTGGGACGATACACCAACTGTGCAATCCAATATGTATCACGTTACCTTGGTCGCGATCCGATACGTATCACGTGACTTGCATGTGCTCTCATAGGTCCCTAAGCTATATTTTTCATAGGCAGGATGGTCAGGTACCTGGTTCACTAATGATTTACAGTTGGCAGTGTCAAGTATGGTGCAATGGATGAAAATATTTACTTTTTCACCTCTACATTTTACCACTAATAAGTGTTTTGTGTAACAGCCATTAACATTTAAGGTATGAATGGATATTTTTTACTCAGTGTGCGACTGTGATCAATACTTGTATCGTGAAGTAAAATATTGCGATCCACCAATGTATCAGTGTATCGTCCCACCACTAGTTGCTTCTGTTGTCAAACACTACTTTTTCCTGGTCCTGTGAAGATCCAGGTTAGATTTGACCTCCAGCAACCAATGCTTGTCCGCTGTGAAGATTCAGGTTAGATCGATCCTCATGATATCAATCATCTATTGTCTGGTCCAGACTGCTGTCATATAGCTGTAGTATGGTGTTAAACAACAAACAAACATTTTCCTTGCCTAGACTGGTTATCTAATGTCCTACATGACAAAAAATGGTTGGAGTCTTTTTTTACCGTGACCAAAAACAACATTCACTCACTGAATATGCTTACCTTGATGCACACCAGTTCTTATGTTAACACACCAAGGAGAAATATTGGAGGCACAGAGATGAATCTGAGAGCTCCTGAATATCTCTGATGGTTCTGAGATGAAAGAATAAAGTGGCAAATGGAACACTTGGATGATGGGGATATTGTGAACATGCAGTTAATGCTGGTGATGCTTATGGCTTCAGATTCTGTACTCCAAGCCAGTGCTGGGTGATGGGAAGCAGTTTGTCATCGTGGACTCTGTGCACCACTCGGACAATGAGACGGACCGTGTGGAGTGTCTTCTCATGCACGTGGAGGAGAGGGAGGCTGAGGCTGGAACCTCCATGTCTCCTTTCCTCACAGTCATTGACTGGATCACCATAGCTTCAGGTAACCATGGTCACTTGTTTAGGTAGGAGATAAACCTATTCTGTTATAAATTTGAGGTGGTACATGGTTGATTAAACACTGCTAAATGTAACTATGAAACACCTCAAAATTTAAGAATGGAATAGGTTCATCTCAATTCTAAAATGGGTTTCTTAAAACAGAATCCTTTTCTTGCACACATGTTCTGTGTAGTGATGTGTTCAGAAGTTTGGTTATTGCTTATTGTTTAGCAATGTTAGCATATTCATGCCTATTACCCCTCTTTTCAACTGTCTGGGAGATGGAGTAGACTAGTGGTTAAAGCTTTAAAGCTCATCGACATCACACTGAGAGGTGGTGTTGGATTCGCCACATGGGTGTAAAGCATATGTCTGGTGTCACTGCACCCTGATCTTGCTGGATTATTGATGAAAGCGGCGTAAAATCTCACTCATTTTTCATCTGTGACTGCATGGGAATTCGGTGTCAGAATAAATGTCCAGCGCCACATGCTTGTCAATCTCATTAAAATCAGATCTTAGTTCTCGCTGCCGCTAAACAAAGATCTGAGGACATCCCATTACGGGTCACGTCAGACCGACCTTTCGCGAACTCTGACCGACCAATGGAATTACTGAAAAGAAGTCGACATTGGCCAATCAGAAGGCAGCTTTCTCGTGCTTTATGGAACTAATTTCAAATTGACGTCTATGCTTCGAAACATATTTTGACAAATTCTCGCTTAAAAATGTGAAACCTGAACTAAAGAACATTCTCGAATGGCTAATATATGTTCCAGATTGTATAGATTCAGTTGTTTAGCACTTAAAGGGCAAGTTCACACGGAAATGAACCAATTTTTCTTGTACTTTTTCCACATTAAAAGTGTTAACATAGAAGTGTCATAGACAAAAATATAAAAACATCATATTTAATTAACATATTTTTTGCATTAAAACGATTTATATTTTTCACATTTACCAAGTGTTCTATTTCCATAACAAAAACACCATGGCTTATGCCCCTTGCAATATGACGTCATTGGTGCCAATTGATAAACATTATGACGTCATCATGCTTTGTTAGAGCCGCTTCACGTGGTGTAGGTACAGTTTTGTGATTCTAGCGACTCAGATGCCAGCCAGAATTGTGTTATGCTGAGTCACCACTGCGCCGGAGTGTGTCGTAGACCATGTTGTTTTACCGCAAACTGGTCCTTGATATCTTTTGCGTTGAGAATAGACAGGGACCCAGTTGAATTGGCACCAATTACGTCATAATCTAAGGGGGATAACTCAGGCCTATTTTGCTCGTAAAACGAAGGCCTCATAACGACATATCATTTTAACACTATTGTGAGCTTCCTACTTTCACTGTGAAAAAAATGAGCATATATTTTCAAACACAGATACTAACTAATTCTAAAATTGCGTTTTGTTTTAGAAAAAGAAAGAAAGTGATTTTTGCGTGTATACTTCCCCTTTAACTATCTTTGGGAATACCCAGTTTTAAAGTTTTCGAGGCTGCATGATTAGAAATCACATTCCGACTGTCACTTTCATGATCTAGTAAGCGATGCTCTGATTGATCGGATGAAAGCTCTTTCTGACGTGACTCTAATGGGATGTCCTCAGATCTTTGTTTAGCTGTAGCGAGAACTAAGATCTGATTTGAATGAGATTGCATGCTTGTTGTCGTGTGGTGACAATTTGTGATCTAGAATATTGTGTGTTGTCATGCCATGATGTCATTGATCTTTTCTCATGCTATCAGTTTTGGTTTGTCATTGTGTTCAACAATGTGATGGCATTGTTGGTGATTCAGTTGACAAGAAGACCTGGTGTGTGGAGAGGAGTAGGCGTCTCGAGGGAAGCAAGCCCTATGACTATGCTGCTTTAGACAAGGGAGGTAACTCTGTCCTGATCTCGGCCAGTCAGCGCTACAAGTTGGTGTCTGACTCTGTGAAGCCAGTGCAGCCTGATACAGATGGAGACTGGGAAGTGGTTGGGAGAGATGGTAAGATCACTAAAATATGGGACAAAATAACAATTTTGAACAGTCTTTCTGAAGTGACCACTTTGAATGTGGTTGAGACATTCAAGTTCATATGGCACAGAGAATCGTTACTTGAACTTGGTGTTGGGCACTCAAACATGGTTTTCCTAAAATGTCAGCAATATTTGTAAGTTTCAATCTGTACATGTTGATAAACTGAATGTTTGTAATAATCTGGCTGTACCATGGCCAAAGTTTTAAGATTGACATTACACTATATTAATAGTTATAAGTATAAACAATACAAATGGTACATTTGTTGTTATGTTAAAGGTTTAGAATGACTTGATATTTTTACAGGTGTTCCAATAAACAAAATAATTTGAAACTGTCAAATTGATACATCTGTTGTTGCCTTTGCTGTTGAAGTTGGCCAGAGTAGACACAATGGAATCTGGGCATCTTAATGTTATAATTCTATGGGATTTGTACAAGACATTGTTGAGCATTTCAGTATTCCAGCAGTTTGCTGTTACCATTGTTATTAGCATGATTCGTATGTGATAAGTATGAACATCTTAGAGAAAAGTATATTCCAATGTTTCACTATAGGCATAAAAACAAGATGTTTATGTTCAGTCTTATAAAATCCAACAACTGCTGTTATACGTTCATTAGCCAAATTGTTGAAACACATTCTCTGTCAGTTTTTATATATCATGTATATCACATGATTAAACAAATGAAACTGAAAAACTGACAAAGATAGCAATGGGATTATCTACACATTACTCTATAATGCCAGGCAGTGGTAGGGTTCACACATGCATTAGGATTACCATGAGTTGTGAACAGTTTCATGCAGTTAGCTTATTTTGAATACATGTGTGTTACAACTTTGCTATAAACCTGAGAAATACTGACAATGAAAGGGACGTAACTCTTGCAAGCGTGTGTGTGTGTGTGTGTGTGTGTGTGTGTGTGTGTGTGTGTGTGTGTGTGTGTGTGTGTGTCGGTCACAGAAACACAAGTTTCACATTTTCTTTTTTGTTCTTTTGGCTTTTTCAATTTTATTTTACTTTCTTTGACTTTTATGAATTGGGACATATTTAAATCTGTAAACTTTGTAATCATGGTGGTAACATCCCATAAGTATACATGTATTTGCATATGTTTAAAACTTGTTGACAGACAAGCTCCCTGAATACACCTGGACACAGGACAACGAGGACATCCATGTCCAGTTCACCGTGCCCACCACGGTCAGCAAGGTGGACATCTATCTGACCCTCAGTGCAGACCATGTGGACTTCGGGGTCAAGAACAGCACTGTGCTCCTGAAGGGGGCGCTGCACACCGAGGTGGACGTCGAGGCCAGCACATGGACCATAGAAGGGCAGAAGTGAGTAGTCTGAAACGGTCAATATTGGTCTTCATATTTCAGTGGTACATCAGTGGTATTTATGGGTAGACTGAGTGCTGGATACATGTAAATGTTACCCCATGTATAGACAATCCTGACTGAGTGTCTTTATATCAATACCTTGCAAGCCTTGGACTTTTATCCTTTTATTGACGAGTGTTAATATATTTGATATCAGAAGACATGAGGGTTAGATACTATTTACTATTCGACGTCATTCTTCTGTTTGTAAACAGTAATTATAGTAACAAGTGTCTTGAGTGTAAAAAGTACTGCTAACCAGCTTCAGTAGCAGAGAGATTGGTGATGTCATGTGATTGTGACGTTGTGGTAGCAATTTTAAAGGTGCACACTGTTTATTGTTTTTACGGACATGTTCTACTCAGTACTAATAAGTAGTGCTATTTGCTGTTTGATTTGATTAAGGTAAGGATATATATCATTCCACTGGGGATGGGGCAGGGGATTCACATTGATAGTGAGTCACATTTTTTGCTAGGGGTCAGCAGTTGTATTAATTTGGAGATTCATTAATTTCCAGATTTACAGTATGTGGGACATAAGAGGAAAGTTAAATAGGATAGGACTAAATTATTGCTGGGTAACATTAAGTGTTGGTTCGTGGACAGATTCATAAGCTGCTTGGTCTGTTTGTTTCAGATTGGTTTTGTCCTTATCCAAAGAGAACCAGACTGCTTGGCCGACTGTGGTCATCGGAGACAACAGAGGAGAGATGGTCTTGGATCCCGACCAGATCGACCAAATACATGAGAGACTGGCCTCATATACGTCTGATCAGATGGTGGGTGGAAGATTTGTGTTGTATATATGAGAGGTGATGTGTCTGTGTTGCAGGGGTCTGGAAAATTTGAAATCCCAATCGGACATTTGCATTTAGGCCACGTCCCCTTCAAATAGCGTATTTTAGTACGACTTTTCTCACACATTACAAGTTGTTACGTATTCATAATATGATGAATTATGAATTGTTTCAATTTAATTTGTTTAATTCACCGGACAATTAATAACAAATAATATCATTTTAGATGTACATGGAAAACATACGTTTGTTTCTGTTATAATAACGATCTGTTAACGTAGTGAACGGTCTAATTAATATTCATGAGTTATATTCATGAGTCTGCTCAAGTGTACACGTTGTAACATTTGGATCAAGACTATTATCCAATATTTGGTTATCATGTGAACTCACGGGAAAAGGTTTTTTTTAAATTAAAGATTATTTAAAAACAAGACAGATAATATAATCACAAATACTAAAATATCGTTGATAGCAATAGTTATTTGAATACTCTTTCATCTGTACTTAATTATTGACCATAAAAAAATTTGATAGCGATCGTCACAGAAAGCAAAATGGCGGTCAATCAAGATTCAATATACCCTCGGATTGGTGAGTACCACGGATTGATGTGTCGGCAGGATACGACTAGCTACTGAAAACAATGAAATCTGCAAATCCTCATTGTATGTCAACCAAGTGAAAGTCGTTAGCCACGACTTACAAAATGATCGTCCAGACTTTGAGGGTTTAGCAGATCCGCTCGACTGATCTGCATCGGTCGACTGGCTGTCGTCACGCTTTCGCTACTTGTCTGAGGTTACGTATCGTAGCATTGTGAGGATAATGAGGTACATCGATGATGCAATGTATTTATGTACAGTTGTAAACACCTTTCACTCAAATTAACAAGATGTTTCTCAGTAATTAATCCTTGATTAATCAGTGTCAACTCAGTTTATTGCCTTTTACAGTGATTGACCGATTGGACTATCATGTAGGTACGATGTATTTACAGCAATCAAAACAAACAAAGCTTGTCAGTGTAGATAATCTTCATTGTGTTACAACTGCAGACAGAAACTGCTCAGTCCTAACTGTTGATCATGTCCGGTCAAAATTTAAGAATGTCCGGACAGAAAAATTTAAATGTCCGGTAAGCAATATTTTAAACCGGACATTTGAGATTCCCAATCGGACATGTCCGGCGCATATGACGATTTCCGAACCCCTGCTGTGTTGTGATGGCAGTGTTGTGATGGTGTTGTTGGTGAGTGAGTATGGTTTTGCTCTGCTTTTAGCAATATTCAAGCAATATCCCAGCGGGGAACACCAGAAATGGGCTTCACATATTGTAGCCATGTGGGGAATCAAACCCGGGTTTATGGCGTCATGAGCAAACCCTTTAACCACTAGACTACCCCACCACCCCGGTGATGCCTGTGTTGTAATGCCAGTGTGTGTTGCCTCCAGAACCCCGCCCCCGAGGAGGACCAGGAGAAGCCGTTCAACACCCAGGACCTGGAGGACTGCGACGCCAGCAGCGAGGACAGTACATGGTTCATGCGGATTGACGGAGAATCTCACAAGATTACTAATGAGGTAAAGAGTAGATTATTGAGCAGTACAGTATGACTCTTTATTATCGCGGGTTCTATATTATCGCAGTATCAGTAAATCTTGTAATCCACACCCCCTGTCAATTGTTTACTTATGCAAATCTAAGCACAATATTTCATTGCATGATCGAATATAGGACTCGTTGCAGTATGTCACAGCTACTCGTAGGTATTCACGTTAACATTTTAAAGATTGTTTCTGGAATGTTTTTGAAGTGGAATTACCCCCACCTCAATTTGAAATTGATTAGAAACAAAACATTTGTGTGGACAAAGTTCCTTATCCAAAACAGGTAGTAATGTAAGCACATATTCCACATGTATCATACCACAAACTAGCCATACCGCGATAATATACACTGTAAAGGACATCAGTATCGATCAATCCTAACTGATGTGTCATAAAAGTTGAACGAAGAATAAACATTTTGCGCATGTCATTTAATAGGTTAGTAAGCATGCACCATAACGATGCATTGTCAATTAACTACCACAATGATATAGCGTACCATGCTTAATGACCATGTCAAATACAGCACTTGATGCAAATGACCCGTGAAGATTCCGGGGTAGAATAGGTCTTCGTAACCCATGCTTGCCATAAAAGGCGACTATGCTTGTCGTAAAAGGCGACTAACGGGATCGGGTGGTCAGGCTCGCTGACTTGGTTGATGCATTTCATCGATCCCAATTGTGTGGATCGATGCTCATGATATCAATCGCTGGATTGTCTGGTCCAGACTCGATTATTTACAGACCGCCGTCATATAGCTGGAATATTGCTGAGTGCAGCGTTAAACAACAAACAATCCAAACCAAAACTTGATGCAAATGCTGTACAACTCCTTGAGAATAATAATTTGATATCCCCTGTGAGGAATCCAGGAATCCAAGCACCCCCCAGGAGCAGACTCAATTCTAGGCTCACATGACCTGGGGTTAGTGTGCGATCATACCCTGATGGTGTAGATTGTTGTTCATATTATCAACCTTTGGATTACCTGGGCCGCATGCCATTATTTATAGGTACCGGTAGCCATGATATTACTGGAATACTGTTGATTGATGTCAACGAACATTCTTTCGTGTGATTTGATATGTACCTGTGTCACTGATATTGCTGCCATGCTCCTAGAACACGCCTCACTTGAACCCCTACATATGTTGTTTACAGCCTTTGATATTGCATTTTCACAATAACTTTTCCCGTTTTTGATTTTTTGTTCTTAGGTTTTGTGAAATATTTGTTGGGTCAGTGTTTGGTATTTGAAGTATACTTTCAAAATTGCTCATCTGAAAATACATATATCACAAATGTAATAACAGCCGTCTGAGGCACTGCAATTCTCTTTGCAGAGTTGCGTTACTTGCGCATGTCAGAAACTTATAGTGGGTTCGACTCCTGGTTTGCCCTGATTATGTTCTAGGTTTGCCAGCATCATACCCAGCTCGTCTGAGACCTGCATCACTTCGGACTTTCCTCCAAAATTAAGCTGACACACTGTGATATAACTTGAATACTGTTAAACATGTTAAAAGCAGCTTGAAACCCAACTCACTCACTCTATTATCTTCCAGGTGTATCTCAGCAGCCATCAATGGCTGTTCAATGTGCGTCTGGAACCCAGTAAAACCCCCGCTGTGTGTCTCAGGTATGATTGTGATGGGTCGCTATGGCAACCAGGTGAAGCTGCAAAAGATGGCACACAGATTCTCGAACATGTTGGAATGCTACATGCGTTTGGGTATGTGCAAGCATCCAAAGTCCAGCGAAAGTTTTCGTCCTGTTCCCCGGATATGTCGTATGCTGTGATATGTGACTGTACACGACACCTGTACATTTACAGGCAGCATATGCCGATTGCCTCCCCTTTGAGAAACAGGAAAACGGGGCGGCAGGTTAATGCTGTTGCCAAGCAACAAGTGGTTGCCTTGGATACCACTGATGACATTTTGGGACTGCGGGCAACAAATGACAGAATATTTGTGATGACGAGTAATTCGCTGTTTGTGGTGAGACTTCTTATTGAAGAGTAAACAAGTATGACATTGTTTTTCTGGGATGAACAGTTGTGACAATATCAAGATGCTGTCAGGCATGTACGGGCAGAATCAGAAATACTGGCTGGCTGACTAAGATGGACTGGAATTCCCAGGAAAGTATTCTCATGAAGACTAATGCACAATTATAATGACTAAACTGATATTTGAAATATTGAACAATATATTGTTTCATACCTGATATTTAAAAAAAGTACACTTATCATTATAGAATGTCTTTGATATGATATTAAATATTTTTAATTATCATGGTTGTAGTTTTCAGGGTGATAAGCCATTTTCTTCATGTTGTCATTATTGTTATAGAAGTTGATGAAGTTCATTGGACCCTTTGGCTAGTTGTCAAACCCCTAAATTGTTTTGGTTAGGTTGAAAATGGATGTGAAAAGTACTCAGCTGATAAAATGTGGTTGAATCATAAATAATGTCAGAACTGTATCTATCAAGAAACATAGGTGTCATGATTTAGAATTGAGTTTACTGAATGATTCCATGAACCAGGAAGTCCAGTGACCAACATTCCACTCTGTATTTGAAAGTGTCATCAACCGTTGGCTTGTATTAATTTTATAAAACCAGGGAATTAACCAGAAAGTTATGTGAATTGGAGCAAGAGGATTGGGGCCTACACCATTCAATTCACTTCGGGATGTAAAATGTGTAATTTCTTGTTACTCAGAATGAGTATGTTAATAATGCTTTAGATTCCATACACTAGTATGCTCAAAGTGCTACCTAATTTTTTCCTTGGCCAATAGATCAGTGTGCTGTTGGGTATTATTCTCTCTGGGGTGTATACAACCGAACTGCAGCCCATTCGGCACTGGAATGTTAACAGTCACATTACCATCTCACGACTTTCTACCGGGTACCCATTCAGTGCTGGGTGCTTATAGTGAAAGGGGAAAGGGATGCTGACATGGCTTGCATGTTGAAGCAGATTTGCATCTGACTCGAGTACCCCTTGTTATAGCAGCCCAGCCTGTGGAGTTTCTGGGTTAGAATAGGTCCCCAGCAACCAGTGGATCAGGTGGTGACTTGTTGGGCTGCATGACATTGTACTCAGTATGACATTGTCGGTCTTAATATCGATCACTGGATGGTCTGATCCTGCCTTCATATAGCTGTAATATTGCAGAGTGTGGCGTTACAAACAAATATAGGAGCCGAGAAGTGAGGATTGGGTGGCTGCACTGTGTCACATGACTGATTGTGTGTCATCATCGTACCTCACCTGTATAGATGCCTTCTCATGTCAACACCACAGGTTTGCTTGGCCTCGACCACATAACTTACGGCAGCATTAATCAACATCCACTCACTGCAGATCCTTTCTCGAACAAATCTTTGAGATTGTTTGAGAAGTCACCTTGATCATTTAGTGCAGATTTGTTTAATTCAATTAGCTTGAGCATGCCAATATAAAATCCAATAAGTGTAGCTCAATATTGTTTGATTATGTTTGGTATAATTTTGTTGTTGATTTAGTGGGAACAGATATAGGCTGATTCTGACTGAAGTTAAGGATGCAATCTCATTAAAATCAGATCTTAGTTCTCGCTGCCACTAAACAAAGATCTGAGCACATCCCATTAGGGGTCACGTCAGAACGACCTTTCATCCGACCAATCAGAGCATCGCTTACCAGATTATGAAAGTGACAGTCGGAATGTGATTTCTAATCATGCAAACTCGAAATCTTTAACTCCGAACTATAGTTACAGGTTTAACGACTGAATCCATACAATCTAGACCATCTATTAGCCATTCCAGAATGTTCTTTTGTTCAGGTTTTATATTTGTAATCGAGAATTTGTCAAAATATGTTTCGAAGCGTAGTCGCCAATTTGAAATTAGTGCCGTAAAGCACAAGAAAGCTGCCTTCTGATTGGTCATTCCATTGGTGGGTCAAAGTTCGCACAATGTCGGTCTGACGTGACCTGTAATGGGATGTCCTCAGATCTTTGTTTAGCGGTGGCGAGAACTACGATCTGATTTTGATGAGATTGGTTAAGGATGTTTGAGTCAACTATTTTGACATGTACATATTAGGTTTGCTTCTGTCAGAGGTGGTGTCTTGTTAGTATTTGCAGCACCACAGATTATGCAGCATACATTTGATGAATTATTGCTTCAGAAGTCAATGGTTACTATACCATTTATTTTTTGTCATTGTAGGGTTCTTTTGCAGGATAGAATATTTGATTACATAAAAACAAATATACAATCAAACACCATTGTGTCGAAGTTGAAGGGACCAAAGTAAATACTTCGAGTTATCCGAGGTTTGATACTACAGAAAATCATGAATATAGAAGGGCACTTCGAGACAAGTGTAAGTTTGACACTTCAAAGTCTGACACAATGATGTTTAACTGAATATATATTTTTTGTATATATACTTCTTTTTTTTATTGTGTAATTTGGCTCTGATAGGCTGAATCTGTAATCTGAAAAATATGAAAGAAATGTAGACAGACACTCCGAAATAAATGCTTACATAATATAATGTTTGTTGACTATAAATATTTCAGTTCTTTTGTACAGATTATTGCTACGACATGTTATTGTGTTATCATGATGATGATGAATGTTATGATTGCATATCAGAAAAAGCACCTTGAAACATTCTGATGTAGATGTTTACGACATTTACAAATTATGATGTTCTTGATTGTCTCCTACATTTTAAGTTTTGACAAAAAATATGTAATGTAAAAGAAATAAACAGTGATAAAGAAAGATTTTAGTTGTACTGTTCTTCACAGCTGGACTCTTGTATGTTACCATGGTTACTTACATCATGTACATGTACGTGTATTATGAATGCCATGTCTGTATGAACATGAATGCTTAGACCCCAATGGAGATTGGGTTAGAATTGTTCTTCGGCTACCCATGCTTGTCGAAAAGTGCGACTAACGGATCGGGTAGTCGGGTTCGGTTCCATGACGCAGTTGGTGCACATGTTGTATGTCATGGTATCCCAGTTGCTTAGATGAGTAATAATCCCAGGGGAATTCTGGGTGAGAATCGCTCACTAGCAACCTATGCTGGTCATGTAGGCGACTTAATGTTGATGGCGCTGATGGCGCGGCAACGTACCCTGATGGTGTGGATCGTTCACAATATCAGTCAATGGATTGTCTGGTACAGACTTGATTATTTACAGGCTTCTGGCGTGTTCACAATATCAGTCAACGGATTGTCTGCTACAGACTTGATTATCCCCCGCCGCGCGAAAGCGCGAAGCGGGGGATATAGTATTCACGACCGTCCGTCCGTACGTCCGTACGTCCGTCCGTACGTCCCACCTGTTTGTTGCCGCGATATCTCAAGAACTAAACACTGGATTGTCTTCATATTTGGAACTATGGTGTATATACAGACTCCGCAGACACCAGTTGGTTTTGGTGACCTTGACCCCATTTTCAAGGTCACAGCAGGCATATCTGCTTTTGGAGTTGGAAAACGGTGTTGCCGCGATATCTCAAGAACTAAACACTGGATTGTCTTCATATTTGGAACTATGGTGTATATACAGACTCCGCAGACACCAGTCGGTTTTGGTGACCTTGATCCCATTTTCAAGGTCACAGCAGACAAATCTGCTTTTAGAGTTGGAAAACGGTGTTGCCGCGATATCTCAAGAACTAAACACTGGATTGTCTTCATATTTGGAACTATGGTGTATATACAGACTCCGCAGACACCAGTCGGTTTTGGTGACCTTGATCCCATTTTCAAGGTCACAGCAGACAAATCTGCTTTTAGAGTTGGAAAACGGTGTTGCCGCGATATCTCAAGAACTAAACACTGGATTGTCTTCATATTTGGAACTATGGTGTATATACAGACTCCGCAGACACCAGTCGGTTTTGGTGACCTTGATCCCATTTTCAAGGTCACAGCAGACAAATCTGCTTTTGGAGTTGGAAAACGGTGTTGCCGCGATATCTCAAGAACTAAACACTGGATTGTCTTCATATTTGGAACTATGGTGTATATACAGACACCGCAGACACCAGTCGGTTTTGGTGACCTTGACCCCATTGTCAAGGTCACAGCAGGCAAATCTGCTTTTGGAGTTAGAAAACGGTGTTGCCGTGATATCTCAAGAACTAATCGCTGGATTGTCTTCATATTTGGAACTATAGTGTATATACAGACACCGCATACACCTGTCAGATTTGGTGACCTTGACCCCATTTTCAAGGTCACAGCAGGCAAATCTGTTTTTGGAGTTGGAAAACGGTGTTGCCACAATATCTCAAGAACTAATCGCTGGATTGTCTTCATATTTGGTACTATGGTGTACAGGCGGGGGATATTTCGTCACTCTGTGACAAATACTTGTTATTTACAGGCATCTGGCGTGTTCACAATATCAGTCAACGGATTGTCTGGTACAGACTTGATTATTTACAGGCTTCTGGTGTGTTCACAATATCAGTCCATGGATTGTCTGGTACAGACTTGATTATTGACAGGCATCTGGCGTGTTCACAATATCAGTCAACGGATTGTCTGCTACAGACTTGATTATTTACAGGCTTCTGGCGTGTTCACAATATCAGTCAACGGATTGTCTGGTACAGACTTGATTATTTACAGGCTTCTGGCGTGTTCACAATATCAGTCAGTGGATTGTCTGGTACAGACTTGATTATTTACAGGCATCTGGCGTGTTCACAATATCAGTCAGTGGATTGTCTGGTACAGACTTGATTATTTACAGGGTACTGTCATTTAGCTGGAATATTGCTGAGTGAGTCGTTTAACAACAAACAAACAAACGAACACAAAAGCTTAGCCATTACCTTAAACATTTGTTGAAGAAGTTACAAATTGGTTATTAATATCTAAGGCTCCAAGTAACATGAAGGATGGAGTTTTCAAGTTTACGTCTAAAGCTTCATCAGAACAAAATTAATGACTTTAGACTGGAACGTGTTTAGGCTGGTCATTGTGGGAGCTAGAGGCCAAGTACTTAAATCTGGTTCAAGGTTGTAGAAAACATGTTCTTTTTCTAAAACGTAGTATGCTTGCGCTGGAAACGACAGTGTGTGTGGAAATGTTTTGGCAACTACATAATTTGCAAGCGCTACTGGTTAAAGAATAAAATGTTCTTAAAACTGGAAGAATTATTTCTGTATTAACAACCACGATTACGAATAACTATCCAAGGAGCCTACAGAAAAACCTAAATTGTAGACACTGATGACCACAAGAATTTGAAGTTCCTGTCAATTATTATCTTCAGTAACCATGGTAACCTGATGTCATTACGAACATAGCAAACTTTCCATCTCAGAAACGTCTGCTGTGACATCACTTTCACCTTCATAATGTTCCTCGAGGTTTCATTGGATAAGATTAATGAAATACTGTCTTTCCACATTAAGCAGACCATATTACAAATAATAAGAAAAGCATTTCAAACCTACACAACATTGATGAAAATTTAACTATTTATAATCCCTTTGGGAATCCTGGTTCGAATTGGTTCCCAGCAACCCATGAAGTCGTAGGAGGCAACTTCGTAACGCGACGGTGATGATCATTGCTCACAATATCAATCAGGTATTGTCTGGTCCAGACTCGATTTTTTATGGCCACCGTCATATAGGTGGGATATTGCGTTCGTCGTTAAACAACAAATTTACAAATAAACAATACATATACTCATATGATAATCAGAATTGCCATTTCTGGTGTCACCCGCCGTGATATTGCTGGAATTTTGCTAAAAGCGGCGTAAATACACACTCACTTACTGGGAATCGCTAAACGCTATTGTTTTATAAAGTTTTATGCAGTCGTCAATATTTCGAAAATACCTTCGATATCGTCTGCAGACGGTCTAGGGGCATCGAGTGGCCCAGTCGTCTTTGGCACCGCAATTCGTTGTGAAGAGTAGCGTCCCTTGAGCACGCCAGAAACCTATGATTGTGGGTTCGAATCCCGGTGCCCGTGATAAAATGCTGAACGTCTGAGACCTGCATCACTTCAGGCTTTCCTCCCACATTAAGCTGACATGCCGTGATATATCTGTTTACTGTTCAAAGTGGCGTTAAACTAAACTCACTCACTCACTCCAGAAAGTTTAGCATCTAGCAAATATTAGTCAGCATCATGTGACTTGTGCAAGATGGGCACAACTGCAAATCCTAGATTATACTATACATTCAAACAATCTTATCACAGCAATAAACTGAATAATGTTTAACTAAATACAGAAGGGTCACTCTTATCAAGACCAAATATAAATCGCACTATGTGCAAAATAGAAGTAGACATAGCTTTGTGCCGAGTTGCAATGACACGTGAAAGACGTTCTCATGGCGACCACACGGGATTTCGTATTACTATCAAGACCGGACACCATGGGTTGCAACATAGCTTTTATTCTTCACAAAATCTTCTCATATTGAGGCATACACGAGTACAGAAGTTTCTATAACACGCTTCGATTCTACATATACACTATTTTTTCACACTACGATAGATAATCTGTCATGGCATGGAATATTAGTTATAGGGACAAATCGGGTGAATCTAAAATTCTTTTGAGTGGTGTAGAAATAATTGGAATTTCAGATTAATTATAGTTATATGGACAAATCGGATGAACTTAAATTTCTTTTGGGTGGTGTAGAAATAATTGGAATTTCAGTAGGACTGCTGAGAGCGTTACAACGTTTAAGGTAAAGACATGTGAGAAGAAAATCAAGTATTTTCTTTTATGTTTTTTTTCACATAAATGTTTGTACTTCTAGTATGTCTTTGTTATTACTCGTGATCACTTCCAGCTATATGTTTGACCCGTCGCAACCCCAATATGACGCTAGTTGATGTGGTGTCACTTAATATTCAGCTTACAATTGACTCAAATGCTGTTTAAACCTGAAGCTGGCGAAAATGTTCTCCTTTGACCTCGTTATTTCTATTTCCTCCACACTGATATAGATAACTCCACACCCGATATCGACAAGAGCCACCAACAGGAGCCTCTATTTGCTCTCCTTAATAGGAACATGTTTACATAAATGTTTGTACTTCTAGTATGTCTTTGATATTACTAGGTTTGACCCGTCGCTAACCCTAGTGGCGCTAGTTGATGTGGCGTCACTTAAAATTCAGCTTACAATTGAATCAAATGCTATTTAAATCTGCGTTAAGCCCAACTTTGTCACAGCAACATATAACTCGGTTCGCACTTTAATTTTACTGACTGTTCGCTCCTACCACTTACAGACGTTTTGTAAAAGACGTTTTGTAAAAGGCGTTTTGTAAAAGTGACTTTTCATTATGACGTGTATCCTTGCAGCTGGCATCTTCCCGAGGCAAGAGAATTAACTGACTTTAAAAGTCCAGTTTCCACCCTTGCCGAACTAGGCTGGAATTACTGGGCTCGATCGTAGCGCCACCAGTGGCTATTACCAGTTATGTCCCTTCTAAGCCTCTCCTATAGGCCAATCAAGATTCCACTTCTGTATCACTTGCGTTTGCTTCACACAAAATGGTGGCGCCCAGTCAGGACGATCTGATCGATAATCAAGATCTATATTGTGATAAAACGGATCTTACATCTCGAAATGCATCAAATCACGTGGGCACCTTGATTAAAAACATGAAAAGATTTAGAAATTATCTGCTGACAACGAGTTGGCGGTGCACATGTTTTGCAAATCCTGCAATGGATCGAAATCTGCACGACAGTTTACGAACCGGATTTCGATTTTGGTGCGCGATTTTGATTGGACTATGCATAGACTCGTTAGTCCAGCCAAAATGTAACTCCATAATACCAGCCTAGTTCGGCAAGGGTGGAAACTGGACTTTTATAACAGTCGGTTAACCCTCTTGCCTCTGGAAGATGTGCAGCTGGCGACTGCCGGTATGTAGCTGAACACCCATACAGTTTATTTCTTCTAACAGTAACACTGCTATATGTTTTCCTTCCGCTAGCAGTTCAGTCACTCGGAAACTCCCTGGCACTCACTGGACTTCTGCAATGGACCTCCGCGATGGACTTTGGTCACTCATTTATAATGAATTGACGTATTCAGAACTGATCAATACACACTTAATCTTTCATCAAAATATTTCGTATGTCTGATACATTTCCCACGTGGCCATATCGAACACATCTGTGTGCATCTCACTGTTTCGTTAAACTGATTCGCCAATTCATGTCTGTAACTATATCTGAAGGACTATCGTTTCGTATAGTTATGCTAAAAGCATGTGAAAGGGTATTCACAACACTAATCCATTCAATCGTCATATGTTATACATATGCTGCACCTCTTGTATAATCATGTCCAATGCATCTTTGTGCGCACGTGGTTGGTCACTCGCGTTTGAGTCGATGGCACTGTACTGTAACATCCGGGCCACCTTTAAAACATTCTGGTGGAGTCTCTTAACCTCATCCTGGGGAATCGCGTTTAATATATCACGAATCAGCTCCTGTCGCACCTCTATCCGCCCTGAATCGATCGTCACAGTGAAGTCCGTATAATTCAGTACCCGTTGGAAGGGGTATTCCACGTTCTGATCAGCAAATCTGAAAATGACTGGAATACATCCACTTTGAATACTGTCATAAAATGACTTCCTTGTGGGTGAATCTCCTGGAGGTTGAAGACAGAAAACTGACTTCTGCATCCACCCAATCGTGATGTTCTCATGACCAGTTTGACATTCTATTGTGTTCAGAAACACCCCGCCAGGTAGTTCATCTCCATGCTCATTCAAAAGATGAATTACTCTCTCAAAACTAACACCAGTGACTTTATGTGACATCTGATCCAGAACGCTTCGTCTGAATTCGTTGTTCTTCACGCTAGCAGCAACAAAAATCAGCACCTGCCTTGCCCCTAATCCAGGTGAGGATATTGCCTGTGATGCTGAGTTAGAGTTGTACTGGTGCACATACGAGGGGTAGGGAGCCACTATCACTCTCTGGTTCTCGAGACCTAAAACCTTTCTGTACTCCGACAAAGACTCCTTTTCGATGACGATGTATGTCACACTTTTACAGTTTGGATTCATAAGCAAAGGGTATTCTTTTTCTGCTTGTTCCCTTTCAATTCTCGCCAGTGATGAGATGTGAGGCTTCCCTTGCTTTAGGTAGGGCATAGAATGTATGATCTTGAACATTTCGTCTTGTAATTGTGTGACGGATTCTGATGAATTACAAAATCTGAACATTCCTAGGTAGGCGGGTATGTAGAAGATGTCAGCTTCCTCTGGATTCATGGTTCGGTATTGACTCTGCAGAAGCTGGTTGTGAAGAATCACCTCAAGGGAGAACTGACTGGTATGAAACACTCCCATCTCCCCTTCTCTATACAACAGCGTTCCCATCCCTCCGTTTTCTAAATGAAAACAGAAGTGTGGTACCCTTTCTGTACCCACACACATGGCTACATCTTTATTAAACTTTGGTGGCAGCGGATATATGAACACCTTTGGTTTTCTTGTCATCATCGAAACAACATTTCCTTTTAACCTGAAGCTACTGATAATGTTCTCCTTTGACCTCGTTATTTCTATTTCCTCCAAACTGATGTAGATGACTCCACACCCGATAGCGACAAGAGCCACCAACAGCAGCCTCTTCTTTGTCCTCCTTGACAGGAACATGTTGTATCGGAGATGGAAATAATGCACAGCCTTCACCTCGGCAATCCCACTAGATGAAAATCTGTATTTATCTGAAAATACCAAGTAATAACACTTAATGCCTGAACTACATTCAGTCTGCAGCATTGAAACCATCTGTCAACCTAATGTCAATCAGAAAATGCATCTTAAGTAAAAGAAGATTACTTTTCTTGTCAAATAATACGTACACTCGTGACCTGAGAAAGATGACATTAAATTTCTTTATTCTTTATTCCATCGTTTAACGCAGTACAAACTGCTTTGTGGGTTAGGGAGGAATGGAGGGGTGGGGGTGGGTGGGTGTTTGTGTGTGTGTGTGTGGGGGGGGGGGGGGGCTGGGTCATCAGGCAGCGGGATTGAATCGATTCCTCATATGGGTATAAAATACTATGTGCGAGGCCCATTTTCGGTCTCTGTCGTGATCAGGATGGACTGTTGCTTAATGCGCTGTATCATTCTACTCATTGACTCGCAGTTAACAGTTATTTGACGCGTAGTTTGTTAAACCTGATGATAAGCTGATATCAGCACAATTCAAACCAATTCAGAAGACTCAACACAACCGTCGAACCGACGGAGACGTAAAGATGAACGTCTAACTTCATAGAGAAAGACTATGCATTAACGTATGTACCGTTCACTTAGCATTTGACCTGAGGGAAACTCAGGAGCGCTGAAGAAAGGTTATACATACGAGTTCTGAATGGGTTAAGGAAAGGACAAATGTTTTGATACACCTTTGGCTGTGTTCCTTAATTCACTCACTTAGAGCAACAACACACTGATGTCTTCCGAGACAATGGTGTTAATTTGTTTGAAGGTGAATTTGTGTATGTTGTGAATGTGTATGAAGGTGTATGTTGTGAAGGTGTATGTTGTGAATGTGTATGAAGGTGTATGTTGTGAAGGTGTATGTTGTGAATGTGTATGAAGGTGTATGTTGTGAAGGTGTATGATGTGAAGATGTATGTTGTGAATGTGTATGAAGGTGTATGTTGTGAAGGTGTATGATGTGAAGATGTATGTTGTGAATGTGTATGAAGGTGTATGTTGTGAAGGTGTATGATGTGAAGGTGTATGGGAGTGTATGATATGAAGATGTATGATGGTGTGTGGTGTGTAGGTGTATGATGGTGTATGATGTGAAGGTGTATGGTATGAAGGTGTATTGTGTGAAGGTGTAGAGTATGAAGGTGTATGGTGTGAAGGTGTATGATGGTGTGTGGTATGAAGGTGTATGATGTGAAGGTGTAGGGATATGAAGGTGTAAGGTATGAAGGTGTATGATGGTGTATGGTGTGAAGGTGTATGACGGTGTGTGGTGTGAAGGTGTATGGTGTGAGTGTGAGTGAGTTTGGTTTTACGCCGCTTTTAGCAATATTCCAGCAATATCACGGCGGGGGACACCAGAAATGGGCTTCACACATTGTACCCATGTCGGGAATCGAACCCGGGTCTTCTGCGTGACGAGCGAACGCTTTAACCACTAGGCTACCCGACCGCCCCGTATGGTGTGAAGGTGTATGATGTGTAGGTGTGTGACGTTGTGTGGTGCGAAGGTGTAAAGGTGTACGGTATTAAGGTGTATTTTGTGAAGGTGTGCGAAGGTGTATGAAGGTGTATGGGGGAAGGTGTATTGCGTGAAGGTGTTTGGAGTGAGGGTGTATGAAGGTGTATTGCGTGAAGGTGTTTGGAGTGAAGGATATGTTGTGAAGGTGTATGAAGGTGTATGGACTGAAGTTGTATGGAGTGAATGTGTATGGGGGAAGGTGTATGGAGTGAAGGTGTTTGGAGTGAAGGTGTATGAAGATGTTCTGAGTGAAGGTGTTTTGAGTGAAGGTTATGGTGTGTAAGTGTATGAAGGTGTACGGAGCGAAGGTGTATGGGGTGAAGGTGTATGGTGTGAAGGTGTATGAAGGTGTATGAAGGTGTATGAAGGTGTATGGGGTGACGATGTATGGTGTATAGGTGTACGGAGTGAGGGTGTATGAAGGTAACGGAGCGAAGGTGTATGAGGTGCAGGTGTATTTAGTGAAGCAGTATGAAGGTGTATTTAGTGAAGGTGTATGAAGGTGTATGAAGGTTTGCGGAGCGAAGATGTATGAAGGTGTATGGAGTGAAGGTGTACGGAGCGAAGGTGTATGGAGTGAAGGTGTACGGAGCGAAGGTGTATGGGGTGAAGGTGTATGGTGTTAAGGTGTATGGAATGAAGGTGTATGAAGGTGTATGGTGTGAAGGTGTATGGGGTGAAGGTGTATGGAGTGAAGGTGTATGGTGTGAAGGTGTATGGAGTGAAAGTGTATGGGGTGAAGGTGTATGGTGTGAAGGTGTATGAAGGTGTATGGAGTGAAGGTGTATGAAGGTGTATGGAGTGAAGGTGCATAAAGGTTTACGGGATGAAGGTGTATGAAGGTTTACGGAGTTAAGGTGTATGGGGTGAAGGTGTATGGTGTGAAGGTGTATGAAGGTGTATGAAGGTGTATGGAGTGAAGGTGTATGAAGGTGTATTGAGTGAAGGTGTATGGATTGAAGGTGTATAAAGGTTTACGGGGTGAAGGTGTATGAAGGTGTACGGAGCGAAGGTGTATGAGGTGAAGGTGTATGGTGTGAAGGTGTATGAAGGTGTATGAAGGTGTATGGAGTGACGATGTATGGTGTATAGGTGTACGGAGTGAGGGTGTATGAAGGTAACGGAGCGAAGGTGTATGAGGTGCAGGTGTATTTAGTGAAGGTGTATGAAGGTGTATTTAGTGAAGATGTATGAAGGTGTATGGAGTGAAGGTGTATGAAGGTTTACGGAGCGAAGATGTATGGGGTGAATGTGCATGGTGTGAAGGTGTATGAAGGTGTACGGAGCGAAGGTGTATGAAGGTGTATGGAGTGAAGGTGTACTGAGCGAAGGTGTATGAAGGTGTATGGAGTGAAGGTGTACGGAGCGAAGGTGTATGGGGTGAAGGTGTATGGTGTGAAGGTGTATGGAGGGAAGGTGTATGATGGTGTTTCGGGTGAAGGTGTATGGAGTGAAGGTGTATGGTGTGAAGGTGTATGGAGTGAAGGTGTATGAAGGTGTATGGTGTGAAGGTGTATGATGTGAAGGTGTATGGTGTGAAGGTGTATGGTGTGAAGGTGTATGAGTGAAGGTGTATGAAGGTGTATGGTGTGAAGGTGTATGGTGTGAAGGTGTATTAAGGTGTATGGAGTGAAGGTGTATGGAGTGAAGGTGCATAAAGGTTTACGGGGTGAAGGCGTATGAAGGTTTACGGAGTAAAGCTGTATGGGGTGAAGGTGTATGGTGTGAAGGTGTATGAAGGTGTATGGAGTGAAGGTGTATGAAGGTGTATGGAGTGAAGGTGTATGGAGTGAAGGTGCATAAAGGTTTACGGGGTGAAGGTGTATGAAGGTTTACGGAGTGAAGGTGTATGAGGTGAAGGTGCATGAAGGTGAATGGTGTGAAGGTGTATGGGGTGATCGAGTATGTAGTGAAAGGTGTATGAAGGCGTATATATTCGAAAAGTTTATAGTTGTATTTTCGTTGAAACGTTGAGTCCAAAATATATAATCTATTACCTGACTTGCTTGATAAGAATTCTAACGCAAATACAATTTGATTGGAGCGAACTCAATCTGTCGTACAAACATTCCTGTGTTCCCCGAAATACACGGAAGGGCGCCATGCTCCCTGATAACAAACCTCCTTGACATTATGTAACCGAGGACGAGCAGCATATTTTTATTCCGGCTTGCACCCGTCAGGGTGTCTGTCCCCTGCGGCAAACAACCTTCCACTGTTTGAGAACAAGTCCCCCAATCACGTCAACGTGTACATCTTCTCTTTTATCTATTGTGTCGGTGCACTCCTATTGTGTCTACTCCCAGTGTAACTACCAAAATAACACCGGATTAGAACAGGTCTTCACCAACCCATGCTTGTAAAAGGCGTCTATGCTTAAAACACCACACCAACGTTTTTGTTGACATAGTAATATCTGAGGGACGCAGCGACAGAGTCAGTAAAATTATGGGCGTTGGCCCGCAGTTTGCTGAGTGCGACGTGCAAACTAACATAAGATTTAGGTCTACACAATGACTGTGACTAATGACATAAAGAGTGAGCAATTTAAATAGTTTTCAAATGCAGTAAGCCTGTCCTTAACTTACTTGCTGAATGACATTAAATGGCATGTGTACCTTGAAACGGATAAATAAATAAATAAATAAATAAATAAATAAATAAATAAATAAATAAATAAATAAATAAATAAATAAATAAATAAATAAATAAATAAATAAATAAATAAATAATAAATAAATAAATAAATAAATAAATAAATAAATAAATAAAGAATTTCTTTTGATAGGAGATAATTAGCAGTCAATGAACCAGGAAGTATGTGTATTGAAACAGTGGACATAATGGGAAGACACCGTTTTGTCAACCCTTCTTTCGAATATGCACCTTCTCATGCGCATACAATTTCAATTGCTTATGTGATGCTCATATTTATTCTCACTTATAGTGGGCTATGAGTAGTATTCTGCATCGAAAATAAAAACTCTCTTCGTCTAAATTAAAGTTCAAGTAAAACAAAAGTAATAAAACTATGCCAAAATTCAAACCAATCCGAAGACTCCTCTTAACCGTCTAACTTCAAACAGTAAGGCTATGCATTAACATACGTGTGTTGTGTACGTACCGAGACTGAGTACACTAAACGTTTGACCTGAAGAAGGATTACTCACACGCAGTTGTGAATGGGTTAAAGCAACGACATTCATGCATAGAGTAGCGCGGGTTTTCAGTACAAATAGGACTGAGGTCTACTTACAAATGCTGTGAATAATATACAGTCATAAAGTACTTAGGAGACGCTGTGACGGCCGGTATCTTTCAGCTTCACTAGATCGACTTCAACAAAGGTATGATGTTCAAATGTGAGGGATGAGGCTTAAGACCAACACAGGTGAACCGTGTTTCTGGGATATTATAATATTGTGTGATTTGAGTGATGATATTGATAATAGATGACGCCAAAGTCTCAATTATCCGACGAAACAGATTCATTTGGGCATAAAACCTTTCATAGAATGTCAAATATGATATGACAAGTTCCTTACACAGTACTTTATACAGTGTAGTTTATACGACTCAGGTCACAGACATCATGGTATAGAAAGTACACAATGGTATGTTATAATTTGCTTGCTCTTTAGAAACATTTATCACAAACTGCGTACATTTTAAAGTGGAAAGCCTCATCCTCGTATTTTTCATGATGTCCGAACTTAAAATACCTATGTTATAATATGATATTGATATAATTTCGATCAATGTGCAATGCACCACCAATTTCTACTAAAAACCTGGGTATAGGGGTACTGTATGTTTCTTCAGATGTTACTGATACTGAGTCACGTATGATGCAAAGATGCAAAGAAGCGGAGGAAGCATTTGTAGGGATAGTCAGACAACTATTGCCATGGATACAATGTCATATGTAGGAAATCGATTTCAGTTTCTGTATTCAGTATTTAATATGTCTCTTTGTAACAGAAAATTAAATAGGATACGACTTAAATGCTATTTGATGTCGAAACATATAGTAAGCCGTGCTTAAACTTTTCCCGCATGTACAGTTAACGCTTCTGAATAGGCGTGTCTGATCATATGATGTGGTATAATGTCAATATTGACCGAAACCGCCTTCAAAACCCTATTTTCACGGTCCTTTCTCTACACTCACAACCGTCAACTGCAAGTTTCCCTGAGTCTATTTCAGCTGTTTGTGCTCCCATCTCGGGGATCAGCACATAAATCCAACAAAACGACTAAACTAATTGCAACTTTAAACATATCAAAATGAAATGGAATTACACAGCTGTATATAAACACCTACCTGTAGCCAGAGTCGTGTTCAATGTAACCGCGTTAGAATAGTTGCCTCAGGATTATGTTCACACTCTCAGACCTTTCCGATGGCCCACATGCAGGAGCAGGACTCTAGGCGTGACACCATGAAAGACCTAACCGGGTTAAGGTTAGGCGTGTCTCAATACACGGTGTCGTATTGTGTGCATTGGGTTGGGGGGGGGGGGGTTAACAAAACGAAAACCTGTTTTGCTCACGATGTTTCTATTTATATCGATACCTATGAAAGTATCGATTACACAAAGACAGCAATTGTGTAGATTTTATCTGTAAATAATACCGTGTCAAAAAGATTAGAAATGAAATTTATATTGCAGTTTTTTTTAATCAGGGAAGACTTGGCAAAGAATGGAAGCGTATTACGCAATACACGTAGTCATATTAAATAGCGTTTCGTGTACATGTGGCGGCTTGCATAGATGCGTAGAAAACGCCTATGTATTCATGATTATATATCGACCCACTCTGATATAGACAAGGTTAAAACGCTAGGGTTTGAATGATACCGGTGAAATGTTTTCCGTATTCAATGAATATAAGCGTAAAGGCTAAACCGCTTAAATATGTTGTGGAACAAATGAATAAAAAATAAAATAATTACATGACATGGAATGGTTTGCTTATTTTAATAATTGAATTTTTAAATTAAGCGGGTATACATGCTGACATTTTAATGAACATACTTTGACGTTTGTACCCGTGAAGATCCGAGGTGGATTAGGTCTTCAGCGACCCGTACTTGTTGTAAAAGGCGATTGTGCTTGTCGTAAGAGGCTACTAAAGGGATCGGGTGATCATGATTGGTTCATGCATGTCATCGTATCCCAACTACGTGGATCTGTGCTCGTTATATCAATCACTAGATTGTCCGGTCCAGCCTAGATTATTCACGGACCGTCGTCATACAGCTTGAATATTGCTGAGTGTGGCGTTAAACAACAAACTCACATGGACGTTTGACACAGTATAAAACAGATGCACATGACAATTCGTTCCAAATGAAACAGAAATATGCAAAAGTAAGCACAGATATTCCCAACACTCTCGTAAGGATTCCGGGAAAGAATTGGCCCCATTATCATATGATTGTAGTAAGAATCAATTAAAGAGGACTGGGTGGTAAAGCAAAGTGGATTGGATGATTAATAAGGCGGAAAAGTGTCCCGATTACGTGGATAGAATTGCAGGTTTATCTGACCCAGAGTGGATTATTTCCTTCTAATTAATATTAATCAAAACGTATTTCTGCTACGAAGACATATTCACATGAGGCTAGCCGCCTTTTTCGTCCTTTGTGGACATGCAATTTATACAAAGTGTTGACCTGATTTGTTGGTAGAATAGTGCAGAGAGTACCCGATAGACCGCAAGAGCATACATGCACATGGTTGGAGATGTCATCTACTATGTGAAAACATAAATCCAATCATGTTATATACACTTCACCTTTTTCTCTGTGTGTGTGTGTGTGTGTGTGTGTGGGTGTGTATGTGTGTGTGTGCTTGAGGGTATGTCCATGTGTGTGTATGCATGTGTGCACACGTGTGTGTATGTGTGTCCGTGTCAGTGTATGTGTGTGCGTACATGCATGTGTGCACACACATGTGTCTGCATTTGTGTGTATGTGTGTGTATGCATGTGTGCACGTGTGTGTATGTGTGTGTGTGCATGTGTCTGTATGTGTCTGCGTGTGTGTACATGTGTGTGTGTGACCATGTGTAGGTATGCATATGTGCACATGTGTGTGCATGTGTGTGTGCATGTATGTCTGTGTTTACATGTGTGTATGTATGTGTGTGTATGTTTGTCTGTGTGTGTACATCTGTGTGTGCGTGTATGTGCATGTGCATGTGCATGTGTGTGTGCTAGTGTGCATGTGTGTGATGTGTGTATAGGGATGTGTGTGCATGCGCGCATGAGTGAGAGCAGCGTGAACGTTACTGGCAAGTAGTTCACAACAAAGGAAGACTGCAATTAAATTGAGACTCTCTAGCTCTGCGTGGCTTCTTTTCAGGTCGATTTAACGCACATCTACACATGAATGGGTCACATGCATGACGTTCATAGTATGGAGACGGATTCAATAGACGCACAACATAATATATGCATATAAATACAATGAACACTGGGTACTGGTCCTCCACTTACAGAGACGTTGATTTGACTTGTATACACTTCTATGGACGCACAACGTGTACATGGATATAAAGATAAAAAGACAATGCAGGTCCCAGGATGCAGCGTACATATTCAATCAAGGTCTAGACGTTTTAATGAGTGTTATGTGTGAAACTTAGTTTAAGCTCTGACTTTTTAGAACAACCATACTAAAATCTGGATTGTCGAACAAACAAATGTTTTCTTAATTACTTGACTCAAATTATAATTGCTGGGACAACCAGTTGGTCCGAGCATTGTGCCTATTTAAGACGGCCACACTAAGGAGAGGAGATTGCCTAAGGGTAACCTGTAAATAATATATCCTTGCAAAGACAAATCGCCCTCTTCCCGGGATATTTTGTAATTTTCAACCCTTGGGCGACTCACCCCCCCCCCCCCCCCCCCATTTCCTCCTCCTCCCTCTCTCTCTCTCTCCCTCTCTCTCCATTTTTGGAACACTGAATATTATATAATATGAATAGTAAATGTACTTGCGTACCGTGACTGTATCCCCAGCGTCAAGCCGCTCCTTTACAACACACTCTCCGTCGTCATAGCCTTAAACTGTAACTATCTTTATGCAATCTGGGTATCAATACAGGCTGTTTTCTATGGGTCTTTTGCAGTTGACTCCACATGTTCACTATTCGGTTTCCACGTCATGAGCCGACAGACTTCGAGACATAAAGGCCACGATTGTGCCTTTATAAATTGGTTGCTTAAGTTGAAATTTAATACCGTGCTAGGAGCACCTGTGGGTTGTGAAAAAAGAATAATATTTTACCTGTTTTACAACCTGTTCATTTACGCTGTGGTTGAGATGTTTAAGTAGCTGCAATTCGCGGTGCAGAGTTGCGTCCCTTAGGCGAATCATGGGTTCGAATCCCGGTTCGTCAGCAACATACCCGCGATCGTTGGTTTCACGATCGTGGTTAGTGGTAAACGTGTTGGACCTGCATCACTTCGGGCTTTCCTCCCACATAAAGCAGACACTCTGTAATATAACTGGAATACTGTTCAAAGCGGCGTTAGATCAAACTCATTCACTCATGCACTTAGTACTCTTTGTTTTGTTTTTTAACGCCACACTCAGCAATATTCAAGCTACATGACGGCAGTCTGTAAATAGTCTGGACCAGACAATCAATTTATTAACATCACGAGTACATATAGATCTAATCAAGTGGAATACGATGAAATGCATCAACCAAGTCAGCGAGCCTCTTACGTAAAGCATTAGTTGCTGAAGATCAATTCTAGAATTGCAAAACTTTACATGAACCCACCCGCTATATGCCACATATTATGACAAGAGGCGACTAACGGGATCGGGTGGTCAGGCTTGCTGACTTGGTTGATGCACGTCATCGTATCCCAATTGCTGAGATCGATGCTCAGGATGTCAATCACTGGATTGTCTGGTGCAGGCTCGATAATTTACACACCGCCGTCATATGGCTGGAATATTGCCGAGTGTGGCGTAAACCAACCAAAAAACAAATTAACATATTATGAAACTATTTATCCAACTTTAACAGATCTTATAGCAATATATTCTTGGACCCTTAAATTGTTTTGAGTAGCATTTATATTTAAAAGTATATAAAAGCATTTTATCTCTCGACTGCCATGAAGGCTCCACTGTATTCCGCGTTCTCATCAAAGTCGAGTTAACGGGTCACGATATTGTGTGGTTGCTCAATGCATACTTCTGCGTGGAGGTAAAGATGCATTCAAACCGAAAGCTTCTAAAAATAATGGCCCTGGGTTTCTGTCTTCTTTTCTTTGAATTGGTGTATTCATGATCTCGTCTGCTCACAATATAACAGTGAATAGACCACAGACTCCCTTGCCGTGATCACTATTTCGACCTCCTGAGAGTACATGTACGTTCTCAACTCTTGAAGCGTTGCTTGAATCGTGAATGATTAATGGCTTCTCTGCTCACTTCACCGTGAATAGAATTATGATTCGTTTTGTAGCAATAACCTGCTAATATGACAACAGTAAGGTTGCACCGTTTATCTTTAATCGGATTCAACGCCAGGCATCCAATAGGGCATAACGTATTTCAATGAAATGAAAATAAAATGCGAATAAAGGGATTATTTGTAACGCTGTCATAAATGTATTTGCCTTACACGGTCGGTTGATCACAGAGGCAATAACTCGGAAATTATTTAATATGAGCTATGATCATATTGACAATAAAATGATTAAAAAATAGATATAAAACAGAATACAAAGATTTGTAATGGGTGGGGGAAATACGATTATTGTGAGTATGTTTTCCTCCGCTTCCAGCAGTATTCCCTCAATATTATCGCAGGTGGACACTAAACATGGACTCCATACAATTGTCCCGTATTGGAAAGCAACCCGGGCCTTTGGCTTGACGAGACGACGCTTTAACCACTTGGCTACGTCCTCGCCCCGAACCTGATCCTAGATAGATGGCAACCATTGCCTCAGGACTGTTACACCTCCCACGCCTTCCCCCGACCCCCCCCCCCCCCCCCCCCACACACACACACACACCCCACACGCACTATTCACTCCTTTAAATGAAACAAAGTCCAAAAATGAAATATATTACAATAGTTGACTTAAGCGTTAACGTTGATTTTAATTTTCACCCTACAGGATGAATATGTAATTAACATATCCAGTAGTTCTATGATGTTCTGCCATAATGTTGACCTTATTGTACTTCAGTTCGGATAGGCAGGGTAGCCTTGTGGTTAAAGCGTTCGCCTGTCACGCCAGGAAGACGCGGGTTCGATTCCCCACAATCTATTTCTATTTAACGATGAGAAAGTACAAATGTTACCACAGAAATGGTATAGAACAGTTGATGCCATTAATCGTTAGCCTATCCATCGTTAGGTCAAATTGAAGTCAGATGCATGAACATTTAACATTTTAAAATGTTGTACAATGTCAAGTTCATACTCTATGGCATGCAAAATTATAAACATCTGACAATCTAAAATGAAAACTATATATTGAAATTATAATTCGAGTATTTAACAATGTCCATAAGAACACACAATGCCATTTAGAAAGTGGTCAAATGTAACAAATGTTATATTTGGGATAACACTTTCTGAGTGAACACTCACACTCACCCACACTGACAGTGTGAGGCGCCTAATCGCCAGTCAGCAATCTAACCCACTCAGCCACCGAGGCTTCCACAAAACTCTGGCAGTGTGGGTTCGAATCCCGGACGGGACTCAACCGAAAAAAGTACGAGAATCTGTATTTTACTCAGAAAGTGTTATCCCAAGTATAAAATGTGTTACATTTGTTACATTTGACCACTTTCTTAATGGCATTGTGTGTTCATAGCTTACGACCATGGAAGCGGTGCCAATTTACAGGGGTACAAAAAGTACGTGATCTAGACAACCAGTTGTCAGACTTTAAATTTTGTGGAAGCCTCGGTGGCTGAGTGGGTTAGATGGCTGACTTTGTCTGCTGGCAATTAGGTGCCTCACTCTGGCAGTGTGGGCTCAAATCCCGGACGGGAGTCAACCCCGAAAAGTACGAAAACATGTACTTTAGATCAGAAAGTGTTATCCCAAATATAACATGTGTTACAATATCCTTAACAACAGACTGTGAAAATAAATTCTTCAAACCAATCTACAGATGTTAACAAGGTAAACAAATAGACCAATCAATGACCAAACTCACGCTTGAAGTTGAAACTATAGTAAAGGAATAAAGTTATGAAGTATAAAAACCTCACGCAAAAACAAAAACAATATCCTCCCGAATCTGCCTCCATCACAAACGGGCACTTGCTCAGATTTGTGAGAGACAAGAATTTGGATCAAGAAAAATATAATATTTCCGAATATTTTCATCTACCATTACTTTTCATAAAATAATGATAGCAGAAATTATTTGCAATTTAGATGTATAATGTGAACCTTACTTATGAATGTTTAACTCCTTTGGCCATTCGTGGCATAAGTCCCGGGTACTCAATGCTCATCGTGAGAGGCAACTGTAGGATCGGGTGGTTGTATTGTGCGACTTGCTTCAAGCTTTTCGTTGTATACCGTCGGTATTATCATTGCAGGTTTTCGTGTCTTAAGTCGGCTAGTCGGCTATTCACATTCCGCCGTGATATAGCTGAAATGTAGGTGACTGCGGTCTAGACATTACCCCTTAATCCCCTCGGTGAAATATAGTGATTGTTATATATCTAATCAATACATGTCACACATTCTATTCAACGGCAGAACTAGATAAGCCTGCACTGAATATACGATGAAGTTAAAACATTCTGTAATTCTTGAAGCAGCTACACACAAATATAAATCCATTTATAAGAAAGACTATATATATTAAAAAGGTCTGTCTGTTACGGTCTTCAGATCTGTGTCAAATGTTTACTGCATTTATGCTTTTTTCGATGATCTTCATAGAGTTCTTTGTTTACTGCCACACCCACCAAATACAGTGATATTGTAATATATAATAATCAATACATGCACCACATTTATATTTTACGGCACAAGAAGATTTCCCTGGTCAAGTGTCAGATGTCACACCTGCTGAAAAGCTCCATAGCCAAGGAGTATTTGCTTAATCATCGCACAGCAAATCAATAGTTAACAAATATATGTTACAGTAGCATAGCAACATGATCAATGGAGCTAGTTCATGTGAATGGCGACTTGCAAAGATGCTACAATGTGGCTCTGTCATACCTGTGTGACCAATCATTTCACCGTTTCGTGTCTTCAGCGTGGTATGTTCCCACACCCAAACTATTTATTGACACAAGCGATAAAAGAGCGTCCCATGTCAGCCCTTTCCGTATGGCTTTGGACACCCCACAACACTTAAATCGGGTATGTAAATCAGTCTTTTTTTTTCCTTTTCGCTTGTGTCTATTGTTTCCTATTGACATTAGAAACAAGTGCTCGTCTCGCCTTCAATTTTCAGTTTTATAACCAACGAAATAAAGAGCTTCGTGCTGTCAAGCCCGTTAAATGTGCCTTGAATAGGACGTCCTACACACATAGAATACTCAGAACAAATAGTATCTGTACGTATGCACTGTTTGTCTGCAAAAGTGCAGGGAAGAAGGTAATGTTTTTCTTGAAGGCTTGTCGATTCATCAACAAAGACCCACAGAAAAACGGTGGTTTTAAACTTACGTTGAATTGAGCGGATAATTATACTGCCTGTTTACACTAGGGTCTGTCGAGGCTTTAAATGGGGCGTTATGAATGAATGTTAGGTTTAGTTGTCGATGAGGCTCACTCTGTACAAGGTATAGTTCGGTAGATTTAAGGTGAAGCCAGTCGAGGGTTTCATTTTCACGGTGTGTTTGAATTCAATTCTGTGGTGAGTATATTTTGTACAAATTTTGCCATCTAAATTAAGCATGTAAAATACCGTTAAACTTGTCACCGTCAGTCCAGAAAATTAGCCTTCCGGACGATCACTGTTGGGAACATCTTAAATGATGAGAGGGCCGTTGCTATATACCAATGATTCGTTAGTCCAAGATGTTTTGTTTGTGTGGACGATTTCACTCGTAATGATACTGTCCGGATTAACGAGGTTCCATTGTTCTTGCCTGTCGTTATGAAGACGTTAAAGTGTGTGTGTGTGTGTGTGTGTGTGTGTGTGTGTGTGTGTGTTTGAGGGGGGGGGACTGCATCACTTGCCGTCCTAGTAGAGTCGATTCCCTTAAGCTCCATGTGTCCGCCCCGTGGGGATGGGATAGATTGTGTCCCAGGCTCCCCACTGCTAGTGGGAATATGCGCCTAAATTGGGACACCAATGGGGACCCGGTTTTCTTGTAACCGATGTTAGTCGCAATGGGCGGCGGCCAGATGGTCAGGCTCGGTGACGTGGTTGATGGGAGTGTCAACGCATCCGACGACGTAGATCGTTGTTTAATTGCAATCATATTATATCAGTAACTGTCGATTATTGTCGATTATATACAGGCCTCGTCACATAGATTAAAACATTGCTTAAACAAGAAACACACTCCTCCCCCGAAATGGTGTTTGTTTGCTGGTTGAATGTTATCATGTCTATTAATCTTCCAGTAAATACTTAGTCTTGTTACACAGATGCACACCCAAATGGGAGCAGTTGCCCCTTTACACTCTTCACAAAAAGAAACGCACTGGTAGATTTTTAGTAAATTTATTGTACCTAATCAAGTCGATATATTTAATTTCATAGCATAGATACAAATATGAAATATTGGAGCTCGATAGCCACATGTTTTACAAAGGCATTGAAACCCAAGGCGATGTTCCGATCGGCAGCGCTGAGTCTCGGCATTTTCGAACTTGAAAAATGTTGACAATTGAATGACAAATTATTGGCTCATGCTTACCTTTTTATAGTTACGAATGCCATAACTTGCACGTGCATTTTGCTGGACTGTTTCCCTCCGTGACATTTTTTAACAAAGTATGAGTGAGTTTGGTTTTACGCCGCTTTTAGCAATAGTCCAGCAATATTACGGCGGGGGACACCAGAAATGAGCTTCACACACTGTACCCATGTCGGGATTCGAACCCGGGTCTTCGGCGTGACGAGCGAACGCTTTAACCACACGCCTCCTAACAAAGTATGAAAACAAAGCCGTTTAAGACATTGCAAATCGACAATAGCTGCGTTTTGACGCACTGTTTGTCGAATATCAGGCCACCAACATTTCCCAATAACATATATCGAGTTTGTACATCGGATTTTTTGTGTAGTCAGATTCAATGAACTACATACTACCTGTCCGTTTCTTTTGTTGAAGAGTATATGTGCTCTTTACGTGAGTAAATGGTTTAATAGCTCTTGTAGCAATATTTCAGTTATTCGATTAATTTCTGCTGACTGTAGAAAAAAGCCCAGACATTCAGCGCAATAGAGCGACAATAGGATTTGGAGACATGGCTACCCATTTACGAATATCATAGACACCGCCTCCGTGGTCTCCTGAAGAGAGCGTCGGCCCTGAGAGTGGTTCGATCTTCTGACCGCGTCATACCAAAAGACATTAAAAGATGGTCAGGCTGTCCCTCTTTTTTTCTGTGTTCCCCATCTTCCACCCGGTCTGAATTTTCATTCGGACGTGAAAAATAAAAAGTTTTCTTATCTCAATTTCCCCCGCTGCTGTTGATATTTATGCCCCGTTGTGACAAAACAATTACTCCTACAGTTGTATTTTAAAAACACCCAGGTCAGCTTGATCTTTCCTCAGCTATATTTATCAAACCAAGCAAAGCAACTCGATCTACTCTTTTTTTCAATTCCGCCACCCACTCTCTTGGTGGTTGAGGCTGGAGATAAGAAAGGGCACGGGTGGCCCAGTCGTCTAAGGCGCCGCGATTTGCTGTGCAGAGTTGCGACCCTTGGGCACGCCAGAAACCTATGATTGTGGGTTCGAATCCCGGTTCGCCCCGATTATGTTTCTAGGTTTGTAAGCACCATACTCGTGCTCGTGGTTTACACCGAAGTGGTAAACGTCTGAGACCTGCATCACTTCGGGCTTTCCTCCCATATTAAGTCGACACGCCGTGATATAAATGAAATACTGTTAAAAAAGCGGCGTTAAATCCAACTCACTGGAGATGAGATACACATAAAAACATATGATTGGCCTAACTGTTTAACCCTGTCTGGCTATCAACATTGAGGTGATAAAACAAGGACTGGTCGACTCGGAGTCAGTAAACTATGTATCTATGTTAAGCTGAGACATGGTAGAAGGCTTGTATTTTACATGTAGAACCGCCTTTCACCTCACGTCATCCTTTACTATACCTGTAGATACAATACAGCATGATAGTTACCATTTTTCAGTGTGCAGTGCTTCTGGAAATATTTACATTTATAGGTCAGTGGGACATGTTCACAGCTGCATTTAAGATGTGACCATTCATGTAAACTTTGCTTTTGGTTTATGTTTGTAGACACTCCCAAGGCATACATCATTAGTTGTTTGGATAATGTTTGGAACGAATTATGACAATTTACATTGAACTTATTCTTTTGCCGAAACAAAATGAGTTCCCCCATTCACAGCAAACATTTGTTTGTTTTTATGCGTTCAAATTTTGTGTTGGGTAGGACAAATCTGTTATAAAATACTGTGGCAGTGCACACTTTATGATAAAATATTTCACATTTTTATATTAATTTGTATGTATATATTTTGCACATATTTGCCATATATTTCATGTAATTATTTCTATACTTTATTTGTATGTATATATTTTGCACATATTTGCCATAAATTTCATGTAATTATTTCTATACAGTTACTTACATTGAAATGTCACTTCAATTACCCATCATGTCAAGGCCAAGCTTACCTAGCAAACCTAATTATCATCAACCATATGCTATCTTACTTACTTACTTAAATTAGGAATTTAACGTGCGCTTACCGACATACGCGTATTTCGCGCACGGGCCTGCTAGGCCATTTGGTGTTTGGTCCAAAAGGGTATGTCCGAAAAGGTGAGGCAACCTAGGTGGGGCTCTTTAGGGTTGCTTACTTAATTTGGAGAACAATTTTGGAATTTTGAAATATGTCTACTTAAAATCCAATCTATTGATTTCTTTACCTGTAAATGACCATTGTAGACATCCAGGCAGCAGCTGTAAAAACAAAGTTTACTTAATCTGACGTTATTATCGCAATTACCATCGTGTGACGGTCACGTGACACATTCTCTAAAAACTCATGAGACATCCAGACAGCAGCTGTAAAAACAAACTATAATTAATCTGATGTAATGTACCCAATTACCATCGGTTCACGGTCACGTGACACATCCTATAAGAACTCATTCTTATTAGCAAATTACCTAATCTATTTCAACCAACCACAATTGTAATTAAAGGACACATTGTATGTTTTGGCCAATCAAGAGAATTCCGACGTTGATCAGTGTAGTTTCTAGTACTTTTTAGACGATAAAAAGAGGTCCGTGATTTCATATCAACACATTGAACCTCACAGTAAATACTGGAACCATCACTGACTCACGGAATTCTCCCTTCTAATGTAAGGTAGGCTCACTTGTACAAACTCTATTATTTATGTCAAATAATGTCATGATAGAAATTTACTGTTTATGATGATTAGAATGCGGTAAATATTATGTATTTTGTGTATTTCCAAATAATCTCTGCATGAATATTGTCGTGCATAATATCTCAGTCATTATTGAACATGTAAATCAATTAGATCTATTGTCATGAATAGTTGTGTATTTATTGCACTCATGTATGCTGATAGAGAACCAATGCACATATTGGTTTCAACTGCAAATGTCATAGGATTTATATGACAACCTTTGAGGTATAAGTGAGATATGAGTAATTGTATGAATGGTTCCTGAACGATTATTATCCAATGTTGTGTTGAAAGAATGAAATATTAATTATAATGATGTATACAAACTCTACCATGTGAAACGCTAATATCCCCATCAAAGTGAAATGTGTATTTAATATTATTGTTTGATTAATATATTATGTATAACACATTGAACCTCACAATAAATACTGGAACATCTCTTTGACTCACGGAATTCTCCCTTCTAAGATGAGAATACGTCTTGTTATCCCATAAATAACGGGGTAACACTGAAAAAATATCTTTTTTTCTCCAAAAACAATTGAAATTTCATCTTGGACTAATCGCTGGACCATTGACAGTAGACTAAACTGCCGGGCAAGAACAAGTATGCATCCATGTTTGATGGTGGTAAAAAATGAAACAAACAAGAAATGGTTATTCGATGGTGAATTATTTGATACGGGTATCATGGTAGTGCTTTGGCTGACCTTAAGTTTGCAGTGTTTCGGCGACCGTGTTTTTAGCAACGTACGCTTGTATTTTTTGTCAAATCCAATTTTCAAGTGTACACTTCTTTTTCCCCTTTGAGATAATATTTTGATGACCTCTCCCTATTGTATGTAACATTTTTTCCAACCCATGTGAAACTACAACTACTCGGGCCACAAATCGCGCCATTGATGGTTGCCAAATATAAATAAACTATGATTAGGATTATCCGACTGAAAAGTAGTGAAAGACCAGGTTCACACTGAGAAAGGAGATAAATCCGAAAAAGGTTCACAATGAAAAGGCGGTAACCCTGAACGCCAGTAGCATGCAGCGTAAGTTCATTTATTATAGCGTAGTATAGCCGACACAAAACCAACCCGCAACACAACACCCAAGTGCTACCTCACACCCGCGGCCACGCCAGACACTAAGATCAAGCTAATTAATTAAATAAATAAATTTACATTTACTACATCTCGATAAAATTACCCGACACGCAACACATTATCAGTGAACGCGCCCAGCCCTTTTGTCGCTGCACAGCATGGTGGACTCTCTCCCACGTGTACCATGTTCTCTCTAATGCCAGGATCTGGGTATGCGTCACTATAGTTCCACCAAGCCTTTCATGCGGTTGGTCAGCCTGCGGTAATGATTGTCCACATCCCCTCGATCTTACCTGTTTCTCTTACATCGTGCCAGTAGCGCCTGGGCAGCATGTTGAATGATATGACGAACATATGATCCATGGTGGGAAGATGGAGCTGCATCCTTAGTTGTTATGTCCACCATGCCAGGGTAGGGTAGAGCCATGTATGATTGTTAGATTGTTAGATTGTTGATGATGCATGTCTAGGACCTGCATCACTTTATCACTTTGGGTCGTCCCCTACATTAAACTAAGAGGCTGGTGCATATGTTATAGTTACAGTGTTTTCTCTCTCTCTCTCTCTCTCTCTCTCTCTCTCTCTCTCTCTCTCTCTCTCTCTCTCTCTCTCCACCTCCATCCTGTACGTGGGACTATCAATGTGTTTCAGTGTTGTAACTGTTCATTGTATCTGTGTTCTCAGATGTGACGATATGTTGCTTACAAGGAGACAAAGAAAGAGGCTGTGGCTGGTGACGATTGTAGCTCTCACTGGGGGAGCCTTTCTGACATGGACGCGGGAAGAAACATTTCCACATGACACTGGGTAAACGTTAAGCTTATTTAATATTCATAATCAACACTACACTTATATACTGTACAACGCTTTCCAAGAGACAGTCGACTGCGTTGTCTACAGTGCACCTCGACCCGCCTTGCCTTCAGGCCCATTAATATTCTTGCATTTGGCGTGTGTGTGTGTGTGTGTGTGTGTGTGTGTGTGTGTGTGTGTGTGTGTGAAGAAGCCCATTTGTGGTGTCCCCCCGCCGTGATATTGCTGGAATATTGCTAAAAGCGGCGTAAAACAACTCACTCACTTGCATTTGGGTCTTTTGCATACCAATAGATGTAGTACATTACTTGTGTCATGATGTTCCAGGTTCAGGTTCTTTATTTGTACAATTAGTAAACCACTGTGTGGTATCCTTTTAATCAAAATCACTCAAAGCTTTCTTTGATCGATGTTAAACTGTCTATTTTCAAGTAAAAAATGTATGTTTTTACTTCGTATATTTTTGTATGTTTTCAGATTACAATTTACTGATGATAGTGGAACTCACAATACCCATGCAACAGAACAGCCAAGCGGGATACGTACAAGATCTGTTGAAGACAAAGGCCAGAACAGACAAATGAGAACAGCAAAGAAAATACCAAAGGTTTATATTTATTCACTACCACCAAAGTTTAACAAAGACATAGAAACATGTGTGAATGTTCACAACCGGCCATATCTATGTTTTCATTTACTAAATGGAGGCTTAGGAAAAGTTATTTACAGGGAAGGGGAGATGGGAGTGTTTTATACCCATCAGTTCTCCCTTGAGGTGATTCTTCACAACCAGCTTCTGCAGAGTCAATACCGAACCATGAATCCAGAGGAAGCTGACATCTTCTACATACCCGCCTACCTAGGAATGTTCTTCTTCTGTAATCGGCCTAAAACTATGGAAACATTACAAACTGAAATGTTCAATATTGTAAATGCCATGCCCTACCTAAAGCAAGGGAAGCCTCATATCTCAACACTTGCCAAAATTGAAAGGGAACAAGCAACAAGTGAATACCCATTACTTCAGAATTCAAAATGTCGAGATGTGACTTACATTGTAATTGAAAAGGAAGCCTCGGATTGGTACAGAAAGGCTCTAGGTCTTGAGAACCAGAGAGTGATAGTGGCTCCCTACCCCTCGTATGTGCACCAGTACAACTCTAACTCAGCATCACAGGCAATATCCTCACCTGGATTAGGGGCAAGGCAGGTGCTGATTTTCCTCGCTGCTAGTGACCGGAGAAGCAACCCATTCAGAAACATCATTTTGGATCAGATTCCACAAAAAGTTGTCGATACTACTTATGAAATATTTGCCGAACATCTGCATGTTCAAGGAAAGGATGTACCACAGCAGGTGATTTTGAACACAGAGGAATGTCACTCCGGTCATGAGAACATCACGATTAGGTGGATGCAGAAGTCAGTGTTCTGTCTTCAACCTCCAGGAGATTCACCCACAAGGAAGTCATTTTATGACAGTATTCAAAGTGGATGTATTCCAGTCATTTTCAGATTTGTTGATCAGAATGTGGAATACCCCTTCCAACGGGTACTGAATTATACGGACTTCACTGTGACGATCGATTCAGTACGGATAGAGACGCGACAGGAGCTGATTCTTGACATTTTAAAAGAGGTTCCCCAGAACGAGGTAAAGAGACTGCACCTGAATGTTTTAAAGGTGGCCCGGATGTTACAGTACAGTGCCATTGACTCAAACGCGAGTGACCAACCACGTGCGCACAAAGATGCATTGGACATGATTATACAAGAGGTGCAGCATATGTACGATATATGACGATGCAATGGTAACCATTTTATATGGCTTTATACAAACTGTATAAGAGTAATCGCCAAGCGTTATCGAATTGGGTCCACTAGATAACAGATGAGCGCAAGTCATTGCGTTCGAAATGATTATGCTCGACAGGCGGCAATGAAACAATTTGTCTTTCCTTTGCTGTTTAACGCTGCCCTCAGCAATATTCACGCTATATATCTGGACCAGACAATCCAGTGATCGATATTATGAGCAGCGATCCACGCCGTCGAGAACCAACCAACATCAACTAGAACATTATATGATATATTCAAAATTTATCTATAGAATATGAACGGTTATCAATAACCTTATTTGGCTCAGCATTGGAATTTGAATATGCTTTCCATGTCTCATGTTTCCCTATATAACTTCATTGTTGTGTTTATTTGTTTTACGAAACATCCATCAATATTTGTGTTATTGCGACGACCTTTAAATAATCGAATCGAGATCGGAAAATCCATTGATCGATATTGTGAACAATGATCCATGCCGTCGGGGTACGATGATACGCATATATAAGACAGCTGCGCGATAAATCGCAAAGAATAATGAGGAACGAAGCGTGGTTTATTTGACGATAAAACATAGTTCTATAATGACGTCATTTCTGGAAATTCCCCATAGATATACCTGGGCTACACAGATAAATGCAGTGGCCGAACGATTGCATCAAAAAGTGGGAGAAATATGATATGAATCGGTATGTCGAGAAGAGGTGCAGAAGATCGACCTAAGGATTGTGAGAATATGCAGGAAATACCAAACTTAACTCCCCTGTTCGTAAAATGGACTTGTCCCACATCCCCCCCCCCCCCCCCCACCTAAAGGGGCTGCACATAATGTTGATAGCTCATATAAGAAATGAAGGACCAAGTCACCGAGCCTGACCACCCGATCCACTTGATTTGTATAGATCAGAAGTTCAATTTAACCTGTCGTATTAAAAATAGAGGCTGCAGGAAGTATATGTCTTTTTTGATGACATGATGTAGTGTGTTTCTTCTCGTCCTTCATAATATGGGACCGCCTCCGTGGTCCAGTGGTAGAGCGTCCGCTCGGAGAGCGGAAGGTCAGGGGTTCGATTCTCGGCCACGTAATACCAAAAGACATTAAAAGATGGTACTTGTGGTGAACCTGCTTGGCGCTCAGCATTAAGAGTCAGTATACTGTGACTGAATGGGGTCTTCATGTTAAACTGTTTTCGCTGGAGTGTGCTCTATCCACACTCACGCCATAACTTACCAAGATTTAATCAATACTGGCCGAATAAAATGATTTCTTGTTTGCTTCTATACCTCTGTAATTTTGTGTCCCGTTATAGGAAAGTGAGTGAGTTTTGGTTTAACCTATAGTCATAATCAGGGCAAAACGGGTTTCGAATCCACGATCTTAGGTTGCTAGCACGCCCAAGGGACGCAACTGTGCACTGCTGCATATGCAAGCCGAACAATTTTATGGATAGAGTTCACGGTATCTTTATCGCATCTAAAGCAAGGTTAAATTTGTTCCAGTCACTATAATTCACATTTCATTCTGTCCCCACATGTGGGGATATCGTGAAAGTAATATTTATTACTCCCGCTAAATTATACGTTTGGAGACACTGGGTGACCCAGTCATCGAAGGCACCGCAATTCGCAGTGCAGAGTTGCTTTCCCTTGGAAACGTATTATTGTGGGTTCGCCCCGATGATGTTTCTAGGTTTGTCAGCACCATACCGTGCTCGTTGGTTTCATCAAAGTGATCCCACATTAAGCTTAGACGCCGGAGTACTGTTCAAAGCAGCGTCAAACCCAACACTGTCACTCACTAAATTATCAGGACAAGTTGTTGACCATACCAGCTACCAAGCATTTTAGGCAGCTTCAAATACAATTGCACTATGAAAGCCTAGAAGGGACACTGTCGCTTTACAAAACCAAGCGAAACATGACCATAATCAAATCATGACAACGCGACAACGATATTTTGAGCAACTGTCGCCTTTTGAATACTACTACTACTACTACTACTACTACTACTACTACTACTACTACTACTACTACAACTACTAATACTAATCTTGGACGCGACGTTAAACCCAATTTCACCTCACCTTTTATGTTTGTCTTAGCACTTCTTATATCACTTAGACTGCTTTGTGTTTAGCCTCATGGATGGTGATTTGAAATGGGGTTTAACGTCGCCTTAAGCCTTATACTGCGACGTGTATGCATGCGCGCATGGCTGCTTGTACTAGTCCGGACTAATACCGATTTTATTGTGCTAGCTCACTGAGATACAATGCCGCAGTTTAACATGAATACCCTACACAGACACTGTATACTGACTCCGAGCCGACCAGCCCTGCGCCGGGCAGGGTAACAACAAGGACAATCTTTTAACATCTTTTGGTACGACGAGACTGGGCATCGAACCTGGACCTTATGCTATCCTGGCGGACGCTCTACCACTAGACCACGGAGGCGGTCGCCTCATGGCAGCAAATCCTTTGTTTTTCACATTCGTACTCGAACCAAGATTTTTGCTTTTTTTAGTGGCATTGTCCGCAGCACGCCCATAACAAGTTTCTCACACAGAATGTTGCACGTGCACCGTCGATAAGTTTTAGTCGACAATAATGTTGACACAGATACTATACTCAGTGGGATGGGCATATCCAGCATATTTTTCATTGATTGCAACCAAGTACCTCCTGATCTTTTCAATGATGTTGAAGGTAATCGGAAAACCCTCAAGATGTCTATAATCCATTACATTGGTTCGGGTTTCTTGGTAACCTATGATATCGATAACCACAAATCTGGAGTATTCAAATCCTCAAAAGTCGTGTTGTGGGAATAGAGCTATCTGTGTTTATACTCAAGGGGAATGATTACAACACTAATAATGTTTGTTTCTTATTTTGCACCACACTCAGCAATATTTCAGCTATATCATCGAGTCTGGACATCGCGAGCATCGATCTACGCAATTGGGATGCCATGACATGCAACAACCAAGTCAGCGAGCCTGACCACCTGGTCCCATCAATCACCTCTTACGGCAACCATAGGTTGCTGAAGACCATGTCTCCGTTTCAATCCAATTAACCAAAATATTTCTTTCTGTACAACCAAAGCAACACTGACTGTAGATTAGAACTGACAATTGTGTTTAGGTATAATGTTTTCGCTCGTCTCACCGAAGACCCGGGTTCGATTCCCCATGGCTATATCGGTACAATGTGTGAAACCCATTTCTGGTGTCAATTGCCGTGATATTGCTGGAATATTTCTAAAAGCGACTTTAACCATCCACACTCTCACTCACTCACTCACTCACTCACTCACTCAATGAGGTATAAACGGACTAATTGTGCAAGGTAATACAGATACTGGCTTTATCTGGGCTGATCTAACAGAGAAATACATCACAGAGTTCAATGAAATATATCCTTATTTGAACACGAGAAGTGTCACAAGAACAATTGCGGTATTAAACATCACTGCACATGTCCTGTGTGCAGTTAATGTAACCAGTGAGACCGCCTCCGTGGTCTAATGGTAGAGCGTCCGCCCGCGTCATACCAAACGACGTTAAAAGATGGTACTTGTTGTTACCCTGTCTGGCGCTCGGCATTAAGGGGCTAAAACAAGGACTGGTCGGTTCGGAGTCGGTATACTGTGTCTGAGTGGGGTATTCATGTTAAACTGCGGCATGGTATCTCAGTGGGCTGGCACTATAAATCGGCATCAGTCCGGACTAGTACAAGCAGCCACACAAACATACACACGTACATGCACGTCGCTATATAAGTGCAATAATCTTTGACGCGACGTTAAACCCCATTTCACCTCACCTTATGTAACCAGTGAACATGTTGGCTCCGTCGGTTTTAGTGCCCGAAAATGGCATCTGGATGAAATGTAGAAGGCTTTCTTTATATCCATAGTTTTTTTTAATATTTTGCTCTGGAAGGGTTCATACGTTTGATTTGTGTAATAATTTTCTGGTATATAATGAATAAATTGTTATCTGTACCCCTTACAACAGCCGCAGTCCGGCTGAAGCCGCTGTCTGATATAACAAGAGTATCACAAGTCGTCAGGACATATTGATCTAAAATACCTTTCTCAAACCCCGAACAATCATTACGTCCACTTTGGTCGATATGAGTGATATTGCCTTTAATGTCTAAAAAAGTTAATGGAAAGGCGTCTTTAAACTGAAACCTGACCTCATCATTGTCTGTGGCTATGAACAATTTACTTGAAGGAAAATCTTGAAGCTTTTTCTTCAGAAACTGGATTAAGGTAATCGGATCTGGTCGATCATCAGTTCTAAATCTATCAGTAGGCATGTTTTTAGATTTCCCAATTCTCAGGTGTGCACAGAATAGTTTTCCAGACTCCTTCCTGGCTTTGTCATTGAAAGATTCATATTTACTCATGGTACTTGGCGATAACTTAAATAACTGTGAAAATGCAATTCTGTATATCTCATGATGACTTTTGTTCTGCGCCCATTGCACTGTACCAAAGAGAGGATTGTCCATGAGGAAAGGCACATAGTCAATATTACCTTTATAAAAAGTCACATCCTTGTCAAACATCTTTTCCAGGTCACTTTGCTTCATCTTCCTTCCACAAGCGAGGCCATTCATGCATACTTTCTTTTCCCGGCTCCGGTTTTTAAGCATGTTCTCATCTATTTGCCACTCGACCAAATTTGGAATAACATAATTTGAAAAATTACATGGTCTCTCCATTGACAAGCCAAAGTTCCGTTTCAACATCTGAGAAAGAATATAAGAGGTGATAATGCCCTCCTGTCTGTCTGCTAGTCCACCGCAGCTTTCGTCGTTACATGTGTATATGATGTATTTGTCAACTTTATTAACGTTTTCTGGATGGGTCGCATCCCGAGGAACGCCGTATTGAGCCATTGTAAGGAGACCCTTAGTGCTGACTGCCTGATCATGATTAATAGGTGACTGATTTTCTGTTCCGGTAGTTTGGAAAAACGTATATCCTAGGACTAGTAGAAGCACTGTTTCGGCAAGGAGCAGATACAACCGCCTCGAAACCATCTTCTGAAATGGACACGCACATTATTAAACAATGCATACATTTGTACTTTTTTTAAAACAATGTATACATGCATACTTCCGACCGGAAGCCATATAACCAATCAGAACGCTGCTCTCCTTTACTGAATAGCTTGTCACTAGGGCGCCATCTTGTCCCCAAAGCGCTAACGTTATCCAAGGCCTTGAAAAGCCACGTGATGTATTGGGGTCTTCGCATGAATTCGAAATTTTTATTTTAGGTATTCGCATGAAGGCGAATCACGATGCACTTTGAAGTTTCTTGTTGTTTTGGGGGGCGGTCGGGTAGCCTAGTGGTTAAAGCGTTCGCTCGTCACGCCGAAGACCCGGGTTCGATTCCCGACATGGGTACAATGTGTGAAGCCCATTTATGGTGTCCCCCGCCGTGATATTGCTGGAATATTGCTAAAAGCGGCGTAAAACCATATTCACTCACTCACTCACTCTTGTTGTTTTGCTTGTGTTTATTTAAGGGAGCTGAAAAACTAATCTGCGCGCCCAAAATCTGAACCATGTTAATTTAAAAACTGATTACTAACCTTCCATAACCTTACCTTAACAAAAAAACAATAGCGTATATATATTTATGATTTAGATATATAGTTTTCTTAAGTTATGTGATCACATTCGAAATTTCTTCCACGCCCCGATGTTGCAGTTTTTTGTGTGATGGTGGTTTCACGTATACAAGCGGCAAGATAAAGGCAGGAGAGTTTACGGTATTGGAGATGCGGGATGCACAACGAAACATGGAAAAGGATCCGCGAGATCTGTCAGCGACATACAACGCAAGAGGGAGCAAAACACGCATGTCAGTTTATGAGCAGCGTTCCGTATTCCCCGTGACTACTGTTAGTGAACGTGTATGTAAGCGGTGTTTTTTTGCCTGTTACGAAGTACAAAGACTCTGTCATACACTGTAGCGCTCACTTACACATATCAATTGTTATGTATTTGTATTTTATGTATGTTATGGTTATCGCCCATGTGCAGTGAATGTGACATGACAATAAACTCCGCTATGTAACATAGTTAATGTAAATACTAACAAGAGTTTGCCATTAACGTGGCTATATCCCCCGCCCCTGTAGCCGAATTTATGACATAATTAAATCTACACAAACCCTAACCTTTTTTAACCGAGGTGGAACTTGTCATGGAAATTGTAAAAAAAGAAGGGTTTGGAACCTAAGTCCATCTTGTTGCCATGGAAACGTAACAATAAAAGTTTCTACATTTTCTAAATAGCAAAAAGGCACCAGTTCAGCATGTACCTGACAGACCTGCAAAGTTTGATGAAGAAATATTGAACGGTTTATGAGTTATGCTCCGGAAACGAACCCTACCCCAACAGAACAAGTCCATCTTGTTGCCTGGAAACGTAAAAAATTAAAATTTCTAAAATTTCTAAATAGCAAAAGGCACCAGTTCAGCATGTACTTGACAGACCTGCAAAGTTTCATGAAAAAATATTGAACGGTTTCTGAGTTATGCTCCGGAAACGAAACGTGACGGACAGACGTGCGGACGGACGGACGAAGCCCGTTTCTATATCCCCCGCCAACTTTGTTGAGCGGGGGATAATTAGTCTAGTTGGGAGACGTCAGTTCGAAGAAACACCACTCCAAATAAATACTGCCTACAATAATACGAGACGCTAGCGTTATATTTAGAGGTATATATAGTTTTCTAATATCACAATTTTTTAACCATTCGAACCTTACTAGTTCTTTTTCATGCAACATTTAAAGCTAATGGTGCTTTCTTGGAGAAATGTTACACGGTAAAGCGATCGACTGATTCAGCATAGGGGGTTTCCGCCATTTTAACCGCTCAGCATCCCAAAGCTTGAGGGACATAGCAACAATATCCACGACAGGCGTGGCTTGGGGGACATAGCAATAGTATCCGTGGCAGGCGTGGTTTCGTGACGCCAGTCGGAACTATGCATTCACAGAAGCCATGTCATATCATGATGCATGCATTATATTATTCATATTCAAGGCACAAATAAAGGTGATCATGTAAATGTAATGATAACCTAACATAAGTGATGATTGCGAGTGAGTTTGGTTTGGCTGGACGGCTTGATATGGCAGGGAAGTCTTGAGTGATACAGGTCCTAGATGTTCACCACTATGGTGAACCATAACGAGCATGGATATGGTTCTGAGAAGCTTGAAACCTTATCAGGGCGAACCTTGGATAGAAGCCCACGATCGTAGGTTTCTGGAAGAACGAATTGCGGTCTTGGACGACTGTGGAACTCGTAACCTCCTACTAAAAATCAGGTCACACACACACACACACACACACACACACACACACACACACACACACAATGAACAAACAACACCTATACACACGTGTCACTCTAATGTGCAAAACGAATCTAAAATGGTGACAGAAATTGACGAAAACACTTTAAATGTTTTGAAAATTAGTGTGTTGCCCAGACCAATCTTAGTTACAATCGACCTGAGGCGGCTACAATCATCTTTACAATCACAATGCAATTGTCCTATTCCACTTGCACAAACCGATCTGAACACGATTATAAGACGGCTTGGATTTAAGATCGCGATCTCAGCTAAGATTGAAATCTTCAACGGTGGAGGTACGAATATCTTTAACTCGACTAGGAAATAATTGACGGAAGTAGTTCTTACGCAGACTGTGTCAAAGATTATGTTATAATACGAATGACAGTTTGGAATATATATCTTGAAGAAGTCCCGGTTACGTCCATGTAGGTTTCAGTGTCCGTGATCTTTCATTAGTGGTAAAAACAACTCAGGGGTATTTGAAAAAAATTTGAAATTCGTTGAAACGTTTTCATGGGCAGCAAATCTATTCAACAAATCTATTTTCGATCACTCGTAACTCGGGCGCCGTATGCCATACAAGCATTGCTTCGTGTGCATTCACAGAGACCGCTTATTTATACTTCGGGTGTTATGATGTGTTCTTAATGGTTTAAACCTAACTTATAAAAAGCTTGAAACTAGATGTAATTTTAATACTTGAATTTGAAAGTTAAGAAGCATAGAGTAGGCAATATTTAATACAAGGAAACGAAAACTTGCACAGGTGAAAGAAGGCAATATTAATGTTTTTACGGTATAATTATAAGTAATATCTAGGTTAAGTGAAAGTGAAAATTATTAAAATATGAATTACCTCGATTAAAGTAGTGTTCAATGTATAATACAGTTCATGTGCTCAAAACTCTGAACAAATTTGTTTCACTATGACCACTAGAAAACATACATCCTCGTCTCAGCATGTATTTCGCACTCGGCTGCCTCACTTAGACCTTTGCTCAAAACATACTTGTATGGTCAGTCCTTGAAATTCAACCTTTTCTTTCATATTGTTTTATAAATACGACTTTAGAAGCGAATTTTATACCGAGGTATGTACATGCACATTCTAAGACATACGTGATAGTTTATTTTCAGTACAGTTTTCCATTTCATCCCATTCTACAAAAGGGAAAGTTTGAAATGGATAATGATCGCCGGTGAACGAAAGCAATGGAATTATTTGTCCTAAAAGGAAAAGAATATTCTTGGAATTGAACTTCGAAAATATAACTAACAAACTGTTTAGTATAAATGGTTTTCAATTCTTATATATGTCCTTCCTTTTTTCTTTTGGTTGTGAAAAAAAGAAGAACGCATTCATTTTGCTCTTAGACCAGATTTTTTTACAAATTTTATTTGTTACTAAGGATGCAAAACAAAGTAATTATTACCAAAATACGTATGTCACTGATCGAAGTATTGGATAATTTAGTCGATGCAGAGTGAAAAAACCCCAAATGAAAACAATTGAAAACATCAAAACGAAACGACATTTAGTCTACACTGAAACCATTTAGTCATTCAGAAATCAATTATCTATATATTGTGTGTGGATCTAATTACATTTACTGTTAATGTTATAACTTGAACCATGCGAGATTCTAATATACTGAACCGCAAAAGAAACGTCACCATGGATAGATATATGAGAAACCTTATTTGTTCAAACACTGTAAACATACTTTGAGCCATATTAAAAAGATGAAACTTGACAAAACTGATCATCAAGGTTGAAATTAAAGTGTCAAATGTTCTTAAAGTGAAACACAACACAAGTGTCTGAGAAAATGGCACCACAAGTCAGTATCTCGTGTGTCCGCCATGTGCATTGATTACTGCCATGCAACATCGATACATGGAATGGTTGAGGCGGTTGATGAAGGCCATAGGCACTTGAGCCCACACTCTGAGGAATGCCTGACGCAGTTCAGCTGCAGTTGTCGGCCTTAGTCGGACGTCATTCAGCCGTCTTTGAATCTCGTCCCACAGGTGCTCAATGGGATTTAAATCGGAACCGAGAGCAGGCCACTGCATGGTTCGGATGCCATTCTGCTGGATGCAGTCTCTTGTTGCTCTCGCAGTGTGGGCAGGGGCGTTATCATGCTGAAACTCGCAGTTGCGGCGACGTGTCAAATGAGGTATGGCGTATGGTCTCAAGACTTGATCAATGTACCGAGCTGCTGTGGCACCATTGCATCTCCCTGGACCGATGTTCTGGAAGACCACAGGGCCGACCATCTGTGCAAGACCAATTCCACCCCACACCATGATGCTCGGACAACCCCACGAGTCTCTCTCAACAACACAAGCATTCGAACAACGTTTCCCACGTCGTCGCCAGACTCCCCTCCGCCATCTGCTGTTGAGATATAATAACGGCTCTAGTATGAGAAGAGGACTGTTCTGCACTGCTGGTGGCGCCAATGCTGGTGCTGTGTTGCCCACTGAAGACGGTCCCGACGATGACGTGGTGTCAGAATGGGTCCTCGGTGTGGCCTGTGACAGTGGAGGTGTCTGCTCCTCAATCGTCAACGCACGGTGTCCGCACTAATGTGTCGCTGGTGTGTCCCGATGGTCTGTGGAGCAGTTTCCGCAGCAGTAACAAAGCGATGTTGAAGA